AAGAAGATATAATACAATATATAATTTTTTAATATTTTTTTAATTGAATATTTTCAAATTTAATTTTCTTGATGGTTATAACTGCGACTGGAGGATTCTATATACCATTCGAATCAGCAGAAAATTCTGTATCTAAAACACCAAGACGAATTGTACCCAATCAATATACAAGAAGATATAATACAATATATAATTTTTTAATATTTTTTTAATTGAATATTTTCAAATTTAATTTTCTTGATGGTTATACTTGCGACTGGAGGATTCTATATACCATTCGAATCAGCAGAAAATTCTGTATCTAAAACACCAAGACGAATTGTACCCAATCAATATACAAGAAGATATAATACAATATATAATTTTTTAATATTTTTTTAATTGAATATTTTCAAATTTAATTTTCTTGATGGTTATACGTGGGCATCTATTATGGTAACCTGTATCTAAAATACGAGCAACGAATAAATTTTTCTTATAAAGTATTTATTTAAACAGACATAAAATAAATTTAAAACAAATCTAAATAAGGCTCTATTCTAAGTTTATATTTTTCTTTTACATAAACTGTCAACCCTCCAAGTTTTTCAATGCTTGGAGGTTTTAATGGATCTTCTGGTAATAATTTGTAGGCAAGAAAAAAGTTTGCAGCAAAAAGGAAAAGCATCATTCTTGCTAATGCTTCTCCTGCACATTGCCTTAAGTATTAATTAAGAAAAATTTTTAAAGACAAATTTTCTCCAAAATTTTTTTTTACCTTTTCCCCACACCAAAAGCTATTAGCTCGTCAGCTTTTTTTAATTTCCCTTCGTTGTCTATATAACGTTCAGGTTCAAAATTTTGAGGATTTGGGTATATCTAAATATAAATTTTTTAAGCAAAATATTTTTAGAAACCTTTGGATCAAAAAGAACATCGGATACTTGGGGTATCATAAATGTACCTTTGGGCAACACAAACTTTCCAACATTTAAATCTTCCAAGGCTAAATGCCCAAGATTGAAGGGGACTAAATTAACGAGCCTTAATGTTTCCTTAAAAATTTTTCAATTTATTTTGATAGTGAAAACTTTAGAGTTTGTTATTTCTAGTTGTTTACATTATTGATAGTGTCGCCTAAACAACTCCCTACACCACCAAATTTTGAAAAAAATGTACATTAAATTGGGCATCACCAATAATGGATATAAGTAAAATCGGAGTTATGACTGTATCAAGATATCACCATAACGAGATTATTAAGGATATCTTTATTGTCTTTCACGTTTTGAAAGAGCTTTATTAAAGAGATATCGTTTAGATCATATATTATTTATTATAGAGCTATCAGTCATGGAAATCTTAGTATATCTGGAACCGGAATCGATTAAGAAACCTCTAAATATTTTTAAATAAATTCACAAATAATATAAATTTACATTAACAACAGCATTTGTATAAATTAATTTAGGTCTGTGTTCCAAACTAATAGCCGAACAAATATAGTCCAAACACACATCACCACCTTCATTATTATTTAATTGTTCAATTGCTTTAGTTATTAATCCATTAGTTTTTGCATAGTTCTTTTTTTAATTTAAATTTATAAAATAATTTTAAAATTAAAAAAAATACTTTTAATTCTTCATGTAATTTATTTTGAATATCTTGATTTAAAGTTAAATATAGACACATAAATTCTGTTGTATTTGCTGTTGTTGACTTTAAATTTAATTAATTTTTAGTTGAATAAAATCTTAATTACTATTTTAAGATCAGAATTTACATACTTAAACTTTCCGGAAATTAAACAGAGGAAAGTTATAAATTCTGGTTTATTATTTTCTTTCCGGAAAGTTATAAATTCTGATTTATTATTTTCTTTCCGGAAAGTTATAAATTCTGATTTATTATTTTCTTTCCGGAAAGTTATAAATTCTGATTTATTATATTCTTTCTGGAAAGTTATAAATTCTGGTTTATTATATTTTTCCGGAAAGTTATAAATTCTAATTTATTATTCTTTTTCCGGAATGTTATAAATTCTGATTTTTATCTCTAATAAAGATAATTTCCGGAAAGAAAATAGTTAATCATAATTAATATAAATCAGAACTCCAGGCATTTTATTTAATAATTAAAATAAAAAACCAACATTATTAGCAATATAAAGATCAAAACACAAATTTCGTAATGCTTCATCACTAAAAAATATTTTTTTTAATTTTAAAATTTATCAATTAATTACTTAAAATATTTATGTTGTTTTAAAGGTATTTCTATATTTTTATCTTCATTTTCAAATTTTTCAATATCATCCAAAAAAGCATCCACAAAACAGTAATAATTATTATTTTTATTTATTTTTTGTTCCCTTTCATTTAATTTTAATAAAATTTCCTCATCGACATTTTTAAATAAATCTGTTACTATTCTATCAACTAATCGGAAACCAAAAGAGAATGGTGGAAAATGACGAAGCCACCTTTTAATTTTTTAAATTAATTATTTAATTAATTAATTATTACCACATAGATGCCCACATTTGCGTAGTTTTCCTTAAATAACACAAAATAGTAATATTTAATTATACATACTTTCCGGAAAGAGAATAACTCAGAATTCATTTAATAAAATAAACCAGAATAACCTTCCGGAAAGTTATATGTAAATCATAATTTAATTATACTTTCCGGAAAGAAAATAACTCAGAATTTCTTTAATAAAATAAACCAGAATAAGTATAACCTTCCGGAAAGTTATAATTAAATCAGAATTTATTTAAAACCTTCCGGAAATTAAACTAATTCTGATTTATTTTTAAATTCCGGAAGGTTATAATTCCTAGTTTATAATTATTCTCTGGTTTATTATCTTTCCGGAAGCAATTAAATTATTATCAAATATTTTTAATTAACTAACCAAGGAACTAAAGTTATAAATGTTTTTAAATCATCATATAATTTTGTAAAATTTTCCATTTTTTCCTTTAAAATTTTTTTTCAATTTTTTTTATTTTTTAAGAAATACTTCTTCAATAGGATGTCCAAATAAAAGTAATTCAATAGCAGACCCATTTAATTCAATTATTAATTTAGACAAATCATGGGCTTTTACTCCATTTGATTTTTCTGTTCTAATTTTGGCAGATAATTTATGAAATTCTGGTTTCATCAATTCATCTAATTTGCTTCTTCCCATTCCCAAATCTCTAAGAATATTTAAAGAGCTACGACGAAGAAAACGCCATTCGTCTCCGTTAGTTCTGGTCATACCATGATTTTCCCCACGTGTTGCTGAATAAAAAAAGATATTATAATTAAACATTTTCCGGAAAGAAAATAATAACTCAGAATTTACATATAACTTTCCGGAATTTATAAATCAGAATTTTTAACGGAAATAATATAACTTTCTGGAAAGAAAATTATAAATCAGAATTTACATATAACTTCCGGAATAAAATATTTAATAAACCAGAATTTACATTTTTCCGGAATTTAAAATTAAATCATAAATTAGTTTACTTTCCGGAAAATTATATTATTATTGCAATAAATTAAATATAACCTTCCGGAAATAAAATAATAATTAAACTTACCACTCAAAATCTTTGCAACCTTAAAAAAATAACGACCCCCAGCAGGTTCTGCTTGCCGTAGGAAGACTTGTCTAATTAATTCATAATCAGAAATAATTACATATGGGTCCTTAAATAAATAAAAATATTTTTAAATAATTTTTAATTTATTTTTAAATTATTTTTTCTAATTAAAGCCCCCTAATTAAATTGCCTTGAACAAATTTTCACATTAAAGCACAGAGCTTCAATTAAAAATAATTAATTTATTTATTTACTTCCCCCATCCACAAAGTATATACAGGCCCATAAATATTTTTATAATGCTCCATAGCTTTGTATCCAATTCCATCTTCAGCTGCTAAGGCAGAAAATTCATTTAAATTTCCAAGGAAAGGGAGAGGTGCTGGGCCCGGTGGCATTTTCCTTCGTTTCCATACAAAATTCCAAAAGATTAAAGTAAATAAGTGGAGTAATATTAATCCAATAATCATTCTAGAATTGAAAAATAATTTTTTAATTATTTATAGGCAATATTCAGGAAACTTAATATGTATGGTGTTTCTTCTTCCTATAATTAGATATTCTCTCAATTACCATATATGCTGAAATACTTACCCAGAGTAATTATTGTTTCAGTCTCTCGCTAGAAGGGGTAATAAGGAAGAGAAGAATAATTATTTAAAAGACGGTAATTATCTGAGAGAGAGAGTAATCATTCCAGAATATACGGTAACTTTTTTATACAAAATAACCCTCTAAAATTTCTCTTAAAAACTCATCCTAATATCCTCTAGTTCAATTCACAACCTCTAAATCATCTTTTTTTAACTTTAAAATATTTGAATAATTTTTTATGTAAAATTCTCGATAAACAACCAAAAGCACATTATTTTTTGTCATAAAATTGTACTTTCTTTAACACTATTTATACGTTTTAGACAACTGATTAGTTATCATAAAAACTGATAAAATTGAGTTGAAAATAATCAAATAAAAAATTAAAGTACACGTAAGAAAAAATTAATTTTTAGACAGAAAATTAATCTTTTAATTAAACAATTAATAGATTAATAATTAAAAAAGAATTAAAAAATTAAAGAATTAAAGTCTTTATCATTTATTTAAAAATAAATAAAGTATAAATAATTATTAAAAAATAATTTGCGTTCGAATTGAAAGCAAGTGGTAAATTATAAAAAAAAAATATTTAAGAGTAGTATGTAATTGGAATAACATACATGGTCAAATTAAAAAAAAATTTTTGAAAATTTTTAATTAGGGTTGCAACAATCCCCTCTCTTTATTAAAGAAATTAAATTATTATTAAATAATTTTTTAATGAACAAAAAACAGCCAAAATTGAGACTACTAGAAAATTGAGAATAACACAAAGAGAGAGAGAGCAACCCTAATATTATTTTTTAATTAAAAATAAAAATTAATATTTTCCTTCCGGAATTTCTTCCTTAACAATACTTAAGGACCTATTTTTCTTTTCTTCCTCGTCTTCCTCTCTAGCTTCAGCTGCTTTACGATTTAAACGTCTTTCCGCATTGCTAATCCCCGGCTTTTTTAAAGCCAACCAATCACCGTTTTGGAATTGGCATTCTAATTGTTCGAGGGTTTTATTTCTTGTTTCGGGTAGATAAAGCCAGGTAAATATTAATAAAATTGAACCAAAAATAAAGAAACCAGAAAAGGTAAAGGCTTGGCCAAAATTGTTGACACAGATCTGTTTTTATTTAGGATATTTTTAATAAAATAATGTGGTAGGTTATAAATTCTGATTATTATATTTTTTCCGGAATTATTATTTATTATATTCTTTCCGGAAAATTATAATTCTGATTTATTATATTCCTTCCGGAATTATTTATTATATTCCTTCCGGAATTATTTATTATATTCCTTCCGGAATTATTTATTATATTCCTTCCGGAATTATTTATTATATTCCTTCCGGAATTATTTATTATATTCCTTCCGGAATTATTTATTATATTTTTTCCGGAATTATTTATTATATTTTTTCCGGAATTATTTATTATATTTTTTCCGGAAAATATAAATTCTGGTTTATTATATTCTTTCCGGAATTATTTATTATATTCCTTCCGGAATTATTTATTATATTCCTTCCGGAATTATTTATTATATTCCTTCCGGAATTATTTATTATATTTTTTCCGGAAAATATAAATTCTGGTTTATTATATTCTTTCCGGAAGGTTATAAATTCTGATTATTATAATCCTTCCGGAAAGTTATACTTACAGGAAATAATTGACTAATAGTACAAGCAGTTGTCCATGCAGATAGCATACAAATACCTGTACCAATTCCGCGCATACTTAAAGGGAAGATTTCTGCAGACATTAACCTTAAAAATAATTTTAAAAAATCTCTAAAATATAAAAACCAAGTAACTGTAGATATAGCCCCCTGTGAGAATGCTAAGAAGGGGAGTAAAAGGCCAAAAGTAGCCCAGCCACGAGCTGTTCCATAAGGCAAAATTGCTGAACAAACAACAATAGCCAAATGTGCCAATAAGGTGCCTATTTGGCCGAAAATGAGAAGCGAACGCCGACCAACTCTAGAAACTACTAAAAGACCCGCCCAAGAAGCCAGAAATGAGACCAGCTTAAAAAAATATTTTTTAATTTAAATTTCTCATTTTTCTACCCCAATTCCAATATTAGCGATTAAAGCCATTTTTGTATCTAGCCCTGCTTCTCGAAGCACTTCAGTTCCATAAAGCATTCCTATTGCAACTCCATATGCTTGCTGTGTAATAGCAACAGCAATACCAACTAAAAGTACTGTTCTCAACCAAGAAACTGTTAAAATATCGCTTATTCCAGCTTTCTTTGTTGTTGGCTTATTTTCAAGTTTTTCACTATCCTCATTCTCTCCCAATTGTGGATTTGTAATTGTAGTAATATTATTGTTAATATTATTTATAGCAGCCTCAATTTCACTTTAATAAAATATATTATGTATAATTTAATTTTCCGGAAAGAATATAATAAACCAGAATTTATAACTTTCCGGAAAAAGAATAATAGACAAGAATTTATAACTTTCCGGAAAGAATATAATAAACCAGAATTTATAACTTTTCGGAAAGAATATAATAAACCAGAATTTATAACTTTCCGGAAAGAATATAATAAATCAGAATTATAGTTTTCCGGAAAGAATATAACCATCAATTCCATTTTTATAAACATACCGTAATTCGTGTCGTGTTTGAGCTGAAGATCGCCGCATCCTTCTAAGCGTTTTCCATGCAAGATTTGCCTTTCCATTTTGAGCAAGCCAACGAGGACTTTCTGGAACAATAAGAATATGTAAAATAAGCAAAATCACTGCTGGGACAACAATTAATACATTAATCCAACGCCAAATCGCGTCGCTGAAAATTATTTTTGAGAAGAATTTTAATTTTTTAACAAGTTAATAAACTTACTTTTCATACCAGACGTTACCAAGAACTGCACCAACAACAAAAACACAAAATTCTCCAAACACAAGAATCTATAAATAATTTATCCTTGAAAATCAGAATTTTAAAAATTTCCGGAAGGGAATTTAAATTAAATAATTTTCCGGAACTTGAAAACTTTCCGGAAATTATCGTATAAACCAGAATAATTCAATTATAATTTTCCGGAAATAAAATATATATTATAAATCAGAATAATTTACTAAGAGTGCCATTGTTACACTTTGTGATCGCTGTTCTGGCGTCGATGTTTCTGCTAGCAAAACTGGGGCAACAGAAGTTATTCCACCAGAAGAAAATCCGTGGAAAAGGCGGGTAGCTAATACTGTCTTTATTTTAAAAATACATTTATCTCTTTAATTTTCATTATACCTCAAAATTGGGTGCCAAAGAAGTACCAAGCGTTCCCAGAATAAACAAAATTTCATTTAATATAAGCGTTCGTTTACGCCCGAAACGATCTGCTAATCTTCCCCCAAAAATACTTCCAAATGCGGCACCCACTAGAAAACATGACGTGATCAATCCAACTCCAGCAGGGGTTAATCCCAACTCTCGACGCATAAAAGGAATCTTTAAAAGGAAATTTTTTTATTAATTTACTATCGGATCTCGCTATAAGAGACCCTCCGACAAATCCGGGAAAATTATTATTTTATAATGAGCGATTTTAACAAAAAATCACTATGTGAGGGAAGTTCCTTCAGAGAATGATCAATGTTAGAAAAGTCTCTTAACTAGAGGGTATTTAATATGGAGGGTATATAATATAGTATTTCATAGTGAAGGTATTTTATAGGTATTTTATATTTACCGAATCATTAATTGAGGAAGAGGAATATCCAAACAAAATTCCCGACATTGAGCACAACCAATTAACTAGACGTAAATAAGATGTTGATCCATCTCCTGCCGTATTTGAAAAAAGAGAGAAAGCTCCGGCTGAGGCTGTGGACAGACGTTTTCCTAGTGGAGGGGGTGGAAGGGGAGGAACAACCGCTGTAGTTAATGGTTCTATATCATCTGTCTTAAATTGAAATAAATTAAATTTATATAATAGTTAAGGGATCTGACAGCTCCTCCAATGTAGATGTCCAATACAGGGTTGTTTTTTTACCCTATTTCTAGGGGATTTTCCCTATCTTTGATGTTTTCGCCCTATTTTTTCCCTATTTTTAACTTTTGCCATATTTTGCCCTATTTTTAACATTTTGTAATATTTTTCAAATTTTCTGGGATTTTGCAAATAAAATGCGAAAAAACAAAAAAATCTGACCTCTTGGAAATAAAATTTGAAAAAATTTTCGCCCGCAGCGCTGAAACGTAGAATACAGGCGCATTACTAGTGGCAGACGAGAGACTCACGGTTCCGATTTTCATGGTTATTTTTCTGTAAACTCTCGATTTCAAAGATTTTTGAAACTATTTTCAATTTGATATTTTATCGATTTAGATTTTCGAAATACTATATATTTGTTTAGAAATAGCTTCAACCTGATCTGCTCTATTTAGTTTAAACTAGTGAAGAATATGCGGAATAAAGCTTTTTATTTAAAATTTTAATTATTTTTATGTTTTTAAAATAATTCCCTATTTTTTGCCCTATTTTTGACCGAGTTTGCCATATTTTTGCCCTATTTTTGAGTGGCTGCGCCCTATTTTAGTGTTTTGGAAAAAACAACCCTGGTCCAATAGCCCCTACCATTTCTATCAGATAGGGAGGGAAGTGAGATCTATAATTGGTTTTACTGATAGTTATTTTTTGGAGATTATGTTAATTGGAGGTAGAGACCGGACCGGACTGTCATACGAGAATTCAGATCGGTATCTCGTCTCAGTCCGGCCTCTAATTGGAAGTCTCAAAAAAGTCCATTATAAAGGGAGTTTATTATATAGAGGGCTCTTTCAATGAAGATGCCCAATATCTCCAATTTCTATCAGATTATATAGAGGGAAAGTTCACTATAAAGAGTCTATATTAAATTACTTCAATTTGTTTAGAAACTCGTCTCTTTTGTTGATTTTGATTAGCAACATCATTTGCAGCCAGTTTACCGGCTATTTCCAATTCCAAATCCAACTCTGTTGGTGAAACAGTAGCCGTCATTGTTTAAAAATATTATAAATTCTCTAAATCTGGTAATAATTTTTAGTTTTTCGTTAATTTATATGCTCAATAAAATCTTTTAGGAAAAAAGTATATAGTACAAAATACACAAAATAATTTTTAAAATAATGAATTTCATCATTATTATTGTTAAGTATTTAAATAAAAATTAATTTTTGCTAAAACTTTTCAAGAACTTTTATTTTTAAATAATAATATGATTTGTTGGATTTTTATGGGGAGATTTGTAAATTATTTTTAATAAACACATAACTAAACAATTCTTAATTTTACCTCTAAAAATGTCCATAAATACCAAAAAATGTTTAAAAATGTCAAAAAAATCTTAGAAATACATAAAATGTCAGAAGTGTCAAAGTATGCAGATAATGTCAAGAAATGTCAAGAAATGTCAACAAAATGTCAAAAAAAATTTTGACATTATTGAAAATATTTTTAATAATTTATTTATTAAACATGTTAATTTAAGAGAATTATGAAGGTTTGAAAGGCTGGTACATCCTCCGTACCAAAATTGTACATTTGACATTAAATAAAAATATTTAAATCTTCATTTTTCAACTTAAACAATTGTCTCTTTTTAATAAAATTTTGTGTAAATAAAAAAAAATTTTTTTTGTTTGCAAAAACACCCAAATATTTTATTGTGTAATACTTTAATATATATGCAAATATTTTAAACAAATAAATAATTTTTTAAAAAAATCTATATTGTTAAAATATATTTTGTTTATTTTACGAGTGAAATTGAGTAATATTTTTATAAAATATATTACTTGAAAATCAGAAATTATTTAAGTAATTTATATTGAAGAAAATCAGAATTAAATAATACGTTAAGAAAAGGATATAAAATCAGAATAAATATAAAAACATCAGAATTTTAAGAGAAATATTAAATCAGAATTATTTTTTTAAAATCAGAATTTTCCGAATGTTATAGAAAAATATAAAATCAGAATTTTAATTAAAAATAACTAAAATAATTATAAATTAAAAATCAGAATTTTAATTAATTAGTTTTTATGTATTTATTAAATATTTACCATAAAGAACGTTGCAACAACCAACAAATCACTCGATCATTTTTGCGCATCAATTTTCATCTCTTATTTGTTAGTTTAAAATTTTCAATTGATTTTCCTTAAAATATCTTCAGTTTTTCGACCCTCTCTCTGTCCCTTTAAAAAAACTCTCAAAAAACTCTTACATATTTTAGTTACTAAATTTTCAACCCTCCAAATTCACCCCAATAGTTTGTGTCGGTGTTTGAGAGAAAATAAATTTATTTATTTTTTGCGGACAAAAAACTTGCGGACTGCATCACACCTAGCGGAAATTAATCTATATTTTTACAATAAATATTGTAATACCCAACTTTCTTTTAATCTTTATATTTTATATATAAATTCGTCATTTTTCAATTTTTATTAAGGTGTTTGTGGTATCGACAAGTTTGTACCAGACGGATTTTTAACTTTTCAATTTTTAACATTTTTTAAAAGAATATTTACATATTTTATTGTTAAAAAGACCATCAATCAATTTACTCAAAATAAAAAGAAAAATAATAAATTTATATAAAAATCTAAATTTTCGGTACAAAAACTAGGGTTGTACCCCGAACGCTCGGGGGCGGGTATGTCGGGGTACGGGGTTTTCCAATTGTTTCGGGGCGGGGTTCGGGTCGGGGAGAATCGTTAAAAAATCGTTCGGGAACGGGGTCGGGGTACAACTCCAACAAACACTCCACGTTATTTACAAAAAATATTTTTGTGTTTATTTTCAACATTCCCCCCCCCTCTACCATTCACAAACTACTCTACCCAAACAATCCCTTGTTTGGTATAATTTAAATAAATTATTTGATGAATTACTCGAATTTAGTTGTTGTTGTTTTAATAATGAAGAAGGGGTTTGGTGTTGTTGAAATTGTTGTAAATTGTCGATGCTTTGGGACATAAAATTGAAATAAATTTTTTTAAATTTTTTATTTAATTATAAAGGACTTTTGCCGACAAATATAATTTATTGTGAATAAAAGCTCTAGCAAGGGGGATATATTCCCGAAATAGTAAAATAATGTCTAAGACAAGGTAATGAACAAGAACTAGTTATCCGTTTGTTCCAATTTCGATAGGATTTAGTTTTGTCTACAAATATTCCGCAAATATAGTCCGCAAGTATAATCCGCAAAATATTGTCCGCAAAAGACATCTCATAGACATAGTCGGATCTCACTTTTGTGTATAACCTTAGGGCTAAAAAATTAGATACAATAATGAGATGACACTCATATCGAAGTATCTTTTAGTCCTTCCCCTCTCCCTAATGTCCAATCAATTTCAAAAAAAATTAACTACCTTCGCTGCAAATTCTGATTTAAAACCAAATTTCCTTCTCTGCTTCTTTTAAGATGTTCTGGCTTTGGAGGCAACGGCGGAACAGAATTCTCCTCCCAAATATCCCTCCCCTTTTCAATTTTATTTTTAAATTGTTTTGGGGGTATAGGAGGGCATTTTAAATATATTTCTGTTGGGGAGGGACTGAAGCGCCTTTCAAAATGTTGTTGGCGTTGACGTCTAATGATTGTTGGGGATTTTATTGGTTCGTCGGGAAGTTGGATGGGTTGTTGGTTTGTGATTTGAGATGAATCTGGAAATTTTGAAAAGTCTTTTAGCTAATCTAAACAATCAAATCCCTCATAATCAAGTCGACACAGCTCGACAAGATAATTTTAATTATATCGAAATCGACTGGATTAAATTTGAATAAAATTTTTGATTGAATGGATAGTTGGATACATTCGATTTCAATTTGAATTTAATGTTAATCAAAAGTCCGCAAAAATAGTCCGCAAAAATAGTCCGCAAAAATCCTCAAAAAATTCCTCAAAAAATTTCAAAATCCGCAAAAACGGTCACCTTTTGAAGTGTTTTTAATTAATAACTACTCTGCTGTAGTTGGTGTACCTTTACTTATTTTAATAATTAAAATTTTTCAAGTTAATTTTTTCTTCCAAACCTTCGTTAGGTTGAATTTCAGCTTTATTAAAAGGTTGTTTGTTTATTTCCTCATCCATCTGAATTGGAAAACGTTGAGAACAACGAAATGAATTTGTTGAAGATGGAAGTGAAGAAGGAGATGAAGGTGTTGTTGATGTTGAAGGAATAGGGGAAGGTTGTATACAAACAGACTCTCCCCAATGAACACTTTTTTGTTGTGAAGATGGAGGGGGTTTTGTTGTTTTGTTGATATTTTGGGGATTGGCACTTTTGGGAGAAAAATGAGTTTCTGACCTTTATTGAAAAAATTTTTATTATTTTTTTATTTTTTTAAATTTAAAAGTCGGACCTCTTTACAAGAAAATCCGCAAAAAAATGACCGCAAAAAAATTGTCCGCAAAAAAATTGCGGACAAAATTTCTGTCCGCAAAAATTTTTACAAGATACACCCACTTAGTGGTGAATGTATGTATGTCTAAGCAATATTTAAGATAAACATCATTATATGATTTTAGACCCAAAAATGTAGCAATGAATGAGGCCCAACTCTAATAAATAAATGAAAACTCCCCTACTTCTCGTTAAATTCGTATTCCTCTCCCTCAACAGGCACCAACACAACTGGAGGTTCTCTAATTAATTCTTGACTAAGCGGTGCTTTAGGCAATTGGTAGAAGTCAGCAGAGGACGAGGCCGAGTCTGGACGAAAAATTTCTAGAGAAGTTGTGGTTGTTGTTGAATCAAACAATAATGGGGGCGGTGAATAGCAACAACCGCCCTCTCTTTTTGTTGGGGAAGAACATTTATTTAATTGTTGTTGATTTAATGGTTGTTGTTTATTTACATCTACTTCATTGAGTGAAATCATCAAGGGAGATAACTAATATATTTTTTTAATGTTAAAAAATTTTTGTCCGCAGAAAAATTGCGGACAAAAATTTCTGTCCGCAAAAAATTTGTCCGCAAAAATTTGTCCGCAAATTTTTGTAGCCATAAAAAATAAACAATTAATCACCATTTTTGATTGTTCCTTCGATGACTCATTCAAATTTTTATTGGGGTTTATCTCAAAATTATTTTTATCATTTAAGGGTAAAGTTGAAGCAGACGATGGTGGAGAAAATACTGCTGGCCAAAGAGGAGAATTATTTACTTTAAAAAATTTTTTTATTTTCCTAATTTAATTCTTTCTTTTACCCCCAAAAATTCCATTAAACATTTGTGGTGTGCCAGATATTATTCCAGTAGAAATAATTAATCCTTCTTTTGCCCCATTTGTTCGAATATCCATATTAAAAGAAATTTTTAAAGGGGGAGGAGACTCTGAATGGTCTGGGGGGAAAGACATTTTTTAGTGGAATTTTTTAATTTTTAAATTTAAAGGAAATTAAAATTTTGTACAAATCGATAAATTTGGGAAGAAATAAATTAAGCAATATTTTTTTCCTTTACTCAACTCTCGACGCTTTTTGTTTACATTCTCACTCGGTTATTTGTTTTACGTATTATTACAATCTCCTGTGAGGACTCAACAGCTTTTCGTCTGACTAGGGAGGACTCAAATATATTTCAGATAACATTTTGAGTATCGTCAGTTTGAGACTCAAACGAGCACGACATTCAAAAATTGGGGCACTTGGTCGGAGGACATTTGGACACGAAGACAGTTGGTCGATAAAACAATTGGACACAAAAACAATTGGGCAATAAGACAAATAGTCAAAGGACAATTGAACAGCATGTGGCGTTTACGCGAGGCTTAATTGCATTTAAGATAAAGGTTCAGGTTGCCGGACTGCAATTTGTTACCTTCTACATAAAAATACATGTTTTATCGACAAAAATGGTATAATTATAGAGAATCAAAATCACATTACAAATCACCCAATACATTAACATACAACAGAAAATTAATCTCTTATCATCATTAGAACACATTACATATATCCTCTCTTCTTATATCCCTTCAACGTTTGACCCTCCCATTTCTTGGAACAAACTGTCGTCTCGACGTCTCTGTTCAATTCTATGGTCGCTTCTACCGGGAGTTCCATGTGAAGGTTTCTTTTTGCGTCCCTCTTTGACAACAACAATCTTCAGCAGCTCGAAATAGCCAATGATCTGGAAATTTGAGAAATTTTTTGAGAGAAAAAGGAGAAAGAAAACACTTACATATCCTGTTGCAAACACAAACGCAACAAAGAAGATTTCACTCCACGATGGCATATTTTCTTTTCCTTTTGTTGAGCGCCTCGAAGTTGTAAAAAAAGAAGGATAATGAGGAGACAGCACACTCGAGCAAATGATTATTTTAGGAGATTGAAGGTGAGGAAAGTTTGTAAGCTTAATTGTGCTTTTATAGGGGGATTTGATCGTGAGATTAATTGAGATAAAATTACGGTTTCGGCAATGAATCGGCTAGGGCACAACGGGCAATCTAGCTCGGTCGTTTTGTTGCTAAATGAGAGTGGGCACTGTGCTTTTTGTAGAATTTTCACATGTCTGGGTAATTTGAGTCTTACGGACGAAAACGGCAAGTTAGCTGTAAATTTTTTGCAAGGAATTTTTCATTTTCAAGATTTTACCCTCCAATTTTTGATTAAATTTTCTTAAAAAATTTTTAGAATTTATATTTTTTAAAATTTCAATGACATCAAAAAATAATGGAGAAGGACGGCATGTTGATAATTTAGAAAATTCATCTTCCAACCAACAACCTTTTTTATATTATGATGAGTCTGCACGTTTAATTTCTAATAATGATGACCATTCGGTAGATGACTATCAGGTAGCTCCTCCGAGAAATTTTGACAATAATAGAATGAATGTTGGCAGGGAAGTTGAGGTTTTCTTTTTTATTTTTTGTGGGGTGCCTCCCTTAATGTCTACACCATTTCGTTCTATTGGGATAAGTACCTGAAGTACCCGGCTACGCAGCGGGTTAACTCTGCTTTAATCCGCTGTGCGGTTATGCATTTTAGAATCTCGGCCCATAACTCTGGTTGGATCGTTTTCCTCTTTAATCCTCATCTACCGGTATACCCTATAATTCCTCCAGATCCTTTGGTTATCTTTAAAATAAAAAAAGAAAATTATGTTGATCAGAATGGTGTGGGCATTTAAGGCCAATGAGCGTTTAGGATTCACCCCCTCTTATTGATTTTTGTATTTAGCCAGTTACTGGAGGCGAGCTTTACCCTCCACTTCAAAATCCAGTGCAACTTACCAACACAACTACAGGTTCACCCACAAACACTCATCAACTTTTATCAACTCCAACGGTTACAATAAATACTGAAGCACATGACAATTCTACTTTTGACGATAGTGAAGATACTTCTGGTTATGCGGGTTTGTTTCTAATTTTATATGGAACAGGGTAAGCTAATTTTTGGCCTTTGTTAGCTCGCCCAGAGTCAACCATTTTTAGTTTTTGGCTGAAACATTTTAAGAGACTTTGGGTCAGGGCACGTAGCTGGGTTGAGTGGAGTATAGATGGAGCACCTAACTTTTTAATTTAACCTTTTTCCTCCTTTAAAAATTCTTTTAGGCCCAACAGTTCAATGCCGTGTTTGTGAATCTGAGATAGTTTTGGACGGAAAGACTGGACAACATGTTGTTCGTTGTTTGCAATGTAACGAGGTTTTTTAATTTTAAATTTGGACGTTTATTTCTGAAAAATCTTTTAATTATTTAGGTCACACCAATTCGCCCGGCTCCGCCTGGCAAAAAATATGTGAGATGTCCTTGTAATTGTCTGCTTGTATGTAGAGCTAAATCTACTCGAATTGCTTGTCCTAGACAAAATTGCCGACGTGTGATTACTTTAGCCAGGTTTCTATTTTTTAGAGTAATTATCTAAAAAAGGACTCATAATGGTCAAAATTATCAATTTCTTTAAATTTATTTAATTTTTCAATTTTTTCATAGTAGTGGACCTCCAAATACTGGAATTCCCGGTACAGCTATTCGAGCGCCTGTAGGCACTTGCCGTGTTCAATGCGCTTATTGTCAGGAAATATTTATGTTTAACACACTTAACAATCAATTGGCTATTTGTCCACATTGCAGAAAAAGGTTTAAAAAATTTTTAAATTTTCAATATTTTTTATCGACACATTTTCGAATTTTAAGAACAATATTTCTAAGGATCGGAAAATTAAAAAACCTTGATTATTGATATTGGTTGAGAACCTAGAGCAGATTCTTGACCTTGGGTCAATGTAAATCATTGTTTTTTTTTTGCGAAATCAAGCAAAATTATGCCTTGATCTTCAATTGATTTTTGATCTTCAAGGTCTGAATTCGGAACCAGGCAGATTTCTAAATATTTCCTTCTCTAAAAAAGCCCGCAAAATTAGTAAACCTCCCTATGTTAGCTTCTTCACGATTACAATTTTTGTCATTAAAAATTTTTTTTAAATTTTAGTTCCTCTGTCGGAACTCCTTTTGCCCGTTCTCGTTGTATTCTCAACTCGATTGGACTGTTTTTGGTTAGCCTATTCTTGATTGGTTTAATTGTAAGATTTCTTACTAATCTAAATTTTAAATTCATTTATTTACTAGTTAACAATTTCCAATGGACAAGATACTTTTTTTATGTGGGCCTTTTTGGTTGCTTTGTTGTCTCTTTTCTTTTTTCTGATTTATCGACTAATTTATTTTTGGCGAATTGGGATTAGCCAGGTTTTTTTGAAATTTAATAAAAACTAGAGATTGGAAAGATTTAAAAAATCTTGATTTTGGGTGTAGACCTTGCTTAGATTTTTGATATTGAGTCACGGGAAAAGTCTTGATTTTGACTAAATCCAGGAAAAATCCAAGGCCTGGATCCGATCTCTAATAAAAACAAATTTTATTAAAAGAAATGTTTTTTAAAGGTTCTCGGACCTTTATGAAGCATAGAAAGACAACTTACAATTAATGCCAATAAAGAAAAGCATGTTAGTGTGGACACATTCCTTATATAAATCTGGGTATTAAAATTAATTTTAAAAAAGAAATTTTTTTTAAATTAATTTTTAAAATCCCTCAATTATGGACAATATATATTTTGAGAAAACAATTTTAAATTTTACAAAAAAATAATTTATTTAAAATGACTTCATTCATCTACCAACACACACAATCAAAAACTCCTTATATATAAATCTCTTCCCGACCAAAAAAATTTTATTTTAAAATTTTAAAAAATACACACTTGATTTTTTCATTGTTTGCCAATTATTCTACTAAATCATCTTGATTTTTCAATTGTAAAGAAAAAAATATTTTAGCCGTAAAAAAAGATTGTTTTTATTAAATTCTAAAGTGTCTTAAAAATGTATAAAAACAAATAAAATAAATATTTTTTTGTTTTTTTGGGATTTTTTAAATTTTCAAAAAGTTTGTTTTGACATTTTTAGATACTTAAAATGATTTTACACAAATTTTAATATTTTCCTGCTAATTTTTTTTTCATTTAAAAAGAATAAATGTTTATATATTTTTTTAATTTTTATACAATTAATTGTTTTTAAAAAACAAATAAAATATTCATTTATTTAATTCTCATTTTATGTACAATTTGTAAAACTTATTTTACAAATTGTAAAACTTGAATTATTAAATATAGGCATGTTTCCGGAAATTTAAATATAAACTTGAATTATTCAAGTTTCCGGAAAGTTTATATTTACAATTTGTAAACTTATTTTACAAATTGTAAAACTTTAATTATTAAATTCAAGTTTATTTTTTATGTTTCCGGACATTTAAATATAAACTTGAATTAGGTATTCAAGTTTCCGGAAAGTTTTTAATTACAATTTGTAAAACTTGTTCAGAATTTATTAAAACTTTCCGGAAACTTGAAATTCAAGTTTAATTTCCGGAAACATATAAAATAAACTTGTATTTAATAATTCAAGTTTTACAATTTGTAAAATAAGTTTACAAATTATTTGTTTTTCTTTCCGGAAAGTTTATTTTTCTGTCAATTTATTTTTGAACTTTTTTAAAAATAAACTTGCTTCTCTAAATTTTTGCTCTTGAAAGAGAGGATAAAAAAGATGAAGCAAATAATATTTTTATTGATTGATTTAAATTGATCTTCCTCTTTCAAAGGGCAATTTTGAGAGGGGAAATTTTGAGAGATTATTTCATAATTCTTTTTAAACAAAAAAAAATTTAATAAATAATATTTTTGAAAATAAAAAAAATTTTTCCAAAAAAATTCCTTTAATTCTTAAAAAAATTTTTCTTTAATCTTTCTAATTTTTTTAATTTAGGAGTGCCAAGTGCACATTTTTAAATCAAAAATGCGTTTGAAATGGCCGAGCTCTCTTCGCATGGATCACGAAATTTTAATTGGCGCTGGTTATTCTGCTCAACGTTTGAAAATGTATCCGTATTTTGATGCTGCCCATTATATTTTGGTTGGTTTGTTAATTTTTTTAATAGAAGATGGCAAATAATTTGGGGAGGTAGGAAGATATTCACGGACCTTTGAAAATTTTTTAAAATTTTTATGTCTTCGAATCACCTCCCCTGCGGGCTTCTCTCCCTCCCTTTATTTTTACGTTTCTTTTCAGATGGTTTTGGCTGTCCGTAATGATCTCGGTCCCAATTGTACAGCATTTTCGCGTCGTCATCCTCTCAGTTGTTGGCTTTCTTCAATGGTTGTTTGTTTTGCTGGATCATTTTTAGCCAATTTTTTGTTGGGAGAGCCAGTCATTGCTGTATTTAAAAAACAAGAGGATATTTTATTGGTTTTTATTTTTTAATTTTTAAAATTTTATTTTTTAGGCAACCTTAATTTGGTATTTGGTCTTCTATTCACCTTTTGACCTTGTATACAAACTTGCTAAATTTATGCCTATAAAAATTATTTTGAGTATAATGAAGGAATGTCAACGTGTTTATAAGGTTAGTTTTTGAAAAAAATTTTAATAATTGGGTAGTTTTTTAATTATTTCGTTAACGTTTGTGAACCTTTTGTCCGCGACTTTATAATATTTCTTTCCCTCGGGATTAATGGATTTTATACCTCCAGGAAAAGACACTTCTCCCAGTGCTGAGGATGGCTCCGGGATCTAGTTTATGTAATTCCTTCTAAGATTGAGGCTTATTGAAACCATCCCCCCATCCAAGATTTGAAAAAGGTCAGAACCGCAGCCTTAAAATGCCCAATATTCAGTACTGATTTTTCTTTTTTTTGTTTTAATTATCGATTTTATGTGAGAATTGTAAATACTTTTTATTTGGAAATATAAAAGTTGTTGTCTCTTTTTTGGCACAATTGACAAATAAAATTTTCTTTCATAATTTACTTTTTACTTTTTTTAGATAAATCATGGTGTCCTTTATGCAATAAAACTCTATCCAAATGCTCATTTAATACATATTCTTATTGGAACGGCAAAGGGTGCGGGCTCTGGAATTATTCGAATATTTGAACAAGTTTTTTAGAATCTTTAAAAAAATTTTAATTATTTCTCAGTTAATTCGAGGAGTTTGGGCCCCAACACACAGTGAAATACTTCGACCAACCTTCACTACAAAGGCTTGTGTAATTGCTTCTGTTCTGTTGACATTTGAGAAGAGTGGAATTTTTATTAGTTTGCCACATGAAATAAGTTACTTGGTAAGGAAAAATTTTTTTTTAATTTTTAAAAATTTTTTGAAATTTTTTTAACAAAATTTTAAGGTCAAAAAAATAAAATAAAATTTTTTTTTCTTAGGGTCTTTTACTTTTCTTTGTCTATTTCAAACTTAGCGCTCTTCTGTTAAATGTGGCTGATCCTTTACTGCCTTTTGAAAATTTATTTTGTGCAGTTTTTATGGGTGGAATTTGGGATGCTTTGACTAGGTTTTTATAAAAAAATTTTTAAAAATTATTTTTTAATTTTTAAAGAGCTGTAGTAGCTTCCCAAGAAAGGAGAAATGTTGGGGGAGTAAATAAATTGGAATCTAATGGAACTTCTACAACAACAACAACAGCAATACCTAATGCAACAACTACAACACAGCCAGCCTCGCCGCAAGTTGAAAATAATATTAAAAAAGATCAGTAGAATAGGGGAAATTAGTGGGTGAAAATACAAAGAAAGAAAAAAGCATTTAAGAAAAAATAAAAAATTTATTCTAGTCATAAAATGATTTTTTAAAAAAGCAATAGTATCTCTATCTCATTTTTACTCCCAGAAATTGCTCATTTTTTAAGAATTATTTTGTATAAAAATTTTTTAAAACTGAATTTGGATTGATTACCTACTAGAGATTGGAATTTTTGAAAAGCCTGGGCCTGTTCCTAGGTTCTAGGAAAAACTCAGGCCCATGAAAAACCCAGGAAGGTCAAAAAAATGCCTGGGCCTGAATTCTGGGTACAGGAAGAACCCAGGCCTTGATCCAGATCCAGGCCGATCTCTATTACCTACTTGATAAAAATGAATAATAAATTTGTTTTTTTAATATGTATTAAGAAAAAAAAATTTTTCTTCAACAATTAGAAAAAATAAGCATGGGAAACAGGGATGTCAATCAGAAAAAAAATTAGGAATTAACTTTTAAGTACATTTTTTTGGATATTAATTTTATTTAAGGTTTATTCACATGTTTACTATTGTTATTTTCTCTAATTTTTTTATCCATTTTAGTCCAAAATTGTTTTTTTCCTTCTAAACAAAGAAAAATTATTTAAAGCTTTAAATAAAAAATATGAAAATCTTTTATTTATCAATTTTCCCTCTTTTTTGTTTATCACCCACCTTTTCCCCTTTTTTCCCGCTAATATTTTTAAAATATTTAAACAGCCCTTTTTTTATTTAAAAAGGGTGGGTATTTCTTTTTTTTTAATTTTTAAAATTAAATATAAAATAGAAGGTTTGGGTTTTATATAGTAAATGTTTGGATAGCGAGATTAATCAATTTTTAAGTTTATCTTCGATTTTTAAATTTTTTTAATAGAAAAAAAATTTTTTTTTTAATTTTAAAATTTTTTTGAGATTTTTTAAAGAAAATTTGGTTCCGGAATTAATTTATATATTTTTTGTTTTTACTTTTGTTTTATTTATCTAAACAAAAGGGTGTTAGACACACATAAATAAAGCAATTACAAATTACAAATGTGTATCTACTACCAGGTGGGATGGGGTAAATTAAATAGGTACATATTTAAATAAACTTTCCGGAAACTCGAACTTTCCGGAAACTTGATCTTCCGGAATTGTAATTCCTGTCTTTTCTTGTACAAATTTATTACAACTTTCAGAATTACAATTTGTTTTTAACTTTTCCGGAATTGTAATTTGAATATATTTTTTTGTAGTTTCTTTGTAGTTTGTTTTTGTTTTGCATTTTTTTTACAATTAAAAAATAGAAAAAAATATTTTCCAAAAATAAAATTTAAATACTAAACTTATCTAAAATATACCTAAGTAAGAGTATTCTATTTTTAAAAAATATTAAAAGCTAATCAAATAAGCTAGTCCATAATTTGGCAAAAAAAAATTTTTTTCTTAATTTAATTTTTTATTTAATAAAATTAAAAGATTTACATTTAGTAGATTAATTTCGCTTAGTTTACAAGTTCCCAAAAATAAATAAATATTTTCTTTTTTAAGTAATTAAAATTTTTTTATTAAAAAAATTTTTTTAAATTTATTTTTTTATTAAATTATTATTAAATTAAATTAATTAATTTAAATAATGGTTAATGGATTTATTCATAAAAGTGAGGGAGGAATTTTAATTCTACCTCAAAAAAGATTTACTTTAAATAATTATTTATGGTTTGTCTTTCTTAAAAAATTTTTTAAAATTAATTTTCTTAAAAGGAATCCTCGTTCTTGTTTTTTCCGTATATTATTTACTTCAATTATTTGTTTTATTTTTATTAAATTATTATTTTATCAATTTAAAGAACCTTTATTCGTTTTTAAAACTAACAAAACAATTATTCCCTCAAAAAATAAATTTTTAAATTTTACAATAAAATTCTCAAATGTTCAAAAAGATTATTTGATGGAAGAACCTTTTATTGAACCTTGTGAAGGAAAACAAATAAAATTATTAGTGTTAATTATGAGTAGAAGAGAAACTTTTTATAAAAGAATGGGAATTAGAAAAAGTTGGGCTAAAGATGCGGTGAATTTTTATTTAAATAAACTTTCCGGAAATTTGATATAAATAGAAAATAGAAATATATATGTATTAAAATAAACTTGAAATATAAACTTTCCGGAAAATATACAAATAAAAGTAAAATCAAGTATAAAATAAACTTTCCGGAAACTTGCATATATTATTTAATATATTTAAAATAAACTTGGAATTAAAACTTTCCGGAAAACTAACATAAGAATAGAATAAAATAAACTTTCCGGAAACGCATAAGACTAAACTTGAATTAACTTCAAGCTTGAACTTGAATTTTATAAACTTAAGCATGAAGGAATAATTATTCGCTATGTTATTGGTGGGCCAAAATTAAAAGAAGAAAACAGTACATTATTAGAAAATAAATTACAAGGAGAACAAAAAAATTTTGGAGATTTAATTCGTTATAGTATTGAAGATGGCTATAATAATTTACATTTTAAAGTTTTTTTTCTAAAATAATTTTTTAATTCAAAATTTAATTTAAAGATGGGTGCAGCCTATCAATGGCAACAAAAATTTTGTTCAAATGCTGAATTTGTTATGAAAACAGATGACGATACAATCGTTGATTTACCTAGATTAGAATTTTGGATTGAGAAAAAATTTAATAACGACATTGCTCAAATACCAAATAAAGCTGCTTTCTTTGGAATGAGATTGGAAAATTTACCACCAATTAGAAATCCAGGCCATAAATGGTCTTTTTTCTTCAAAAATAATTTTTTTAATTTTATTTAAAGGTATGTTTCTTTTGAGCATTTTCCTGGTAAAACATTCCCCAATTATATGCAAGGGGCTAGCTATCTTGGAAACGGAAAGGCAATTAAATTAATTATGCAACACACAAAAGAGGCTATTGGATTTAATATGGATGATATTTTATTTACTGGAACTTTGGCTGAAATTGCTAATGTTTCTAGAATTGATTATGCCTGGACTCATTTTAGAGGCGGAAATAATGTGAGTTTTCCGGAGATATAATTAATTACAAATATGTATAGTTAAAAATTACAATTTATACTTTTCAGGAATTTAATTTATTTTAATAACATACACATTGTACTTTTTCCCCATAGTTACAATTTGTACTTTTCCGGAATGTATTTTCCCTAAATTACAATTTGTAATTTTTTCCGGAATGTATTTTCCCTAAATTACAATTTGTAATTTTTTCCGGAATGTATTTTCCCTAAATTACAATTTGTAATTTTTTCCGGAATGTATTTTCCCTAAATTACAATTTGTAATTTTTTCCGGAATGTATTTTCCCTAAATTACAATTTGTAATTTTTTCCGGAATGTATTTTCCCTAAATTACAATTTGTAATTTTTTCCGGAATGTATTTTCCCTAAATTACAATTTGTAATTTTTTCCGGAATGTATTTTCCCTAAATTACAATTTGTAATTTTTTCCGGAATGTATTTTCCCTAAATTACAATTTGTAATTTTTTCCGGAATGTATTTTCCCTAAATTACAATTTGTAATTTTTTCCGGAATGTATTTTCCCTAAATTACAATTTGTAATTTTTTCCGGAATGTATTTTCCCTAAATTACAATTTGTAATTTTTTCCGGAATGTATTTTCCCTAAATTACAATTTGTAATTTTTTCCGGAATGTATTTTCCCTAAATTACAATTTGTAATTTTTTCCGGAATGTATTTTCCCTAAATTACAATTTGTAATTTTTTCCGGAATGTATTTTCCCTAAATTACAATTTGTAATTTTTTCCGGAATGTATTTTCCCTAAATTACAATTTGTAATTTTTTCCGGAATGTATTTTCCCTAAATTACAATTTGTAATTTTTTCCGGAATGTATTTTCCCTAAATTACAATTTGTAATTTTTTCCGGAATGTATTTTCCCTAAATTACAATTTGTAATTTTTTCCGGAATGTATTTTCCCTAAATTACAATTTGTAATTTTTTCCGGAATGTATTTTCCCTAAATTACAATTTGTAATTTTTTCCGGAATGTATTTTCCCTAAATTACAATTTGTAATTTTTTCCGGAATGTATTTTCCCTAAATTACAATTTGTAATTTTTTCCGGAATGTATTTTCCCTAAATTACAATTTGTAATTTTTTCCGGAATGTATTTTCCCTAAATTACAATTTGTAATTTTTTCCGGAATGTATTTTCCCTAAATTACAATTTGTAATTTTTTCCGGAATGTATTTTCCCTAAATTACAATTTGTAATTTTTTCCGGAATGTATTTTCCCTAAATTACAATTTGTAATTTTTTCCGGAATGTATTTTCCCTAAATTACAATTTGTAATTTTTTCCGGAATGTATTTTCCCTAAATTACAATTTGTAATTTTTTCCGGAATGTATTTTCCCTAAATTACAATTTGTAATTTTTTCCGGAATGTATTTTCCCTAAATTACAATTTGTAATTTTTTCCGGAATGTATTTTCCCTAAATTACAATTTGTAATTTTTTCCGGAATGTATTTTCCCTAAATTACAATTTGTAATTTTTTCCGGAATGTATTTTCCCTAAATTACAATTTGTAATTTTTTCCGGAATGTATTTTCCCTAAATTACAATTTGTAATTTTTTCCGGAATGTATTTTCCCTAAATTACAATTTGTAATTTTTTCCGGAATGTATTTTCCCTAAATTACAATTTGTAATTTTTTCCGGAATGTATTTTCCCTAAATTACAATTTGTAATTTTTTCCGGAATGTATTTTCCCTAAATTACAATTTGTAATTTTTCCGGAATGTATTTTCCCTAAATTACAATTTGTATTTTTTCCGGAATGTATTTTCCCTTAATTACAATTTGTACTTTTTTTCCGGAATGTATTTTCCCTTAATTACAATTTGTACTTCTTTTTAAATTCTTTTTAATTAAATCATTTTTAAGTTAATTGATGACGAACATTGTGAAGGTGGAATTCCAACAGTACTTACTTATTTTAAACAATTTCAAAAAAAAGAAGAATATATTGAATCTTATAAAGAAATGCATTCATTGTCTTGCAGTTAAATTACAATATGTATTTATTTCTATTTTTCAAAAAAACTTTATTTTAAATAACTCAAAAAATATTTTTATTATTTTCATCATTTTTAACTAAAAGGCATTCTCAATTTTAAAGTGATTTTTAGTTTTTTAAAAAAATACATAAAAATCATTTAAAAAATTTTATTTTTTGATTATCTTATGCTTTTTATGTATTTTATATCTTTATTATTTTTAAAGTTTACCTACCCAAAACGTGTCAAATAAATTTTCTTATTTTTTTCTTGTCATTTCTATTATTTAAAAAAATATTTTTTATGCAAATCCTGAACAACTTTATTATTAAATTTAAAAAAATGATATATTTAAAATATCCCTAAAATAATAAAAACACTGAAGAAATATTTTTTTAAATAAATTTTATTTTTAAAAAATATTTTCGAATATGGGTAAAAAAAGAATTGCACTAATACACTTTCCATGGTTTGTTCTAATTACTTATCACAATGATTATTTTTCAGTAATCTTCTGTTCCGTCTATTCCGTATTTTGCTAATTTTGTCAGTTTTTCTAATTTTTCTGAGGATAATAATTAAAGAATTTAAATATCCTTTATTTTCAATAAATTCAAATAAATTAATTAATTTTACAATAACTTTTTCAAATGTTCAAAAAGATTATTTGATGGAAGAACCTTTTATTGAACCTTGTACAGGAAAACAAATAAAATTATTAGTGTTAATTATGAGTAGAAGAGAAACTTTTTACAAAAGAATGGGAATTAGAAAAAGTTGGGCAAAAGATAAGGTACATTAAAAATTAAACTTGAAATATATAAAACTTTCCGGAAACGTAATATAAATATAAAAGCTAGTATAAATTTGTAATAATAAACTATCCGGAAACTTGCATATATTAATATATTTAAAATAAACTTGGAATTAAAACCTTCCAGAAAACTAATATAAGAATAGAATAAAATAAACTTTCCGGAAACTTGCATATATTAATAAATTTAAAATAAACTTGGAATTAAAACTTTCCGGAAAACTAACATAAGAATAGAATAAAATAAACTTTCCGGAAACGCATAAGACTAAACTTGAATTAACTTCAAGCTTGAACTTGAATTTTATAAACTTAAGCATGAAGGAATAATTATTCGCTTTGTTATTGGTGGGCCAAAATTAAAAGAAGAAAACAGTACATTATTAGAAAATAAATTACAAGGAGAACAAAAAGTTTATGGAGATTTAATTCGTTATAGTATTGAGGATGGCTATAATAATTTACATTTTAAAGTTTTTTTTCTAAAATAATAATTTATTAATTTTAATTCAAAGATGGGCGCAGCCTATCAATGGCAACAAAAATTTTGTTCGAATGCAGAATTTGTTATGAAAACAGATGACGATACAATTGTTGATTTACCTAGATTGGAATTTTGGATTGACAAGAAAGCTAGGAAAGATTCGGAAAAAGGCCCAGCATTTTTTGGGGTTGTTTATGGAAAATCAAAGCCAATAAGGGACCCAAGAAATAAGTGGTAGATAATTAAACTTGTTATGAATTAAAAACTTTCCGGAAGTAAAATATAATACTTTCCGGAAACTTTATATAAAAATGCTTCTTAAAATATTTTTAAAAATAATTTTTTATTTAAAGGTATGTTCCTTATGAGCATTTTCCCGGTAATCTATTTCCTCGTTACATGCAAGGAGCTAGCTATTTTGGAAATGGAAAAGCAATTAAATTAATTATGCAACACACAAAAGAAGCTATTGGATTTAATATGGATGATATTTTATTTACTGGAACTTTGGCTGAAATTGCTAATGTTTCTAGAATTGATTATTCTGTACATTTTAGGGGGCAATTTAATGTAATATAATTATACCTATTAATTTTTAAATTTAAAAAATTAATTAAATGGGAATTTACCCATATGTTAGAAGCGAAAATGTAAAGCATATAAAACTTTCCGGAAAGGCAATATAAACAACTTTCCGGAAAGACAATATAAACAACTTTCCGGAAAGACAATATAAACAACTTTCCGGAAAGGGAATATAAACAACTTTCCGGAAACCCAATGTAAAGCATATAAAACTTTATTATCTACTACATATAATAAACTTTCCGGAAATTTAATATAAAATCAAACTTGATATAGACTAAGAAATTTCCGAAAACTTAAAGTATTTATAAGATTAAACTTAAAAAAATATTAAACTTATAAGATTGAACTTGTCCGTAGTGGGCGGCTGGTCTAGATTTCTCAGAAGTTTTTATTTTAAAATGGTGTATCTGACCGATAATCTTCGGAATTTCTACTAATAATTTAAAAATATAAATTTATTTTAATTTTTGAATTTTTCCAGCTACAAAAGACAGAAAAATGTGAAGAAGGGCACCCATTAGTTTTTTCATTTTTTAGATCATTTAAATCTTTAGAAGAATATATTAAAGCTTATAAAACCTTACACGATATAAAATGTATTAAGAAGAAAAATTAATTTTCTATGCTAGATTAAAAATTTTTTTATATTTTTTAGTATTATTTTAGGTTATTTTTAAAAATTATTTTTGTTTATAATTTATCATCTACTTTTTTAAAAATTTTTTATCAAACATTTTCTACATTTTCTTTAACATATCAATAAATACCGATTAAATAAACGTGTCAATTTAATATAAAAAATAATTACTAATTTTAGCCAACAATGAAAACACCCCCCCCCCCCCCCCAAAATTTATTTCCCCTATCTTTTTAAATTTATTATTTTCTTATTTTTATGTAAAATAAAAATCAAAAATAAGGATAAAAATTAAAATAATTTCCAAATGCTTAAAAATCTAATGGAAAGTAATTCTTTATTAATTACTCGATCATCTACTTGTATTAAACGGAAATTTTCATGGTTTGTTAAAAACACTTTTTTATTAAACTTTCCGGAAAAATGTATAGACACCCTCACAGAATTTGTGAAAGAAATACTAGAGAATATATAAACTTTCCGGAAGTCTAATATAAATATTAGAGAATATATAAACTTTCCGGAAGTCTAATATAAATATTAGAGAATATATAAACTTTCCGGAAGTCTAATATAAAAATTAAAAATAAACTTGAAATTAGAAAAAAAATTTAAAGGAATCTTCTCTTTTGGATATTTCGAATATTACTTCTCGCAACACTATGTTTTGGTTCTATATGGCTTTTTATAAAATTTAAACATGTATTACCCACCCTAACCAATTTACAAAATATTGTTGTTAATAAAAGTCAAGAAAAAAGTCAAGAAATTTTAGTTGATTTTACTTTGGCTTTTTACAATACTCGGAAACATTATAAAATGGAAAAGCCAAAAATAGATGCCTGTAAAGGAAAAAAAATAAAAATATTAGTGTTGGTTATGAGTAGAAGAGAATTACTACAAAGACGCATGGGGATTAGATATAGTTATGCTAAAGATGCGGTAAATTAAATTATTAAAATTGACTTGAAATAATTTTCCGGAAACATAAAAACTTTAAAGAAATATAATATACCTAAATAACTTTACGGAAAATCTAATAATATAAAGCTTATAAAACTTTCCGGAAAGGCAATATAAACAACTTTCCGGAAAGGCAATATAAAGCATATAATTTATTATCTACTATAATAAACTTTCCGGAAATTTAATATAAAATAAAACTTGATATAGACTTAAGAAATTTCCGGAAACTTAGAATAAACATAAGATTGAACTTAAAATATTTATAAACATAAGATTAAACTTAAAATGTTCATAAACATAAGATTGAACTTAAAATGTTCATAAACATAAGATTGAACTTAAAATGTTCATAAACATAAGATTGAACTTAAAATGTTCATAAACATAAGATTGAACTTAAAATGTTCATAAACATAAGATTGAACTTAAAAATAAACAATTTTAAGGGGAAAAATATGTTAGTTCGGTTTGTAGTTGGTGGGCCCGTAAAGGATGAGGAACATAGTGAAAAATTGGAAAAAATACTAATTAAAGAACAAGAACAATATGGGGATTTAGTTCGTTACTTTAATTTACCTGAAGGCTATGATCAATTACAATTTAAAGTTTTTTAGAAATTATTTTTAAAAAAATTAATTAAATTATTAGACTGGTGCATCTTTTCAATGGCAACAGAAATTTTGCCCTAATGCAGAATTTGTAATGAAAATTGACGATGATTCAATTATAGATTTGAACAGATTGGATTTTTGGATTGAGAAAAAATTTAAAAAGCAATTAAAAGAAGCCAAAACGAAGTTGGGTGTTTTTGGTTACAGCATTATTAATACTCAGCCCGTAAGGGATGAGAAAGATAAATGGTTTGTATTATTAGAGTTATGTAAAAAATATTTTCAGGTTTCTTTCTAAGAAAGTATTTCCACAAAAAGATTTGCCGCACTATATGCACGGATCTGGATATATTGTAACCGGTAAAGCAATAACTGCTATAATGAAGGAGACAATAGCGGCATATGCTATTCATATTGAAGATCTTCTTTGGAATGGAATTTTGGCTGAAAGAGGAAATGTTGCTCGTTTTGAAGGGGGAAATGATCATTTTCTTGAGGGAACTGTAATTTTTAAAAAAAATTTTATTTCAAAAAATTTTTTTATTTTAGTTAGAAGAAAAGGAAAAATGTGAAGATGGACAACCTATAATTTTTTGTTTATATCAAGTGGCTCTCTCAAGTATTAAAGCATATAAAGAAGAATATAAAAAATTACATGAGATAAAATGTCTAGAATAAAATGAATATTTAATTTTTATTTTTAAATTATGTTCTGTTTAAAATTAAGATTTTTAAAATAATTTTGACAAACACTCGGTAAAACACGATTTTTGTTTCTTTCAGAGATGTCACGTGTTGAGGGAAAAGCCGGATTAGGTACTATACCCTACTCGAAATTCTTGCCAACCCGAAGCCCGTAACCCGAAATGAAGACGGTCTAACCCGAACTTATTATAATAAATTACAATAATTATACTTTTTTCCGGAATGTATTTTACCGAAATTACAATTTGTACTTTTTTCCGGAATGTATTTTCCCTAAATTACAATTTGTAATTTTTTCCGGAATGTATTTTCCCTAAATTACAATTTGTAATTTTTTCCGGAATGTATTTTCCCTAAATTACAATTTGTAATTTTTTCCGGAATGTATTTTCCCTAAATTACAATTTGTAATTTTTTCCGGAATGTATTTTCCCTAAATTACAATTTGTAATTTTTTCCGGAATGTATTTTCCCTAAATTACAATTTGTAATTTTTTCCGGAATGTATTTTCCCTAAATTACAATTTGTAATTTTTCCGGAATGTATTTTCCCTAAATTACAATTTGTACTTTTTTCCGGAATGTATTTTCCCATAATTACAATTTGTATTTTTCCGAAATTTGTTTTCGCGAAATTACAAAACATTACACGATATAAAATGTATTAAGAAGAAAAATTAATTTTCTAAATTAGATTAAAAATTTTTTTATTTTTTTAATATTATTTTAGCAACAAAAACCGAGCAACAACATAACAACAAATACCGATTAAATAAACGTGTCATTTAATATAAAAAATAAATTTTATTAATTTTAGCCAACAATGAAAACCCCCCAAAATTTATTTCCCCCATCTTTTTAAATTTATTATTTTCTTATTTTATTTAAAATAAAAATTAAAATAATTTCCAAATGCTTAAATATCTAATGGAAAGTAATTCTTTATTAATTACTCGATCATCTACTTGTATTTCTCGGAAATGGGTTGCTTTTAAACGGAAATTTTCATGGTTTGTTAAGCACTGTTTTTATTAAACTTTCCGGAAGTCTAATATAAATATTAAAGAATATATAAACTTTCCGGAAGTCTAATATAAATATTAGAGAATATATAAACTTTCCGGAATATTAAAGAATATACATATAAAACTTTCCGGAAGTCTAATATAAATATTAGAGAATATATAAACTTTCCGGAAGTCTAATATAAAAATTAGAGAATATATAAACTTTCCGGAAGTCTAATATAAATATTAGAGAATATATAAACTTTCCGGAAGTCTAATATAAAAATTAAAATCTACTATAAAATAGACTTGAAATTAGAAAAAAATTAAAGGAATCTTCTCTCTTGGATATTTCGAATATTACTTCTCGCAACACTATGTTTTGGTTCTATATGGCTTTTTATAAAATTTAAACATGTATTACCTACCCTAACCAATTTACAAAATATTGTTACTAATAAAAGTCAAGAAAAAAGTCAAGAAATTTTAGTTGATTTTACATTGGCTTTTTACAATACTCGAAAACATTATAAAATGGAAAAGCCAAAAATAGATGCCTGTAAAGGAAAAAAAATAAAAATATTAGTGTTGGTTATGAGTAGAAGAGAATTACTACAAAGACGAATGGGGATAAGATATAGTTATGCTAAAGATGCGGTAAATTAAATTATTAAAATTGACTTGAAATAATTTTCCGGAAACATAAAAACTTTAAAGAAATATAATATAAATTACTTTACGGAAAATCTAATAATATAAAGCTTATAAAACTTTCCGGAAAGATAATATAAACAACTCTCCGGAAAGGCAATATAAACAACTTTCCGGAAACCCAATGTAAAGCATATTGCTGTATCCCTCCTAATCAAATAAACAAACTAAAAATAAATGTTGCATTCACATGCATTCACAGGCACATATATTTTGACCTCTTTCTATATTAAAAGGAATCCCGACCGTTATCAGAGTCTATCACAATTCCCGACCCTTATCTTAATATTTGTTATTCACTTGTTTTCGCCAATCTCGACTTATTAATGTCCCCTATAAATACTCATCCAAAATGGTCATTCAAATCTAATTAGAAGTGTTTTTATCAGGTCTGGCCAGACTCTTGTAATTGTCCCCTTTTCCCTCCCTTATGTATATATTTTAATTTGTAAATAGTTAGATGTAAATAAAGTTATTTAAAGAGTAGAATTTGTATAATCCTCGAAAGGCTTCGGAACCCAAACCCAACATTTGGTGCCACTTGTCCCGGGCAAGCCTTGTCGAGAGAAATGCGCATGAAATTAAAGCATAAAAAACGGAATTCCAGAAAAGTCGTAAATTAAATAATTAAATGTGCTGAAAGTAGAATAAAGAGATTAACAAATCCTCAAAAAATTGAGAGCTCGAGCTTAAACTCCTTAAATGATCTAAAATAAGAATTTTGCAAAAAGAGGTTAAATGAAGACAAAATTAGAACAAATTAGAATCGAAAGTTAAAAGTCGAAGAAAATAAAATTAAAATATTGAGCTAGAAGAATGTCATGAAATTTTTTTGTTTGGTTAAAAAGTGTTCTAAAGTTTAAAGTTTTAAAAAGTAGAAAAGATATGCTAACCGTTAGTTTTAAATCAAAATCAGAGAAACAAAGTAGCGCCGCGGTATTGAAAAATGCTCTTTGCTACCTCTTGATTATCTCTTTGCACATGTGAATAAAAGTTGTAGTACTGAAGGCAGGTGAAGCTAGGTGCACACTCTGTCGGCTAGGTGCCAGGTACTTAATATAATAATGAAAATCTGTACAGTAATAATAATAAATCAAGGCGGGTGCAGCTAGGTGCACACTCCGTCGGCTAGGTGCCTTGAGAAGGATATTAAGCGGGTAAAGCTGGGTGCATACGCCGCAGGCTTAAAAGCCAGATACTCCTTGAGATTTAAATATCTCGAAATTTTTTTTCAGTGAATATTTTGTATATGAAGATTTAAAACAACGGCAAGGTACAAAATTGAAGATAAATTTTTTTGATAATTTCTGAATGAAATGGAAAATTTGTAGAAGAGATTGAACGAAATGGAAAATGTAGAAAATACCATAGCTTAGGCTTCAAAATTGGTATCCAACGAAATTAAAGTGCAAAATTTCGTTGAGAAAGGAGAAAATTATTATATAATCAACAAAAGTAATCATGTAATGTTAGTTACCTATGAATAAGATATTAAAATATGAATTAAATTAAAAACTTGTTAGAAAGAAAAGTAAATAATAGTTCAGAAAGAACAATTTAATTCATTAGTTCAAAAAAAAAACAGAAGCTATATTAAATAAATTGAGATAAAACGCTAAAATAAAAAATAACCTAAATTTGTCGAACATTTCTTAACAACATAAGAAATCTGGTCAGACCCACTTAAAATAGTAAGCGAGAATCAAATTTTAACCGTCAAATACACATTAAAAACTTAAACTGACGAGAATTGTAAAACAATTAGTATAACTTATGGAATAGTAAAACTTTCCGCTCTAAATAATTGACATTGCTAGGCTAAATTTGTGTTGAAAAAAAAAATATTTATTAGATAAAAGTAAAGGTTTAAATATTTATATGGAGGAAAAACAACAAACATTTAGAAATAGATTGTGGAAAATGACACAAATTTCAGAAAATTATGTTCAATTAAATATTTTTAGTTCAGAGGAAGAAAAATGGATATCCAGAGAATTTAAATGTTAAATTAATTTACAAATCGGTGGTTAGTTTACTTAAAATTAAATTTGAAGCTATCACTGATATTTTAACTCCTCTAAAATTAGTACAACATAATTATTTTAATTCGGCTGGAAGTGGGGATATAAATCAACCAGATTTACAAGTCTATACTGCTGGAAAACTTAATTTGCCATAAAAAATAAAAGGATTAAATAATCAAGATACCCTCCACTTGGAGGAATTTGTTTAGAAGATAGACAATTTCCAGATGCTGTTAATCATCCAAAAGTTTTTCCATCCATAATCATTTCACCAACAAATCTTACACTCGATTGAAAAAAAATGCGGAAACTTAAGCATATAGATAAACTTAAAATAAAGTAAAATACCCCTATAAAGAGAAATGGCAATAAAATTTTTTGAGATGTGAGAGAAAATGATATACTGATTAGAATCCAATTACAATACCATTAATACCGAGAATTCGCATAAAACTCCGGTCATGAAAAAAAAAATTATTTTTCTCAACTAATAACTTAAGCAAGCGTAAAATTTGAGCCCTCAGACAAAAAACACCAAACTGCGAATATTAGTTATATTAAACAGAACTAAATAAAATTTAGAAGAAAGCCAAAAATAAAAATAATTTAACAAATCCAATAGTTTCTAGTTTTCTCAAGTGAAAATAAATTTAGAATAGACTTTGGAGTTCATTTTTAAACAATTGGAAGAAAGTCTTTAAAATTAAAAAAGGAGGTTTCGGAAAAAACTGCATTAAAAAAGCCTCTCCAATCTCCAAATTTTTGAGTAGAACTGAAAAAAATCACTAGACATGCTTTGATCACTATTATACAGGAAATGGATTTATTATAAGGAAGCAGAATGTAGAGAATTTATGTGAATCTGTAGACAATTAAAAGAAAAACAATTTCATTATAGGGGCGAACACAGAAAAAATATATTTGGACTTTTAATTAAATAATTCTCTTGATCCGATTATAATTCTCTTGATCCGATTATCACCCAACTGTTAGTATTGGGAATTCAGAAAAATATAAAAAGGTCATTGAAAAATAAGAGATAAGTGATCAAATTTTAACCGCAGATACATATTAAAATAAGTAACTTACCTTAAAGTATGCCATTGTTACAACTGTTAAAATACATAGAGCAGATGATAAACATATTTTAAAAGAATGTAAAAATACTCATAAAGAAAAGAGATGGAAACTAAATAAGATACATCCGAAGTAAGGATTTAAATAAAAAATGCCATGTGAGAGAATTGTCAATCAAGGCGAAATGACAATGTAGAAGATAATCAGTTCAGAAAATGATCCTCATTAAAAATATTAATCCTCAAACGAGAGTAGAGTTGAAAGTCATGCAAACCCACTAATTTAAAAAAAAAGGATGCTTAAACGATTTTAAAATATATATAAAATTAGGCTGTCAGATAAAATTCGGGCTCATTCAAAGACAGGCTAAATTAAAATTATAAAGAAGAAATTTTTCTATCACGAAATCAAATGATTTAACCGAGATGTTAAAACATAGCCCTGGACATAACAAATATTGGATTCCGGTTACTAGTTGCCTTTATCAATTTAAAAAAAAAAATATTAGGCAGCATTGAATAAACATTAAAAAAAATACAGAGATCGGAATAATTTAAAACAAAAACCCTCAGGTTCTTAATTGGAACTATAGAAGTAACTTTAAAAATAATTATTTCGTTGTTCAATAAAAAATACTTTGATGTAAAACCAAATCGCCGCACCTGCGAGCTTAAAAAAAATTCAACAAGCCTCGTTAATCAAATTTTAAAAGAGAATGGATATTAATCAGCAAATTAAATATTATTTTAAGTTATAACTGGTTCAGCCTAAAAGCTCACAAGGAGACTAAATAATTCCGAGTATTTTTCTTTCGAAAATTTATATGTAATTTTGCAGAGATACACAGTTCCCCGTATATCTTATAACAGGAGCTTCAAATATTGCTTAATCAGAATCTCTATGCAGAGTTGAGTAGTAACGCATTGACCAGTGCAAAAATAGAGACAACAAATATCTAGTGAAAAAATCCTAGATACATAAAGTAATCATTCAAATTGAAACTCTGAAAGACAGTAACATAACTCTTAAATCAAAAAATAATAAAGAAATTTGAATTACTTGCGAGAAAATAAAAAATTAAAAATTCGTGCAGATCTATAAGAGGCCTAATTAAAAAAATCGGAAAAAAGAAATTTTAAGTTAGCGGCGGACACATCGGACACATTTAAAAATATATTCTGGCTTTTCAATAAAAATAAATAATTGAGAGTTACACATCCAAAAACCCCGTTTTGTCATCCAACTGGTATCGTGAATTCAGTAAAATATTATGTACAAAAAAGTCATTGAATAAAAGGGATAAAAGATACAATGAGATATTTCTAACGGGTCATCATATGTCTAGTAAATAAATAATACACAACTGGATATGCTAAGACACCGGCAAGGATAAATAACCATAAGTATCATCAACTGTACTATCAACTATGCTCACGCCGAGAAAAACACTAATTTCTTTACATAGTGAACTAGTTTGGGTCAGGAGTTTTTAGATAGCCGTCGATCATCAACTTGAGCCGGACTCAAAGCTGCACGAAGAGTAAAATAAAAAGAGTAATCCCTAAAAAATAGCAAAAGCCCATTCTAAAAAAAAAACAAGGACTTGACTAAAAAAAAAAAAAAATTTTTTTTTAATAATGGAGAGGGAAGTACAAAACCGGGAACTAAAAAACCGAGAAACAAAAGCCGAGAAAAACTAGCAGAGAAAAATCCCCCACTTAAAATTGGGAGAATCGACAGAATCATCAGAAGGATACAACTTCCAGCAACGATAACAACACAATCTCCTGCAGTAAAATCAACTCACAAAACTGGAGTATCAGCTGAAGATTGGTCATCTATATATCAACAAAAAATTTGTTCTGCAACTTGAAAGACCCCACTAAATTGCTGCTTTTTGAATGAATTTAAATAAAATCGTTTAATTTATTTATGCTAATTATCCCAACTTTCCCTCACCTTGTTTTCAGTTTATTTTCCCAAAAATTTCTGTACCTATGTAAAATATCCCCTAAATAATCATTAGTTCTGTAATGTAATATTTCTTTCCTCATCAGTGTTTACTTAATTCGTCGGAGAACATGGAGGTAAAAGAAGTAAAACAAAAACACATTAGAAAGAGAATTAAAGCCTTTATAATAATTACTTAAATGTAGTAAAAATAAATCCGCTGCCGTCATAAAGACGAGAAACAATACTAAATTTAAAATATAATACAAAAAAAAATATTAAAATTTTAACGATAAAGCTCGGTCAGAAAAAATATAAAATTAAAAAAAAAAGTCAGGAAATATTTTTTAAAAAACCGTCGTTCATAATTGTACTATGAGAAAATAAAAATAATGCTTAGAGAATTAAAATTAAAAAAATATATATTTTAAAATAATCCTAAATTACCCTTATTAAAGGAAAATTAATGTGCCACCCGTTTAATCGGAGAAAAGTTAGTTTAAAGAAAAGCAGTTAATTAAAAAGGCAGCCTTAGCAAATTTCCCGAAAAGTAGAACGTGGACGTTCTTTTCGAAGGGGGAAGGAATGCTGTATCCCTCCTAATCAAATAAACAAACTAAAAATAAATGTTGCATTCACATGCATTCACAGGCACATATATTTTGACCTCTTTCTATATTAAAAGGAATCCCGACCGTTATCAGAGTCTATCACAATTCCCGACCCTTATCTTAATATTTGTTATTCACTTGTTTTCGCCAATCTCGACTTATTAATGTCCCCTATAAATACTCATCCAAAATGGTCATTCAAATCTAATTAGAAGTGTTTTTATCAGGTCTGGCCAGACTCTTGTAATTGTCCCCTTTTCCCTCCCTTATGTATATATTTTAATTTGTAAATAGTTAGATGTAAATAAAGTTATTTAAAGAGTAGAATTTGTATAATCCTCGAAAGGCTTCGGAACCCAAACCCAACACATATAAAACTTTATTATCTACTATAATAAACTTTCCGGAAAGGCAATATAAAATCAAACTTGATATAGACTTAAGTAATTTCCGGAAACTTAAAATAAACATAAGATTGAACTTAAAATATTTAAAAACATAAGATTAAACTTAAAATTTTATAAACATAAGATTGGACTTAAAATATTTATAAACATAAGATTGAACTTAAAATATTTATAAACATAAGATTGAACTTAAAATATTTATAAACATAAGATTGAACTTAAAAATAAATAATTTTAAGGGTAAAAATATGTTAGTTCGTTTTGTAGTTGGAGGGCCCTTAAAGGATGAGGAGCATAGTGAAAAATTGGAAAGTATACTAATTAAAGAACAAGAACAATATGGGGATTTAGTTCGTTATTTTAATTTACCTGAAGGCTATGATCAATTACAATTTAAAGTTTTTTAGAAATTATTTTTAAAAAAATTAATTAAATTATTAGACTGGTGCATCTTTTCAATGGCAACAGAAATTTTGTCCTAATGCAGAATTTGTAATGAAAATTGACGATGATTCAATTATAGATTTGAACAGATTGGAATTTTGGATTGAGAAAAAATTTAAAAAGCAATTAAAAGAAGCCAAAACGGAGTTGGGTGTTTTTGGTTACAGCTGGATTGATACAAAGCCAATAAGGGATGAGGAGAGTAAATGGTTTGTATTTATTATTAAAGTTATGTAACAATTACAATTATTTATTTTTATTTAAGTATTTTACAATTCAGAATTTACAATTGAAAATTTAATTACAATTCCGGAAATCTAAAAATTATATTTCCGGAATTGTAAACTATTGAACTGTTAAAAATCAGAAATTACCGGAAATAATTCCGGAAAACAATTAAGCAATCCGGAATTGTAATACAATTCAGAATCAGAATTTATTTGTTTCTGATAATTGTGATTAATTTATAAATCAGAATTTGTGAATTGTAATTAATTAATTTACAAATCAGAATTAAGAATAAAGCAAACCGGAATTTAATAAAACAATCCGGAATTGTAATACAAATCAGAATTTATTTGTTTCTGATAATTGTAATTAATTTACAAATAAATAAATATTTTTAGGTTTCTTTCTAAGAAAGTATTTCCACAAAAAGATTTACCACACTATATGCACGGATCTGGATATATTGTAACCGGTAAAGCAATAACTGCTTTAATGGAGCATACAAAAGCTGTACATGCCATTCATATTGAAGACCTTCTTTGGAATGGAATTTTGGCCGATAGAGGAAATGTTGTCCGTTTTGAAGGGGGAAATGATCATTTTCTTGAGGGAACTGTAATTTTTTAAAAAAATTTTATTTCAAAAAAAATTTTATTTTAGTTAGAAGACAAGGAAAAATGTGAAGATGGGCAACCTATAATTTTTTGTTTATATCAAGTCGCTCTCTCAAGTATTAAAGCATATAAAGGAGAATATAAAAAATTACATGAGTTAAAATGTCTTGAATAAAATGAATATTTGCCGTAAATGCTGAAATAATGTCCCTCTCTTGAATAATTACCCCCACCCCTATTAATTACCCCCTACAGCCAGAGTTCGAAAAATAATTGCCCACTTAAAAATAGTTATAATTGGCCTTTCTAAAAAATCCCCTCCCTTTTAATTACCCCACCCCCAGCGAAAGGTTGAAACAATAATTACTCTGAGTAATTATTTTAGCAAATACGGTAATTTTTATTTTTAAATTATGTTCTGTTAAAAATTATAAATAATTTTGACAAATACTCGTTAATACAAGATTTTTATGTCTCTTTCAAAGATGTCTGAAAGTTGGGGGGAAAGTCGGATTAGGTACCTATTCGTCCCTGATTCCTACTTTCGAGCAGTAGACTTTCCTTAGCCTATGCTCAAAAATCTTCGTATCCCTCATACCATTTTTCGGTTTATTAAATTCTTGGAGAATTAAAAAAAAATTTTTTTTTCATAAAATAGAAACTTCTCAATTTCCAAAATTAGAAAATACTTTAAAGGTATCCTTTCATTCCCTCCCTTTTTTTATCTTCTAGCACTCTTCACCTATGTATGTGAAAATAAAAAATAAAACAAACCTCTGCGCGACCCTTATATCCTTACATCCATTTGTATAAAAATTTATTTTCATTCCATCCTCAAAAATTCCTCTTTAATAAATATATAACCCTTTTATCCATCTTTACTTTTAATTTTTTGCCAGTTTTTTAATTTAATTTTGGGATAAACTTGACAAAAAATAAATTTTTTGTGATTGGTTATAGTGTCCTATAGAAAGGGGCGGTCACCAAATTAGTGTCCCCTAGAAAGGCCTTCTGAGTTTTGTGATAAATTTTGGGTACAAACTCTGGATAATTGGGTAAATTTGGGTAATTTTGCTCTATCTGATACTTCGGGTTAATTTTGAGAGAACAAATTTAAAAAATATATAGCGTCTTTTAATTATTTAAATTTTTAATTTAAAATTATTATTTAAATTATTTTTTAAAGTTATGATTTTTTTCAAAATCGAAAATAATTAGAGAACATTTTAATAATTTATTTTATTTTCATCAGCCTATTTTATTTTTAAAAATAATTTATTTTCAAAAATCAAACTGGAAAATCTTCAAAAAATTGTTTTGTGGAAACAAATAAAATTACCAAATATTTTAATTTTATTATTTTGCATTTTTGTAAGTTTAATTTAAAATTCTTCATAATTCTCTTAATAAAAATTAATTTAAAAAAAATTATTTTTTTTAAAAATAGAGGGACATCAATTTATTTTTTTTCAAGTAATTTTGTTCATGTCCTTGACCAGAATAATAAATAAATAAATAATTATTGTTCGTTCACATTCCCAACATTTTCTTTTTGTCGTTTCACGACTTTAAAGATTAAAGAATTTATTTTTAATTTCTAAATTTTTTCCTTTTTCAACGACACCTGCATTTAAAAACTTAAAAACAAAATTCCTTTCCTAGACCATTGGTTGTTTATTTAAAATGTTTATCCCTCCCCTTTTTTATTCAACTGAATGTATCTGCTTTTTTTCATTATTCATTCTTCATACTTTTGCTTTTAACTTGTACGACTTTACTTTGCTCTGCCTTATAAAATATTCTTTTGCTGCTGATTTAGCCTTTGCTCTTCTAAAAATATTCTACAATTTTGCTCTGGACTTTACTTAAATTTTTGCTTTTCAACCTTTTTGCTAAAAACTGATTTTTTACTGCTTTGGATTAAATACATTTTGTTGGAAATTTTTAATTGCTTTAAAAAAAAAAAAAAAAATTTCAATTTGTTTTGCTTGAAAAATTGTGTGAGTTTTTACTAGGCTTAATTTTTACTATTCGCGGATTTGCCCTTTTCCGCGACAGCTCAGCCATTTTTTTATATTCGCGGATCTACTTTTTTGCCTTTTCCGCGACAGCTCAGCCGGTGAGGTTTAACTTACCTCTCGCACCAATTCCTAAAAAAATAATTTAAAAAGAAGCGGGGAAAATAAAATGTCCTCTGGGTACCGCACCGAAATCATTACTTTGCTTGAGGACGCAGACACACTCCTTGCAGCTCCCAAAACATTCAATGTCCCCCTGAAAGGACCCACTCAATCAAACGCCCAATTTTATGCTGCCATTCAAGCTTCCCTAGCAGACCTAAATCTTGAGTTCCAAAATTTATGCGAAATAGCTGATGAACTTTCCCAAGCACACCGTAATTGGATGTCGCTCAGAAGTAACATGACAGGACCTGAACGTTTGTCCGATAATTCATTTTATGACCAATTTTATGCGCAATACCCCTATATCGAAACCCTCAACAAATTGAAGCAATACAAACGAAAATTGCGCTCTTCGCAGCATTTACTAGAAGGAGCGCTACCCTCCTCTTCCACTCAATCCTCCTCGCATGCTCATATACCCAAAATGAACCTTCCCTCTTTTAGTGGCAAATCTGCCGACTTTCTTTCCTTTTGGAATCAATTTTCCGCTGCTATAGGAAATATCTCTTCCCTTTCCGACGCCGTAAAACTCTCGTATTTAAAATCTTGCTTAGCTGGCCCTTCTCTCGCAACAATCGAATCCCTACCCCTTACTGACGACTCTTACGGCCAAGCCGTTCAGCTTCTTAAAAATAAATTCGACAACAAAGAAGAAATTATTCGCAGCCTCTACCAAGCAATTAGAAATCTCCCAACCGTTCGAAAGGGAGAAAACTTCAACGAAGATTTTGCTACACTTACCGACAACCTAGAATCCATATTAATCCAATTTAGACAACATAATTCTGATTTTAATAATCCTTCAATTCTAATGGATATTGAATGTAAACTACCTGATTTTGTATTAGAAGAAGTCTACAAAACAAAAGAACAACACGTCGGGAATTGGACAACAGAAGATTTAAAAGAATGCTTAAAAAATATTAGAAAAAGAAGAGAAGAAATTAATGCTATTCACCCATCAAGCCCGACTCCACAAAGTCGAAATGTTCAGCAATTGCCTCCTCTTCGATTGGACACCCCCGTAAGTAAACGAAATTATTTACCTTTTAACAGGCCACTGCCAACAAGAAATTTACAACCAGTCCCCCCGTTAAACATTTCTGCAGTGGCTGTTCAACAAAATTATAGAAACTCTGGCTTTAAACACCCCTGCTTATTCTGCAACGACACCAGCCACATTACCACCTACTGCAAAAAATTTCCGGATTACAATTCCCGGATTGCTATACTTAATGAATTAAACCGCTGCACCCGATGCCTGCAGCCCAATCATATTTTTAAAAATTGCCCTAACCCTTCCCAATGTAAAAATTGCAATAAAATGCACCCTCGTCCCCTTTGCTATAATATCCTCGCAAAATTCAGCCAAAAAACAAATATTTGCAATAGCCAAATCCACACGTCAAATTATGCATCCCGAAATTGCTATGAAAACAATACCCACCAGCAACCCAAAACTTATGAAATTAATCAGCAAACAAATACTATCGGGCATTACTGTAACTCAATCACACCTCAGCCCACGATACTACCGATAAATGCACAAATAACCCCTTGCCAAGCAAACAGAAATTTCTCGCCTCCCCCAAAAAATCCCATCGTAGAAACCAAAAGGGCAGCTGAATTCTCAGCCCATATCTTGCAAATAAATCCTCCAACCCCCATATGCAACACAATTTACAGATCACACTCTTACTTCAACCACGATTACGAAAAAATACATAAAAATTTGCTTTACCCTCGGGCCAGTGTCGCTTACAATACTAAGAAATCCGCCACCCCAACCTCCTCTAACTACAAAAAGAAAGTGAAAGTGCAAGCTAAAACAAAAATGAAACAACCAAAATTAACTCCCACGGCTAACTACACACTCCCACCAACAATTATTAAAACAACAACAACAAACCATCCACCCATTAATACAACAACAACTACTAAACCAACGTTTTGCAACAACAAATTCAGGAAGAAACACTCTTCTGCGAAGAAAAATTTAGCTAATAAAGGTAAAAATGTTTTTGCCACAAAAAACCCCACATTTTTTAATTCACATATACGTGCCCGTTCTTCAACTCAACACTTGACTGGTGGTGTTCGTCCTCAACCACTAATGTCTCTTCATGTGCCACGTCCACCTCACATCCAACACTTCCCTCAACCCCATCCCAACATGCCACAACAGAATTTCCAATTTGCTCAACTGCCCTACCAATTTAGCCCACTGGCACCAACACAATACTATTGGAACAAAAGAAATGGAATGTTTCCGTTGCTGGGGAATGTCGTTTCACGACTTTAAAGATTAAAGAATTTATTTTTAATTTCTAAATTTTTTCCTTTTTCAACGACACCTGCATTTAAAAACTTAAAAACAAAATTCCTTTCCTAGACCATTGGTTGTTTATTTAAAATGTTTATCCCTCCCCTTTTTTATTCAACTGAATGTATCTGCTTTTTTTCATTATTCATTCTTCATACTTTTGCTTTTAACTTGTACGACTTTACTTTGCTCTGCCTTATAAAATATTCTTTTGCTGCTGATTTAGCCTTTGCTCTTCTAAAAATATTCTACAATTTTGCTCTGGACTTTACTTAAATTTTTGCTTTTCAACCTTTTTGCTAAAAACTGATTTTTTACTGCTTTGGATTAAATACATTTTGTTGGAAATTTTTAATTGCTTTAAAAAAAAAAAAAAAATTTCAATTTGTTTTGCTTGAAAAATTGTGTGAGTTTTTACTAGGCTTAATTTTTACTATTCGCGGATTTGCCCTTTTCCGCGACAGCTCAGCCATTTTTTTATATTCGCGGATCTACTTTTTTGCCTTTTCCGCGACACTTTTCTCAGAAATTAAATTTAGGAGAAAATAAGGAAAAAATATTTTAATTAAAAATAATTAATTTTTAAGGTTATTTTATTAGAAAATAGTAAATTAACTACCAACGCGGCCCTAAATGTAGATAATGAAATTATTGGTAATTTTAGCCCATAAATAATTAATTAAAAAAATATTTTTCTAAAATTTAGGATCCCCCCAAATTAATTGTGAAAAAGATTTTGTACATTTTAAGGTAGCTAAAAAGACTATTTTTCATTATTTTTAATTTTCTATAGGTTAAAACCAAAAAACCTTTTATTGGAAGGGTTTATGTTAAAGGAGAATTTGATAATCCTAAATGTTTAAGAAGGTTTGTAAAGGAAGGAATTTAGGGTTTTCTTAGGTTTTCCTGTTGGTTTAAAAGACCCTGGAATTTTTTTCAAATTTTAACCAAAAAACAATAAACTAGAGAATGACTTCCAGTGCTTATGAATGACTCTGATAGCTAACTTCGGAGCTGGATCCAGGAGCAACAAAACACCCAATACCTTGTAGAGATCGCTCTTTTCAAAAATCCTGGATTTGGGTTGGACATGATTCTTGATCTAGATCCAGGAAAAATCCATACTGTATCCAGACCAATCACTAATTACCCTTTCTATTTATATTTAATTTAAATATATATACATAAAAAGTGCCGATTTCTAGGTATCTAACTAAATATTATTAAAGGAGTACCTCAAATGAAGAGAAAAATATAAATTCCGAAACAATAAAAGAAGAGAATAGCCCTGTGGGGGATAAAGCAACAGAAGAGGAATTGGAAGATGATTACAATGAAGAAACACTACAACAAATATTAAAAGTTTTTCCCCCACAAATTAAAAATTAAAAATAAATTTAAAATAAAGGAATTACAAAAAAGAAAACAACACCAAAATTCCCCCCAATTTCCAATCCCTTCAAATTTCCCTTCAGCTAGTTCTGCAGAACAGTTGAAGAGATGGAGGAGTTTTTTGACTGGAAAGCCGGGATTGGATGGACAATTTTTTAGAAGATATGGAAGTAAATTAAGTCCGGATGTTAATGGAGAATGTCCCTTGGTTTCTTTAAAATTTTAAATTTTTAATAAATTTAAAAAGATTTGCCCTCCCTGTGAAGACCCTCCCCCTCCCCCCAACAAACAAAAAATTGGAGAAACAACAAATAATAATCAAAAATTAGTTTTATTAAAGAAACGAAGAAGTCTTTTAAAAGAAGAAAATGAGAATAAAAATTATGCAGAATTATGGGTTCCTATTGGAAAGTGTAATACTCGAAGGGATAGAATTGTTTGTATTTTTAAGTGAAATAATAAGTTAACCCTAAAGATCAACTTTGTTTTTATATTTTTAAGTTTAAGCTTAAGTTTTACAATTCAAGTTTTTAAGTTTACAATTCTTTTGTTTCAAGTTTTAAAGTTTCAAGTTTTAAGTAGTGTTATATTTAATAAGTTTTACAATTTTGCTTAAGTTTTATAAAATAAAGTTTACAATTCCTTTTCAAGTTTTAAGTAGTGTTATACTAATTAAAAACTTGAAACTTAAAACTTGAAACAAAAGAATTGTAAACTTAAAAACTTGAGTTTGCTAAGTTTTACAATTTTGTTTAAGTTTTACAATTCAGTGTTGATCTTTAAATAGTTGATATTTAAGGTGATAATTTTAATTAATATAATTTTAAAAATTTTTAAAGGCTGACCCTCCAGGGACTCGATTAACTTTCACTGTGGTTGTTAGTTTTCATCCAAATTTTATAAGTTTTTTTTTTAATTTTACTTGAAAAATTCTTAGAAATTTTCCAAAAAATTATTTCCCTTATTTTTTACATAACTCGTGTTGACCGTGCCTACAACATTCAATGTGCCTATCAAGAGCCTGAAAGGACATTAAGTGCACAAATTGATGTTAGGTAAAGAAGAATGTTCTTTAGCCCAGAAAAAATTCTTTTAATTTCAAGTCCCCCTCCAGTCATTTCATTAAATAATCATATGCAACCACCTCAATGTTCTTATAAGATACATGGACAGAAAACATCTGAACAAGTTTGCAGAAATTTTTTTAATTGAAAATAAAAATAATTTTAGGTTCAAAATGTCCAAGTTGGAGAACCTTTGGAACATGAATGGGTATGTCTAAGGAATGGGGTAGAAAGGGAACAACAACAATTAAATGATCTTTATGGGTTGCTGGTACACGATTGTTTTGTTGACGACGGGAAGGATAGAAGGGCGCTAGTTTTGGATGGGAGAGGGTAGGTTGTTTTTTAATGTTTTTACAATTTGTTTATAATCCCTTTGGTTTTTGTAAAACAAGTTTATAAAACGAATATTCGACTTTAAGTTTTACAATTCCTTTCTTATTTCAAGTTTTAAGTCTAATGTTTTTTCAAGTTTCTAGGTTTGTTTTACAATTTTGTTTCTCTTGCTTTAAGTTTTACAATTCTACTTAATTTTTACAATTCTGTTTAAGTTTTACAAAACAAGTTTTACAATTATCTGTTTTTTGTTTTGTTTAAGTCCAAGTTTTATTTTACAATTTCTATTCTAAGTTTTACCATTCAAGTTTTCTATTTGTAAATAGACACACAGAGTTGATCAAATGGGTATATTTTTATTTTCAAGTTTTACAATTCCTTTTATATTTTTTACTTTATATTTTTTACAATTCCTTTTATATTTTTTACAATATTTTTTACAATTCCTTTTATATTTTTTACAAAAAAGTTTTATAAAAAATTTTTTAATGTTCCCCTAATATTCTATTTATCTCCTTCTATCTTCTCCTCGTCAAAATTGTAATGTTGTAAATGCCAATCAAATATTGTTGAATTTTCTATTGTTCCATTAATATTGAAGGAAGGATTTGGAGGTTTTCGAAAGACTGGAAGGACAATTTTTGTTTCTTGTTCTGCTGCCATTTTAAATTTTTCTTCTACAAGAGTATTGTTCGTTGTATTATTATTAAATGTATTATATGTAGAATTTCTTCTATTGTTACATCGATGTCGAACTCGTAAATAACTAAACAATTAATAATTATTCTCTCCTATTAACACTCAAGATATCAGGGTTAGGGTTAAGATTTTCGAGTCGGGCCGACGTTCGAGTCATTTTTTTCGGGCCGGCCCGATCGAGTCTTTTTCCGGGCAAAAATTCGAATTCGACTCGACCTTTCGGACCGGCTCCCCAACCCTAATCAACGCCCCAGAGATCAACACCATTTTTTCTTCACGTTTACTCCGAGTGGATCTAACCCCCTTTAACTACTTTATCATACAATTCTGGTCTATTAATCGCCCAAGGTAACCAATCATGATCTTGTCCACATCCATCAAGATTGAATAGTCCATCTTCATTGTTAACCTTTACCCGAGTTATCTTAAACTCTTTAATTTAAATTAAAAAAAAATTATTTTGTTGCCTCATCATCCGGGTCAAATATGTTTGATTGAGCGCCTATTTTTGACTTTAAAAAATATTTAAAAATTTTAAAAAATATTTTCTGATTAAAAATACATTTGGAGGACTGTCCAATTCCCAAAGTTCAACAACCGAACCAATTACTAGTTTCTGACCATTTTTGCATAACAAGCGTCCTATAACCTGTACACATTCTGTATTTGAATAGCTTGGGGTGATGAAGAGAATTATTAGGAAAAATTGAAAAATAGGAGTAAAAAACATTTTTTAGATTAAATAAAATTTTAAAATAAAAATTTAAAATGAAAACTGTTAGTGTCCTTTTTGATAATAAAAATTTTTAGAAAATTTTTGTGAATGAGGATTAAACAATTTTAATATTCCTATTTTTGGCCAAATTGGGATAAGAGGATTTAAAAATATATTTTAATTGTTTTAATTGCCAACCCATTGTATCAACACTTTAAAGATCAACAATAAATAATTTATTGTCTAATGTTGATCTTTTGGGTGTATTTACCAAAAGTTTCTATCAAATAGTTACCCTCTCTCCATTAATTACTCCCTCTGGCCAGATTTAAAAAAAAATTACCCAGGGTAAAATTTGAATAAATACGAGTGTGTTTAACGTTGATTAATGATCTATTGGGTGAAATCAATTCAACAGAAATAATTTTAAAAATTTTCAAAAATTAAAAATTCTTTTTTTAGATGTTCAGTAGATCCATTAATTTTGCCTACCCCAACTTATTCTGAAAATTCTTTGAAGGCAAATGTTTTATCTGCTGTAGCTAAATTCCCAGATGGTGATATGATTGGATTTCAGGCAAACAAATATTTAAAAAAATTTTCTAAAAAATTCTAAAAAATTTTTTCAGTGTTCAATTACTGTTTGCCTTAAAGATTCTGGAAGGTGTGATGGAATTACTGTAAGCTTCAAATTTCTTAACTTTTTAAAAATTTTTTTGTAGCCTCCCGAATGTTCACCTCCCATTGCTTCTGATTCAGTTGACAATACAAAACGTGTTAAAAGGGGAATTAAATCTGATGAATGGGAATTACATTCACCTTTAATTACTGTATTTGATCCTGTTGATCAGAACAACGAAGATAACGATTTTACTCAAAGTAAGGAAAAAAGTTTTTTTATTAAAAAGGGAGGGAGGGCTAATTTTATAAAGGATTATATTTTAGAAAGAGGAAGGACTAGAGTTCGAACCGAGAAGAAATCTTAAACAAAAATATGGCCAATCGAAAAATTTCGGAATACGGCCCTCCATATCCGGCCCCTAGAAAGGAACAGAAATGAGTCCCTAGTCTACAAATAATCCCTTCCCTCCCCTATTTTTATTTTTAAAGGACGGGTATATAGGAGAAATTAAATCTTAAATTAATTTTTTTATTTTTAAGAAGCCCCCCTTCCATTCTCCCTCAATAAAGCAAAATTATCGCCACCACCCACTCAACAACCACCAGAATTTTGTCTTTCAATAATTTCCCTATGTGCTCTCGTTTCAATTTCAACATTTCTTTTAACAATAATTAGTGGATCTATTTTAATTATTTTACTTTTTAGAGACCCTAAAATTGATAAATGAAATTTTTAAAATTTTCTCAAAATTTTTATTTAATTTTCAAAAATAACAAAAAATTTAATTAAAAGAATTTTTTGCCTAAAGCACAAACTTTTTGTAAAATTGGCTGTTTCTCACGCAAACGCAATGGGGGCCCCAAAGGCAAACCATTATTTTCCTCAACTTTTCTTTCACATTTTTTTATTCCATAAAGGGGGTAAACAATCAGTGTGTTCATCCATAGTTGAACATGTTAAAAAAATTTTTTTAAAGAATTCTTAAACTCATTAAATAACCTTTCAAGCCAGGTTTTCAGGAGCATGTTGTTGTAAGCCACAGCAACATCAAAAAATTGTCCAAAGGGTCGTCATCATCAATAGGCCTAAAATCTAAAAGAGAATAATTGTTTGATGAAAAATAAAAAATAAAACAACTATGAAGTATTGAACCCGTGTCCTATTCTTATACAACCAAAAACACTACCAACTTAACCAACCGTCATTTAGAAAGACTTTTAAATTTTTTTCTCATATGTGAACTTTGAATTTAAGGGATTTATTCTAATTATTAAACTCAAAAGCCCTGTAAAATAATTAATAACCTTTGAAACTTCATAATCTGCAAGCACCAATCTGCAAGCAAGCGAATGCACCAAATTTGCCAAATGTCCTCTGTGTTGTGGTTCAACCGTTCCGCCATTTCCTAAAAAACGAAATTTTATTTCAACCAGACAAAATAAATAAAAAACCTGAATGAACTCTGCAGCCTTAAGTTCAGCAGCCGAATCCATAGACATCCTAGATGGATTCCTAGAAAGCTCATCGCCCGCAAAATACCATTTTGGTTTCTTTCCAAGTTTGCCAGATGATGGAAATGGTTCTGTCACCCTTCAAGATCCATACTGAAAGCTCTAAAAATGTTTAAAACCCTTTCCCTTTACCAAACACTTACTAAACACACTTTCTAACCAAATTTGGAAGAGGATTGATAACGGATTAACTCAGGGACTGTTTGCGGATAAAACTTGCTTGTGCAAAAAAAGCAAAAAACAAACCTTTAAATTTCTAAAAAGATTCCATGGACGTCCAAAGTGCTCTGATGATTTTATTGCTTCTTTGTTTCTTGTTCTTCTTCTTGTTGATTTTTTTGTTCTTTTTCTGTTGAGTTTTGGTTCTTCTTTTTGCTTTTTCTTCTTTGTTTTTTTGATTTGTTGTTCTTCTTGTTGATTTTTGAGTTTGTTCTTCTTTTTGTGTTGCTGCTGGACAATTCTTAGAGGGATGGCACTAAATAATTTAAATGAGTTTGTTTAGGCACAGATATAAACTAACCATAAAGCTGAAGAGCAGTTATCAAAGTACCAAAGCAACAAGTCCCATGAAGATGCCAGCCAACGCCGCAAATGCCAGACAAAACCCCACACAGGAAGAACTCCAAACAGATGCCAGGAGAATTCCATACAACAGCCGTTAGAACTCCAACAAAGCCAGACTCCAAACAAATGCCAGAAGAACTCCTACAGATGCCGAAGCAAATGCTAGAACATTCCCCCGAACATCTGACGGAACGTTCGCACATTGTCGCAATTCTTTCGCACAGATGCTGGGTTATTCCCCCGCACATTAGCCGGAACATTCCCCCACATAAACAGATGAAGAACTCCAAACACTGCCAGAAGAATATCATACATTGCCGTTAGAACTCCAACAAAGCCAGACTCCAAACAAATGCCAGAAGAACTCCTACAAATGCCGAAGCAAATGCTAGAACATTCCCCCGAACATCTGACGGAACGTTCGCACATTGTCGCAATTCCTTCGCACAGATGCATGATATTCCCCCGCACATTGCCGGAACATTCCTCCACGCATGCTAAAACCCACGCAACACGCCTAAAGGACGCACGCAATATGCCAACGGGGACTTGTGCTTTTGATGTTGGAGAAGAGAGCTCCACATCCGCCTCTACTGCTAACACTAAAAATATGATTTCATTTCTAAAGTTAAAGAAAACTGAAACTAACGTTTTGAAACAAAACCAGATTGTTGAAGTCCAGATGCAGCAGCCTTCTTTGGTACCAATGCATGCAAAGCACTGAATGAAAAAAATAAGGAATGTTGTTGTATTAAAACACAGCAAGTTTTGTCCACAAACAGAAAAGGGATAGGGGAAAGGGAGTGAAGAGCAACTGAAATTGCCCCAAATACAAGCCAACAGTGTTTGAAGACTACCATCATAACAGTTCTAAAAAAGAAAAATAAACATAAAGCAAATTAGTTGAATAAAAATTTATGGCATTTTTCACCCGTGGCGTAACTGGTAGATAGTGAACGACATATCGACTTTTTCTTAAGGAAAAAAAGTCGTTTTAAAAAAATCTACAATTATTCGCGAACGACTTTTTTTTAAACACACAACGCCAGAACTACGTAAATATCGATGTTTTGCGCCAAACGATTGCGAAACGACTTTTTTGTGTCTCTTTTTCTCTAATTTCACATTATATTTCCTTTCTCTTTTTCTATTAATTTTCGTTTGTGTAGTCTCTCCTTTGGAATTTGCAATTTTCCATTTTTATAAATGTTCAGTCCCTTTTCTGTAATTTTTAGGGATTTTTCCACATATATTCTTACTAAATGGATGAATTTGAAAATGAATTAAGAGTCGCATTCGAAAGCGGCGATCTCGAAGAACCTGTGACACCGTCATCGAAACGTCGAAAATCCATATCCTTAAGGATTAGATCTAGGAAGTCCGAAGAGTAGGCGATCATGGAATATGTTAAATATATCGAGCCTGGTTCTCAACATCACCACCAAGCAACTGCTGGCCAACCTGTAAACACTATTAACGCGAAACAAAGTCAAATTGAAGATCAGTACCAACGTTTAATGGTTTTGGGTGATCAACGAAAGAGAAAACTGGAAAAGGCTTACAAAGGTTGTTTAGAAAACAATCCCAAAATTATCTTTAAATCCCTTTTATTTAAAGCCTACCAATTATTGCGTGAAGCAAATGACCTCGCAGAGTGGATAAAGTCACGAGAAACAGTTGCTTCTCAACAAGAAATTGGTCAAGATTTGGAACATGCAGAAGTATTACAAACAAAATTCAATGACTTTAGATGTGACTTGAAAGCAAATGAAGTTAGATTACAAGAAATGAATCAAATTGCTACTAGTTGGAAGGCTTTAGAACAAAAGGCGGAACAAAGAGGGCAGCAATTAGAATCTGCACATGAAGTTCAACGTTTCCATAAGGACGTGGAGGAGACGAGGGATTGGATACAAGAAAAGAATGAAGCTTTGGATACTGAAGATTTTGGTCGTGATCTTCGTTCAGTCCAAGCTCTACAAAGAAAACATGAGGGAGTTGAAAGGGATTTGGCTGCTTTAGGGGATAAAATACGTGCTTTAGATGAAAAAGTTAAAAATTGAATCCTTTTAAAAGCAATTTTTGTTTATTAGGCCAATCGTTTACGCTTTTCTCGCTCAAGAGGACCCGACTGGGGATAATGTTGAATCTCTAATTAAAAAACATGAAGATTTTGATAAAGCTATTGCTTCACAACAAGAAAAATTAAATAATTTGGATCAATTAGCAAAACAATTAGTACACTTATTTCATTTTCTACACTTATTTCATTACAATCATTATTTAAAGATGAATAAAATTTTGTTGTTTTATTTTTTTTAAACTTTAGAAAACGAAAACCTAACAAAAATTCCAATGGAGAGACAACGACATAGAAAATTAATAGAAAAAGAGAAAGGAAATATAATGTGAAATTAGAGAAAAAGAGACACAAAAAAGTCGTTTCGCAATCGTTTGGCGCAAAACATCGATATTAACGTAGTTCTGGCATTATGTATTAAAAAAAAGTCGTTCGCGAATAAAAGTAGTTATTCGCCGCGAATCGACGAAAACGTAGATATGTCGTTCACTACTGGTAGACCGTTAGGCTCACTTGTTAAGAAAGGGGGTTCAAACTACAACGGAAAACCAAAACAACAATCGAAAATTTCTCGTACCCAGATGAAAGCTATGAGCACTAGATATGCCCTTTGAAAATTTCAGTCAAGAGCGTGTTCCCGTTGAAGTGATAAAACACACTCGAAGGTAAAAAATCCCCAATATAATCTAACCAAATTAAAAGAAACTAACTTGTTCAGCCTCAATAATCAATCCCTTCTCGTTCAAAGCATGAGTCAAATTGCAATAAGCATCAAGAAAATTTTGTTGTAATTCAATCGCTCTTTTGTAAGTTTCAATAGCCAAACCATAATGTCCTTGTTCATAATAGACACAAACCACAACTGCATGTTTGGGGTTCTAAAAATACAAAAATAAAAATGAAACGGGAGGGGAAGGGGGAGAGCACGTTCTTAATGATAGAATCAGTGAAATCCAGCTCTATAAGGAAGCATTAAAATGCCTGACTGGCTCCGAGTATCGATCTCGTTCCGGCATTACAAGCGTATAAGCAACAGAAAGTCGGGTAACAAGGGCTGACCCGTCGTTTCCTGCGTAGCCAGACAGTACTCAGTATTTACAAAAGCGGGTAGCAAGGTTTCGTGGAGCTGAGAGTCCATGGACTAACACAAAAACTTTTACAAACCTGACGATCAACAGCTCCAACAGTGTTTGGAGAGACGACAATTATGTTTTGTGGGTTCAGGATTTGTCCTTCCGTTAAAATTGCTGAACTTGTTCCTTGTTGTATTTGAAGTTGGGGAATAGTTCTATGGGAGCCTGATGTGGTGTTTTGAAGTACCTTAAAGACAAGTTTGGTAAACTTGAAGTAATCCTCAAAAATCCAAACCTTATCAAACGTGCTGGTTGAAAAATTGTAGTTGTTTAAAAGAATTGGAATAATGTTGAGGCAATTGGGCCTTGGATATTGAAATGAAATGTTGAGCATGGACAATTAATTGTATGTTGTCCTTCGAATAAATTACATTTTTTGTCTAAAAATAAAAAATATTGTTTACCCCCTCTATGGAATAAAAAAAAATTTATGAACGAAAAGTTGAGAAGAACAATAAATGCTCTCAAAAAAGTTTCCCTCTTCAATTATTGATCTTTGTTGTTGAACTTTGCTCATGTCAGAATGCAAAACATGTACTGGTTAGAGAAAAAGAATCGATATTTTCCCTCATTCTCGCGTGGGAAAAACAAATTTGTCTTCTCTAACCAATACTGGTTTCGTTTGACTGAGCAAAAGCAACCGACAACAAAAATCAATAAATGCGATAACAAGAGAAGATGGATAACAAAAGACAAAGGGACGAGAGAAGACGATGGAAAGAGAAGAGATAAATAGAGAAAAATAAACAAGAGAGATGGAAAATAAATAATGGGACACTCTCCTCTAAAAGAAACATGTACAGCCAAAGTAGGCACCGGAGCGGATTCCGGACAAATTTTGCAGGATCCGGAAATTATTTTTTTACCGGAATAAAAACGTATCGGATTAATCCAGAAAAATCAGGTCAGGCATGAAAATACAAAATCCGGGTTCCAAATCCGGAAAGTCATTTGGCCTTGCGCTAGTGGGATTCATTAAAAAGTTTACCCTCACTTGCCCTTGCGCTTTCTCGGTTGCGCCTACTCAGGCGTGTCCTTCCAAAGGGAAAAGAGACGGGAAATTCCCGTCCACAGGTTAAAATAGACGAAACATTCAAATTTGAGCAAAGTGCCCACGTAAACATAAAACAAAAAAATAATCTGTCAAAAAAACAGTTGTAAAAGAAACAAATTTTTTTGTTAAAAATACATATTTTCTCAAAATTTTTATTTAATTTTCAAAAATAACAAAAAATTTAATTAAAAGAATTTTTTGCCTAAAGCACAAACTTTTTGTAAAATTGGCTGTTTCTCACGTAACCGCATCAAATAAGAAGGCATTGGACCAAGAACACGATTACCTATTGGATTTTCTTTGTCATCCTAAAAATAAAAAAATTTTTAAGGAAAATTCCTGCTTAAGGAGATAAAAGAAAAATTTAAAAATCGAAGGGGACGAACTTTTGAATATTTTTTAAATTAAAAATGGGGGGGAGGGGGTCCAAAAATAATTTTAAAAAAATAACAAACCAAAAGAACAATATTGTTTGTGTCTGTTGAAGGAATTCCATGTTTTCTAATAAAAGCGTGTTGTGTTGCACCAACAACGATTGCCCTACGCATCTCGCCTCGTATTGCAACGAGTATCTTTAAAAGAAATTTTTTAAAAAAAATACCAAGAGGTAAGAAGGGAACCTTTCTAAATAAGCTTTGGAGGTCAAAGTCAAAAAACCCCAAAAAAATTGTTAATAGGTTATCGACCAGTCTCTACAACATGGATGCCAAGGACTACCCGAAACCCAATCCGGAAAGTTGGCCCGACTTTTTTCCTTCCCTAACTGACCAGATCCTAGACTTATTTTCAATCTTTAATCCGATGGTATAATTTTTAATTAGAAATTTTTGGTAATTGTTTGAAAGGTTTCCTTGTAAGGAAAACAAGGAAAAGTCATCTAAAAAGGACCCAAAAGACTCTAAAAAAATGAATATTCATCAACTAACCTTATCTCCAAGTTCAGCTTTAGGCATATGCCTCTTCCTGTATCCTCTTTTGTACACCCAAATGCAATAGGCCAATCTTCCACTCATATTCGCATCCTTCCCAATTTCTGAATTGTCTATGCAAACCAATTCTGTTCGTCGTTGAATGCCGTAAGTTGGAGGGCGAGTTCTGTGTCTGCTCATTTCATTACTTAAAAATGGAACAGAAATTAAATTTTAATTTTAAAAAACAAACAAAGGTTGAGGATACCAACGTCCATTTCCACTATTTCTTAATTGCGTCAAAAATTGATAGGCAGGATAAAGAAGAGAATTGGCTGGTTTTGATGAAAATAACGTCATTTTTGTAGAAATTTTCTTTAAATATTTTTGATTGCCTAAAAACAATTTTGAAAATCTTTAAAGAAAGGACACAAAAATCGGCAAGGGAAAACTGAAAATAAATGTTATAAAGAGGAAGTTTTTGTTCAGCGAGACGATAAAAAGTTAAAAAGTGGCTTTTTGTATGTTTTGAAGCTTTTCTCAATTGGATATTCCAAAATTTACCATTTTGATATTTTTTTCAATTAAATATTTCAAATTGTCAAAATTCAAAATATCAACAAGTCAAAATACATCAACCAAAATTCGGTCAATTCAACACGTTTTTGTTTGTTTAACACGTTTTTGTGAAGGTTTGGGTTTACTTTATTTGGAAAAGCTTTTATTGATAAGAATACACGTTGCACTTTTGTTAATTAATTCGTTTTTTTCAGATTTTCTTAAATATTTTAATTAAAAAATGTCTGCTGAAATGCGTGTTTTGGACAACAAATATTCCAAACAAAATGATTTATCTAAAATGGTTTGTAATTTTTATATAACGATTTTTGGTAATAGATTGGAAGTTTACAGACCTCCCTTTTCCATCCATGTTTTTCGTTAAGTTGTACACAATGGTCAAACTCTCCTTTTTTCTTTCCAATTTCCTTTACTGCTACTCACAAACAAACATCTTAAAAGTATTTAATTTTTATATAAAAATTCCTGGAAAGGAACGAAATTCTGACCATGATGTACATCCTAAGGAAGAAAACGGGAATGGAAAAATGGGGTCTATAAACTTTAATATTACTCGATTTTTCAATTTTAAATTTTTAAGGATAAATCAGAATTAATCCAACTCCATGTTACTTTACAAACTCGTTTAAACAAATTAGAAGACACAAATATCGAGTTGAGAGCACAATTGTTGAGCGTTACAGAGGAGCGTGATGTAAATTTTTTGAAATTTTTCAAGGTATAATCCTTGTTCTTTTAGGCTTTTGAACGTGAAGCACTGACAGGAGCAAACCTCAAACAAATTCAAGAACAAATAAAACAAAAAGACCTTAAAATAGACGAAATGAATAATTTAATATTGGCAAAGGAAAGACAAATTATTGACTTACAAGAAATGTGTACTGAACAGGGACAAGTTGCCCATTCAAAATCTTTGGCTATTCACATTGTTAATAGACGATTACAAGAATTGGATGCTAAACAAGTTAATGATGTGGCTACTGAAACAACTGATTTATTTGATATTTCTGAGGCTAATTCAACTCATGAAAGCTTGCGTAGAAATCGTTCAAGAAGTCCGCATAGATCTTCGCCTGGCCGTGCTTTTCCTCAGTTTAGGATAGGTTTGCAAAAAAATTTTTCTTGGATATATTTTACCTGTGAGTTGGTGCTTGCACGTAGTATTCCCTCCCCTGGTTACTTACCTGATTTTCTTGTAGGTTTCCGACGGGTTTCGTTTTCTTTGGGTCTTTTAGGCTTCTGTAGATGGGCAGATTTTACTTAATTTTTGGTTTGTTTCTCTCGATGACTTTTTTTCTTTAATTTTTACAGATACTAATATTTTTATAATTATCGAAATAGTGCCGTTTATCTCCCCCAATTTTTAAATCTCTCCCAGAATTTCCTTCTACCTCTAACATTTATTGCTGCCTTAACCCGATTTATTGCTTCATTATTTCCCAAATAGGTGGCAACTCTTCACCCCCACCTGTTGATCCAGCCGAAGATGGATGTTCTTCATACACAACCGAAACACAACAAAATTTGGATGGAACATTTAAGAAAAAACGAAAGAAAGTTAACTTTAATATTGACATAAACAAAAATGATGGAAATGATTTTTCTCCTCCACAAGTTCAAAGCCCAATTAAAAAACAACAAATCCCTTCTTCTGACTATGAGGAATTAATTACTGAGAATGACCATCTTCGACAAATTATTAGAGAAATGGAAGAAGCACTCCAATTTGCTAATGTTTGTTTTTCTTTTAAAAATTTTTTAAAATTAATTTTATAGAAAACAGCTAAGCCAGAGTCTATGACTGTCTTAAAAGTGAAAGCTGTTGCTCAAGCTAAAATTCGTGAACTTGAAGGAATGCTTAGTCAAAAGGGGACAAACAAGGAAGAAGAGGTTTGTTTCTATTTTTAAATAGCTCCGTTGCTTTTTGGATATCCCGCCCTCAATTTGAGCTTCACAATCAAAGTTTTCCTCAATTTGTACATAATTTAGGCCTTTCTTAATTCCACTTTATTTTCCTGTGGTATTTTTAAGGGGGAACTTTTCAAATAAATTTTCTTTAAAATATTTACTTTTTTCTGTCAGATTGCTGAGTTAAAAGCTGTAATTGAACAATTAAAGGATAGCAGGGAATGGGTTTTGAGTGAAAATTCAAAACTTCAAGACCAACTAGAATGTTCAAAGTTTGTTTAAATTTAAGTTTATTTATTTAATTTTCTCTCTTTTTTTAGACAAAAATGCAGCGATTTAGTTGAAGAAATGGATTCTAGTCTTAAAACAACCGACCTTTTTCGAAAAAAACTTGATGATAATATTAGAAAGATGGATGCTACAATTGCTGAATTGTACCAAACACGCGCTCAAGTTAGACAAGTTGTTGATGAAAAGGCTATTCTTACTAGTGAAATTGAGCGATTAAAAGGTTTTTTAAAATTCATTATTATTTTTTTATTTTCTTTCTTTGGTACTTTTTGGATATCCTCTCCTAATTTGAGTGAGTTTTCCTTAAGATGCACACAAAGTTCCCTGTTCTTTTCTTTACTGTCTTTTATGTTATATACCGCAGGGAAATGGAGTGGAATTGAAGGAAAAAGTCTGGCCAGTATGTACTTTTGAAGGGAAACACTGTCAATAAAACTCAAATTAATGGGAGCGGAATATTCAAAAAAAGTACCTTTCATTTATATATTTCAGAAGCAATTTTTGCCCAAGACGAATTTATTGGTGTATTAGAAGGAGATTTGCTTGTTTATGAAGCTCATGTTGGCATTTTGCGTGATTCTATTGGTGCTAGCAAAAAAGAGGATCGTCAATATATAAAATCCAAAGCTTTTTCTGCAAAAATAAATGCATTGGAAGCAGAAAAGGAAGAAATTTGTAGGAAAAATAATGGTTTAATTTTTGATATTTTTTATTTAAAAAATTAATTTCTAGAGGAAAAACTTCGTGCAAAAGCTTTTGCTGTAAAAATTCGTTGTTTGGAACAAGAAAGGGATGAACTTAAATTAGCTTTGCGTCAATATGAGGGTGGAAGTAGTAGACAACAGAAACGTTCTTTCTCGGCAGGAATTTCCAATAATAATCAAGATAACTTTAAAGGTTATTTTTAAACTTTAAAATATATGTATGTATATCGAGATCATGACTGCTCGAAGTACGAATTTTTATTTCGAATTGAAACGAAACTTCGAGCAGCTCTGATCGGGATCCTGACACCAACAAAAAATCTGATTTTGGATTTGAGCGAGTCAGAGATCAGGCCTGCCCGATCTAAAATTAATCTAAAAATATCAAAAAAATTAATTGAAAAAATTCTTTTTCAGAATATACTTCTGTTAGTACAATGACCATAGACGACGATTCTAATAACCAAAATGAGGACATCTTACAATCAGAACAACAACAACAACTTTATTATAATCAACTTTTGGAAAAAACAGAAGAAAATGAAAATTTATTAATTCAAATTTCTGAACAAAAACAACAAAATGGATTAATTTTAACGTCTCAAAATAAATTTTTGAGTGATTTGGAGAAAATGTTAATTTTTATTTTAAAATTAAATAATGATGATATTGAAGAGGAAGGAATTTTTGGAAATGAAGAGGAAAGAGATTTGGTTTGAAAAAATTAATTTTTTAACAAAGAGTTTTATTTTTAGCCAGATATTGATGATATTTATTCCAATTTTTTACAAAAATCTTTGAAAATTAAAAATATTTTTGAATCAACTAGAAACGAATTAAATGAAGTTCAACAATACAATGACACACTTTTTGATCAAATTGAAACATTAAAAGAAGACAATGATTTGTTTAAATGTAAATATAAACAACAGGAAGAGACAAAATTGAAGGTTTTTTCAAAATATTTTTTTAAAAGATGGAGATCCCCGGGTTTTAGGGACTAATCTTTTGCGAAACGATCAAACCTTATAAACCGTTTATTGGGCTTTTCTCGACGCTTCTAGGGCTTCTTAGCTAAAAATAAAACTTTTTTTACACAAATTCTTCTTAGCTTTTTTGCATTTTAGCTTTCCTCCGATATTTCTTTCAGGTTGTCTTTTTGATCCATTTTGATTAAGAGGAAAAATAAAGAGAGGAAAGCTTTCAAAAGCCTTCCTTTAAGCCGAAAGGAAAAATACATAAAGGGGAGAATCCTTAGGTCTTTTACAAGTGTTTTTCGAATTAAAAAATTTCTTTATTAGATTGAATTTGAATTAAAATCTTTGTGGCAAAAATATACAGAAAATTTAAATTTACTCGACAATAGCAATAAAACAATTAAAGAATTTGAAGAAAAAGTAGTTAATCTTTCAAATGAATTGACATCAAAAAAGAATGAAATTTTGGAACTTGAAACAGAAAATAAAGTTTTGGAAGAAGAAAAGGTTTTTTTTGAAAATTTATTTTTGATTTTTGCCGGTAACAAAGTCCGCACAGTTTTTTCATCAGTAAAAGGGCAATGATTGTATAATAAAACCTCGAAATACCAAACATCGTATCAATAAATACATTGAAATACCAAACCTCCCAAAGCCCCTCGGGATGCCAAACTGGTTTTTAGGGGTTTTTGCGGACTTTTTACGGCACAATTTCGAAAAATTAAATTTTTATTTTAAAACAGGCTTCATTAAAACAAAATATAAATTCAATTGAACAACTTGTTGGTAGTTTAAGAAGAGAAAATGCATCATTACAAAATAAAATTGTTGAATTGAAAGTATTTTTTTTAATTATTTTTTTATTTGATAATTTTTTCAAAGGAAAAATCAGCTTCTTTAACGTTAAAATTAAATGAAGAAAAAAGTCGATTAGAAAAATTGGTTAATTTATTAAATTCCATTGTTGATAAATTTAAATCAAATGTTGTTAATTTAACTAGTTTGGATGAATTTATAAATGAAGGAATTGAAAATTGTAAAAATGAGGAAGAAAAGAAATTTCTGGGGGAAAAAGGAGAAGGAGAAGATTTACAAAATAATAATTTTGTTGTGGAACAACTTGAAAATGAAATTACAAATTTAAAAATACAACTGGCAACAGCTGAAGCTTTAGCTGAAGATCTATGTTTGTTTTTCTTTTTAAATATTCTTGTGAACTAATCAGTGTTATGACTCAAAATTACTCGGACTCGAATTTTGAAACCGGTCTCGAATCTCGAAATCTATTTCGAAAACGTACTTAAATCGAACCTTAAATTCTTTTCACTCTAACCCCCGATCCGAAGAAAGTTTTAAAACATCGATCCGAAACCTGACTTGATTTTTTTCTCAACCAGGCCCATCTCTGATAATGAGTTACTTTAATATTTCCCTTTTTTTTAAAAATCTTTTTAGTAAATCAAAAATCTGCATTAGAAATAGAAAAGAATTTATTAATTTCTGAACGTAACAATTTATTAAATTTACAAAATGATTTGGTTGAATGTCAAAATAAAAATGAAAAACTTTCTCAAGAATTGGATAAATTAAATAAAAATGTGAAGGAAAATAATAAAATTTCAGGTTTCTTTTTAATTTTTTTTCAAATAAATTCTTTTTTCAGTAAATTTTGATGATTTACAAACACAAACAGAATTAATTAAAATTTGTCATAAAAATGTACAAGCTGAAAAAGTTGAACATTTAATTGATGCTCAAATACAATGTGATGAAGAAAATAAAATTGAAATGAAAACAATTGGAGTAGAAACTGATGGATTTGTAGAAGAAAAAATTTTATTTAAAGATGTTGCTGTTGGTGAAGATGTTAGTTTATTTTTTTTATTTTTAAAAGAAAAAATAGGAAGGAATTATGGACGTAATCCCTGAAAATTTTAAGTATTTTTTCGAGTCTAATTTTGAGGGTGTATTCTCGAAAGGGATTTATTTACCGATCGTTTCTTTTATGAATCCTTTTATGCATAACTGCTTCGAAACAAAAAATCTTTAAAAATTGCAAATCGAAATTTCGAAAAATGCTAGGGGTTTTACCCTCAAATACTTGTAATAATCACTCTAAAAATCGAAAAAATATAAGGGTTTTAGAAAATAATAGCTGAAGATGACGATGAAACTGTAAACCAAGAAAAATTTAATTTAATCCAACAACAAAGCCATCAATTGTTGAAGGAATGTATTCAAGATCGACAAGAATTTGAAAGAGATATGGATATAAATGTACAACAATTGTTGGAATTAAAAAACTCCTTGGAAACTTCAGTAGAAATTTTGAAAGGAGAAGTTTGGGCTTTAAATGAAGAAATTAAAAAGGTAAAAAATACTGGAAAATTCTAGTATTTGTGTAGTTTTCCCCCCATAAGCCCCGCCTATATTTCCTCACTTTCTTTTCTTGTGGAGTAAAGGACTACATAGTTCGCTTCAAGAGAAATTGTTATAAGAAAAAGATGGGGGGGGGGGGGGTAAAGTTTTTCTTTACTCTAAAGAAGGTATTGAAGCGGGCAGGACTTATGGAGGGGAAACTACACAAGTGCCAAAATTTTTTGATCTATTTTTGAAATTAAAAAAAATTTTTAGCGTTTTTCTGAACAAAATGTACTTAAAAATAGTCTTGAACAAGTTGGAAATTTGGTTAAACAATTACGTTCAGAAAATGATAAATTAACTTTGGAAGTGGAGGAAAGAAATGGCGAACTGATTGAATTAAAAATTAAATTGGAATATTATCAGGAGAATGAGAAAGTAATGGAGAAGGAAAATATGGTTTGTAAAAAATATTTATTAACATTTAAAAAATTTCGTTTTTTTAGAATCTTTGTTCTTCTATTGAAACAGAAATGAATAAAAATGAAAAACTTACAAAACTGTTAATTAATTTTAACGAGAAAAATGCTCCAGAAATGTCGTTACTTCGCTATGAATTACAACAATTAAAAGAAGCACAAATTGAAGCAAAAAATTTGACAGATTTTAAACAATTGTTTGAATATTTGAAACAAATTAAGGAACACAAATGTGGTTAGAAATTAAGAACTTTTAAAATTTTTGTGCGTCAACTGGGAGTGTAGTACGAGAACTAAGATAACCGAAATTCTTAGTAACCGAAATTTTCGATCGAGATCATGTCTCGATCTAGGCTATAATGGAATTGCCCTGGGTAATCCTTAAATATACAGCCCGAAGTCAACGTTTTTTTTTGTTTTTTAAATTTCCTAGTCTTGTAATTTTTGCGATTTTATTTAAAAAAATAAGAATCAGAAATTTTTCAGATTGTTCACCCCCAAATTTTTTTCTTAGATTTCCTAATCTTTTTTATTAAGGAAGAAATCATCTCCACGATTGTACAACTAAACTAGCACTTTTATCATCAAACTTAACAATAAAAAATCGGGATAATGAAGCTTTAGTTCGAGAAAATAATGAATTGATTGAGACAAATGCTAAATTACAAAATGAATTGGATGAAATTTTGATGAAGATGAAAGAAAATGAAAAAGAAGAAGAAGAAAATAACATAACAACACCTTTTGAATTAAATAGAGATGATGGAGGAAGAAGCGATTTTGAAGTTGATAAAACCTTTGATTTATCAGAAAATGAAAAGATTAATTCTGAAATAAATTTGTTTTCTTCTACTAGTGAAAATAATAATAAAATTATTAATGAGGTTATAATCGAAGAAGAAGGAAAAAATTTGTTTGAAGAAAGTTTATGGAATTGTGATGAGGATGAAAATAATAATGAGGAGGAAAATATTGTTGACAATGAAAATAAACAAGATTTAAATGAGGATAATAATAATGATTGGGGATGGAATGATGATGAGGAGGAGGAGGGAAATAATAAAGATGATCAAGATAATAATAGATTTGAGGAGGTGGAAAATAAAGTTAAAAAAGAGGAACATGATTTGTTATTAAATACTAAAGAGGAAGAAGATACTAAAATTAATAAAAATGAAGAAATTGATGATAAGCAAGATGACTTTGAGGGAGATGATTGGGCTTGGAATGATGATGATAATGGCCACCAAATATTGTCAAAAATGACTGATAATATGTCTGTAAATTGTGAACAAGTGGGTTTTGAAATTTTTAAATCTTCGCCCCTTACTTCTAAAAAATTGTCTTTTAATGAGGGGTCTCTTAAATAGAAGGGTTTGCATAAAAACATTTTTCCCTTTATTTTTACAGCAACACAATTCCAATTTGAATCAAAAAGCCAATAATGAACAAAAAGATGTTAAATCACTTTTTGATGATTGGGGTGACTTTTAATGAGTTTCAAAAATGGTTTGACTTTTTTTAGAATTTCTTTTTTAGACAAATTTACCTATATCTTGTTATTTTAATGAGATTAATTATTGTAAAATGCCTTTATATATTTAAGTAAACTCTTTCAAGTATAATCACAAAATACTTTTCTTTTTAATTTCTAAATTTGGGGTTATTTTTAAAGGGGATTTTTGGGACACATTTTTACGTCAAAATATTATATATTTTGTAGAGAACGTCCGAAACTTTAGGCCTTGAAAATTTGCCTTTGATTTTTCGGACGTTTCTAATATCTTGCATATTGTTTATCTCTGTGATAAAAATTTAAAATAATTTTTTTACAAGAATTAAAAAACATTTACTACCGTCCAACGCATTCATTTACTGATTATTTTCCCTCATTGTCCCCAATTACCCGACACAAAATAAGAGTCCTCATAAGATAATGGTTTTGGGATTAATTTGGGATAAAAAGTACTTTTTATTTTTAATTTTACGTAAGTCCTCTCAGTCAGGCTTTATATTTTTCTGTCACCACAATTTGTCCCATTGTTTCTCTCTTAAACAAAAAAAAGATTTTTGACGGAAAGAGCAGCTGAATTACATCAACATTTTTAATAATAATATTTTTCAACAAACAATGCAAAACCGGCTTTTATTTGTCCCAATTTCTTCTTTTAAAAATATTTACATTTTTCTATCCAGTAAGTACACAACAAAAAATTTTTTTATTTAAGGTTGTCTTCAATTTTACGTTTATTTTTTTTGAGAGATTTATTTGTCTATTTTTCATCCTTCAATTTTAATTCAAAACGTTTTTGTCTAAAAATAAAAATTTTGAAATTAAATTAAATACAGTTTAGCCTGACTTTAGAATACTCCCCTACGGCAGAAAAGAAAGTATCTCTTATTATGTGGTGTTCGGGCCCGGAGAGTAATTGAACCTGCCAACCCCAATAACCACAAACGAAAGCTTTACCAACTTAGCTACTTAGGCAATAATTTTTTCACTCGCATAGACAACCTTGAATCTTTTGCTTAATTATTGAAGTTAAAAATGTTCGGGCCCGGAGAGGCATCGAACCTGCCACCCCTCATCACCATAGACAAACGCTTTACCAGCTGAGCTACAGAGTAATAATTCTGTCCTCTTAAAGAGAGGGTACCTCTTTGAGGTATCCTATAATAAGGTGTGTCCCAAAATTTAAATTTATTTTTCAGTTATTAAAATGTCCAAATTTTTATTCTTTAAAATTTTATTTTTAAATATTTTTATTACAATTGTTTTGACTGAACAATCTAATAATCGTGCAAAACGATTTATTTCTGGTTTTAGTCCTTTTGGAGGAGGCAATTTTGGTTGTGTTGTTTCGGTAATTATTTTTGGTATTTGCAAAAGTGGAGGGTTGTCCGCAAAAAATTGTCCGCAAAAACAACCTTCCATTCTCTACTTCTTCCATTATTTTCAAAAAAATATTTTGAAGGGAGGCAAACTTTATATTAATGGACGTTTTACAAAAAATCTTTCTGTTAAAGAAAATGAGGAAATGGAAAAATATATTAATGAATTGGGTGAATTCAAAGAATCTGCCAAAACATTTATTGAACAACAAAAACAGCAACAAACACTTTCTGGGGATACAAAAAGGCAACAACAACCAGAACCTCCCAAAAGGGTTTGTAAAAAGTTTTAAAGAAAAATCCGCAAAAACTTGCGGACTTTTTCTAAATTGTCCGCAAAAATTTTTTCGTCCGCAAAAGTTTAACCTCAAAAAAGTCCGCAAATTTTGTCCGCAAAAATTTTCAAATAAAAATAATTTTAATTTCCCTTTCCCACAAAATCAGCCAAGTTTTTGCTCTGAAAATGCCACAACGCAATTTGTTTTTGATGGATGTACAGTACAAGGAGATTATGTTTATATTGGGGATAAGCCTGTTAGAAAATTGAATGAAAAAGAATTGGAGAAATTAGAAAAATTTAAACAAGAATTTAATTTATATCAAGAATTTATTGCAAATAAAGTTAAAAAGGTAAATTTAAGAGATAAAAAATGTTTGGGCCAGGAGAGAGGTCGAACCTGCTACCCCTTGAACACAAGTCAAAAGCTCTACCACCTTAGCTACATGACTAATAATTGTATTCTTCTTTTGTTCTTCCCTCTAGAAGACCCCTGAAAGTATTTAGAGGTCTCTTATAGACCTCTAAAAATATTTGGACCCGAGGAGGATTCGAACCCGCAACCTCTTATCACTCCCATACAAAGATTTTACCAACTGAGCTACCTAGGTAATAATTTTTTTTATTCGTTCCTAGAGACCTCTGGGGCTTTTTTCCTCAAAAATATGTTTAAAAAATAACACTAAAAATATTTTTAATAATAGCACATGGAAAAATTATTTTCAAGTCAATTACCAACAAATAACGAAAAAGAAGAAGAATCACAATTAAAAATAAATAATACAAGCAAAGAAGATAATAATGAAGATGCTAATTTAGATCAACCAAAAGAACCCAAATCACCTGAATTTTGTGTTCTTATTGTTTAAATAAAATTTAATATTTTATTTGTGTAAACCCAATAGATCAACGTCCACAAGATCAACATCCAAGAGATCAACGAGGGAAGTGTCTATTGGGGGTGTTGATCTTTTGGGACGACCTCTTTCCGGAAAACAATCTACCGAAAAGGAAAAACAACACAAATTGCCTGAGGCAATATTTAAAAATTAATTCCTTACTTTCCTTTTCCAAGGCTTAATCCCCCTCTCCTCTTCCTTCAATCAAAAAATAAAAAATAGGCGGAAGACTAAAAAACTTTTTTTTTAATTTTTAAACTTTCCCAGGTAAAGAAACGATTATTAACTACTAAACGGCAATTTTTAAAGTTATTTTTTGTGTCGCTTTCTTTTTTCTTTTAATTTTTTTCTTATAAACATGCGCAAACTTATTAATCTCTTTTTTTAAAGATTAATCTTTTTTTTGGCAATTTTCTTTAAGTAGCCATAAATTATTAATCCCTTAAACATTACAAAAATAAAATAAATACGGTAATGCATTCAAAAACAAAATTCCTCAAACTTATCTAAACATCAGATTAAATCCTGCAGATTATGCAACCTCTTCAAGAAAAAATTATTTTTAGTGTAGTGGGAAAATGTTTTGATTTCTCCTATAAAGGTCGGAGGTTCGACCCCTTTTGTGGAAATAATTTTAGTTAATTAAAGATTTGGATACTTTAACCTTAGAAAAATATAAAAATTTAATTTTTTCTGTAAAAAAAATTTTTTTCAGATTTTTTCTGATTTTTAAAGTGAATTTTAATCAATTTATTTAATTAAATTTTAGTATTTTAATTTCCCACAGCCTTTAAGATAATAATAAAAATTATTTTTATTTTACTATCAAAGAAGCCTTTCTCTAGCTATTTATTTAAACCATTCACACGCTGATAATAACCAATTATCAACTAAAAAAATTTTTTGTTTGATAAAGAAATAAGCCCATTAGATCACCACCCTATAGAGCAACACTAAAAGGGAAGTGGTGATCTTTTGGGTTGGCTTTATTTAATTAAAATATTTTAAATAAATAATTAACACAAAATTATTTTTAAAAAAATTAATAAGGCCTCCAAACTGTTTTTCTTGAAATATTCCTTCGCCTCATTTTAAGACTGTCACTATTTACCTCTTTATTTTTATCTTCTTCTAAACTTTCCTCTTCTTTTTGTTCCTCTTCCTCATTAATTAAACTTTCAACATCCACAACTTGCTCTTCGTCCTCTTCATTTTCTTCTTTATTGTTTATTTCTTTCGATGGAGCTACTTAAAATATTTTTAAATATTAAAAGGTTTAAATAATCTTTTCTAAAAAAAATCCGCAAAATTCTTGCGGACGTCCGCAAGAATTTTGCGGACATTTTTTGCGGACTTTTTTAATTAAAAAATTAAAAAAACCTTTTTTAATTCCACAATTACCCCCATTATTAATTACATAATTAGAAGGATAATAATAATTTAAAAAAGAATTTTGTTGTTGTAAAGGAAATAAATTTAAAGAAGTTGAAGGAAGACGGTAACAAGTTGCTGGAGGTATTGGTGGAGTATTATTCGGGAATATATTATTTTTATTAGAAATATTATTAATTGGGTTAATAAAATAATTATTTGTATATTTTTGTTGATTAACTGGAAAAAATAGAAAAAAGTTATTTGCGGACATTTTTTGAAATTTGCGGACGTCCGCAAAATTTTTGCGGACATCCGCAAATTTTTGCGGATGTCCGCAAAAACGAAAATTTTCGTAAAAAATTAAAAAAAACAAACCATTAGAAATGAGAGACGGATTAATTAATTTATTATTATTTTGTTGTTGTATTGAAGTTGGAATTAAATTATTTGTAGCGAATAAATTAGAATTATTGGAAGAAACACCTAATGCACGTAATATTCTTTCAGGTACTTCTAATTGGACTCTTTTACATAATTCTGGCTAAATTTTTAAAAAAAGTATTATTACTTATAAATTGAGGGTGAATATTATATCTAGTTCAATTCCAAAATAGTAAACATGAAAATGCTGGAAAAACAAGAAAATCCGCAAAAAATGTCCGCAAAAATTTGCGGACATTTTTTTTGTCCGCAAAACTAAAAAATCCACTCTCACCAAATCTTAGTGAAATATTCACCTACAAAGGGAATTACTACATTTTAAAAATTCTTTGCCTGTAATCCAGCCAACAATTCATTAGTAGCCGCAATAGCAATAGAAACGCCTTTTTGGAATTGATGTCCATTTTCAGTCCCAACAAGTAATTGATTTAAATTTTGTTGTACTGATCTAAGTTGTTGTTGTAAATGTCCAACAAAAATTACAGTTTTTTCCAAAACATCCGCTTTTTCTAATTTACTGCTTTAAATTTAAAAATTTTTTTGTCCGCAAAAATTTGTCCGCAAACCTTTGCTGCGAGTCCGAAGTTAGTAATATTTCTTTTAATCTTTCAAAACAAGCATTTAATCTTGCCCTTCTTTTCCTTTCCATTATTGGCTTTTTTTGCTAGAAAAAAAATTAAAAAATATTTAAAAAAAATTTTTTTGTCCGCAAATATTTGCGGACAAATATGTACCCGCTTCTTTATCGAGGCTATATTTTGGGCCATAACTTTTTTGATTCCTAACCGATTTAAAAAATTATTTTATCAATCAAAAGCTCTGGATTTGTTGATTATTTTAGTTAAAAGGATTGATGTGATCAGATGATTCAACAAAACGATAAAGTTGGATAAGTACGCGCAATCACAATTTTCGGTCTCTATTCAATTGTAACTCTTTATGAGATTATCTTTTCAACTCATCCTGTAGCTAAAATAATCCCCACATCCAGAGCTTTCGATTGATATAATAATTATTCAAATCGGTTAAGAATCAAGAGTTATGGCCCAAAATATAGTCTCGAGACTGATCCGCAAAATTTGTCCGCAAATATTTGCGGACAAACATTTTTCTTCTTAAATTCAAAAATCAAAAAACACCTTCCTTTCCAAATGTTCAAAACTTGGACAATCCGGAGTAGGAGAACGTCTATTAGCTCCTCCACTACAAGCATTTAACCCTCTTCTATTTCCAAAAAACAGATTAAAATCTAAAATTTAAATAAATCAAAATTATTTTCAAAAATTACCAGGAATTTGAGGGTGATTAATTTGTTGATTTTTATTATTATTTTGTTGAGTTAACATTTTAATTTAGATTTGTTTATTTAAATAATCTGAAGAAATAATAAGGTAAAAAATTTAAAAAAATTACGAAAAATTTGCGGACAGAAAAAAGTCCGCAAAAATTGTCCGCAAAATTTTTGAGGACAATTTTTAAATTTGCCAGCAGAAAATATTTTTCTGTGTAAGAGGGGGTACTGAACAAGGACATTATAATTCTGTCAATTTCAAAAAAATTAAAGATTTCTACAAATTCAACCAGTCGTTAAGCCTCTAATTCTAAAAATATTGCGGTAAAATAAATAAAAATTATTTCTTTCTTTTCCTCCTTCAAGTCACGCCCCCATTTTTATATATTGCGATAGGATATTTAAAAAATTGGGGCGTGTGCTTTATTTAATCCAACCAAAAATGTTTTTCTAGAAATGAGGAAAAATTCTTAAAATATTGCCAGTTAACTTATAAATCTAATCTCGATAACACGTCAATTTATAACCATGAGTGAAACGTCTTGTGAAGATTCGACTTATAGTATCGTTAACTGTCTCTGGAAAGTTATTTTTCATTGAATACTGATACTACTGGTCGGTAGAATCGATTTTCAGGATTCGGATCGTATCCAACCGGATTTTTCTGGATTAATCCGGGACGGAGAAAATCCGGAGAAGCGAAAAAAACTCAGATTTGGGTCATGGACTCAAAAGGAAATCCGGGCGGATCCGATCCCGCCTCTGTCACCAGCTGACACGGTTTCTAAAATATTCAATTTGCTACATATCTGGCTTTCGCCTCAATCAACCCCTAAATCATCTATATTGAATCCAAACATCCACACCTACATACTGTTTCCTTCCACAATTTCTGCTTCAACAAAAATATTTTTTTCACCTTAAAAAGTCGAAGCGGGGTGCTCAATATCACAAAGGAAGAAGATTGGAAAAAGTGGCTGGGAAAGGGCGGCAAACACCCCCTTCCAATAACCATATAAAAATAATAACAACAAACACTGATTGAGCACCTTCTCCTTTCCACACACCGACCGCTTTTACTAGCGCTAATTCGGTTCGTGTTCAACTGTGTGGGAAAGAAGTAAAAGAGCAAAATGGGAAGGAAAAAAGTGTTTTTATACAGTTGCCGATAAAAAAAATAAAAAATAAATTTTTTTGTTGTTTAGGATCAGAAAATTAACTAAAAATAATAGTAGTTTAAATATTTTTGGGGAAAATTAAGAAAGTTTTCGCACGCGACAAATTGGGCGTAAATAGTATTTAGATGCTTTTGAAGTACCCGACAAATGAACCTTTTGAGGGTATTTTATAATTAATTTTTTCTTTTATTTTGGCACACTTTTGAAAAGTTGAGGACATTGATTGAACATAATACACCTTAGTTTACCTATACACTCTATTTTACGAAAAGCAGGGGTCTGGTCGGAAATGAGCAGGGGTCTGGTCAGAAATGACGAAGGTGTCGGAAATTAGAACTGTCGGAAATCGGAAATGGCTCAAAAGATGGAACTCGGAAATCAGCCTACATTTTCGGAAATCGGAATTCCGACCGACCCCGGAGGGAGCTGCTTTTGTTTAGCGATACCCCCTATTTTTACGTTCCCTTTATCTTCCTGAGGGTCTCGTTTAATCGAAATTCAACTGTAATTTGTATTTTATAAATTCCTTTTTCTTCTAAAACCGCAAATAAAATCCGCAAAAAAATTTACTTTGCGGATTCTACGGTTTTAACAGTATTCCTTAAAAGTTTCCTAGTATACCCTATCATCATGGATGTACCCTTCCGTGTCTAAAAAAGTGGAAGACGTAAAATGAAAAGGCCCCCCCCCATCCTTGCCATTCTATATTTTTGATTCTTACAGTCTCCCCAAAAAGTTTATATTTAATTTTAGCCTTTCCCACGTTATAAAAACGTCGGAAAATGTGTGTGTGTGTTTTTCTTGTAATTTTTGTGAGGGAAAAATAAATAATTTATAGATAGTCTTTTTATATTCTCCTTCCGTTTATTAGGTAGCGGGAAATTAAATTGGAAAAAAATTAGAAATTAAGGGGGAGAGGAATTTTGGGAGGGAAATGAAGTAAAAAAGGAGGGAATTGAAGGGGTAGAGGGGGTGTAAATTTGAGAAACACAAAAAATTAAAAAAAGAAATTTTTTTTTGTTTGATGGCCCTAGGTGAGAGAACAATTATTTAATCAAAAAAAATTCTGAGAGCATGGGAAACAAGCGTGGAGGGAAATCCAGAAAATTTTTTTTGGAATTTTAGGCAAAAAATTATAATTAGAATGACTAAAAACATGTTGGAATTTGCCTTAAAATAAATTTAATGTGTTCAAATTTTGGGGAATTGTCCGTCCCTCTATAATTTTAGGAAAATTCCTGAAAGATGCTCATTTTAAGTGTTCGATTTTGTGAATTTAGCTACTGGTTGAGAGGGGCTAAAAAAGGACAAGGGTTTTTAAGGGCCAGGGGTGTAGAGGCAAATGGATTTTATCAATATTCAGAAAAGTACCGAGTCGCTACTATCAGTAGTACCGCGATAATACCGAACGGTGCCTAAACTACAAGGGCGTACAGACTAAAATTAGATTTTGACTGAGTATATGGAAATTCAACGAATTTTTAATTAAAATTTTGTAAGCCTTGTAAAGGTTTGTGAGTATTTATGAACCAGGAAACATATTTGAGACAGTTTAGTTATTTCTCGATTTGATCAAAAATAAAAGGGGGATGGTTTTGTGTGTTATGGTGATGGGAAAAGGAAAAAGAAGGAAATGTTGTTGAATGGGTGTTTCTTTCATTTTTATTATTAAAAATGGCCAAGAAAGGGAGTGGCTGGAAATAAAAATATTTTTTGTCCTCAACTAAAAAGGAGGGCTAAAACCAATGGAGGGCTAGAACCAATTTAACAAGTCTCTAATATCGAAAAGAGTATTAGATTGTACCTAATCCCCCAATCCTCCCAATCCAACACCACCTTCCTTCCAACATCCAAAATTAAGACCCGAAGGTAAGGCTGTGGGATTCCTGGAAAAACCCCGAATATCCAGATCCGATGCGTAAATTTAGAATAACATGGCTCTATCGCATCCGGAAATTTCCGGATTTCCTGCCCTTTTCGGGGCCGGATCCGCCATACCCTATCCAGAGGGGTATTAAGGTATCCGAGGTATATCGAGCTTCTACTTTATTTTCTCAAAAAAGAAACAGATGTTTATATTAAATAAGAAAAATAAAAATAAAAATGAATGGCGGGAAAAATAAGAAAAAATATATTAAATAGGTTTACGAGGCGTAACGTTACTTACTCGTCAAAGAAAGAAATACTAGACATACTGTATATAATTTAACGGCGAATGGCTGTCACTCTCACTCCGTTTGTCAATAAAAATATAATAAAAAATTTTAAGAAGTGATAAGATTATTTGATAATATTTTATGAAACAATTTTTCCATGCAAAAGTTTTGCGGATTTTTTACTGAAAAAAATTTTTGCGGACAAAACTTGCGGACTTTTTTTTGTCCGCAAGTTTTTTTTTCGGATTTATTAAAAATAAAAATACCAAACTGACCAGCCTTTTTCCCACACATTCTGATCTGTCCATTTTTACAAAAAAAATTCTGTGTGCACATAAAATGGCGATAATATAAAAAACACTTTCCCATACGCTTTAAAGAAATGTGGCGAGTGGTCATCCAGCGCCACAGTCATTTTTTTCCTTTCCAATCGCTGTTCTTTTAACCGGCTGGTTCTCATAAATCATTAATAGAAAAAAAAACTTTTTAATATTAAAGGGAATTTACTAAAAATAAAATTTATATATTAAATTTAGCCTATCCCCCTAGTTTTTGCGGACATTTTGCTACAAGAAAATATTTGCGGACAACTTTTGCGGACTTTTTTTTGTCCGCAAGTTTTTTGCGGATATATTAAAAATAGCAAATGATCAGCCTTCTTCCCATACATTTTGATCAGTCTCTGAAAAAAAAGTCCGCAAATTTTGTCCGCAAATATCAAAAGCGTCGGGCGACTTAAAAAATTTATGAGATAAAAAAGTGTGCAACAAACACATTACATAAAAAATATTTTTAATCGACTATTAAACATACCCCCATTTATATGATTGGCAAAAAAAAATCTGAGAAAAATAAAAATAAGGGGAAAGAAGAGTGTGCCGGGTCGGCGATTTAAAAAAAAAATAAATAAAAATTATGCAAAAAATGTATGGGAAAGAAAAATAAAAATATTATTTACTTTCCATGCGTATTAAAAAATGATAAAAAAAATAAATAAAATTTATTTTATTAAAAAAAGTCAACAAAAAAATAAAAAAATTTTTTAACAAGAAAATACTTTAACTGAACAATCAACTGACCCACTAGCAATTCTTTCAGAAAATGACCAATCAACACATAAAACCCGGTCTTGATGTCCCATTAAATCGTAGAGAGCAGCTTTTGGACTTCTTATGTAGAAAAAAATTTTTTAATTATTAAAACTTGCGGACGAAATTTGCGGACAAAAAATTTTTTGCGGACAGACTTTGCGGACAAAACTGAAACCCATTGAAAATGAAATGAAGGACCATGTAGCAATGTTCAACACTATTGAATGGATACAGGAGAGATAAAACCGAAACCTGGGGATTATCCACAATTGTTTGTCCGCAAATTATGTCCGCATTTTCTAATTATTTTTAGAGAATTAAAAAAACCTTGTATCCCACATCTTCACAGTTCCATCAAAACTTGAAGAAGAAAATAAATATTCATTTAAAGGAGACCAACAAACATCGGATACCCATGCAAGATGTCCACAATAAGTATTTTTAACTAGAGAACCTTCTGAAAATTAAAAAAAAATATTTAAAATATTTTTATTTATACCTTTGCTTTTTAAATCCCACATTCTAATAAAAGAATCGGTTGATGCTGTCAAAGCAATACCATTTTTAGGATTTAGTGAAAGTGCAGAAAATGCTCTATTTGAAGGCAAATTGGTTATTGGACCTTTTTTTGATAAATTTAGAAAAATTTTTAAAATTTACCATGCCCCTATAAAGATAAAAGCCAACACCTTTCGGCGTTTTAGCATGATAGCGTCCACCCCCTTCGAGAAATTAAAAAGATAAACCTGCCATTTCCAAATCCCAAACCAATATTTGTTGATCCCAAGACACACTAACTGCTTGACCCGAATTTAAGGGATTCCATTTAATATCCACAACAGCCTCTTTATGTGCTTGTAGAGTTACCATTGGAGTCTAAATTTAACTTTTAAAATCTAAAAAAATTTTTAGTTGAGTAGTCAGTTTATTTTCACGTTAAATTTCCCTCGAGGTACAAGAAAATTTTTTTTGTTAAGAAACACCCAAATAAAAATTTATAAAAAAAACCTTAGTATTAACAACTTGATCAATTTTAGGTCTTTTTGAACTTCTTGAAGATGGAGAAATTTCTTCATCAATATTATTGTCAATTGAATTGTCTAAATAAAAATATTCTAAATTTAATTAAAAAGAAAACCTTCAGAAATATTCCAAACTTTAACAAATTTATCAAAAGAACCAGAAATTGCACGAGTACCTAAAAATTAAAATAAAAATTTAAAATTAAAAATAAAATAAAAAAACCATCATTATTAATAGCAACACATTCAACACTTCTTTCATGTCCTCTCAAAACTGTTTTTGCCAAAATATTTTGTTGACCTTTTTTAACATTTCCTTCCATTTTAAGTAAATAAAGTGTTTGGTTTTGTGCTCCAACCAAAAATGAAACAACTTCAAAAAACAAATTTAATTTTTAATTTTAAAAATTAAAAAAAAACCATTATTTCCATGGGAAAATGCATCCAAACATTTTATCGGCTCCTCATCCAATTTTTTAACCACATTCCTTTCAGCAATTGTTTCAGTTTTATTTTTTGTAATATTCCAAAGAATAAATTCCCCTCCATAATTAACTGATACAATGCTAAGTTAAAAAAATTTAATTTTAAAAATTTTAAAAAATTAAAAAATCTTTTAAAAGAGCTCAGACTATGAAATTTTCAACAAAATTATTTTTCTGAGACTCTAGTCAAATATTTCTTCATTGCTCTTTAATTAAAAACAGTTTGCCAGAAACTGGGATCGAACCAAGCCATATTTTTATAAAAGTTAAGAAATTAACCAACTACACCACAAACACTACTTATTGAAAGAAGAATAAATAACCCCAAATATCATTAATTTTAAGTCCAAATAATTAAAAAAAGTCCCAATAAACAAACATTTAAAATAAAGCCAAAAAATAGTCTACTAAATTTAGAAAAATCCTAGAATCCCCAAAAATACTTATCTTTTTATTTAAAAAATTAATATACCATTTTTCATTAATTATTTTAACATCCGCTACCCATTCAGAGTCAGTCAAATCTAATTGAGGCACTGGAGCGGGACTTTGTTCAATACATTCCAATTCAATAATATTTTCCAAAGAAAGTTTATAAGTGTCAATAAAATCAAATAATGATACTCTTAGAAGAATTGAGTCAATGAGAAAGTCGAATTTTAATTGCTTCCAATTATCTAAAAGGAAAGTCGAATTGGGCGAAGCTCTTCCTCCCGTACAAATTAGCAAAAAGGATTATTTTGGGGTTAGTATAAAGGGGAGGTCATATTCCGCCCCCCTACCCAGGAGACCTGGAATTTTTTGATCCGGCACACCGAAATTTTGAAAATGAGACTCGAAACAAGACCCGACTTTTTTCATCATTCCATGAACATTCCTGAACCACCGGACTGATGCTTTATCAGTTATACCAAGTAAAAGTCGGCCTAATCTTAGGAATTAAATTGTGGTTATATGTTTAATTGGGAGAATTCAAACAAAAAAATTCTCCAACTCTTCAAAACAAATTTAAAAAATAAACTAACCATTAGTTTCCCCAACTTTATTAATCAAAATATTCAATTGTTCAGATTCTGAAGATATTGGCACATTAAATATTTGTTTAGGCAATTGATCAGAAAACCTAATAAAGAAAAATATATTTTATTTAAAATTAAAAACCTTTCATCCTTTGTAAAAAATTTAATTTGAATATGAGAAGTGTCTAAAGGTATTGAAGATTCTTCTTGCATTTAAAAAATTGAAAAAATTTTTCTAAAAAATTCCAAAAACATTTTTAAACAAAAAAAATAATCAAAATATTTTTAAAATAATAAAATCAATTAAAAAGCCAATTAAATAAAAATTAATTTATTCTTTTATCTCCTTATATTTATCTAAATAAGGTTTTTAAATTTAAAATTAAGATCTAAAAAAATATTTTTAAGTTAAAAAATAGGGGGTGTTTGGCGATTAGTTAACAGAAAATAGGAATCAGGAGGTCGAAAACTAAGCTAAAACTGAAGACTGGGGATACGTACCGGGTAATAACCGATCGCCAACATTCCTAATTGAAGTCTAAAAAGATAGAAAAAAAACTTGTCTAAATAAAGAATAATAAGATCAATCAAGTCGTTGTGAGCAAAGTCATCATCTTTATAAAAAAGATTTTTAAAAATTAAAAAAAAAATTTAAAAGAAAAACCGCAGCATGAATAACATCTGGAGATGAAACAAAACAACAATTATTAGAGTCTCCAACAATTTCAACAACTTTCTCTTTAAGAGATTCCTTCATTGTAACAAAAATAAACATTGCACCCTAAAAAACAAAAAAATTTTAAAGTTAAAAATTCCAAAAAATTTTTTGAAAAAATTTTCAAAAAAGAAAAAATTTCAGAAAATCTTCAAAAATAGCATCAAAAATTTCTTTTAATTTTTTAAAAACCTTTTTATTCTTCTCCAAAGCATGTACAACCATAGGTAAATCAGAATGAGTATCTCCACAAATTAAAACTTTATCTTTCTCAATTGTATCACTTATTGTTTGGATTAAATGATCAATTCCATTTGCTTTATTCCAAATAATTCCATCACTATGTACAACAACTTCTACTTCAAGTTCTGTTGATGGGTCAAAATGGAGAATCTTTGAAAAAAATAATTTTTAAAAAGGTTTTCTAAGTAGAAAAATATTTACAGACACTAGACGAACTTACTAAATTATAGATAGAGTTTCAGGAAAGGAATAAAGGTCCCAAATAAGGATTCGGGAAAGAATAAGACCCAAATGGTCCATATTCCAAAGAAAATTTGTTTATGTTCGCAGATGTGAGGGAACGTTTCCTTCACGAAAATATAAAATAAAAACCTCTTCATTAGGATCAACTCTGTGTAATCTCTCCTTGACTTCTTCTTGATATTTCATTGAAAGGTCAGGGCTAACATGCTAATAAAAAATTTTTAATTTCGTAAAATTTAAAGAAAAAGACACAAAAATAAACCTTACAAACTGTTTGAACACCAAGTGTAAGACGGTCAACTTTACGTTGTACTCCACTTCCAATAAGTCCAAAATGAGAAAATTCTTGCTTCTGCAAAAGTGTTGACATCTAAAAATAATTTTTTAATTAAATTAAAAATTAATAAGTCGATACTTCATCCGAAAGCCTTTCTAATGCATCCATTCCAGCATCAGAAATACCTAAACAAATTATTTTTAAAAAAATAATTTTAAAATACCCTCCTCGTGTACAACTCTAAAAAATAAAATTAATTAAAAATCAAAGAAAACAAGAAACCTTTTCCCATCCAACCACCATTCACGTCCCCAAGATCCACCAAAAACAACAGGACCGTCTTTAGGTAATGATGTCAAATCAAGAATACCCGGTCCTCGTAACGGTCCTTTAAAGAATTTACTTTTAAAAAATAAAATAAAAATTAACCAGCAGTTAAGACAGCAGTAACTCGAGTACATTTCTTTAAAAATTAAAAAATTGTATTTATGGGCAGGCCCGTAGCCAGGGGGGGGGGTGAGGGGGGGGGGAATTCCCCCCCCCCCCCCGAAATCGCCTGCGGCGCTGAAAATGTATCGAGGAAGTGGTGATTGCTTGAGCAAAATATTGGAAGCTGAAATGATTTTGTTTTTTATATCTGAGAGTCCGCATAAATTGGCTTGAGATAACCCATAAACACAAAAATAATTTAAAATTTACATTTGAAAAAATAGCCATACTAAGGGCACTATAAATTGGCTGCAAGTTTGTAACATATTGTGAGCAATAATCTTTCATTGTCCCATCCCAGTCAGTTATCATTATAGGCTTTCTACCTGATTCGGAATTATCGACAAAACGTTTCAAAAAACTGAAAAAAATAAAAATTATTTTTAAAAAATTTGCCCTTTACTTGACACATTTTGCCTGTTCTTCAAAAAATACTTGAGAACTAGTTGGATGATATGGAGCTAAAACACCAGAAAAGTCAATAATTTCAAACAACTTTTTAACATAATTATTGGTTGTATTGTGAATTGAATGAAGTCTGTCTAGAAGAACCAAATCTTTCTTTGAAATATTTTTTAACAAATTTAATAAAAATTTAGGTGATCCTCTACTTAACTCGTCCAAAGAAAAAATTGATCAAAAGATGTACTTTTAATATTTTTGAGGCTCAGCCTCCCTACTCAGAGGCTGAAAATTTATTCCAAGCTAATATTCAAACCCCACTCGGCACTCGATTACCTTCTAATAAACCTCAAAATTATCGCAAAAACACCTCCTGTCCATTTTCTTCTAAGGCGAGTAAAGAGAAGGTTGCCAAAAATTTTTAAAAAATACTTGAAGTCCAATAATTTCGTCTTTAATGTTAATTCGCATTTTTTCGCTGCTTTAAATTAAAAAATATTTTTAATTATAAAAAATAAAAAAATAAATACTTTGATATCACATCCTTTTGATAATTCTCAGAATTTGATAAAATTAAGTAAACTTTGCGAAATAATTGGAGACATTCAACTAAACATGAAAACAAAGTTTTGTCAGCATTTTCAATATTAGTTGTCGCCTCGTAGTCTCTAAGAAAGGCACAAACAAATTCTCTGCGTTTACTTTGAACCTACAACTTTTAACTATAAAAAAATTTATTTTTAGAACTTAAGAGACAATCCCAATCACAAAAAAACAGCCCAGGATTGGTTGGAAGTTAGACTAGAGAACTCATCAATGTAAGGTTGTTAAACCAGCCCAAGTACTCTAACAAAAGACCAAGTATTAACCGGGTTGAAAAAGTCGGATTTGGTTACGGGTACCCAAAGGCCCGTAGAGAAGAAAAATTCTTTTGACATGGTCCCCTGACCTTGACACCGCATCTATTTTCGAGAAACCCGATCACTCCATAGATGGTGTTTTTTATTTCCTAGTTTAAAAAAAACCTCGCCGGCCTTACATAAAAAATTTACCTTATACATTAATTTCTTAAAATCATCCACACTTCCTTGATGTTTATCCATTCTTGCAAAAAGTTCTAAAAATGAAATTTTAAGGAATAAATTCAATTCCAAACCATTCCAGTCAATTTGTGAGTCCACAGCAGAAGAAAAAACCGAATTACTTCTTACTTGTCTGTCAATATTGCGTTCATCGTCCATTTGTGTTAATTTAATTTAAAAAATATATAAAATTTTATTTGTGTTGTTCTCAGAAAATAAAAAAAAAAGATCTAGAAAAATAAAATAAAATCTCAAAATTAGAAAAAAATTAAGTACACACTGAATCAACGACTTTGAACCGTCCAAAATCTACAATTAAAAAGAGCCATTTCAGTGCCAGAAAGACTTTTCCGTTTTTTCTTTTTTTTCTTTTCCGCTCTATTTTTTTCGTGCACTATTTCTTCAAATATTTGTCTTTTCCCGGATTTTTCGACTTTAAAAAATCACAAAAAATTTGTTAAATTAAAGATGATCAATTGGGTTAATTTTTTTCTTTTTTTTTTAATTCCCCCCCTTCCACTCAACTTTTTTAAAAAAATGTGAACTTTTCTCTCTCAACAACCTTTGCCAAATAACAAATAAATTGACGTCTCTCTCTCATATTTTTTGTTTATTCCAATTCCTCCCCCTCCACTTAAATTTTGTTCTACTTAAAAATATTTGTGAACTTTGTTTGTACTTTTTTTTAATAAAAAATAAATTTAATGTTTTTAATGACAAATTTTTGATTTAAAAATTTATTTAAAATTGTCTTCCTTTTTTTAATCTAAATCCAAAAACTTGTCATAATCTCTTAATAAATAATAAAAAATACCCCTATAAACAAGTATCTAAATTATTTAAATTTCCCTTTAAACCAAATTTTTGTCCCCAAAATTTTTTTTTAATTTTTTGTTCCTATTTTTACATTTAAAAAAATTACTAAGACTTCTCTAAAAATTTTTTTGTTGTTCTTTGTCACACAAATATATTCTCAATCACCATTTTTCAGTCAAATATTCATTCGTCAAATTTGAACGTATTTATTTTCAAAAAAATTTTTTTTTCTCCCTTTAACAATTGGGGAATTTATTTTTAATGTTTACGAACATATATTAATTATAAAAATATTTTATTCCGTTCCTCTACTTTTTTTCTTTCAAAGTTTTTTTAAAATTAAGATTTATGTTTGTCTTTTCAACTTTGTGATTGCCATTTTTAATTTTAATTATTTATTATCCAAATATTTTTTCTAATTTTTCAGCTTTAAATATTCTTTTTTAAATTTTCTTATTTTTTCAATTTATTCAAATTACTTAAAAATCACAAAAAATAAATCACAAATTCAATGCAAATCCATGACATTCACGAGAACAACAAAAACAATAGGGCAACGAAGGATGATGCTATTGTGAAAGGAATACAACTTGGATTGGTTCGTTTAAAAATTTTTTTTAATTTTAAAAAAAGGTTTGTAAAAGACTTTCTTAATCTTAAACTAGTGATTGAGATTTTTGAAAAGCCTAGGCCTGTTCCTAGGTTTTGGGTTTGATTTATTGACCTGGGCCGGATCCTAGGCCTGTAGTTCGTGAGAAACCCAGGAAGGTCAAAAAATATCGAAGCCTGGACTCTGGGTACATGAAAAACCCAGGCCTTGGTCCAGGCTCAACTCGATCACTAATTTTAACCAACGTTGTTACTGGACTTCCTTTCCTTGGAATTTTATAATTTTTGAATAAGACACCTAATTTCTTTTTAAAATTATTTTTCCTGCTTTTCCAACCCCCAAAAGTTTTTTTAAACTAAACCCCCATAGTATATTCGTTTCTTTCCTGCAAATATTAAAAAAGGGGGAAACGAAAAATAAAAAAAAGCATTAAATACGTGGATTAGTTTAAAAAGAATCATTTCCCTATTTTCTGTTTACCAAGATTTTTAAAAATGAATGGGACAAGGAAGCGTACAAAAAGTTTAACTAATTCCTCGACTGATTCTGTTGTCCTTATTGAAATGAATGTAAAAATTAATTTCTAAAAATAATAAAAAAATTTAAAAAAATTTTTTTTAAAGTTACCCAAAGGAGAAGGAAACTCATCACCAACAACTACAAATCCGGAGGGGACGGTTAGTTTACTTTTATTAAAATTTGGGTTATTAATTGAATTGGAAGGCAGAGGTCAAAAACGGCCGAAGACCGACCGGTTTCGGATAAGAAAACCGGAGATTATTCAAAGACCGAAGGCCGGCAAACACTGAAAAACTGAGGGTGCCAATTAATAACCGGTAGGAAACAACTCTAATTAAAACTCTTTAAAGATGACTTCAACCTCTTCTGAAAACGGCGATTGTTGGACTAATTTAATGCAATTTATTGAACACTTACAAAATATATCGTTAAATTTTTTTGAGAAGAATGAAGCATTTTTGAGGGGAATTTTATGGATTGGGATTATCTGTGGTTATCATGTATTTTTACGTAAGTTTGTTTAATGATTAAAAAGCTTGGCTCTTGTCCAATTTATGCGTCCAGGGACGCAGAAAATTTTTTTATTGGACGCGAAGAGAAGGACTGTGCCAGTTTCGCCTTTCGGTTTCGCATTTCGCCGAACTTTGCCTTTTTGTTATTTCGCCTCAGTTTCGTATTTCGCTTTCCAAAATCTGTTTCGGGACATCCCTAGTTTAAAAGGTTGATTGGACGCATAACCGGGCAATATCCAAAACTTCTTTTACCTCTCCTCTACAATTTCCCACAGTTATTTCCATGTTCCACAATCACGAAAAGGCGCTAAACTTATTTACAATAACTCTCCTTGTTTGGTTTTTTATCTTCTACAAACGTGTACTTTTACCGCTGTTTGGATATAGCAGAGAATTTCAAAGGCATCGAACGCGGTTTTCAAATTCTTTTGAAAAATTGAGGCAAAATATTTTGTTCAGAAGGTTTTTTTAATTTTTTTTATTCTTTTGAATAAATTAAAGGTCATTTTATGTTCTCGCGGTTGCTGTTCCTTTACTGTATATTCTGTGGGATACTAGAAGGTTATTTTTATGAATATTTTTAAAATTATCTCTAGTCTGGTTTATGAATCCAATTAGAATCTTTGGGCCTACAGACTAGTCTAGAGCCATAAACTTTTCTTTCGAAAGGCACCCGACTTGCACTTAACGGGGAAAACTCAGGTTTGATGCCTGGGGGCAATAGTAGAAGTCCTATATAGCACTTAAACGAGAGCACGCCTCAATAGGAAGGCAATCGGATCCTTAACAAACTCCTCCATAAGTTAGTGCATAAATAGCCTTTTTGGGTTGGTTTAATTACCCCAAAAATTTTTTCTATTTTTTTCTAGCAATCTTCGCCGTTTAACAGGCTTATATTCACTTGTATTTTTCTTTTTGTTTATGTGCTTTTTCTCACACAGGCCAACAAAAGTTTGTTTTTTATTCAAATATTTTTTTAAATTATTCTTTTCAGATTAATTTTCGTCCAATTATTTGGGGATTTTTACTTCAATTTATTTTTGGTATTTTGGTGCTTAAATGGGTAAGAAAATAAAGTCTGGAAATTTTCGAAAAATATTTTTAAAAGGATTGGGGTGCACATCGTTTTATTGACCTTTCTGATTTGGCTATTGCTTTTCTTGATTTTACAAAAAATGGAACTGATTTTACTTATGGGTTTTTGTCGAGCCCTCCAAATATTTGTGGGATGGAACCTGTTATTGCCTTTCAGGTTTATTTTTTGGTTAAATCGACTAAAAGTTAAAATAATTCAAACAAGTCCGCAGCCTTTATCCGCAAGTTTTGAAAAAGTCCGCAATTTTGAAAGATCCGCAAATTCTTAAAAAAGTCCGCAACTTTTTCCGCAAAAAAACCTGCGGAAATTTATTTTACAATTTTTAAAAATTTATTCCTTAAAGGTCATTCAAGTAATTATCTACATTGGAGCTATCGTGTCTATTCTCTATTTTTACGGTGTTGTACAAGCAGTTTTAAAACGAATGGCCTGGTTAATGCAGTTAACTATGGGAACTACTGCTACAGAATCTTTAAATGCCTGTGCTTGTGTTTTGCTTGGAAATGTAATTTTTAGAAATTTTATTTAAAAAAATTTTTTAAAGGCTGAATCTCCTTTTTTAATACGTCCTTATATTGAAAAAATGACTGCCTCAGAACTTCATGCAATTATGACTACAGGGTATAAAATAAAAAATCTTTATCTGAAAAAAACTTGCGGATTTTTTGTATTTTTAGATTTGCTTGTATTGCCGGTGCAGTTTTTGCTGCTTATATTAGTTTTGGCGCGTGCCCTCGTTATTTACTCTCCGCTGCTGTAATGAGTGCCCCGGGTTCGTTGGCCTGTTCAAAACTACTTTATCCTGAAACAGAAGAATCGCATGTTAAAGATGTTAAGGATTTGGAGCTTCCACCAAGGTTTTAAAAAATATATGCTCAAAAAGTCCGCAACTTTTATCCGCAAAAAATTGCTGACTTTTGGAGCATAAAGGAAAAGAATCGGCTGAAATTTAAAAAATTTTTAGCAAAGAAACAAATGCTATGGAGTGTATTTCTAGCGGTTCTTTAGTTGCTGTACATATTGTTACCGCTGTTGTTGCAAATTTAATTAGCTTTATGGCATTAATGGCACTTGTAAATGGTTTGGTTATTTATGCGGGTACATTACTTGGTCAGCCACATTGGAATTTGGAATTAATTTTTGGTTATTTATTCTTTCCTGTTGCTTATATGATTGGAGTTACAGAAAATTTGGAAGAGACAATGGTTTGTAAAAATTAATTTTTTTGGATAACTAGGTGGGCCTCATTATAGTAAGAGACACCCTTGTGGTTGTGAAAATATCCCTTTTAATTAGGTATCTATTAAATAGAGGGTATTATTTAGGTATCTCTTCCCACTAGGGAGTTGATCTTTTTAAAACTCAAATCGAGTAGTGTCTTATATGGGAGGTACCTTATAAAGAGGTCGACTATATTAGAATATTAAGAGAGATATAAGGAGATTAAGAGGGATTATCAGGGATTTGGGTTGATTAAGAAGAATTAGATGTGAGAATTGTCAATTAGGGCTGTGGGGAAAAAGAGTGGGGTCTTGGAAAGTGAAAAAAAAATGATTAAATTTTATTATTTTTTAATAAATAGATTGTTGCCAGGCTTATTGGTGTTAAAATAATAATAAATGATTTTATTGCTTATAAACGGCTTGGAGATGTACTAAGAGAAGATTTACTTTCAGTAAAATATTTTTATAAAATTTCTGAAAAATTTTTCTCTTTTTAAAGCCTCGTTCAGCAATGATTGTTACTTATGCCCTTTGCAGTTTTAGCGATTTTATAGCAGCGGGTATTCAAATGGCCGTGTTAAGCGAAATGGCACCTTCTAGAAAACAATTAATTTCAAAATTAGTTTTGAGGGCATTACTAGCTGGATGTATTTCTTGTTTTATGAGTGCAGCTATTGCAGGTTTATTTTAAATTTAATGTAAGAAAGGGGGTTGTTGACGGAGGAGGGGATGTCGCGGGTTGAAAAAATAGGCATCCTTCTTGATCCATCAATCCTAATTGAAATTTTTCAGTTGGTGGGATTAAGGAGGAAAAAGTTGGGTTTCGAGTCGAATTTCTGGAAAATTCTTCGGATCGGTTTCGGATCTAAAAAAGTCAGATTATTGGGTTTAGGGTAATCCGTGATACTTCTGCTGGTGATTGGGGAATTTTGGCCGGTGGTTGTTGAAATTTGAAGGACTTTACATTTTTAGGAATTTTAATTGATGAACCAATAGCTTGTAAACCTAAAAGTATTGGAAATGGAAAATGTTTCGATTTAAATGTACACCAAACCTTTATGGAAAAAATGATGGCAAATAATAGCACTGGATTATTTTGAAAAAAATTAGTTTTTTATTTATTTAATGTAAATTTTTAACATTTTGTGATATGTAAATATTTAAAATTAAATTAAAAACATAAATTTATATATTTTTGTTGTTGTTGAAAGGTAATTTAATAACCTTCAAAAAAAATTTTTTTTTAATTTTACGCGAGGTTTTTGACTGACTGCCAACTCACCAAAAATCAATTTTTAGACAATTTCCACATTTAAAAAAATTCGATAAATATTTCATTGACTAGACAAATCAATTATTTGTTAAAACTACAAAAATTGACATTTAATTACTCAAAATTGCCTTTTCGTCAAAAAGACATTTTGTCAGTTTTCTTTTATTTTCTCTTAAAAATCCTTATTTTTTAGTTGATTTATAGTTTTTTTCTCAACAATATTTTTGTTTAATTTTATTAAATTTTGTAACACACAAAAATGTTGTCTAGCAGGTTAAGAAGGTTTGAAAGAAATTTTTTTATTTTATTTTTTTTAATTTTAAATTTTTAAGGTTTGATCTGTACACAAAACCAGTAGAAGATTGTCGTGTAAAAACATCTTTTGGTGGAATTGGTTTGTTTTTAATTTTAAATTTTTTCAAAAAAATTTTCGGCAAGCTATTCAAATTTTTTTTAATTTTTCGAAAGACCTTCAAAATTTTTGAAAAATCAAAATTTTTCGTGAGGCCTTAAAAATTTTCAAAAAATTTCTAAAATTTTTTCCCTTTTTTCAGTCACACTAGTCAGCTTTTTGGTTATCGTTTTATTGTTTATAACTGAAACTTGGTCATTTTTTACTGTTCAAGTTGTTGAACAACTTTACGTGGTAAGTTAACTTAAAAAATTCCAAAAAATTCCTTCAAAGGATTCAACTAGCGCTGACCAACAAATCGAAATTCATTTTGACATAACCCTCCCAAACTTGGCCTGTGCTCTAGTTACAATTGATTTAATGAGTCAATCTGGGGACAATAAAGATTCTATAAAAGATGATGTTTTTAAACAAAGGTTGGATAAAAATGGGAAAGTTATTGAAGGAACTAAACCTGAAAAACAAGGTTTCTTTTTGAGTTTTTAATTTTTAAAAATTCTTTTAATTTAAAGAAGTAAATACTAAAAAAGATGGGAATAATTCTACGGAATCGTCCAAAAATAAAGAAAAATGTGGAAGTTGTTATGGAGCTATTCGAGGGTATTTTTTAGAATTTAATTTTTAGAAATTTAACACCCTTAGGTTCCCTAAATTTGTTCTTTTCCTTATGCTCCCAAAAGTCCGAAAATTTTGTCCGCAAGTCATATTATTGATTTTGGAAGCATAAAATAATTTTGCAAGGATAAAAAATTTATGGAGTAAAAGATATTAACAGTTCGTCCCCCCTCCTATTTTTCTTAGAATGCCCATAATGGTCAGACTTCCTTCTTTCCTCAATTCTACTTAATTTCACTGTCATATTCTGTTTTTTCCCTGAATAGAAAGGGAATAAACTCGATATTACCAAAATACCTCCCAAAAGCCTTCCGGGGTTTCTCCCCGATTTTCTTACTTCTCTTAAATCTTATAAAAATTCTTTATTTTACCAAAAGTTGTTGTAATACTTGTGATGAAGTTAGAGAAGCATATAGAGCTAGAGGTTGGGTATTACAAAATCCAGAAGAGATTGAACAATGTAAAAATGATGCTCTTCTTCGAGCGCTCAGTCAAATGCCTGGAGAAGGATGCCGTCTTTGGGGGAAATTGAGCGTTGGAAAAATTACTGGAAATTTCCATATTGCCCCAGGCGTTCCAAGCACTCATTCTAGTTCACATTGTAAATTTTTTTAATTTATTTTTCTCTAAATTATTTTTTAAAGATCACGACTTCCATTCTCTTTCCCCCGGTCGTTTCAATACTTCTCACACAATAAATCATCTTTCTTTTGGCCAAGCATTTCCAGGCAGGAGATATCCGTTGGACGGGAGAAGTGTTTATACGGATAAAGGTTTTTTTGAAAAATTTTTTAAATACAAAATTTTCTTTGGGTAAACGAATAATTTCATAGAACCGTCATTTCTATATTTAATATACCGTAAATAGAAGAATCCCGGCTCTAGTAGAAGTCCAGACCCTACATTTTGAAGTCCATTAATGAGCCTTATTGCATGTCCTTATAGAAGCCTAGTGCTTGTATTTATGGTATTTGCGTAGGAGTGGGAAGAAAGAAAAAATGTTGGGGAGATAATCGCCGTTTTTTCTGTTGAAAAATAATTTTGGCAAAAATTTTTTTAATTAAAAAAAATTTTTTCTTAGGAGGTATAATGCAGCAATATCAATTAAAAATAGTCCCAACTCGTTATATAAGTGATGGAAAAACAATCGAAAGTCATCAATTTTCAATTACAATGTTACAAAAGGATATTATGAATGGGGCTGGGGGAATTCCTGGAATTTTTGTTCAATACGAATTTTCGCCTTTAATGGTTCAATACGAGGAAAGACAGAGGTTTTTTTCTTAAAAATTCACAAAAAATTTTTTTCTCAAGGTCACTCAGCTTTTTTCTCGTATCTTTATGTGCAATTGTTGGGGGTGTTCACACTGTTGCTAGTTTAATTGATGCTTTGTTTTATAGTACACAACGGGCGCTTCAAGTTAAAGGAATGGTTGGGAAGTTTAGTTAGAGGTAAATTTTTTTAAATTTCTGATTTAAAAAATTTCTGGTTTTTTCTGATTTTTAAAAGAATTCTCTCAAATTCATTGTCTCATTTCCTTTTATTTAATAATAATGCTTTCCTATTTATTATGGCCTTTTTATGTGGATAATTTTCAGGGATTAATTACTCTTATTTTTTTAATTAAAAATATTTTTCTTTTATTTTCCGGTTTATTTTTAATTATTTTCTATTTATCCTTCTAAATTGTTATTTAATTATCAGATTATTTTAAGCATTCTTTGAAAATTTTAATTTATAAAATTTCTTTATAAAATCAATAGAAATATTTTAAAAATTGTATATAGTAAATGGCATTTTTTGGTTTAAAAAAATATTTCATAATTTAAATATTTTCTTTTGTTTATCCTTGTGGTATTTCTCTCCACGGAGTCTTAATTTTTAAAATTAAAAAATTTTTAACTTTTTCCCCAAATAAACTAACCAAATCCAACTGTGGAATTGAAGAGCAAGGCACAGTTGTTGACCTTTAAAAAATTTTGATTTAATTTCAAAAATTTTTCTAACCCATTTTCAACAAGAAAAGCATTTGGATTAATCCTTTTAAAATCTTCTCCAGTTGCACAAATGCAAAATGAAAGTGTTGTTTGTTGAATAGACTTTACTTGTGCTTGGGTAAATACGCCAGGGTTTTGAAAGAAAAATCTGGAAAAATTTTTTGAAAAAAAATCTTCGTAGAAAATCTCTTTAATTCATCCCTAAAGATCACCACTCTCTCAGTGTTGACCAAAGGGTTTATCTTTTTATTCAAAATTTTTTTTCAAACCTGTCCGCATCACGTATACGTCTAAATTGATCAGCAATTATACACGTAAAGGTTGGTCCCACCAAAGAACTGCCTGCGGGTGCTTCTAGTAATCCACCAACATAAAGGTCAACGTCCTCAAAATTTTTTAAATTATTTTTTAAATTTATCTTTCTTTAACAAACATCTACACTTGCATACAAAGCAGCTACTCTATTCTTAACTTCGGGTTCCAAAACTTCTAAAAAACAAAATAGATTTTTTTTAATTTTAGGCCCTCTAAACACCCTAAAAATCACCACTATTCAGTGTTGACCAAAAGGGTTGACTCCTTATAAAAATAATACCTGGCCAGTCCTGAAAGGAAGTCAGACGTTTAAGGCCACAAATGTCTCTGTAATCATTGTAAGGCCGAACGCCTTGGTCTCGACCTCTTTGAATATTTATAGAGCCCATGTCTGACACATCAAATAATTCCTTTAAAAAATTTTTTTGTAGAATTTTCAAAAAATTTTTCCAAACCTCAGTAACTGCGGGCGCCAAACGTTGTGGCTTTTTTGTCGGAACAGCCATCATACCCCTTTAAATAAAAATTTAAAAAATATTTTTAAAATTAAAAAATAACCTAATTAATTGATCAGTCCCAGTTCTCACAATTAAATCAACACTTCCAGCATTACTTACAAAACGAACATCCCCAATTTTACGAAAATTGGAATCTGCCAATTGATAAAATTCCTTTAAAAAATTTTCAAAAAAATTTTTCCTTTAAAAAACTCGAATTAATCCATGAAGTCTGTAAGCACCAGAAGTAAATTCTACAGCTATTGCTGGCTCTTCTTTGTCATTATAGCCAGAATATGGAGGGATAAGTTTTTTTAAACGATCGCCTAACAACGAGGGCTGTTCAAAAAGAAAATTTATTTAAAAAAATGCCCTTTTAAATTTTTGATCATGCCCAAAATATCAACACCCTTGGGGTACCTAAATATTTGATCTCTAGGCAGTTGATCTTTTGGACAGACCTTTTTAATTTTAAAACAAACCAAAAATTCTTGATAACAAATTGCTTGTAGAATAGCACCAACAATTTTACGTCTAAAAAATTAGAAAAAATATTTTTCAAAAATAAAGGCAAACGTTTCTTGATATACTCTATCTTGATTCCAATGAGGATTTAATTGTATAAGTGTTGTAGCAATTCTTTAAATAAAAATAATTAAAAATTTTTAACATTATAACCTATTATGTAAACGAACAAATATTGTATGTAATCCCATCTAAATAAGAGAAAAAATGAAAAGTAGGAGGAAGCGACCACCTATCGAAAAGCATCGAACCCAGGCCAAGTTACGGAAAAGTCGGGGGCGTTCACCACTACACTACAGCATTTTACGGAGAAAAGAGTTTGCTTTTTAATCAAGGAATAAATTAATTAAAAATAAACTTCAATTAAAAATAGCCAGCCAACAGAATGCTGTGGTGTAGTGGTTAGCAACCCGGACTATCATTCATCAGGGTCAAAGGTTCAATGCCTTACGTCGTTTGGTGGCTGTCTTTTTATAAAAAAATAATTTTAAAAATCCTTACCAAACCAACAAAAAGGTTACCACCTAAAAATTTTTTTTAATTCTCAAAATTTTTTTATTTAAAATTTACGATTATCTCCCGTCACCAAATTAGAACTTTCTGTTTGAGCTGGTGGGGGCACCGCAGAGAACGGGGGATTTGGAAGTGGTAAAGTTCGAAGTAGAGCACCAACACGCATTTCCTGGGCTTGATTTGGATTGCTTCCATAGACCTAAAAAATTTTTGAAAATTTTTAGAAAATTTTTCAAAAAATTTGCCTGCCTGTGAGGCATCAATCCACGCTCCATTTTCATTTATAGGTGTTCTAGGAATTCTTCCAGGTCCTTGTCTGCCTGAACCTGTACCACACAAAACTGAAGAGCGAGTCATTGGAATGCAAAAATTTGGTTGCTGTCTTTGAAAAAAAATTTTTTTTTTGAAATTTTTAAAAATAAAAATACTTTTTAAAGCGTGTATCATGTAAAGGAACAGGCATATTTGCACATTCTTCATGTACTGTTTCACACCGACAAAAATTTGTGACTGTATTTCCTTTAAATTAATTTAAAAATTAAGTACTTTTTATTCAAATTAACTTGTTATATCGTGACTTAGAAATTGCCCAAATTGCATCAAAAGACCATTAAAAGTTGTTAACACAACAAAAGAGCTACTAAGCAATAAATGGGTTACAGTGCGAGGATTTGGCACTGGCTTGCTTGTGCCTAAATTTTAAATTAATTTTAGAATTAAAAATTTAGCTGATCCACAAGATCAACAAAGGGCAGCGATTTGTGGAACTTAAAAATTTTTTTAGAAATTTTTTCAAAAAAAATCCAGGTCCATCGAATATTATTTTTAAGAAAAAATTCAAAAACTTGCCAACCATCCTCGCAACCCCATCCTCATAATTAGCTGGCCGTAGTCTTCCAAAAGGCATAAAAGCAGCCCCTCGAAGCGACCTCCCTTCCACCAAATTATTGCAAGAACCATCAAATGTTCGATAACGTAAATGATAACAAACATTTGAAGAACACGAATTTTCTTGATTTCTTCCAAGACAGCCAATACTAAATCCGCGATTTTCAAATTGTTCTCTTGTTGGGATATTTCGTGTTGGGGCTTAAATAAAAAATGAAATTACCGTCAAATCCATATCCTATCTCTAATAGAAGCCCAATCCCCCGGTACTAATAGAAGACTGAGGGGCCCACCCCCGTCTCTAATATTGAAAAATAGAAGCCCATAGCTTATATTAGAACATTTACGGTAACTAAAAATTTTTTACTTTCGCTAGTTTGAATATTCATAAAACACTTTGCTATTTGTGCAGAAAAGAAAGGCGGCAATTTTGAAAATGAAGTTGGTGGCGGTTGTTGGTTTGGTGGTGGAGGAGGAGGTGGAGGAGTAGGCACTAAAAATTAAAAAATAAAAAAAATAATTTTTAAACACACACCTTTTTGTGGACAAACATTACAAGAAGCCACACACTGTCTATGCATATATTTTGAATTTCTTGGGCATTCACCAATTGCAGCCCAAAACGGACAAAAATTCTGAAAATTAAAATTCAGAAAATAGTTAACCCAGAAGATCACCACTTTCAAGCACAACTTTTTAGTGGTGATCTTCTGGGTCAAACTTGTTCTTAATTAAACTTACGTGAGTATCCATAGGAAATCCACCAGGACAAATTCTTTTGACAAGAAATGAGAAAGAATTTTGCTCCCGAGATATAGGGGCAATAATAAAAATTATTATTATTTGAAGTAAAATTTTTTTGAAAAAATTTTCTGACATTGCTTTAAAATTTTAAGAATTTTTTAAACTGCCAATCACTCAAAAAATAAAAATTTTTTAAAGAAATTGTCTCAAAAAAATACACTAAAAATAAGTACAAAACAATGCTCAGCTGGAGGCTATTATTATAATCGAACACACAAAAAAGCATAAAATATCAAAACAATTCTCTCTCCCATAAACTGTGTCCAAAAAGGGAAGGGGTGTTTAAAAAAGAATATTTTATACTTAGATAATCCCCCCTTTATTATCCACAAAAAATGTTTTAGTCAATCCATGTCTACTTTTACAAACAATGAAAAAAAAATATTTGGACATACTTTTCTAAGCTAATTTAAAAAAAATTTTTTTCTAGAATGAGTGGGAAGAATTTAAAAAAATCTTTTAAATAAATTCTTTTTTATTTACTTCCTTTAGAATCCCTTAAACAATTTCTTTTATTAGTAATAGACCTTTAATATACATTTGTAAGCATTTAAATAATAAATGAGCAAGACTTTGACCTTTTTTAAATAATAAAAAATAGTAATCATCTTATATAATCTTTCTCATATAAATTTTTATATGAGAAAAAGCCTTATATTTTTAATAAATTATTTAAAATCTTCTAAAAAATTTTTATCTCAAAATTTTATTAAAAATATAAAATCTGTTAATATATGGATTTTGAAATTCTTACAGTTGAAATTCTCTAACAAATCACATTCCAAATTCAACTGTTTAAGGAATAAGATAATTGAGAGAGAGACAAATTAGGCTAAAATACCCCCCCCCCCCTTCTTTCTCCTGGACTGACAATGAAATGGGCCGATACGTGAAGAAAAATAATCTGTAACGGTGTAACGTGTTAGAGAAGTTCAACACTAGAGTTCTAAAAATATACAAAAAAATACTATGTATTAGGGTTGTCGGGTCCGGGCTGAAAAAATACTTCCCATAATTTTTTTAAATAAAATTAATTTACACATTTTTAACGTCCTCCCTTCATTCTCTTATTGTTCGACAAATCCTTTTGCACCGGTTGATGAGCATCACCTTTAGCAGCACACACAACAACCATTTCCTTGAGTAATGCCAATTCTCTACGCATAGAATCAAGCGATCTTTTTTAAAAAATTTTAATTTAATTAAAAAATCAAAATTAAAAAAAACCTCTCTAACTGGGCATTTTCTTCTCTCAATTCTTTTACACGTTTAGAAGTGTTTTCTTGCTCCAAACGTTTCTTTTGTCTCGTTTTATTTACTGCAGCATTATTTTTCAATCTTTTGAGTGCATAGTTGTCTACTCCTGGCTGTTCTTGATCAGAAAAATTAAACTGAAAAAAAAATTTTGTTTAAGCCACAACGTTGTAGATTAATATAATTGTGATAAGGCCGAGACCAGCAAAGGATATCAGAATCCCATCTTATGCTTCAAAAATTGTAAAGCACCAGGGCTCGAACGGGACCCAGCTTATATATATTTTTTGCAACATGGATATGAACGCTTATCCTGGTGGGCCATTCTTCAGTTGTGGGAACGTGAGGTTATGAAAAAGAATAGACGAATTAACCCTATAAAAAACTCATGTAACCATTCCCCTCATTTCTATTTACTTCAATAAAAACCTCATTCTGTTGCTCATTCATTTGATTTTGGACATTTGATCCCGCCACTTCCGCAGCATTTCGCTTCCTTCTTAAGCTTCTATCTGTCGACATTTACTAATTAAAATCTAAAAATTAATAAAAATTGAATGTTAAAAATATATTAAATATTGTTAAAACAAAAAGAACAAAAAATCAGTTAAATTGTAAATTTTTAATTAAAAAAATATTATAAAATTATTACAAAAAGATAATTAATTAAAGACTGGAGGGAGTAAAGAGTCAAATATATCCTAAAAACGATTCAAAATATCGACAACTGTTTAAAGGGAAAAATTCTCACTTCCCCAGTCTTTAACATTCACTAGGCTATTATAATTTGGATAAGGCAGAAAAATGGGTATAAGAATAATTATTAAGATAAAAGAGATTAATTAAATCACAGAAAATGTGATAAAAAATTATTTAAGCATGTTAATAAGAGAAAAAGAAGGCGATCAGAAATTTGTATAAAAATGTTAAATTATAGAAGAATAAAGGCAACTTAAGAAATTTCGTTATCTCAATAAAAAAGAAAAATAAAATTTTTGTTAAAGATATCCAAAATACATCCAAGATACAAAAATGTCGCGGGCCGGAAAAAGACAGGGTTTCGGATCGGTCAGTTAGAAAAGAGGTAAAAAACTGGTTTTGGAAACCACCTGGAACGGGGTTTCGGGTCGAAAAAAGTTCAGATTTTGGATAACCCGTGACATCCCCGATATACAATTACAGGGTGCGGCATAAGTAACCGGACACTTTCTTTCTCTCATAACTTTATTAAAACACAATCAAATAAAATCAAAATACAATCAAATGATAGAGAATTAAATAAGGAACAATAATAATCAAGAAAATTCGAGATGCCCACCCTTGGCTTTGATACAGAGGCAAAGGCGCGAAGAAAAATTTTCGCAAATAGCACGCACCTCTTTGAGGGTAATTAAGTCCCACTCTCGGGTGAGAGAGTGTCGCAGAGACTCCAAACTTTTATGAGGCATAGCACAGGTCCTGGACTCCAAAATAGACCAAAAAGAATAATCCATCGGATTCAAATCCGGGGAGTAAGGTGGCAATTCCTGAGCGCTAATGAACCCCTGGAAATTGGCCTTGCACCAGTCATGAACTTCTTTCGCTTTGTGTACCGGAGCAGTATCCTGTTGGAAAATCCAGACTCTGTGACCGAAATGGCTCTTGAACCGAGGCTTCAGAACACGCTGAAAAAATTCTCGCAAGTAATAGTCTTTGTTGACTTTTACACCAAAATCCACGAAAAAAGGGGTTTTTTGACTGACGCGCAAATACCGGCCCAAACCATGACAGATTGGAGATGTTGGAAATGAGTGATAAGCTCATCGGAAAGAGGAGATTCTGTAGTCCAGATTCTATAATTTTGATGGTTGTGTACGATTTTTATTGTAAAAATTTTTTCGTCTGAGAAGGGAATGTCCGGACATGCGTGCCACTGAAGGAGCAGTTTGCATCTTTCAAGCCTAATTTTTTTGGTTTTTTCTGTGAGCAGTTGTGCTTTTTGGATTTTGTAGGGTTTTAACCCGAGTTTATTTTTGGCTATTCGACTGACGGTCCTTTCGTTTATTCCGGCTTCACGAGCCACTTTTCTTACGGAGGGTCGATAATTGAGATGCACCCAGTTTTTGATCATTTTAATATTCTTGGAAGTGATTACGGAACGAGGTCTTCCACTTTTTTGTAAGTTTTTAGTTGTGCCATCATTACTAAATAAATTTCAAAAAAATTTTCTCCCAAAAAATTTTCGCCAGAATTTTTTTATTGTGTCTTGTACAGTGCTCTTTGGGACATTCAAAAGAGATGAAATTTTGCGTGCTGAATTTTTTTGTAAAAAAAGTAGATTATAGAATCACGTTGATTAGCCATAATAGAGAATTGAATGAGCTAAAAAATAAGCCTAAAATCAATTAAAAATATTGACAATAAAAAAAGTTATAAGAAATATAAAAGTGTCCGGTTATTTATGCCGCACCCTGTACTTCTATATCAAATTCTAGACAACTTTCAACACAAAAACTTGAAAATCCTTTAAAATGTTTAAATTACCCACAGCAATTACTTTGTGCATTTCGAATTTGTTGTTGTGCTCTTCCAACCAAATTGATTCCATTTTCGTTATTTAAATTACGAGATTTGTTTCCACCATATCTTAAATGATTGGATAGATCTTCAAAAAATTTTAAATAAAAAAACCTAGTTTCATCTTTTCTCATTTCAGTAGCAAGACGAGTAGCCACTTCTTGAAAAAGTATCTCAACATTTTCAGAACTTGCAGCGCTAGTCTCAACAAAATAATCAAAATTATTTGCAGCAGCAAAAGACTCTCCAATGTGTGTTGGAACCTCACGCTCTTCTTCCTTGTCAACTTTTGTGCCAACAAGAATTCTAAATAAGCAATTTTTAGAGACATTTTATCTAGTGATGGACACAAACCCGACATCGAAAAACAGGTGGTTCAAAAACTGGAACCGAAAACCTGAAAGTCGAAAACCGGCAACAACCGAAATCTGGGGTACCGATAAATAACATGGTGTATCCAAAACTACTTCTAACCCTTTTAACAAGAAAAGATGATTAATAGATATAAAATCTATAATTCTCTCAAAATCTACAGCTTAACAAAACAATTTTTAATTCTTTCAAAATATTCACCTGAGTGCTTTCTTATTCGCGTATTGCTCAATTTCATTTATCCATTCATTAATACAATCAAATGTTGGCTGACAAGAGACATCATAAGCAAGTACTTTAAAAATATTTGCACTTTAATTTAAAAATTAAAAAAAAACCAATCGCATGGGCTGATCGATAATAAGATTGAGTTATTGATCTAAAACGCTCCTAAAAATAAAAATTTTGTTGAGAAAAAAAATAAAAAGCTCAAACCTGTCCAGCGGTATCCCAAATTTGCAGTTTTATCTTGTCTCCATTGACGTTCAGCGTTTTAATCATAAAATCCACGCCAATTGTTGCACTTTGTCCAGGCGGGAATACTCCCTAAAATGAAATATTAAAATTTCCACACAATAGAAGCAGGGATGTAACGGTTTGAGAAAAGTTGGAGCAGGTTTCCAAATTTTTCTTCTGATCGGATTTCAGGTCGGCTTTTGAAAATCTCACGGATCGTAAATAGAGTAACCCGCACATCGCTACCCCACTTATTGTTAGCAAAAAATCTTTAACAAACCTGAGTAAATTTCCTGACCAAACATGTTTTACCTAAATAAATAATATAATAAAAAATTAAGTATAGAACAAACCAACGCCAGCATTTCCAACAAGAACAACTTTGAATAAATATTTGTGGTCATCCATGCATCCGAAAGAAGACAAAGTAGTGTACCCAATAAATTAATACATTATAGTTTCTAGTAAAAATTAGATTTAAAAAAATTAAAACAACAAAACCGAGTTCGGTATAAACAAGAAAAATTAATCAAAAATAATTATTTTTTAATAAACTCCAAAAATAAATTATAACAATAAAAGGAAAGAACAAAAAATAAAAGTTCTACCTGAAGTGTATTTTTTTTAAAATTGAGGGTAACAAAAATAAAAGATATTCAAAAAATAAAACAAAGCCTATGATAAAATTGAAAACAAAAAAAGGCAAAAAAACTTTTTTTCAATTCCTTTTAGGATAAAGAGCACCAGGAATTTGACTTTTCACAACATGCCACTGCAAAGGATAATGTGGATCTATACCATTCCAATAATCAAATAATTCATTTTGTGAAGAAATAATTTTGCTCTGTAATAAACGATCAAACCATTGAGCATCGTAATAAACATTTTTTTCTAGAGAACGAGGCCTGAAAAAATTAAATTAATATAAATAAATGAGCATAGAGTAAAATAAATATTTATTTTAATGTTTTAAAAATTAGGGAAAAAAATTTAATGATTAGTAAACTCTATGTAATTTTTTAGATCACGAGTCTTTCAAAAAAATTTGGCAGGGAAAAAGAAGAAAAAAATCATTAAAAAGGGGGGGCAGTAAACATTAGTTTTTCTAGCAAAAATATTCCTGCAGTAAATGCTGCAGGAAATTGAAACTAATATTAATTATGGGACACGCCCGAAACGGCGCGCGGCCATAACGGCGCAAAGCCTTAACTTGCTGGAAAATTTCTGGCCCTTATCAATTTTGGTACCAATCTCTTTATCTTGATGAGAGGAATCGTTTAATACTAAATTTTGAAAGATTCGGAAATCTTGAAGCAAGTAATAGCTTTGCGCCGTTATGGCCGCGCGCCTACTTGGGCTGTACACATTAATTATAAAACAGAAAAAAAGGAAGGAAAATATTAAGCTATAATATAAACACAAAATAAACAATAAAAATAAAACTAAAATGTTCCAAAAAATTTTATTTTTGAAAAAAAAAATATTTTTTAAATTTACCCGACAGTCCGACTCCTAATTGGCTCCTCCCATAAATTCGACTTGTCTTCTTCATAAACATTATCAAAAGAAGTAGACTGCTGTACACTAATTTCTTCAGGTGCAGTCTGTTGTTTGATAATCTGTAATTGTTCGTTGTCAACATCCGGCATAAGTAAGTATTCCCCAACTGATAATTTTGGCAGTTCTTTAAGAAGTGTTTTTACTCTGTTTATACGTCCAGCCAAACTGAATAGAAAATTATGAATTTAAGGTACTTTTTCGTTATCACAACGGACTTTTCGTGGACCTTTTAATTCATTTTTTATGGAAAAATCCAGAGTTATGGTACAAGAAATTTTCAATTTCAAATTTTCAATTTCTATCTTCAACTACAAAAAAAATTAAAAAAAAACTGCAAAGGATCCTTAGGAATAACAAAAAAATATAAAAATTAAAACCCTTACATAGCTTTAGCTTCAACAGAAAGTTGAGAAATTTTGGTTGGAAGACGTCGATCATATTGCAAAACAACAGATTCTCTTTCCACTTTAAGCCTAAAATTAATATGCTCTTCTGATCCTTTAAGTAATCCAGTAAGTAAATTCCAAATTTGTTCTTCATTTGATAATTTCTAAAAAAAATAAAATTGCTAAAGACCCCAAAAAATTGTTTAGAAAAACCTCCGCGCCAATTTCAGGCAAAAATTCTACTCTGGCCGTCAAAGAAATTTGTTGAAGTTGACCATCCTTTCTCTCCTCGTTTGCATGTAAATTTGTTCGTATTAAGACTTGATGCTGTTCTTGAGGGCTAATTTCCAATTTTGGGTCGTCAAAAGAAATTATCGAATATTTCTTTCTCGAATTTTTTGTATCAACTTTGCCAACATCTCCCAATCCAAGATCATCCAAAAGAGATTGACAGCTATCTTTAGGTTGGTTACTTAACACAGCATCCGCAAAAGAAGGATCATTTCCAAACAAAAAAGCTTTAAGTCCCCATTTTGCAAATGCTCGAGGTATGGCAGTTTTGTGAATACGAGAAGCAATTAATGGAGGAGAAATTATACAAATTTTGCAAAGTTTACCTAAAAATAAAGCAAAGTGTTAAAAATAGAAAAATTTACAAACCAGAGAAAACACGTGAAGTAATCTTCAATTTACATGCATAAGTTTGGTTTCGTTGTGACCAAGGCGCAGATAATAAATGTCTAAGAGTGCTAGCATCCATTGAAACATGAACACCATTGAAAAGAGCAAAATCAACAACTTGTTTATCTTCATCAATAGGTTGCTGAAAAAAATAAAGAGTATTTAAATAAAGTTGTCTTTCGACTTTTGCGTCATTTCGCCTTTCATCGAGTTTCGATTTCCGCTTTTTTTACTGATTTTCGCATTTCACAGAATTTTCGCATTTTTACATTAGTTTTCGCCTTTCGATTTTTCTCGCACCCTCTTGATTTATTATAAATATCAAACCTTTTCCTTTAATCGATCAACAAGCATTTGACGTACAGGTTTATTGCTAAAAATAAACTTTCGCTTAATTTCAGGTATTTGAGTTTTTGGAGCCAATCCTGGAGAAAGAATTTTGGTAGTTCTAATGTGAAGAAATTGAGATGTTTGTGAGTCTTGTAAAATTTGGGTTCGTGGCCATGGGATAGAAGACAAAACGCCTTGAAAGACTCGCTGTCCAATGTATAATTTAATCATTTCATGATAATGTTCCTAAAAAGAGAGAAATATAAATAGAAAATTAATTTTAAAGTACATTGAAAATCTTTAATTGTCCTGGATCAAAATGAAAAGCTTTAAATTGTTTAGCAGACTGCAGAGCACTTTTAATGTAGAAATTCCGTTCATCCTCCAATTTTTGATCCAATGCCTAAAATATAAAAAGAAATGTTTTGAGGTGAGAACTTAAGAATATCCAAGAATTTTGTGACAACATACATGGGAACATCCAAAAACATACAACATTGTGTAGAGTAAGGTAAATTTATTATTACCAAGTTTCCTTTTTTGACACTTAACACAAAATTAAAAAATTCTAGAGCTTGCAAATTTTCGACTTTTGGAGCCGGTTGAGCGGCCCCCTCCTCCATTGCAACAGGAACTTTAAAAAAATGAGAAACGAACCTGTATTTCAGTTTTGTTGTGCTCAAATCGGTATTTTGGGACGGATTGCAACTCGTTAACAATAATTCCAACGTATCGTTTGTGATCCTCATACGACAAAACAGAACGAGTTTGTGTCCGAACAACCGGTCTATGAGGCACCCAAGGAAGAAGGTGTCGAGGAGCCTAAAAAATTTATTAGAAAACCTAAAAAACATTTAAAAAACCTTTTCAGATTTTACAGTTTCAGAAGTTGCAATACTTTCACCTCCATCGTTTTCGTCATCAGAAGGTTCCAAACGTCGTTTACGGTTGGCATCATCCCTTTTTGCTTGAGAATATAAAAGAGCAGCCTGTTTTCTTAAAGATATTATTAAAACTAAAATTTAAATATAAATTAAATACTTATCGATTTTGTATTTTTTTGAAATATTGAAAATTTGCAATTTAGGGTTTTCATCGGTAAGTTGTACGGAGAATTGTGGTGGAGTAGTTGAAGTAGTCTATAAATTGAAATAAAATTCTAAAAAACCAAGTTAAAGCTTACCGAAATTTGAGGTCCTTCATTTTCCTTCACCTTTCGAAATTCTTGAGACACTTGGAAATTCTTTTTACGTGCAGGCGATTTAGACGCAGGAGATTTAGGAGCAGGACTAGGCAACAATAAATCAAAAGGCCCCAAATTATCAAGTAATTTGTTTTTTGCATGTTCAAGGAAGAAACTAAAGTTTAAAAATTAATTTAAAAAAATAAAATAAATGTTACAACCTAGAATTAAAAATCTCATCAATAGACAGAGGCACATCGATAGACATGGATACTATTTTTGGAGGCGAAAGAGGAAGTTCCAAAGACAAATTATCATCATCATCAATCTCAAGAGAGTCAGTAGGATCAGTATGGGAAGATTCTGGTTCTTTAATAATTTTGTCAGAATCGTTTTGGTGTTGACGACACGATGATTCATGATGGTCCAAAGACAAATCATCATCATCAATCTCAAGAGAGTCAGTGGGATCATTATGTAAAGCTTTTGATTCCAATACTTGACCAACATCAACATCTTCGTTCCTGTTGACATCGTTCGCATCCTCACTAATAACAAGGTTTTTTTCTGTTACAGCGTTGTTATGATCTTCTTTTTGATTTTGTAAAGTTTCTGGTTCCAATTCTTTATCAACAACGCTAACTTGTTCGTTTAAGTCGCCATTCTCTGTCACCTCATTGCTCCTATCTTCTTTTTGGTTTTCAAAATTATCAACATTATCAAGATAAATGTTAACTGAGAGATCATTAGTGCCGATTAAGTCGTCAAAATTTTGTTGTTGATAATTTGATTGGCTACTTTGACATTCCAAATCGGCAATTTTTTCATTACAAGAAGCAATTTTGAGATCCTTCTCTTTAATTAAATTGTCAAAATCTTGTTGTTTTTGTTGTTCTGCCTTCACTAAACGGTTATATTGAAACTCCAAAGTTGCAATTCTTTCATCAGCATTTTTAATTTTTAAATCTTTTTCTTTAATAATTTTGTCAGAATCGTGTTGGTGTTGACGACCTGCTCTTAAAACTCGACTATATTGATCCTCTAAATTGACAATTTTTTCTTCACATAAAGTAATCTTCAAATCCTTCTCTTTAATTATTTTATCATAATCTTGTTGCTGTTGTCGTAAGGCAGAAATATAGTCACGGCTCTCTTTGAGCTGAGATTCGAGTTGATGAATTTCCTTTATAAATTTTTGAATAAGTAATAATGACCGGTAAAATCGAATTTTACGGACTCGGATCCAGTTTTTAACAAGAGCCGGACCGGACCCTGTCGGATTTTTCTGGATAAAAACTGGAAGGTAATGATAATAATGTTTCCAGTCCCCCTTTTTCCTCACCAAGTTCTTTCATATATATGAACAGAATGGTCAAACTAACACTAAGTATTAATTGAGAAAATGACTCTTCTTACAATTTATCTGTTCATATACAGGAAAAAACTTGGGGAGGAAAAAAGGAGGACTGGAAACGACACAATTACCAACCGGAGAACGCAAAAAACTCAAGATTTGAGACTCGCACTCCGGAAAGATTCTCTCCTGAAAATCCGGCTCGATCCGATACGGCCCCGGCCACTAGTGTAAAATTATAACAAAAAAATACGTTTTTAAATTTTTTATTTTCCTCATTGGCAGTCTGAAATTCGCGCAGAACATCCCAAGCTCGATCAGCATTAGCACGAAACGCGGTACATTGAGGACAAGCATTTTCAATAATTGAAGGATCTGTGTAACTCTCTGTAGTTTCATTATCTTCAGCGGGTGAATCTTAAAGAATGAAAAGTCTTTTAAGGGATTCTAAATTTAAAAAAACCTTGATCAATAAAAATATTTTTTGTTTCAGAAGTCATTATTCAATCTGGAAATCTCATATCAAAATCTGAAAAAAAAAGATTAGAATTTAAAATTTGCAAAAAAACAATAGAATTTAAAATTAAAAACGATCCTAGCATACGAAGAATACCCAGAGGGTTTAAAAAGAATAATCGAGTAAAAAACCTAGACTCTTAGAGTTATCTCTAAAAAATTTTTTTTAACAGAAGTTAGTCACAAGGATCAAGAAACGAAATAGGAAAAAGAAAGAGATCGAAACGCTGTGCAGGGTCCAGTTGAGTCCCTCAGACTCTGTGAAACTAGTTGAGTACAAGTTAGACACAACATTTTCATCTTTGAGTCTAACTCTAAAAAAGTTGTCTAGTACTCAACTGGCCGAAATAATTCGTGGCACTCAACCGACCGCTATCCAAAAAGTGTTACAGAACGAAAATCATGTAAATTAGAGTCTAGTCTACATATTTTTCTTCTCTATTATTTATTTAAGACTCTAATGTGCTTATTTTAAGGACAGTATCTTTGCAGATAATGTTTTGCGGATTATTTCTTGCGGACAAATTTGATAACCTAAATTTTCTTGCACTCTTTTTCATACTTCTGTTTTAGTTAAGCAGTGTTTCTACGTATTTTTTGGTAGATTTGTTGTTATTTTTTAAAAATATTTTTTAGAGTTTATTGTTTATTTAACTGAATTTTCTGATCTTTTATTGTCAATTATCAATAATAAAAAAATGGAAGTTGATATTACAGATGAAGTTTTGCCTGGAAGTCCTAAAAATGATCAACATCAAGTTGTTCCTGAGCCGCCATACCTTATGAACGGTGACGAAGGTTTTTACGCGCTTTTACCCTCACTAAAGTATTTAGGTATACATAATGTTTTTTTAGATCCATACAAGCCAGAAGGTCAAATTACACTCAAAATTGAAAAGTTCAGCGAGTTTGCTCATGAAGGGCCAGAGAGTCGTCGACTTAGCGATCCGGTCTATATTCGTGGATTGCCTTGGAAAATTTTGGCTATCCCAAGAGAAATGGGACGTCGTCCTCCAATGGGGGCAGCGTCGATGCAAAAATGTCTTGGTTATTTTCTACAATGTAATGCTGACAATACAGGTCCTTATTTTCAGAATTCAGGTCTTTATTTAAAATATAATTGTTTTTGTCTTCTTTAATTGACGTTATGTTTTTTTTATCGATTTTTAGATCCTTCTTGGAATTGTTCTGGTAATGCTACTCTTAAAATTCTTGCACAAAAACCAGGAAAAGAGGATCATGTTCGTAAAATAAGCCATGTATTTCATGCGAAAGAGAATGATTGGGGCTTTGCGCAGTTTATGACCTTTGAGGTTATCTTATCAAGGTTATTGATTTAATTTTTTTAATTTTAGAATATTATGAACCCTGATGATGGCTGGTATGATGAGGAAACGGATACTATCATTCTTTTTGTTGAAGTAACCGCAGATGCACCACATGGGGTTAAGTAAGTTATTAGAGTTTGCTAAATTTTAGATCTCCCCCTCTCTTTTCCTTCCTCAAGGTTTATTTAAAATGGTCAGACTTTGATTCCTTCCTCAACTTCATTCTATTTCCCTATGGCACACAGTCAATCAATAAATTGATTGCCAATTTTATATTTGACGTAAAAACGGTAAAACAAGAAGAAATTGATTGTTGCCATAGGGAAATATAGTGAAGTTGGGGAAGGAAGTAGAGTCGGACTATTTTTAATACTTTGAGAAAAGAGAAGAGGGGAAGGGGTATTTACTTGAATATCACCAATATTTCAACAGTTGGGACAGCAAAAAGGACACGGGATGTATTGGTCTCAAAAATCAGGGTGCCACTTGTTATATGAATTCTATTTTGCAAACGTTATTCTTTACAAACAAGCTTCGAAAGGTTTTTCAAATTTCGTTTTCTTTCAAAAATTTTTCTGTTAAAGGCAGTATATCAAATGCCGACTGATGAGGATAATCCTGATAGTTCAGTAGCTTTGGCTATGCAAAGAGTTTTCTTTGAGCTCCAGTTTTCTGATTCTCCTGTTGGAACTAAAAAATTGACAAAGTCTTTTGGTTGGGATTCTATTGATTCTTTTCTTCAACATGATGTACAAGAATTTTGTCGTGTGTTGTTAGATAATCTTGAAAATAAGATGAAGAATACAAAGGTATTTTGCTTACTAAAATATGAAAAAATAGTTGCGATAAAGCAGCAGATTTTTCTTCGAAAATTTTTTCTCCAAGATATTTTTACTCTTAATTTAATGTTTCTAGGTTGTTGACACAATTCCTTCTCTCTTCAAAGGATGTATGAAATCTTACATCAAGTGTAAGGATGTTGATTTTGAGTCGTCACGTGAGGAGTGTTTTTACGATCTCCAACTTAATGTCAAGAACAAGTCTAATGGTAAAAATGAACTATTCTATAAAATTTTTATTATTTTTAAAAACATTTTTCAGTTCTCGAATCATTCAAAGATTATATTGAAACAGAAATGCTTGATGGGGACAATAAATATGATGCTGGGGGTATGTTTTTTATTTAATTTTTCCAATTTTTTATTTTTTCAAGATTTTGGACTTCAACCTGCAGAGAAAGGCCTCAAGTTTCTTTCTTTTCCACCAGTATTGTACTTACAACTTATGCGTTTTCAGTACGATCCATTATTAGATGCGAACGTGAAAATTAATGACAGGTATGTTAACTTTGATTTAGTCGACATCACTTAATTTTTTTGCAGATTTGAGTTCACAGATACCTTGGATTTGACTGAGTTCATTGAAACCGAAGAAAAGGAAAACAGCGCAAAAGATGAATTTACCTATTTATTACATGCTGTTCTTGTCCATTCCGGCGATTTTCATGGTGGTCACTATGTGGCATTCATCAATATAAATCTCAGAGGAACTGCAAAGGTTTTCTGATTAAATTTGAAATTTTATTTTTAAATTTTAAGTGGTGTAAATTTGATGATGATGTTGTCTCTAGAGTTGCTTATAGAGATGCTGTTATAGCAAATTTTGGAGGTGAAAATATTGAGGGAATGGGACGTTCTTGTACTAATGCATATATGCTTGTATACATTCAGAAGAAGGCTATCGGTAAATTCTATTTTTTTGTTTGGACATAGCCGGGTTACCTTCATTTTGAATTTTAGATGATGTTCTTGGCCCAGTTTTGGTTGAAGATATACCTGAACAATTACGTTTACGTTTTGAAAATGAGAAAAAACGAGAATATGAACGCCGTCTGGAACGTGAAGAGGCGAATAATTACTGTGAAATTTCGGTTATTTTTCAATTTTACGATCAATTATTTTTCTCCTTTTCAGCTTATTTTGGATGAGGAAATGAAGTCGCATCATGAATTTGAATTATTTGATAGTCGAACTCTTGAGGCGCAATCTCGAAAATTAAAAGTGCAAAAGAATATGACTTATCGGGATTTGTACAGATTTATAGCTGCTAATCTGGTTTTTTCATATTTACAAAAAATTTCTATTTTTATTTTTAGAATATACCTGATACAAGTTTTCGTTTATGGGACTTTCAAGATGATGACCGTCAAGGCTTACATCGTTTTCGATGTGAGAATTCTCGTCCTCGCAACTTTCTTGATCCTAATGAAACAGAAGATTACAGCGTGCCGATTGTACAAATTGACAGATTTGTCTACTTAGAGACTGGCAAGCCTGGAATTTTGGGAGGAGACATTCATGGGCTTAAGCCTTATGACCGAAACAGTATGAATAAAAAGATTTTTTATATTTTTCTTATTTTTTTTATTATTTAGACGACATTTTTACTTTTCTCAAACTTTACAATCCCGAAAGACAACAAACTGAATTTAAAGGCACTGTTATATTAAATTTGGGCAATGAAGTAGGAGCTCATTTTGAGGAGATTAATCAAATAATTGGACTTCCGCCAGATACTCGACTTAATCTTTACGTTGTAAGACTGTTTATAGTCTTTTATAGAATAATTATTGTTATATTAAGGAGTACAAACCTGATCGTATTATTCCTATAATGAATGCCAATACCCGAATTCGTGATGTACAAATGTTGACAAACGATGGATCTATTATAATTGCTGAAGACGCCTCTAAAACAACTGAGGAAAATAATACCCAAATTTATTTTCGAGCATTATATAATCGAATTGAGGTTATTTTTGAAAATTTTCTGCTTTTATTAAATATTACGCTTTCTAGGTTGAAGCACATTTTCATGAATTTGTAGCAAGTACTAAACCTGAATTGGAAGCGCCGATGCAACCAATTAGAGGACAAATTGGATTGGTTTGTTTGCTTACTATTAATAGTTGATTTTCGATATAATTTCTAGGACTGGAAATTGCCTAAAGTTTGTGCTTGGATTGGCGATCAGATTGATTATGATCCGGCAAAAATTCTACTTTTTAAAAGTTTGAAATTTTATTTTTTTTGATAGATAATTTGAATAATTTTTAGATGCAACTCATACCGAGAAACCAGCTAATCCTCTTTCGGTTGTCTAATTTTATAATCTCTCAATTTTTTTGATTTTTCATTAAAAAATAAATTTTTTAAGTATCAACATATGGAAGAATATTCTTTGCTTTACATTTTGGGCTTGGGTGCTAATAACTACGATCCTCGTTTTCAGCGTTTATACAAGCTTTTTTACTCAAAATTGCCCATTACTTTGGAAGAATTTGATGTTAAATACCACATTCTTCTTTACATAATGAGCGACAAATTCCAGCTTTCCGTATATTTTTGAAATATTTTTTTTTAATATTGAATACTTTTAGGAATTGAGCGTTTTTGTGAATAAATCGGCAACTGTACAAGATATACTTGATGAAGCAAAAAAGGATTTTAAATTTTCTGAAGATGGAACAGGCATTTTAAGGTTTTTTTTTTCATTTTTTTGGAACAATATTTTCCATATCGGAGCTTGAGAATTTTTTTCTGGAAATTTTATAAACGTCCCCAAATGTTATAAACGTCCCCAAATGTTATAAATGTCCTCTAAACTTCCTCACCCCCAATTTTACCTTCATTTATTCTTTATAATTTTAGGCTCGTTCATACGAGTTCAAATGACACTTGTTCTAGAGCTTACCAAATATTAAAGACAGATGCTTTGTACAAAGAGATTGTTATGAGAAACAATAATTATGCGGTAAAGAAATAAATTTTTAAAAAATTAAATAATTTTTTTTAAAGTTCCGTGTGGAAGAAATTCCAAAGGATCAACTCCAGCTTAGTGTTGATGAGCAATTATTGCCAGTTGCGCATTTTGAAAAGGAGCCAACACGGACTTTTGGCGTTCCATTTTTTATTAAAATTACTAATGGCGAAAAGATTGCTAATATTAGAGAGCGTATTCGGCAAATGATTGAAGTACCAGAAAAGGATTTTGAGAAGGTTTTTTTAATAATTTTTTTTTATTTTTTACATTTACATTTTTTTATAGTACAAATTTTGCATCGTCAAACAAAACCGAATACTTCGTGAATTTGACAGTCATGATGACAGTTCTATTGTTAATTTGGTTGAGCTTTTGCAGAGTCATATAACTTGTATGATTTATTTATATAAAAAAATTAAAAAATAATTTTTCCTTTAAAGTCCCTGCAGCTGCTCCATTTCTTGGCATACAGCATTCGAATAAGTCTAGGGTTGCAAGAGGTCTACTCGATTCTAAAAAGTCGATAATCATACATAATTAAAGAAAAAAAATTTAAAAAGTTGAGGAGAGAGGGTTTTCAAAAAAAAATTCTTTCTAAAAATAATATTGCTTTGAATACACCCACATTTATTTAAAATGCACACACAAGATAAAAAAAACCAATTGAAAAAAAGAAAAATGACCTTTTATTATGTCGACTTGTTTATTATTAAAAAAATTTTTGTATGTGTTTTTTCCGTAAGTTTTTCTTTCTGTAATTTGCACCTTTTTTCTGTGTTGCGAGCATCTCACAGTTTGAAAATTTTTTTTCTGTGCTTTACACACACATTAACGTAAATATAATTATGTATGTAACATTTAAAATTTAAATGTTAATTGTGAGAATAAAATTAATTAAAAAGAGGTTTTTAGAAATTTTTGAATGGATTTTTTATCCAATATTTTTTTTTAATAATTTGGCCCCACACGTCCGCAACTGTTTGTCTCCGCAAATGCATATTTTGTTTTCATTTTTTTCCTTGTCGCGAAGCGACTAAGGATGAGGAAAATAAAATAAATATATTTTTATAATTTTAATTCTAAATTAATCATCATTTTTTGCAAATTCCTTTTTCGGACTTTCACCTGGCTAAAAATCATTTTTTGTTGTAAACATCTATTCAAACTCTATTTACATTTTTAGTCCTTTTGTTCTAAAACTTAACTTTATTTTTCACTCTTTTGTATCATTCAAAACATGTGCATTTTTATTTAATCGTTCCTATTATGCCTTTAATGATCGAAATATTTTCTGTCTACCCGCCTATTTTTCTGGCCTATATAATCTCCCCTTCCAAACCCCAATTTAGCGCTTTCGTTCGCAGCTTCTTTCTGGGTTAGCTAGCTTTCTCATTAGCTCATTCTGTCTGGCTTGCTTCTCTTGGTTTTATAGCTCTGGTTCTTGTGGCCTTATCATTAATTTACTTGTTGGATTTTAATTGTGTGAAATAAACTTATTACTATTTGTTTGGCTTTTATTTGGTGTTCTAATTCCTTGGCCAATTGTGTTGGAATCTTTTGGCCTAATCCAAGCAAGCTTTTGCTGAATCTTTTGTTGGTGGTAAACCCTTGGCCAATTGTGTTGGAATCTCTTGGCCTAACCCTGCCTTTTTTCGGAATAGTTTATTGGCTCTATTTTGCTATATATTTTTTGGTGCAACGGCCGGGAACTTGTGGTCTAGCATTCGTGCAGCATCACAACCCCGAGCAGCCTGTGTTCAATTTGAGAAGAGCCAATTGCCGAAACTCTAAAACTTATTGGTGGAAAGCCATTTAACCGTTGCAACTTTTGAAGCCACTTGCCGCTAATCTGTGTAACGACAATGTCAGGAAAAATCCGAAGTGATTTGTTGGCCGCTCTGAGCGAGATGCAATTCCATTCTATAGAGGCTATGCGTATAATGAAGATGGGACGAGATGCTACCACTTACAGTTTGCTAGATGTGGAAAAATCGCATTTGGAGGAAACTATTTCTAAAATAGAGAAGCTCGACCTCGAATGGAACAAACATATGTCTAAACTGCATGGCTTAAAGAAATTAGCTGAAGAAGATTTATATAGGGATTTTCCATCTAACGAACCTTCTTACGAGTTCATGCCAGACTTCCTACTCTCTCAACAGGACTTTGTTACTCAATGCAAATTTGCCCGACAAATGGCCGTATCAATTGGAATAATGCTGGAGAATCTTGGCCCGCCTACTAAAGATAGTTCTGACCCATCTGAAATGAACAAATCGTCAGATAACTGTACAGACGATCTTGGAGGCCAAAATGGGAAAACGCTTGAGCCGCCTACGGCAAGGCTCCCGGATAATCCGTCACCTACGCCACAGCCGCCTATGGTTAATAAAAATCGAGTGGTGGAACAGAACCGTTGCCTGGAGTGCTCATTATGTAGAGGGAATCACCTCCCGAGCCACTGTACTCAATATAGCAACCCAAAAGCTAGGAAATACAAATTACTCGAACAGCATCGTTGCCTTAACTGCCTGAGGGATGACCATCTAACCTTTGAATGCCAAAATAATCGCCGTTGCAGTAGGTGTCGCGGAAAGCACCACTTCATGGTTTGCTATTCACGTGGGCCAAAAACTCAAATTCTGGAACCTATGCGAAAAAGCGATGCTCATTGTTCGAAGCCGGTTGGGATGTTTGAAGTTAAAAAGATGTTGGATGAAAAGACGAAAGCTCTCCAAGAAAAAGATAAAACGATAGTGAAATTGATGTCCGAACTTATGTTGGCACGCAAAAAGGCCGAGGATGAATCCAAAAAAGCTAAACGATTAAAACGTCTGCTGGATGAATCTAATCAGAGGATTGTGGATGATCATGGAAAAAGAATTCTGAAAGAGACTCGTGTTAATGCCCTTCAGAAGGCTAACCGAAAATTGATTGCCAGAAATGGTAAGCTAAAACGGGAAGTGCACGCCTACCACAAAGAATGCCAACGAGAAAAACTGGAACCACCAGATTTCTATGCCTTTTGCCGCTCATGGATAGATATGAAAATGTCTGTGCTGGTCTTAGCCGCCTTTGTTATGATTCTGGATGGCACTAAAAATGTTCTGATGATAATTATCCACGCAACAAATAAGCTTTGGAAATGTAAAACGAATGAAAAGATGGAAGAGGAATTGACTCTGGAAACTCCCTCTTGGCTCTCCTTAACGCTTTTCGCCGCCGCTGTTGCGATCAACTCCTTTTGGACCTTTCTCGCCATCTTTACTAATGTTATGGATGGTTGGGCACATGCATGGAAAGAGAGCAGAAAATGTGCAATGGATGATGTGCCAAAGATCAAGAAAAGAAAGAAAATACTTGAAAGATGGAAAAAAGAAATTGAGGATGAAACTTTCAGGCGCGGGCGGGAATGTCGCGAAGCGACTAAGGATGAGGAAAATAAAATAAATATATTTTTATAATTTTAATTCTAAATTAATCATCATTTTTTGCAAATTCCTTTTTCGGACTTTCACCTGGCTAAAAATCATTTTTTGTTGTAAACATCTATTCAAACTCTATTTACATTTTTAGTCCTTTTGTTCTAAAACTTAACTTTATTTTTCACTCTTTTGTATCATTCAAAACATGTGCATTTTTATTTAATCGTTCCTATTATGCCTTTAATGATCGAAATATTTTCTGTCTACCCGCCTATTTTTCTGGCCTATATAATCTCCCCTTCCAAACCCCAATTTAGCGCTTTCGTTCGCAGCTTCTTTCTGGGTTAGCTAGCTTTCTCATTAGCTCATTCTGTCTGGCTTGCTTCTCTTGGTTTTATAGCTCTGGTTCTTGTGGCCTTATCATTAATTTACTTGTTGGATTTTAATTGTGTGAAATAAACTTATTACTATTTGTTTGGCTTTTATTTGGTGTTCTAATTCCTTGGCCAATTGTGTTGGAATCTTTTGGCCTAATCCAAGCAAGCTTTTGCTGAATCTTTTGTTGGTGGTAAACCCTTGGCCAATTGTGTTGGAATCTCTTGGCCTAACCCTGCCTTTTTTCGGAATAGTTTATTGGCTCTATTTTGCTATATTCCTCTCATAAAATTAAAAATGTTCAACGATTAATAAAGGTCTGGCAAATCTCCATTTGCGGACAAATATTTGCGGACGTGTGGCGTTATAATGAGATAGTATCATTGATTGTTTTGTAAATTTTCTTTAAAGTAAAGAAAATTTTTTGTTCATTTCTCTCATCTCAAGTATGCGTTTGTAGGTTTTGATAGATAATTTTTAGGTACTTCAATTAGCTGTTTGCTTTTTAAAACTGTGAGCAAACGTTTATTTTTAAACATGAACTTGTGCTTTTGGATTTTTGAGCGCCTTCTTTTCTTGAAAGTCCTTGCAATGAATGATGGAAAGGAAAAAGCAGGATTGGTGAGTAAAAGAATTTTCAATATAATTTTGAATTTTTAGTGTGATTAATATTGACAATGGCACTGAAGGTCAAAATATAGACTGCATTGGTGATGTTGAACTAGGGTTAAGGGAATCGAATCAAAATTTAAGAGGAATTAATATTTCTGTCAATGAAGGCAATAAAAAACTTATTAATGAAAAAATAAAACCATCTAATGATAAATTGGAAGAAGAAATCTTAAATAGTGAAAAGAGAAAAGTTTACAGGTTTGCTTTTAATTTGTTATTTTTTTCTAAAAATAATTTTTAGTTTTCGATTTATTTTGTTATTATTGTCATTTATAAAGTCTTCCATCAACAAAACTAAATTATTTTGGATTGTAGCAATTTATACTTTAATTGGAGCAAATTTGTTTATGTGGTTAGAAATACCTTCAGATTTGGAAATTAGGGAAGAAGCAAGGGATTATCATCTGGTGAGAGGTTTTTCAATTGAAGTTTTTTTAATTAGAAAACATTTTTCATAACTAAAACAGGAGCGCACTAATATACCAAAACCTCCAAAAACCGCCAAAATACCAAACTGGGAAAAATACCAATCCATTTGGAAAGTTTTTAACAATCCACAGTTTGATATTTTGGCGTGTCCTTTTGGAAGTTTGGTATTTTGGCGTCATACGGTTTCATAATAAATGAGTCTAGAAATTAGGTTTAAAATTTCTTTTTTTAGATGGCCAGAGATTCACTTCTCTTCAAGTAAATTTTGTTATAAAAATTTTATTTTTTTATTTATTTTTAGAGTAAATCAAATTCATCAAACAAGACAAATATTAGAAAAAAATCAACACTGGAAACAAGTATTTTTGAATTTTTTTTAATTTTTGTAAAAATTTTTTTAAAAGGCTATTATTGAATTTGAAGAAGCAATTGAATGTGAATTACCTCAAATTGAAACACAATGGACTTTTTGGATGTGTAAATTATTTATATTTTTAAAATTTATTTTTTAAATAGCAATTCTTTATTGTGCTACAATATATACAACAGTAGGTAATTTAAAAGTATTTACTTTTTTAATTAATTAAATTATTTTTAAAGGTTATGGCAACATTGCGTGTATTACTTTTTCTGGACGTATTGTTACTATTATTTATGCAATATGTGGAATTCCAATGAGTATCTTTTTGAATTTTTTTTTTAAATTTTTTATAACCTCTGATCCCGGACCCGGCTCAGGAACATTTAAATCAAGGATTTAAATACCAGATCGATTTTCTTCCAAGTCCCTTCCGGGTCATGGGTTATATATTTTTAATTAATTAAAAATATTTTTTTAAGTGATTGTTGTACTTGACCAACTCGGAACTTTTTTGCTTAAATTTATGAAACAAATGAGTAATTTTATTGATGATTTAATCTTCTTTTTAGGTTAGTTTTTCTAAAAAATTTTTTTTTATTTTTAAGGAGTTAAATTTAATTTTATTCAACTCAATACTCAAGAATCTTTTCTTCGTTATATTTTTATTTGCAAAATTCTTTCAAATTTAAAATTGATTTCAAACACAATTAATCTAACAATTAGTGAACAACCACCTTCTTTAAAAAATTCTTCAATTTCGTCTTCTTCATCAACTATTTCATCGTCAACTTTATCAATAAAAAACAAATTAAATATTTATAAGGTTAAAAATTTAATTTTTTTATTATTAGGTGGCCACGATTTTAATTTAGGTTAGATTAACCTTCTCTTTCTAGCTACCGATTTTGTGACTGAAATCGCCATTTTCTGAAAGTATTGAGCTTTCATTTATTACGTGCCTTCTAATATCTGTCGTGGTGTAGTGGTTAAGCGTCATGTTTTAGCTTCTCTGAGATTTGAGTTCGACGCCTAGAGATTGAAGTTACGTGTGTGTGTTTAACCAGCGTCGTATTTAAAAGCAAAAAAATATTTTTTTTTACTTCCTTTTGGACACAACTCGAATTTTAAAATTTAATTTAAAGAAAATAATCTATTATTTTTTAGGAGAAACATTCATTAAATTATGCAATAAGTAAAGGTTCACTTTTAAATAATTTGGAACCATTTCAAATTGAAACAATAATTGATCCAAGATGTAATTTAATTACAAAAAAATTATTATCAATTCAAACAACAAATAAATTAAAAAATAACAAAAACAATTTAAATAATAAAAAAGAAGAAGAAAATAAAACAAAAATAAAATTAAAGTTGGATGAGGCAAAAGAATTATTTTTAAAAAGTGGTTCTTCAATTGCAGCAGTTCAATCAAATAATTTAAAGTTATTTTTTCAATTAAAAATTATTTAAATAATTTTTTTAATTTTAAGAAATGTTGATTCTGTTGAAAAACAACAAAATAGTCATTTAAATAATTCAAAGGAAATACTTTTAGAAGAAGAAGAAAATGAAGTCGAAGAATCAATTAAATCACTACCACAGTCCTCGTCAGGCAAATCTACTATTAAACATAGTCCTCCATTATTTATAGCATTAATAGGTTTGTAGAAAAATTTTTTTTAATTAGATAAGGTCATTAACTACTTAAGATGTTTACCAAGGATGTCATGGCTGACTCGAAACTCGGACTTTTTTCGACCTGTGACATCCCTATTGTGGAAATGAACTTTCTTCTATTTTTAATATCTTTGGCCTCCCATCTCCACCAAAATACTAAATATCATATTCTTAGGCAGAACATAGCCCCTTAGCTGTTATTTCAATTTCAACAAACAAAAGTTTTTTTGTCCGCAATTTTCTGCCTCAATTTTTCTAAAATTTTAAAATTTTACAGTTACAACAAGTTGGATTTTCTTAGCGGCTGCCATTTTTTGTTTATGGGAGGAATGGAGTTATTTTACTTCAATTTATTTCTTCTTCATTTCAATGAGTACAATTGGTTTTGGTGATATTACTCCACAACATCCACAAGTTTTTTCATTAATTTTTTGTTAAAATAATTTTCTTTCTCTAAAGTATATGATTATGAGTTTTTTTGTTGTAATTGTTGGTTTATCTCTTGTTAGTGTTTGTATTAATGTTGTTCAAGAAAAAGTGGCACAACTTTATATGGAAATTCTCAACAAAATGCTTCAGGTTTTCTATTTTTTTACCCTAGTGGGGGTGGGGAATTAAAAGGATATTACGAGATATGTAACTATTAAGACGGATATAGGATATATCCCCTGATATCCCTCTCAATATCTAAATCACCCGATATTTTTTTATCTCACCAAACCCCCAAAATTTAAATTAAAAAATTTATTTTAAGCAATATATGAAAGCCTGTGCTAGCGGTGATGTTGAAGCATTAAAAGGGGCAATGGCTGGGTTTAATTCTCGTTGTAAATATTTGATGCCGTTTATTAGTAAAAATCAAGTAATTTTAATTTTTTAATTAAAAAGTTTTAAAATTTATAAAAAAGGGTATTCGTTTAATGAGTCAATTTAAAGAAGAAGCTAGAGCTATGGGTGTTGATTTACCTGAAGTAATGACTGAATTGAATGAGGAAACTGGGAAACCAACTTTTTGTAAAATTTTTGATGAAAAATGTAATAGTGATCGTGTTAATCAGTTTTTGGAAAAGGTTTTTTTAATAAATAATTTTTGACGTCCAATGAAGCTTAAAAGTCCATATCCATTGAAAGGACTAACAATAAGCCTAACTTTTTTTTAAACTTTTTTAGCCTAGTTTTTTTAATAAATAGTTATTTTTAAGGCTAATCAACATAGTAAAATAAAAAAGAATATCCATACACAAACAAGTATATATTTTTAAATTTTAATTAAAAAATTTTTTAATTAAAAATAGAACAATTACCGTTACAAAAAACTCACAAATTTTTCATTTCGCGTGCTGAGGAAAAAGAAGAAAATGAACAAAATAAACAATTATTTGATAATAATTTTGGTATTCAGGTTTTTAATTATAAATTAAATTTAAATATTAAAAAAATTTTTAAAGTGTTCTCCTTTAATGCAAGATACTGAAACGGAATATAAATTATCAAATGAAATTGTGAATGAATTTTTGGTTGATTGTTCTACTAATACTTTTACTGTGTAAATTATTTTTAATTAAATTTTTTTAAAGTTTTTTTAAATCAACTGGTGTTTGATCTCTCGTTTACTGCCCAATTCCCCCACTGGGTATCGAACCTTGGTCATGTTTAGGTGCGAGACGGGAGTGTTAACCACTACACCATGGAAATGGTTTACTAATTAAAATATAGAAATGTGGGTAGGACAACTTACCGAAAACTATTTAGAAACCCCTAAATTTTAAAATTTATTTTTATATTTCCTATATTTTATTTAGACCTTTGCGCAATCAAGGAACACAACCCGAAGTGTCTTGTATTATGAGAATTTTAGAAGAAGATGATGGAAGTAGTGATGAGATATTTAATTATCCAATTGAAGAGGTTTTTTTTAATTTAAAAAATGTTTAGATAAAAAAAATTATTTTTTAGAGTGCTGAATTTTCTTCTTCTGGTCTTTCAGCATTAAATCAAAATTATTTAAGTGGAAGTAGTAAAGATGAAGAATTAAATGAAAGAAAATTAAGTATAAGTTCTAAACGTTCACAACAAATGAAAAGAATGGAAGAAATTGAAGTTGAAGATTACAATAATTTAGGTGGTTTTTTTATTATTTTATAAGAAAATAATTGCAGACAAAATTTGCGGATTGATATTTACGAACAAAAATCCGCAAATTCCTCGAACCTGGGTCATTTTTAGGTGCAAGACGGGGGGTGTAAACCACTAAACAATGGATTGATTTATTAATTAAGTTAGAGAAAAGGAATAGGGCAACCTAACAAAAAAATTTTTTAATTTTAACAAAAATTTTATAGAAAGAAAAGACAAATCTCTCCCTAAAGTAACTATTCATATGGCTTCAACTGGAAAAGGAACAATTGATAATGAAGACGATGAGGATACAAATTTAATTAAAAAATTGAAGCAAAAAGAAAGGAAAAAGAAAATGAATAAAGAAGGATTAAGATTTATGAGAAATATAGCTATACAGGTTTATATATTTTAAATAAAAAAATTTTTTTGAAGACTGACAATTTAATAATTAATCAATTATCTTCACAAATTGGTTGCCCTCTTTGTGGATTAATCGAAAGAGGAATATCTACAGAAAATATATTGATTGATAAATCTACACAATTTGATAAAAATTCTGATAAAATAAATTTGATGGAAGTTGGTGTTCAAACAGAATATCAAAGGTATAATATATTTTAATGGTTAATTTCACCAAAGGCATCGAACCCGGGTCATGTTTGGGTGCAAGTCGGGGGTGTTAACCACTACACCATGGAAGTGATTTAATAATTTTATAGTAGGGGTGGGGAAGGACAAAGGGTAATCTACCTTTCGCTATTTAGAAAAATTTAAATCAAAAAACTAAAAAATTATTTGACAGATTTCCATTCAATTCCCATGGTAAAAAGATACAAACTAGTCAACAAATGTTAATTAGTCGACCAGCACAAACCCAATTAAGTAGTACATTCCAAAAGAAAAGTTTTATGGGAGGAGAAGAAAATATTTCTGCATTAGAAGCAGCTGCTCATGGAAGTAATAGTCAATTTGCAAATATACAAAAAGAAATGGTTGATTTGAAAAAAGCTTTTGGGCTTGAAGATGAGGTTTTTAAAAAAATTTCAAGATTTTGAAAATTATTTATTTTTTAGGAAGTTAATATTTTACGTGAAAAATTGCTCAAATTAAAAACACAAAAACAAAAGGAAAAATTACAGAAGCAAAAAACAAAAGAAGGTTTTGGACTAACATTTTCATCAACTAGCTCTTCAGATGTTGATGGAGGAGGGTATTTAACTAGAGAAGTATTAAATTTATTTTGAGAGGTTTTTTTAATAAAATATTTTTATTTAGGATAAGTTAGCTTTACTTAATGAAATAAAAATGATTAAGAAAGAAAGAAAAATAAATTGGAAAGAAGAAGAAGAGGAGGAGGAAGAAGAGGAAAGTACTGAAGTTGAAGAAGAAATGGATATTTTGAATAAAACAAAAAGCAAAAGAAAATTGAAATATAAAACAAATAAAGATTTTACTTTGCAAATTAGTCAACCTATTAAACCTATTACTCAAATAAAAAATTTTGGAAGAGAAAATTATGAAGAGGTTTTTATTTAATTTTTTTAAATAAATTTTGCCAATACCATGAGGCTAATTTCCATGTTTTGCCAATAAGTTTGTTAGCATAATGTGGGTTCGGCCTTATTGACACAATATGATATCGGCAAAATGTGTAACATGAAATTTAAATTTAGACAATTTTGGATATTCAATTAATTAGAAGTCCCTTCTTTGAAACAAAATATTTACCTCAATCTGAAGAAAGATTAGTATTTGAAGAAATTTGTTTCTCATGCAGAGAGCCTCAATTAAAATTTGAGGAAAGACGAAGAATTAAAAAATATCAGCAAGAGAAGAAAGTTTTGGAAGAGAAAGAAGGGTTATTACTTTTGGATAAATTAGAAAATTTAAATACAATTTTTTCGGTAATGGGTGAAAGTGGTGAAATAGCAACTGGAAAAAATTTATTGAAAGGTTTGAATATTTTAATTTTCAAAAAAAAGATTTTAAGATTCAACATTAATCTCTTCTAATGGAAACGAACAAATGAGTCAATTTATGAGTGAAACACAAGTACAAACTGAATTATTTTCTGAATTAAATGAAGCTATGAAATTAATTGAAATGGCTAATTCGAAAGGAATTAATTTAAAAGAATTAATAAAAATAAAAGAAGAATTAAAAACAGACCAAAAGTGGACACAAACAGACTATAATTATTTGGAATTAAATAAACAATTAATTGATGAAGGTTTGTGAAGGGATTTTTTATAAGGTTTATAAGGTTTTTTTAACCTTATAAATTGAAAGAAAACTTTAAAAAATATAAATTAATTTTAAGATAAGCGGAAAAAATCTTTAATGGAAAAAATTGTCAATCTTTGGAGAGGTAAAGAAGGGAAACAGTCAACGGAAAAAGAAGCTATAATTAAAGAATTAAAACATCAAAAAACATTAGAATCAACTCTTCCCCCAAAAACATTTTCAAAAATAAAAAAGGAGAAGAATATGGAGGAAAATATTAAAAAAGATGAAGAATCTTCAAAAATTCTTCCTTTGGTCAAAAAATTTGAAAAACCGAATATTAATGAAGAAAAGAATGAGAATACTAAAATTACATTAAAGAAGGTTAAACAAAAAATAGAAGAAGGAAAAACAACAACCTCAAGCAGTACTTTCAGTAAATCTAACAATCCTGTTGTTGCTTCTGGCCCAGGTTTTTTAAATTTTATTTTTGAAATCTATTTTAGCTTGGTAAAGTTTTGTGGACGCTCGCAAATTTTTTTAAGACAATAGGGAGAATTTCATTTGTGGATTTATTTTCCGCAATTTTAAAGATTTTCTCATTTTTAGCTTCCCTTCCATTTGATCTTTCCGATATTATTTTAATAACAAATAAACAATCTGGCTTAATTGAAGCAATGAGAAGAGTACCTCAAAGCCATATTACAAATCAACAATTAATTCCACTTAGTTCACATGAATGGGCGAAACTTGTTAGCCTTTTTCCTGAATTAATTAATGATAAATTTGTTGGGCAAGGTTCCTCAATTAAACAGCAATCAAGTGTTTTATTATCTAATTGGCAAAAAAATATGATAGAAAATGTTAAAGGAATTAAGGGAATAAAAGGTATTTTAAGATTTAATATTTGCAGACAATCCGCAAGTTCGAAAAAATTAAATTTTTTATTTTTAAAGATGAAAAAAGAGAAGGAGAAGATATTAAAATGATTCCATTGAATGAATTTATTGCTACAAAACAAAATAAAGAAATGACAAATTTTGATAACATTGTAGAATACACTTCATGGTTATCTACAGATTTTGGACCTTCAACAAGTGAAAATTTGTTGGGAAGAGAAAATTTTGAATTGGAATATTACAGGTTTTATTTAAAATAGAAAATTATTCTTCCCTTTAATTATCTTTTAGACGTTGGCTAGAAAATTGGTTAAATGTTGATGGAAATTTGACCAAACTTTCTAATTTTTATAATGTCCCACTTCGTGATATTTCTGAATTTTTAAATGTTAGACGTGAAGAAATTAGTCAATTGGAACGACAAAAACGTCAGATGGATAGAATGGCTGATTTAGCGAGGAAGGAAGAAAAAACAGCTCGAATGGTATAAAATTAAAAGAGATTAGGGTGTGCCCTATTTTCGGACTTTTTTTTTTCTCAGTTTGCTGCAAAAGTCTTTGATTTAATTAAAAAATAAACTTTATTAAAATTTATTTTTTTAAAGGTTGATTTAAGTATACAAACAGGCGTACTTAGCCGTGTTGTTCAAACTTTGGGAGAAGAATTGGTAGGCCTTGGATTCGACCCATTGGTATATTTATTTTAAAAAAACAAATAAAAATTTTTAATCGGGAAAAAAGTCAAAACAAAAATTATTTTTATTAAATCAACAGTTCTTGTAAAAAATTTAACCATCTAATTTGAGACCATTTTGCTTTCAGTAATATAATTGCTGATTTGTGATGAACAAGAATAGCGTTTTTCATTTCTTCGTTTTTAATTTCTTCACAATTTAAGCCTTCAACTATGTTTTTAAATTCATATTGTTTATTGATTAAATTTGTGCCTAATTTGGACGATAATATAAGTAACCCTTCTGGAAAAATAAGTTAGGTATATTATTTAGTATATTATTTAATTTACCCAAAAATAATGCTGTCTTTTTATTTAAGTTTGTTAAAAAGCAGCCGTATTCTACATTTGTTGAATTTGATAATTCTTTGAAAGTCCCGTCGTGTCTGTGTCTGTGTGGAATTTCTTAAAAATTGTTAATTTTTTCTCCCCATATAAACCCCTATCTAATACCAAAATTTGACGAACAGCCCTCCATTAAAGCATCATCTACTCTATTTTCATTGTAATTATCCAAGTCGAGGTTAGAAGAACTTTGCTCCATATATGAATCATAAGCTGAAAATTGACAAAAAAATTTTCTACTTTCTAACTAGACTACTTTGTAATAATTGTGTTCTTTGTTTTACTCTTTCAGCTCTGACTAGAGCTGATTCAGCCGCCGCCTTTTCTGCCTTTTCTGTTCTTTTTCGTTTCGCTTCGTTTCGTTTTAATTGGAGATCTTTGTTGGATTGTGTGGTAAATGGCATTTTTTTTCTAAAATGATTTATTAGTCCATGTATAAGTTTTTTAAACTATGGTAAAAATTTACAAAAAAATTTTAAAACTAAAACTTAGACACTTATCAATAATTCCCGAGCTTATTAGATTTTTTTCTAGCTTATTGACCTAGATATGAATTTTTAAAAAGCACAACTAAAAATTTTTAACTAACGGAAAACTACAAAAATTTATTGGGCTATGTATAATTTTTTTTAAACATGGTAAAAACCGCTAATAACCAGTTCAGGTTAAAGAGGAAACCTTTCTCTATAAAACTGGAGCTTATCTAAAATTTTGGTAGCTTATTACCCTAGATATAAATTTTCAAAAAATTTAACTAAAATTTCAACTAACCTTAAAACCTGGAAACAAACTAAGAAAATAAACTTGAATTGTAAAATAAACTTGAAACAAAATCAGAATTTAATTCAAACAAAATCAAAATTTGTAAAAACCAGAATCTAAAAAACCAGAATAAATAATCAAAAATAAGAAAATAATTTTTGAAATTACAAAACTACAAAAGAAAAGAAAAAAATTATAGGTCTTTATTGGTCTTTAAAAATATTAAAATTTTACGAGAAAAATTGAAAAATTGTCAAAAAAAAATTTAAGAAACAAAAAAGAAACGCCTCGCATAAAACTTATGATAAACAGATGAAAGTACCAGACTCTTTAAATATTGTGGAAACATTGGAAGTCGATGTTTGTTTATTTTAATTTTAAAATTAAATTTACGGACATCCGCAAGTTTTAAAAATTTCAAATTTTTATTTTTTAGTATTTAACTAATCCAGCATTTTCAATTGCACGTGTGCCGTTGCAAATGCTGACTACGGATAATGAAGAAGAGGAAGAAGAAAAGGAAATATAGGAAAGACTTTTAAAAAATTAACTTAATTCAATCGGATCAATTTTTCTTCTATTTTTTTCGTTAACAATTTCCATTTTCTCAGCAACTGCAAATGCCCAATAACCAAGTGCTCCAGAAATTAAAAGAATAAATAAATGCCAATGTAAAGACATGTAACCAGAAAAGAAGAAAAGTAGGGAAGTTAATAATGACTTAGAAAATAAATATAGAAATTTTGGAGGTTGGTGGCGGTTGGGGAGAAAAAACTGGATGGGAAATAATTTTAAAAAAGGGGACAAGGAATACCCATAAAAATATAAAAATACAAACCTGATAAAATTTCAATAATGCAAAAGCCTGTGCACTTTGTGTAGGATAATTAATTATTAAAAAGGAAAAAATTTGTGTTGACCAGCAAGCATCACAAAAACTTAGGAGAAATCCACAAATTAGAGCAATCCAGACCCTTTAAAATTTTTTTTCGGATTTTCTTAAAAAATTAAAAAAAAACCTTGGTTTAATTATAGCTTCATTTGTTGTTTGATTTAAAGGGGATTCATTAGGTAAATTTACAAAACAAAGCAAAATTGCCAAAAATTGAATTAATACACCAACAAATATTATACGACTTTTTTTGATTTTATCAAGTTGTAAACGTTCAAAAATTAGGCTTACTGAAAAGAATTTTATTTTTTTTAGAATAGTCAAAAAAATTACAAAAAGGTTGTCCAGCCCCTTTAACAATTCCATTAAATGCAATTAATATTTTTGGACTAAATTGTGATTGAAATATAATTGTATTTATTATTGAAGTTGGGAAAATACTAGAAAGAGAAAAAAATAGATTAATTTTTTGCGGACTAAATTTTTTTGCGGGCTAAATTTTTTTGCGGGCTAAATTTTTTTCAGACTACTCTTACAAACACAAAATTTTACGGACAACTTTTTCAGAAACCGAATAAAATTTTTAAAAATTCAGCGAAAAACCCTCACCCTTCCTCAAATCCCAAAATTAAAAATAAATAAAAACCTGCTCCAAAAACTTAATAAAATTCCAGTATTGGCAAATACAACAGCTAAAGCCAACATTTTTGGTGTTTTGGCAATTTTAAAAATTGAATCTGCCAAAGAAAAATTTTAAAAGTTAAAAACAATTCTTTACTAATTTCTGTCAAAATAAATACTTCTTCCTTTTCTTCTTTATTCTGTTGTTCCTGAGTATTTCTTTGTGTTGGAGGTAAAAGGGATAATACAATCACTCCAATTAAAGCAATTCCTGTAAAAAAGCTGTAAAGAAGTTTAACATTTTCGGAAGTAAAGGAAGTGTTTGTTGTTGTTTGGTTTTGTTGTAATATTTGGTTATTATTTTCATTATCGGGAGCTAATAAAAAGACAATTAATAAGAAAAGGCCACCACATGAAAGGCTTAAGAAAATTAAAAAATTTACAAAAAAAATAAAGTTTTAAATATTTTTGCGGACTACTTTTGCGGATAAAACCCTCCAAAATACCAAACCCTCAAAAATAACAGATACCTCCCCGGTTAATCCCTTCTGGTCCCATTTTTGGAGGAAACCCACCCAATTCCACACCCCTATTTTTATAATAAAAAATTTCTACAAACCAGGCCTGAGCACAACACAAAAAAAGACTGCTATGACGGCCAGCACTTTGTGGAGTACTGTTTAAAGTTAAATATTTTCCCTGTGCTGTCCACAAAACTGCAGCAGCTAGACCAAGTAAAGCAGAAGTTGCATAAAGAAACCATTGATGGACATTGAGAAAACCGGCAAGAAATAATACATAAACAAGTCCAGCGGTAACTAGAGAAGTTCTTGTCCCTAACAATCTTTGAAAAAAATATTTTTTCAATTGGAGATTGTCGACGGTTTAGTGTACTCCCTGAGCCATGGTCGTCCAAAGGGGGGTTCAGAAAAATCTGGAAATTCGGGAAATTTCAGTGTGTGTGTGTGTGGATATCCGGGGATCTACCAGTATTCGTCAACCTCAGTTTTGAAATAAAAAAATCAAAAGTTAACAAAATTCAACCTAATAATTGGAGGCGCCACAAAATTACAAACAGTAAAACTCGCATAAATAATTGACAAACTAAAAGATTTTAAATAAAAAATATTTCCTTAAAAACCCAAAAAAACCTCGTATATCCAGCATGTTTATCAACCTGACCAGTTTTTGTATATCCATCAAGCACACTTTCCTCAATAAATCCTTGAGAATTAAAAGCCAAGAAAATAAAAAAGAATCCAACTCCAAGTTGTAAAACATTTCGAGTGTGCGGATTTAGACTTTGCCATTTTCAAAAAGAAAAAAAAAATTTTTAGAAAAATTTAAAAAATTGGAAAAGTTTGGAATACTAAACGGAGGACAACTAGGACAAACTGGTCAAGGGTTTGGCCAAAAAATTTGGGCCGTTCGAAAAGAGCAGGTCGAGCTGACATGAGTCGAATGCTAAAAAATTTTTTGTTCATCAGCTCGAGGAGCTCACTTGAATGACAGTTTGACCCATTTGCGCTCTTTTTAGTATTCCAGAATTATAACAAAAAAATTTCTAAAAAAACTCACAAACAAGTAAGACGAAAATTAAACGGCATCCCTCGTATTTATTTTTATTTAATAAACAACTAAAATTAATTTTAAAAAACATTAAATAAAAATAAAAATTACAGCAATAAATTGTGCACGTGTATGAGTAATAAAAAAAAACAAAAATAAATTTTTATTTAATTTTTTTATTGTAAATCAATTTCTTTTTAAATAAAAATAACAATCAAAAAGGGAAGGAAAACAATAAAATAAAAAGAATTATTTTGAAAAAAATACACAAAAATTTATTTGAACAAAAAAAGTTGCCCCACAAATCCTCCTCCTCTTTAAACGTTGATTTATTTAGAGGTGATCTACAGGGTTAATAATTAAAAATTTTTTTGTGTCAGACAAGACACCTTTATTATTGACCTAGGAGGAGGTGATCTTCAGGGTCAATATTTAAATTAATACAAATATCCCAAAAGATCACCTTTCCTTTCTAACGTTGATCTATATGTAAGTGATCATTAGGGTTGTCAATTATTATTTTAATTTTTTTTAAAAATAATTTCTTGGGTCAAACAAGATCATATTTCCCTTTAATGTTGATTTAAGAGGAGGTGATTTCTCGGGCTGATAATTAACTAAAATAAATAATACAAATTATTTGAATAAAGGCTATCCCAAAAGATCACCTTTCCTTTCTAATGTTGATCTATTTAGAGGTGATCTTCTGGGTCAATAATTAATTAATTAAATTTATTTTAATAATTTTATTTCCTTTTTGTGTCTATTAAAAATAATTTCTTTTTACTTGAAAAAACGCCCAGTACAAAAAATTAATTAATTTTAGTTCATTGCGCAAAAATTCTTTTAAAACGTTCAAACAAATATTTTTTTTGTTCTTCCCCAGTAATTAATTTTTTAATTTTTTTTCTCGTCAATATTTTCCCTTCCAAAAAATGTTTTTTAAATTAAAATTATTCCTTTTATTTTTTAATTTAATTAATTGTAAACAACAACAAACAATTGACTTTAATATATTCCCAACAGATCAACTTTGTTTAATTTGTCGGCTAATTATTGGATATTGGCATAATCAATCTGGAGATTTCAATAATACTGAACAATTTAAAAATGTTTTTTTTATTTTTAAAAAATTATTTATTGGGGTTTTTTGGAAAGGGAGAAGGAAAATAAAAAAATATTATCCCGACCCAAAAGATCACCTTCCCACATAGGTATATTTTTAAAAAGGAGGAAAAATTAAAAAATAATAGACCCAGAAGATCACCCACCCTCTCTTATAATTTTTTATTTAATAAAATTTATTTTTTTAATTGTCAGGAATTGCAAAAAACTTGTTCCAAACTTTTAAACGAAACAGAAATTGAAAAATGCAAAAATGGAATTAATTTGGAGAAATTAAAAGAATTGGAAACAAAAAGTATTGAGAAAATATGTAAATTGGAAGGGTTTTGTGAAAATGAATTTCCGATAATTGTAAATGAAAGAAATCAACTTGAACACGAAGAAAATGTTAAAAAATATTTGGAGATTCCAAAGGTTTTTTTAAATATAAATTTATACCCACCCAGAAGATCAACTTTTCTTTTGATCAACACTAACCAGAGAGTTGATCTTTTGGGTTAAATTTTGAAAAAATTAATTTTTCTAAATTTTATTTTTTAATAGATAGAGAAAATTGAAAATAATAAAAATAAAACAAATACAAAAGTAAATGAAACAACAATAAAAACAACAACTAAAAAGTCAAGGAAAAATAAAGAGAAAAAAGGATTTAATGAAGAAGAAAAAAAGATAAAATTTTATTAAAAAAAAATATAAAAACCCTCTTTTTTAATTTTGTTGATTAAAAAATTGGTGGTACACCTCAACTGAGTCTAATGGTACCAAGAACATTAAAAAGTAGCAATCCCTACTTGAGTTATGGGGCCAGGACTCATTGTCGGTTGAACTGCTCCGCAAGATTGGGGAGATACCCCAAGGGGTACCCCCATTATAGGCACGATTTTTCAGAAGTTGGGGGTCATTTTGGCGCGACTTTTGTCGGAGATTATGGGCCGCTCCCTTTTTGCCACGCCAAAATGACCCGAAAAACAAAACGAGGGGTTTTTGATTGTTAAAAAAAATTAAAAAAACCTTCTTCTATTCAAAAAAATATTTGTTTTGAAATTTAACAACTTCATAGCCAATAGTTGTGAAATTTGGAAGAAGATAACGTCCAAATAATTCAAGTCCATTTTGTGGAGATTTTATTAAATTTAATTTTTCCAATAAAATTGAAATTGGCGGCTTACGTGAGGGATAGGCATTTGGAATACTTTTGGAAAAAAAAAAAAGAATTTTTAGATTAATTAGGGGGTTTATCGAGGAGAATGTGTGCAGATATTTGTGGACAGAAACCTAAACCTATTGAAACAAATAAAAAATAAAAATTTTAAAAATCCGCAAAAAAATTTTGTCCGCAAATATTTGCATACATCAAATTTTATTATTAAAAAATTTTTATTTAATTTTTTAATTCTAAATTCATACCTAATTATACAAAAATCATCTCTAATTAATTTAAAATCCTCAACAAATTCTGGTTTGCAGGCAAACAAAATTGTTTCAAAAGGGACTTTGTGTGAAGGATTAAATTGACAAATTGGTTCCCCTGATTTACACAACTTTAAAAAATATTTTTAAAAAACTAATTTAGAAAAAAACCTTTAGCCAATGCCATTTTGCAATTAAAACCAATTTCCAATTTTTAATTAACTTTAAAGCAAAATTAAATATTTTTTCGCTGTTGGTTATCCACAAACATAAAAGGCCATTTTCCTTTAAAAGTGAAGGTATTGGGATACTTGTTAGTAAATTGGAATTTGAAGATGATGAGTGATTGTTTGAGAAGATTTTGTATCTTAAAAAAAATTTTTTTTGTAAATTTTTGAAATTTTTATGAAAAATTTTTTTTTCTAAATAAAAAAATAACAAACGTTTTTTGTCTTTTCACCGTTCTATTTTGCCATGGAGGATCAATTATTATCAAATCAAAAGAATTAGCTTCAACTAAAATAATTTTTTTAATTATTTTAAAAATTTAAGGCATCCCAGTTGATCACCACTATACCCACAAAAAAGTTAGTGGTGATCTCTAGGGTCATACCTACATTTTAATTTATTAATATCAGCAACACTTCCAATATAAAAAGAACAAGATGGAGGTATTAAATAAATTGAATTTTGTAAAATAAATTTAGAAAAATTATTTTTAAATAAAATATTGGGTAATAAACTTGAAAAAATAAATTATTTAAAATTTAAATTTCAAAAAACCTTGTATTTCCATTTTCTTCCAAACTTTCAGTTAAAAATTCTTCGTGTGAAGTTGACTCGGTAATACATTCAAATTCACATTTTGGAGAATTTTTTACAAAATTTTTGGCTTCTTTGTTTCCTAAAAAATTTTTAAAAATAATTTTTAGAAAAATTTCGGGGTAACCCATTTGATCACCACTAAATTCCCTAAAAGGTTAGTGGTGATCTTTAGGGTTACCCTTATTTAATTAATAAATTCCTTACCAATATCAATATTTGAAATATTTAAATTAAACAAGTCTTTAGAGCAATTTGACATAAATTTTTGATAAATGGATTGAATAAATGTTGAATTCTAAAATTTTTAAAAATTAAAAAAAATTTCCTTCCAAACCTTTTCCAAAAATTGAACATTTTCCTCTTCTTCTTCTTTTTTCTTCCTTTTTCTTTTTCTATTTAATTTTCCCATTTTTTCATTAATCCAATTTTTTGTTTGAGATTCCATAATAAAAGGTGTATCAATTTTGTATAAAATTTTATTTAAAGAATTTTCCAAATAAATATTTTTGTATATTTGTAATTCATCAAAATGAATAAATAAATCATTTTTAATAAATTCTTTCATCTGAAAAAAAATAAAAAAATTGAGTCCTTCCCGGTCTAGCCCAAGTTATAAACTAGCTCGGTTTCTGGATTTAGAGAGGTTCTGGATTTTTTATCTTCTAGTATTTTTTTCACTGTTCGCAATGAACTGACCATTACACTGAAATCGCACTGAACTGTCCACAACCCTTTACTGTCTAATGTCTATTAATTTTACACACTATTTCTACATATATTGATTTTTTCAGCGGCCATTGTTTAGACCGGTTAGGGACGATTCCGCGCCGACGATTCCGCGCCGACGTTTCCGCGCCGACGTTTCCGCGCCAGGTCAGTTCCGCACCAGCACGTTTCCGCGCCAGCTATAGAGGTTCCGCGCCAGTTATAAAATAAGTAAATAATAACCTGAACACGAGCCGGTCCACTTTCTATACATGTATGATTACCTACTTAAAAAGATAATGGCTTTTTAGAATCAAAAAATTTTAAAAATCAAAGTATCACATATTTTGTATAGCTGGCGCGGAAACGTGCTGGCGCGGAACTGACCTGGCGCGGAAACGTCGGCGCGGAATCGTCGGCGCGGAAAGATACCCCACCGGTTTAGACATGCAAAACAAGTACTGGTTAGAGAAAAAGAATTAATTTTTCTCAGGCAGAGTATAGAAAATGCTTTTCTCTAACCGCCATTTGTTTTTTGCGTGTTGTTACTTCACAGATTTTGGACAGTGTGATTTAAAATGTGTTGACTGTGATTTATTTGGCAACGAAGAATTGGTCAACGCTTTCCTGAACTTTGCTCCATCAACTACTTCAACATTGTTCAGCAGATTCTAATTGTGCAACAATAAACTGCTATTAATTTGCTTTTAATTGGGGAACGATTTAAATTCTGGGGATTTGAACAGTAAAAGGAAACCCTTAACAAATGACTAATTTTTTAAATTTTTTCTAAATTTTTTTTTATTTCAGGTTGCGGCTTTTCGGGCAAAACTAATTTAAGTCAGGTCTTTTTGAAAAACTTTTTTGAATCAACTTTTCATGGTATGCTGCTCTGGTATTAAAAAACATGGTCTAATTGAAAATTGGTCAGGGAGCTTGGGTCATGTTTCGGTTGTCTTAGTTGTCAGGGGTTAGGCTGACTAATCAAAGATCGACCACCTTTTGGTCATCATGAGGAATTCGCTTTTGGTCACTTCGGTAGATCATTCGGGTCCAAGTGATAGATCAAGAGGGGTCCCTTTGATTGGACAGGGGTTTTGGGCCATGTTTCGATGTCTTACAATTAGTTGTCAGGAGTTAGGCTGACTAATCAAAGATCGACCACCTTTTGGTCATCATGAGGAATTCGCTTTTGGTCACTTCGGTAGATCATTCGGGTCCAAGTGATAGATCAAGAGGGGTCCCTTTGATTGGACAGGGGTTTTGGGCCATGTTTCGATGTCTTACAATTAGTTGTCAGGAGTTAGGCTGACTAATCAAAGATCGACCACCTTTTGGTCATCATGAGGAATTCGCTTTTGGTCACTTCGGTAGATCATTCGGGTCCAAGTGATAGATCATTAGGAGTCCCTTTGATTAGTCAGGAATTATCAAAGATCGCCCTTTTGGTCATCATGAGGAATTCGCTTTTGGTCACTTTGGTAGATCATTCGGGTCCAAGTGATAGATCAAGAGGGGTCCCTTTGATTGGACAGGGTGAATTCTATTTGTCTTCGAGTTCGTCCTTTAAATGAAGATTAATTTTTTATTGAGCAGCATATTATTCTTTTCTGGACAGCGCTTTTTTGGGCGGCTTTGCAATATGTAGAAAAATGTGCTTCACAAAGGACGCGCGCGTCATTTTAACAGGTTTGTTTTTATTTTGTTTTGTTAGGGGTTTCCTTAATTACTGTTCTAAGAGTCAATAAAAGTTTTGCCAATTTTATGTTCGTGGTAAGATCTAGGATTTCCTCGACATCACCTATTAGTTGTCCAAGCCCCTTAAGTTCCATTGGTTTGTTAAGTTTCATCGCCGCCGCCATTCCCAGTTCGCCAGTTAATTGCTCTAACTTCTTTGGTTTTTTTTATTTGCTCCAACAGGTTTGTTTTTTATTTTTATTTTCACGATGCCTTTCCATCAGCTGCTGTTAGCGAAGTGATAAGCCTAAAAACAATTACGAAACTAAAATAAACGAACTTTTTTCGGGACCAATAAAACGAATTATCAAGTAATATTCCCACAAATAAATTGTTCTTGTTCGAGGGGGTTAACCTTCCACAATGTTATTTTCCTGTTTTTTTTTATTTTACAGATAAAAACAAAAAAGATAAAAAATATATTTATCATTACTCAAAATTGTATTTAATTATTTTTTACTTTTCAGAATTATTTTTGTTTGTCTAAAAATTTATTTTTAATTAAAAAAAAGAATGTTGGCAACAAAAAAATTAATTAGAAAACAAATTAAACAAAAAATTGACCAACTTTTATCAAAACCTGGAGGACCTGAAATTATTGAAAAAGAAAGTGATTTTGTTAAAGAAAAGGTTAATTTTTAATTTAAAAAAATTTTAAAATTTAAAAATAAACAGTTATTTAATCACCAATGGTTTAAACAAGCTAAACGTATCGCTATTTATGTGAGTACTTTTGGGGAGATTATAACTGATGAAATTATTCTTCGAGCACTTGACGATGGGAAGGAAGTTTTTATTCCGAGGTATTTTTTTAATAAAATTTTTACCCAAGAGATCACCTCTGGAAGATCAACGCTGTTGCTAGTGTTGATTTTTAGCGTGTTGATCAAATGGGTTTCTCGAAAATATTTTTTAAATAAAAAATTTTTAGAATAAAGAAAGGAAATGAACACATGGAAATGGTAAAAAATAAATAATTTTAAAATAAAAAATGTTTTTTAGCTTAAATTATCTTCTAAAGACGAATTTGCCAAACTTGAAAGGACAACTTGGGGGTTATTTTTAATAAATAAATTGTTTAAATTTTATTTTATTTAAAGAATTCGTCAGCATTCAAGTGATTTATCACCGCCTACGTATTTTGATGGAATGACAACAAAAGAAAACGGTTTTTGAAATTCCTCCCAAAAGATCACCACCAAAAGATCAAGTTGATTTTTAGTGTGGTGATATTTTGGGTCGGCCTAAAAATTAAAAAAAATTCCTTTTTCAGAACAACTTTTGGATTTAATTGTAATGCCTGGTGTTGCATTTACTTTAAATGGAAAACGTTTAGGCCATGGACGTGGGTATTATGACCGTTTTCTTTTGGAATATTCACAAAAATGTAATGGAATATATCCAAAAACAATTGCTTTAGCATTAAATCTTCAAATAATTGAGGATTTACCGATGAGTGAAAGGGATGTTTATATTAATCAAATATTATATTCTACTTAAAAACAACACTTTCAAAATAAAAAAATATTTTTATATTTTGTATAGGGACAACTCACCATCCAGACAAATAATTGGACGTCTAAACTGTAAATTGTCTGGACGGTGTTTTAGCCCTTTCCCCTTAAAATAAATTTATTTTCTAAATTTCAAAAAAATTATTTTATATTAAAATAAAACAAAATTTCTTTTTTAATATTTATTTTTTAACTCTGCTTTTTGCTTTATCGGTTATAAGATACATTATTGTTGAAGAGGACTTTAAAAAAAGAAGAGAAGACTTGGTGGTCATTAATATATTTTTGTTGTTTAACTATAAGTAAATTTTTGTGTGTTATCTTCTTTAGTTAGTTAATGAATAATGGAATTTTTGTTTAAAAGAAAAAGCTTTTGAGAGATTTAATGTACTTACTCTTCATTATAAGCTAAAAATATATTCAAATAAAAATATTCCCTTTAAAAATGTCCAAGAAAATAAAAATATTTTTGTTTTTATTAAATATTTATTTAAATTTTGGATTCAAAAACGAGAAAAATTATGACGAGAAAAAACATTTGTGTTTACTTGAGAACGAACAAAATTCAATTTATTTATCTATTTATGAAAATATACAAAAAGGTTTTGACTAGATTAAATTTGGGGACTCCCACAAGATCGACTTTCCTTAGATCAATGAGTAAGCTTCCCTATAGATCAACTCCCTTTTTAGTCAACTCAAAATCCCACCCAAGAGATCACCTCCAGAAGATCAACACATTGGAGCATATTGCAGGGATTGGTCTAAAGGAGTTGATCTTTCGGGTAAAAGCCTTATTTTTAAAAATATTTTTTTAGATTCTGTCTTGACAGTTTTGCCAATAATCGGCATCCCTTTTGGAGATAAACAAAATATTAAATTAAATATATTAAATGGCCAACAATTTGTTTCATTAAACAATTTAAATAAACAATTAATATTAAAACAATTAATTGACAGGGATACTGTATTTATTTAATTTAAAAATTTTTGAAAAAAAAATTTTTAAAGGGCTTAACAAATATTAATGTATTAATTGAATGTATTCCTCTAATTAAATATTTTAATCAAAGTAGCGAGTATAGCGAGAACGCTTTTTCAGTTCTGTTTTTTAATTATTTTTTAGAGAAAACCCAAGAGATCAACACCCAATAGATAAACACTGCATCCTAGAGGTGATCTCCTGGGTTTTCTCTATTTAATATTTAATTAAAATAATTTAAAATTATTTTTAGTTAAATATAAACGTATTTATTTCAATTATTGATGTTAATGATAATCCACCAAAATTTATTAAAAATGGAAAATTTAATATTAATTTACACGAAGAATTACCGATTGGTACGAAAATTAATTTAGATTTCAAAGCTGTTGATAACGATCAGCCTGGACCTAATAGCCATATTCGGTATAAAATTATAGAGGTAAATACATGCTTAAATAATTTTTAAATAAAGAAACAGACCCAGAAGATCACCTTGTTTTTTGGTGTTGATCTTAATGGGGTGATCTTCTGGGCAATTTATTTAAATTTATTTTTATTTTTCAGACTAATTCCTCTACCTTATCAGCAAAAAATAAAAATTATTCAAATTTATTTTCAATCCACGATCCATTCCTTCCAGAATTATTTATCTCTGATCGAATAGATTTTGAAAACTTACCTTCAAAATTTCTAATAAAAATTGAAGCAGAAGATCAAGGAACTCCAAAACTAAATTCTTCTGCTGTAATAGAAGTTAATTTAGTAGATATTGATGATTTAAATCCAATATTTTCTTCATCAATTTATAAAGCGAAAAAATCAAATTTTGTGAGTTTTTTAATTTTAGAGGCTAACCCAGAAGATCACCATCAGATTTTAGTGTTGATATTTTGGGTGTTGATCTTTTGGAGTATATTAATTTAAAAAAATATTTCTTTTGTTTCTTTAAGAACTCAACATTATTAATAATAGAACCTAAACCAATGAAAGCTTGGGATGGTGATAGTATTAATGAAACAATTTTATATAAACTAAGTGAAGGTATTTTTTAAATAAAAAAATATTTTTTAAAAACTTCTTAGAAAATTCAAAATATTTTATTATTGATGAATTTAATGGAATTATACAAACTAAAACTAATAAATTACCTTCAAGTGCCCAATTAATTGTTAATGTAAGAGAAAATATTTTTAAATTTTTAAAAAGGGCAACCCATTTGATCACCACCAAAAAGAACACCCTCCTAGTGTTGACTAAATGGATGGTGATCAAATGGGATGGTCTTATTTTTAAATTTATCAAAAAGGCTTATCAATCAAATCGACCGGAACGAAATTCAACAGCTTTTGTTTTATTCGAAAATAGTTATTCAGAAGAAGAAATTGAAATATCTTTAATTCACATAATTAGCTTTATTTGTTTTTTATTAATTTTAAGCAATTTTTTAATTTTAAGTTTTTGGTTGGGTGAAAGGAAAAAACAATTGCTAATTAAAAATAAAATGTTTGTTTTTTAGGGATTAACCCAGAAAGTCAACTTTCTAGTAATCAACTGACTCTGAAGGACAAATCCAAATTTTAGGGCGGATAAAGGTTTTGTAGGGATTAAGGGGGATATCGATGGATTTGGGCGGATTAAGAGACCTCCAGGGTCAGTTGCCAACTAGGGAGTTGATCTTCTGGGGAAGACCCGTATTTAAATTTTTTTTTATTTTTTAAGTTTTGACAATTCTTCTTCCTCCATTTTTTCTACAAAAAACAGACAACTAAATTGGATATTAAATAATTCTTTAGAAAATGATAAATCAATTAAAATATCAAAAACCAATGATTTACCTTTTTTAAATGATTCTGATTTTTCTTTTTATAGTAAATAAAGTCTAAAAAATACCCAAAAAGTTTTATCATTTGTTAAAGAAAAAATGAAAAAAAAATAAAAGTTAAATAGAAAACCCAAAAGATCAACACTCTGTAAATCAACGCATTCTTTTTGTGTTAATGTCTTTAAAAGGTGATCTTTTGGATTTTAATAAATATCACATAAATAGGGAATTAAAAAAGGAAATAGAGAATAAATATGTGTAAAGAGTACCTGTATGTTTTTAAAAATAAATTTAAAAAACTTTAAGAAAAAAATACCCAACATTTCCTTTGTTTACCCAAATAATATCTGAATTTTTTTACTGAAAATAATTAGAAAATGTTGGGGGTTTAAACTAATTTTTAAACCAATGGAGGAGGGATGTCTCGGGTTGCTTAAAATGTTCGGGTCGAGTTTTCAAAAATTTCTTTGGATTAAAAAAGGAAAAAATCCGGGTTTTCGAATATAGCCCAAAACATCCCTAAGAGGGACGGAAAAAATATTTTAAAAATTTTTGAAAAATAATTTAAATGGTTAAATATACATTGTATATAAAATTAAATAAATTAAAAGCATTAAAGAAAAAAACCTTTTCCAAAAAAATTTCTTTACCAAAAAATCTTCACCAAAAAAACATTTACTCGTCCCATTCAATTTCTAGAGTGCTCCCAAATCAAGAAAAAATTTCGGTTCCTGATTTTCCGCATAAATTTGCAATTCTTTTGGCAATTTTCGGAAAGTTGTTATGTAATTAGCACGAGTAATTTGTGCACGTCGAGTACAGGTTAACAACTTTGAAAAAATTTTTTTTGTTTTTTAAAATTAAAAATACCAAATGAGGGCCAACACTGACAAAATAACAATTTCCAAAATATTTTTTAAAAAGTTGCAAAATTTGGTGTTCGTGATTAGCTAATTGGTGTTGCTAGAAAGATAAATTTTCATTTTTTAAAAATGTAAAAATAACCTCAGGTATATCCTTTTTACTCGTAAGTGAAAAGAAATGCATTACAATTGTGCCTAAAAAGAATTTGTAATAAACTCAAAAGATCAACTTTCCAAAAGATCTTTGGGGTGGGGATTTTTTGGGATAATTTTGAACGCTTCATAATACCAAAACTACAATATCCCCCCCCCCCCCCCCCAAAAAAAAAAAGGCTTCAAATACAAAAAGATCAGCTTTCGAAAATATCAACGTTAGCGTTGATATGTAGGTGGTGATCTTTTAGAATTATTTAAATTTAATTAAAAAAACCGTAGGGCGCCAAATTTTTAGCCAAAGCACGGACAACTTTTTCTTCTTCAAATTCTTTAACAGGGCACTGAACATGTTGATTCTCTGCAGCTCCCAATCCATAACAAACATCTACCACAATAAAATCAATCTTTTTAGGGACGGCCACTAAAAAAAATTAAAAAAAATTTTTCTAAAAAAATTCAAGAGAAAAACCAGTTTTTGGATTTTCAATCAATTCAGCTCTAGCAACGACATAAAATGCTGGATTTTCAATAAAAATTCGATTCTGTTCAGTCTCAGAAAATCCAAACCATTTTTCAGAAATATAGCGTAATGCTGGTTCCGAGTCTATCGTTGTTACATCGTACTTTAAAAAATAAATTTTTTTTTGCAATTTTTATAAAATAAATTTAAAAAATCTGAACTGGACTAGCTATTTCCCCTTTAGCTAATACAGAAAACAGGCGGCTGGGATCGAACCAACATCCTTTCATAAAACTGACTGAGGGCTTTACCCATTACACCACGGCACCCCCTTACAATAAAAGGAGGAAAAAATACTTTTGTTGAAAGATTAGCGAAGAAATTGTTAACAATAGATCCGTGCAATCCCAAACAAAGAATTCGACGTGTTTCTCCATCAATTACTTTTGAAGGCATTATTGAAGGCACAAAAGTTTGGGTTATAAATGGTTGAACAACTAAAGCTCTTTGATAGTCTATTGGGGGAGGTTTCTTGGAAAGTAAAGGCCATTGACGAGAATTTTCTCTGGTAAAATTGCCATCTTTAAAAAATAAAATAATTCATTGGTTTCTTTTCTGTTCAAAAAAGTCAGCAAAATTTTGTCTGCAAACAATTTTTTTGTCCACAAAACTACTTGCGGACTAAATTTGCGGGCTTTTTAGAGCATAATAAAATATAAAAATATATTGAAAAACAAACGTAGAGGAAAATCTAAAGGCGCTTCAGCAATAATAATTTGCCCCATTGGTTCCATAACAAGAAAACGAGAAAATCCACTGAATAAACAAAAAAAAAATTTTTAATAAAAATTTTATTTTTACCTTCCCGAAGCATCAGGCCCATCAAGTATAACATAACAACCTTTTTGTAGTTTTTGATCTTTTGGGCAAATCAATTCTTGAGCAATAGGTTTGGGTAATATTGCTTTGTTTGTCTCGTTTATAACGGTTAATGTTGGAGTTGAAGAGGAGGAATTTGTGGGAGGAGAAAAATAAGAAAATGAAGAGGGGGAATAAGGATATGGAGTTTCCTTTTGATCGTCATTGTAAGAAGAAACTTCAATAACAATCCAATCAGAGGGCAATTCTTTTCTCCAAAGCTAAAAAGACGGAAAATTTTTTCAGACAAATCAGTACTTTATAGACGCCTTCCCTCTTAATTTGACCATTATGTACATCCTAAGGAAAACTCTGAGATTTAAAATAGGGGGAGGGGGATATCCAAAAAGAGCCGATTTGTCTGAAAATATTCAAATAAATTTTAACTTTTTTTACCTCATTCTTCCAGTAACGCCATCGCCAATGTATAATATAAAGTAATTGAGCAGCCTATAATTTAAATATTTAAATATAAGTAAAAGACAGACAAACACTTACAATTATAATTCCAGTCAAAAAAATGAGTGCAAACTTCCAAGAACTTCCATTTACCTTCATTTTTGTTTAATTTTTAAATAAAAAAATTTTTTTAAATTAAGAAATATGGAGAATAAATTTAAAATTTGTTAATTTGACAGGTGTAGCAAGGGGATTTTGAAATTGAGGGGAGAAGTGTGGAGAGAAAAAAATTAATAAAAAGGGAAAGATTGACGAGGCATTATGCAATAGGTTTTAAAAGGCAAATGAACGCCCTTTTCTTTTTTTATTTTTCTGTGAAATTGAATAAAATCCACGTTACAAATAATGATTTTCAATAATCAAATAAAGAGAATGAGTAAATCACATGAATAGCCCTCGCTATGAAGCTAGGCACTAAAATATCCGTTGACTAAATGAAATTTACTCATTTTCGACATAATGACATTTTTGTTTGGCAAAATGTTAATTTATTTTTATAAAAATTTGATGACAGATTTTTCAGAAAATTTCTAGGGAATTTTGCTGTTCGTTAATTTTTTTCAAATTTGTAGACAGGTAAAAATGTTTTTGACACGCAGCGAGTATGATAGAGGTGTTAATACTTTCTCACCGGAAGGAAGACTTTTCCAGGTTGAATATGCTATGGAAGCGGTTAAAGTAAACTTTATTAAAAAATTTCTTTAAATTATTTTACTTCCTAGCTTGGCACTACAACAATTGGAATTCAATCAAAAGAAGGAATTGTTTTGGTAGCTGAACGACGAGCCGTCTCTAGATTATTATCACTTGACTCTATTAAAAAAATTTCCAAAATTGACAAACATATAGGTTTAGATTTGAAGAAACATTTAAATAAAAATTTATTTTCTTTTTAAGTTGCTGCCTCCGCTGGCCTCATTGCTGATGCGCGCACTTGGGTGGACCGTGCTCGAACTGAATCTCAGGATTACTTTTTTACTTATGGCCAAAGAATTGGGATTGGCCATGTTACAATGAAGGTTTCGGAAATTGCTCTTCATTTTGGCGACGATGAATCAACGGTTAGTTTTCTCGAAAATATTTTAAAAAGCATTTGTAAAAGATTCGCCTCGGTCGTCCATTTGGAGTTGCAATGCTATTTGCTGGTGTTGATCACACAGGGACTGCTCTTTACCATTTGGATCCTTCTGGCACATATATTCGTTGTATTGCAAAAGCTATTGGGGCTGGTGGAGATGGGGCAGAACAAGCATTAATTGAACATTGCAAAGAATGTGATAAGGTTTGTTTTCAGGTTAAAGACTTTCAAAAAACCTTTTTAAATTTTAATAGAAAATGACATTAGCACAAGCACAGAAAGTTGCGTTAACAACGCTTAAACAATTAATGGAAGAGAAAATTAGTAATAAAAATGTTGAGATTGTTATAATTAAACCAGAAATGGAAGATGGAGAAATGGTTGGTTTGAAATTCTTGAAATTTTAATTTTTTATTAATTTCTAGACTGGTAAAATTACTTGGTTAAACGAAGAGGAAATTGGTCAAGCACTTATTGGATTGGAATAAAAATTAAAAGTAAATATTTTGATTTTTGTTACTTTTATTGTTTAAATAAACAAAATTGAGATGCTTGATAAATTATAAATATTGGTAAAATGAGTGGGGGATTTTACTTGAGATATTGAAGTAATATAAGTGAAGAGATTAACAAAGTCGAAAAAATAAATTAAATGCTAGAGTTCGAACGATGATTGGGACCGGGATTTCTGGGCCTGACATCGGGTATTTTCATAAAATCCGGCTTTTCGGGGTTTAGCTCTGAAAACCCGGCCCCCGGGTGTTTGAAAGAAAAAATTGGATACTCATTGTCAGTTCGGCAAATTGAAAAGTTAGAACTCTATTAAATAACATCTTACAATTCAAAATTATACTGATAATTAAATTCAACCAAAAATCGTTCACGAATCTGCTCCAAATTGTATACAATAAATTCATTATAAATAAGTGTTGTGTCCTGACATTCTGCATCAACAGGTTTACCACATGGTACTTCAATACCATCATCCCTAATGAAAAAAATTAAATTTACAAATTCCTTCATTCCCTACAAAATTTTTGTTTCCTCAGGTTTAGGCACAATTTTTCCAATTCCTTTAGTGCTGTGTTTTCCTTTTGGTAATTTATTGTGTAAATCCGAATCCCCATCTTTTAGTTCCAACATCTCACCCAATGCAACTTCCGATAACATCATAAAAGCAGAATTGTTTGATCCAGAGTTTGAATAATTGGCCGATTTGCTTGATATATCTTTTGAAGAAAAAAAATTTTTTTGTTAGAATTAATTTAAAATACAAAAGAAAACCTGCAAAATAAACTCCTTTACCAAACATATAGCCAGTCTTAAAAATTAAATAATTTAAAAAATTTTATAAATAAAAAAAACATACGACAGGAGCTTCTGGCGGTGCTATATTAAATAAATTAAAAATAAAATAAGTTTAAAAACAAAGAAACCAAACCAATTCTAAGTCCTTGTGCCAATATAGAATACCAATTAGTTAATTTTGAACCATGCCACAACAACATTCTTTTTCCCAAATTTTTCAAAAATTTTTCTTCTTTCTCTTTATCTTTTCTGTTTAATTCATAAACTTGTTTTAACTCCAGTTTAAAACTAGAATGTGTTGGCCCTTGTGTGTTAATTAAATATTCTTCAATTAACTTAAAAAAATTAATTAAATATTGGTAATGTGTGCGACCATTTTAATTCCTATAAATCCAAATCTATAAAATAAGTGCCCAGCTCTAGAAATCAACAAAATCCATAGCGGTAGTGTGTGTCATTAACTCAATGTGAGTATATATGGCAATAGGAATCTCCCCTCCGCTCTTCTCCCTCCATTTTAGTCTCTTTTCTACTGCCGCGCACAATCAAGACAATTACAAAAAAATATTTAAAAAACCTTATATTTCTCATTTTCCTTTTCTACAGGTATTATATCCCATTTTAATCTGCTGTAATGTTTTTCTATTGGATCATCAGAATTATTCATTTTTGTAACAGCAATTTCAATTCCAGTCAACAAATCTAGCAATTCAATTTCTTGTTTTAAAGCTTCAATTGTTCTAATCATTGGTGGAGTACGCATACCAAAACAATGAGGAATTCGTGTGTAATACCTTTTTTAAATTTTAAAATAAAAAAATAATTTTTAAAAACAAACTCGTTCATTGATTGTTTAAAAGCAACAGATTCCAATTCATTTTTAGCTATAAACTGTTCAATTTGTGTCAAAGCTTCATATCCAGACCAGGCCCGTAACCAGGGGGGGGGTGAGGGGGGGAATTCCCCCCCCCCGAAATGGGAAAAAGGAAAAAATTTGGGGAAGGGCTGGGGCAAAAAAGTGAATTTTTTTGGCCTACGGCCTTCGAAATTTTCAAAATTTTCGCCTGCGGCGCTAAAAAAGGACGAAATCTGGCTTCTTGAGGTCCAAAATTCAAAAAATTTTCGCCTGCGGCGCTGAAAATCAAATTTTTGGCGCCTGCGGCGCCGAAAAAGTGAATTTTTTGGCCTACGGCCTTCTAAAATTAAAAAAATTTTCGCCTGCGGCGCTAAAAATAAAAATTTTTGGCGCCTTCGGCGCCAAAAATTTGGCGCAATAAAATTTCCCCCCCCCCCCGAAAAAAAATCCTAGTTACGGGCCTGATCCAGACTTTATTTGTTCTTTGGTAATTTTACCTAAAATAATATGGATTTTAATAAAAATTATTTTTTATTTAAATTCTTAAGGAAAATTCAAATTAACCCGTTGGAAGAATTCAAAAAATTTTTTTAAACTTTTCAAAAAATTTTTAAAGCAAAAAAAACCTAAAGGCATCCGTTGAAAATCAAAATCTAAACGCCTCACTTCCTTCTCCATAGATTTAAAATCACAAAGTGTTTGCATAAGCTTTTTAATTCGTTCATCCATTACAGAAACAATTTGATCTAAAAAAAATTTGAAAAATATTTTTAAATAAAAACAAAACCTTTAATAACTTCTTCCTCTTTTTGAATAATTTTTCGTTTATAATCAATTTTTATCAAATCATATTTTCCATTAATTTTAACAAAACTTTTTTGGCTCCCCAAAAAATCATTATTCGTCTTATCTTTAAATTTTCTTTCAAATAATTTTAAGGCCCCATCCAAATTAGAATTAAATCTATTCAAGTCACTTTGACCCTAAAACCAAAAAAATTTTATAAAATTTTTTTAAATTTTACTTTCATTCCAACACGTCCCCAACGAAGCCAAACACAATAATCTCCACCCAATCTATTTTCTAATAACTGTATCAAATAAAATTTATTATTGTTGTTTTGAATATTTGTTTGATTAAGCATTGCATTGAAGAAAATCCCTTCAGAATTTTTATAAATACGATAAGCTTGGGTATTTATATCAGAGCATTCAATATCGATTTCTGGTTCTTCTAAAAATATTTAAAAATTAATTGTTTAAGTAAAAGCATTCCCATAGCTTGGACCGATTTAATTAATCCCTAGGTACCAACCCAGTATACGAACTTTTTATCGGCCTGACTTATCCATGATCCCTAACAAATTGAGGATGACTTGATTTAACCCCCAAAATTATTAAAATTAAAAAAGGTTAACCTTCTAATTCCACTTCCTTCTCCTTCTTTTTATTTTTATCCAACTTTTGTTTTTTACGTGGAAAAGGGATTTCGTCCTCAGAACCATCTTCACTCTTATTGTTCTCATTTTCTTCATCTGTTTGATCATCAATTTTCTTTTTTCGAGATTTTCCTTTCTTTGATTTTTCAGATTTTTCTTTTGATTTTTTGTCATTGTCAGACGTCTTACTTTTTACTGAATTATTTGTCGTTGATTTAAATTTACATTTACGTTCCCTTAAATTTGTTGGACTCGATTTAGGATGTGGAGGGTCTGAAGTATCTGCTGGACCTGCCTACAAGTTTTTAAAAAAATATTCAAAAAAATAAAAAATTCCTACTTTGGATTCAATCCGTTTAATTTGAAATTGTTCACTCGTATTAACATCCTTCAACAAAATTCCATTCTCTCCTCCAGAAAAATCAACAAACATTTCACGCCCAAACATTTCAAAAGATAATTTCTCGCTGCATAAATCATTCTCATTTTCTTTGAAAAATTTTTCACAATGAAGTGCCAAAGAGGGTGGCAAGCTTACCCATCTTCTTCGCTTACTTTGATAGTTCCAGACAATTTTATTATTATCTGAATATTTTATATATTTTATTTAAAAAATACTCAAAAAACCATTTAAACGAATAGAACATCTAATCCCTCTAACAAATCCACTGTCCAAATTTCGTTGTCTCATCTCTTCCAGATCGAATTCCATCTTCCAATTTTCAATTTCATATTCGGCTTTTTGGCTCTTCGAAAGCTCTCTAAAACAAAAAATATTTATTAAAAAAAAGATTAAGCAAACTTTGTTAAGAAAGCGTTCAATTCCTTGTCAAATTCTAACCATTTTGGTGTCAAACACTGATATTCCCAAATAAATTCATGCTCTCCCATTTGTAAAACTAATAAAATATTCTAAAAAAGGTTCAAAAAGGAAATAAATTTTAAAAATTTTTGCAATTTATTTGCAGAATTTGCACGATTTTTTGACGAAAAAGTCTGCAACAAAGTGTCCGTTTTCACTCTTAAATATTTTTTGCTCTTTTTCTTTCGCTATCTCTCAATTATTCACACTCTTTTCTTGCAGGTGTCAGACTCAAACTCGTGCAAAAACACAAAATGAAATTAGAAAAAATGGCCAACGACAAAATGGTAGTGCAACAGAAAATTTTAAAATGGTACTACACGTTTTTTAAAAGAAACCCCCAAAAACTTTTTTCATGTCGAGATCTGCTCATGTTACCATTTTTTTCTTACCTTTTTGTATGTTCCATTTTATCCGTCATTCAACTCGAGACACCAAAGAACACTTTTTTTACCGCAAAAATTTTACGATTTAACCGCAAAATTTCTTTGCATCAGCTGTGAATTTTATTATTTTATTAAATCTTTTTATTAAAAAACAACAGACATATTAAAGCTTTATAATATTTTTAGACTTATTAAAAAATATGCAGACAGCTTTGGCGGCCTTATGTTATTTTTGTGAAAATCATGGACCTAGAGTAGTTTTTACCTGTCAACCTATGCGAACTTCTGACCTGGATTTGGAAGGACTAGAAAAGGCAAAATGTTCTTCTAATTTTGATGGTATTTTTTAATTTTTATTTTTTAAGAATTTTTAAAATTATTTTTTTACAAAAATAGGGGAGTGGGTTTTATATTTAAATTTTTTAAAATTAGAATTTCTTTAGACTCCACCTTCTCTTTGGACGGTATACCCTATTTTTGTAATGACCTTTATGGTGGTAATGAAATTGTAGATGATGAATTGAGATGTGCAGCTTGTTCTTCTTTTGCTCAAGGAATGGGGCTTTTGTCTGATACTAGTGATGAAGAAATTAGTTATGTTAGTTCTCAGGTTATTTCACATTATTTTAAACCCAAATTTAAATTATTATTTTAAGGTTCCAATCAATGAACGTTTAAATCAAATACTCAAGCAGGCTAGTTTACGTTCACTCAGTGTTGAGGTCTCTGCCCCATTTGTTGCAGCTAGTACATCATCTCAATCTTCCCCTCAATTGACTACTTCTTCGACTAATTCTTCAAATTCTCAAAAGGATAATGATGAAATTTTCTTTGGTTATTCAACAAGTGACTCCGAACATGATGGTGTTGTTCTTTTTGGTGACGATGAAAATTGGTATACTCTCTCTTACACTTTTAGGTTTTTCTTTTTAATTTTTCGACCCTATCCCAAAAGAAGGGTCGAATCGTTTTTTTCCTTACTTTTTATTACTTTATAAAAATGGACAATTTTCCTTAAAGTTGATGTGCGTTGATGTTTGCCTTAAGAAAGAATGGAGAAGGACAGACAATGACAGAAGGCACGACGGACAGACAAGACACGGATGTGTACGTCCTTGTTTTGTCCGTCCGAGTCTGTCCGTGTTCGTCCGAGTTTTGACTGTCCGAGTTCGTAAGACAAAACACGGACAAACTAGGACAGACAGAACGGACGGACCCAGACAGAAAAAACGGACAGACAAAACTCGGACGAACACGGACAGACACGACACGGACGAACTCGGATAGAAAAAACACGGACAGACTCGATCGGACAAAACAAGGACGTACACGTCCGTGTCTTGTCTGTCCGTCGTGTTTTCAGTCATTGTATGTCCTTCTCCATTCTTTCTTAAGGCAAACATCAACACATCAACTTTAAAGAAAATTGACCATTTTTATAAAGAAATATAAAGTAAGGAAAAAAACGATTCGACCCTTCTTTTGGGATAGGGCCAATTTTTCTTTTTTATACAAATTTTCAAAGATTGAGAGATGCTAAGGCTAGAGGATTTCATCGAAGTTATTCTTTAGTAGTTGTTTGTATGGATAAATTGCTTTTGCTTAGACATTATGATTTTCTTACTAATAGTCTTTGCTCTATTGTTTCTAAATTACAGGTTTTTTTGAAATTTTCAAAATAATTTTTTTACAATTTTTTAAGGAAATAACCAACACATTTTTTATTTATGAGCAAGCTCAAGACTCAGAATTAAGATTAGCTTCAAATGTCAAAAATGCTCATTGGTTGCCCCATCAATTTTATCCAAGACAATATGCTGTAGATACTTCTAGAAGTCTTAAAATAATTACAAATGATGAAAATATTTTTACTTTATTGCATAGGTTATTTTATTTTTCTTTTATTTTTTTAAATTTTAATTTTTTTAGTCAAATGATTTCTTTGCTAAAAACTTTGACTTCACTTGGTTTATATAATTTTTTTCAATTTATTAAATTTATTTTCTAGATAAAGACATTTTACTTGAAGGATGTCCTACACAAGAAATGCTTTTTGTAAAACTAAATTTTTTAAATTAATTTTTCCTTTCTTTTTAGATGACAGAATTAAGTGTTTGTGGTTCTTTAGAAGAAAAAGAATTAATTAATCAACTTTCATCGAAACAAACATTAATTCAACTAGACGATTTACGTTATATTGCTCAAACTTTAGCTGAACAAGATTCGGCTTTGTTAAATGCATTAATTTGGCAAATAATTATTGGTGAACAGGTATAAATATTAAAAAAAAATTTTTTTAATACTTGAAAATAGAAATGTGAATTTTATTATTAGATTTTGGACACTTCTTTTTTTAGTAAGAAAAATGAGGTTTATTTGTGGTTAGGGGAGACTTCTTTATTTGAAGGGTCAGGGGGAAAAATCCAAAATATTGTAATAGGTTAGTGGCCATGCTCTACACGATGGTATAATTTTTGTTAAAATTTTTTTGGTCATAGCTCGGAAGGTTCCCTTTTAAGAAAAATAAGAAAAGGGCCTACATTTTTAATTTAAACCTTCACAATTTTTATTTTTTAAAGATTGTTGTTAAATGTAATTCTTTAATTGCTCGTCAACAATTTATACATTCACTTGTTCAATTATTACCAATTGGATGTGTTAGATTAGATGCAAATGCTACTCAATATTATCATTCTTATAAGTAAATCTGAGATTTTTTTAAATTAATTTTAACTTTTTTTTTTAAAATTTAGATATAATTTTCTTGGTTGTTCACCAGAAATTGAAATTCCTTCAAATTATCTTTCAAATATATTTTTATTAATTCTCTCTGAAAATGATAAAAAGGAAGAAGAATTAAATAATGATGATAAACAAGAAATTCAAACAACAAATTTAAATAAATTTAATATTTTTGTTGGAAGTTTTCCTCAAAGAAAAGAATCAGAAAAGCCAACTTTAGTTAAGAGATATAGTCAACTTTTGCTTGGTTTTCTTTTTTTTAATTAAAAAAAATAATTTTTTTAAAGATTCAATGATTAATGGTTTTACCCTTGAAAGTGCTTTACGTGCTACAAGAAATGAATGGCTAAATAATGTTAAATTAATTTTTCAATTGAGACATCAACGTGAAACTATAGATCTTCAAAGAATTATGCGTATAATTAAATGTCGATCACAAGTTTGTTTTTGTTTTTTTAATTTAAAAAAATTATTTTTAAATTCTTTTAAGGATTCTCCGGTTATTTTATTTTGGCAAAAAGGACTTTCTAAAAGATATAAACATTTGGTTCTAAAAATGGCAAAATTTAATGAAAATGGAGAAGAAAATGGTTCTTCAAATTGTTTTTCAAAAAAGACACAAACATCAAAAAAGAATAAGAAGGAAGAGGACTTGATGGTTGATAATTGTAATGTGTAGGAGTATTAGAAGAATAAATAGATGTATATATATATATTGGAGTGGAGGTTGATAATCAACATTTCTGAAATTTGTAAGTTTTAATTTTTTGTGAATTTTAAGGAAAATATTTTTTTAGACTTTGACCACCTTGTAAAAAAACAAAACTCAACACATTTTCACTATGAGCTCTTTTATATATTTCTCTAGTCTTTGACTTTTTAAATATTTTTTATACATAAATTCTCTTTTTGTAAATGTCTCCCAATGCCATATCATAACCTCAAATACAAGATGTCTCATAAATGAATATAATAAAGAAATTTTTTTTGATTTTTTAAACAAAGAAATTGCTTAACAGATGTGTAAACATCTTAGTAAGAAAATAAAAACAATTTGAGAGAGAGAATCAATTTTTTATTTGACACGTTGCTAGACAGTCATTTGACACGTTAGACATGAATTTTAGACATGGGCTTTTCTCAGACATGGATTTTCCCTGTAATCACTAAAAGATGTTTGATTATTACCTTAAACAAACAAAAAAATTTATTGCTAGAAAATTCCCATTTTATTTGAAAATATTTTTAAATTTACGTGCCGTGTTGTTGACGATAGCAATTTTGGTATTTTTATTTAAATACTTTGCTAATACAGAACTATCCTTACACCCGGGGAGGATAGTTCACCCGTTGAAGTTCACATCGGGGAGGATAGTTCACCCGGGAGGATAGTTACACCCGTTGAAGCTTCAACTTTTTCTTGACTTGAGACTTAGGTTTTTTTCGTTCTTGGTCTTGAAATCCAGTCTTGAAATCCAGTCTTGGAAAAATTTTCTATTTTGGGCATCTCTATCCACGGCTATATCTACCAACGTTATCGTTCAAGATTATTTGCCCGAAAGATGTATAGGTTTGAATTTGAGACAAATAATTACGCTTAAATTAGGTTCTCGTACTATTCTTCTTGTTGCGTTATTATGAAGATTCGACCAACAGGGAGTTTACTGTGCATGTTCCTGTTCAAGTTGATGATGAAAATCAAAACGTAGTTGTTCAAGAAGTTATTTGCCCGAAGGGCGTTGAAGAAAATTGTTTTAAAATTGAGGATGTCCGACTTGAAGGATGGAATGGCCAAGAGTAAATATTAAATAAAATTTTGATTTTAAAAATATTTAGAACTGAATATGAGAGGTTATTAGTGGTGGATAAAGTTGAAGATGTTGTGCTTACTATTGCCAAACTAATCCCAAAATCAGGTAAAAGGAGTTAGACTTTTTCCTTTGTTCACATAAAAAATTTGAAGGAGAAAAGTTCTCGTCAAAGAATTCGGCTGGTTGGCCTGTTATGAAGAAGAGATTAATTCTTGCTTATGCAAAGGCAATTGCTGGTCAATTACTGGCAACTGGATGCCTTGAAGCAAGTAAAGAAAAACCGAGAATATTAATGCTGGGATTGGGTGGCGGTACTGTTCCCAACTTTTTTGACGAAATTGAAGGAAATGTTTGTTGTTTTAAATTGTTTAAAGTTGAAAAAAGTTTTGTTTTCAGCGCGAATTCATCTCTCTAGATTTAGAGCCAGCAATGGAGTGAGAGATTATTTAAATGTTAAAATAAAATAATTAAAGGTATATTGCACGAAAATGGTTCAATTTAAAAAATACACCAAATCAAAAAGTAATAATTCAAGATGCAATTGAATATATAAACAATTGGAAAATTGAAGGTATAATTTTTGGAGTATAAAGTAGGGTAGCACCCCAGATCTGACATGTCCTCCCAGGCAGACCCGATCCCCAACACTTCCGACCCCGAAGGGTGAGGGTTCTACCCTAGTATAAAAGGTTGTTCCTTGTTAGTTTCCTCCCAACCCTTGTTAACCCTGTTTCTGATGTTTTTTGGAATAGATTTGGACTTCTGAAATGGACTTAATTTTATTTGAATTAAAAAAATTTTCAGATGGCCAATTTGATTGTCTAATTGTTGATGCTTGTTCGAGTGTGCTAGATAAAAAAGTCTATCCATTATTCTGTCCCATAAAAGGTTTGGTTCACGATGAAAAAATTATAGACAAAATGTTTGAAATGTTAAAAGAAACAGGCAAATTTTTTTAAATTAAAAAAATTTAATTCTTTTAGGAACTCTTATAATTAATACTTTTGTATTGGATACAGAAGAAAATGTAAAATTAATTTTAATTTTTAAAATTAATTTAAAAAAATAAAATTTAGAGGGAAATTGTAGCAGAAGAAAGACAATTTTTACTCGATTTATTTCGACACCATTTTGGTTATTGTTATTATGCAGATGCCGGTGAAAATAAAGTAAAAATAATTCTTTTTATTTAAAAAATTTTAAAAAAATTTTTTAAAAAAGGTACTTGTTTGTAATTTGGAAATACTCAAAAAAGGTAAAATAATGACGAATAAATTATATGAAGAAAAACTTTCGAAATTACCTAAATGGGTACATGATGAGTTAATGGGGGATATACAAATTGACATTTTACATAAAGTTTGGAAAAAGCCAAATAAAAATTAAAAAATGGTCCAAAAATTTTTTTAAGGGGAATAGTAGACAAAAATATAATTCGTTCTTTTTTGTTTATCTTAAAATATTTTATGGATGTTAAAAAATTTTTAAAAATTGGTTGGAAAAAATTTAAATAAAATTTTTTAGAAAAATTTGCGAAAGCTTACATAATTAAAAATGCAATAAGAATAAAGCTAATGAGAGATTTTTAAAAAAGAAAAATTAAAAAAAAAGATTAGAAAACTAAAAGACAAAATTTAAAAACAGAAAATTATAAATAAAAAAGCACCAAAACCCATAAAAATAAAGCAAAACAATGCAAATGTTTTTAAGGTAGTTCACGACCAGATTTAAAAACAGTTTTTTACTATTTTCCCGAGATAAATCGAAAATGAGGTTTTAAAATTTCAAACAAAATCAGTCGTTAAACCGCCTTATTCTCCACTTTCAAAATAAAATCTTTCCAGAAATACCTTTTATCCTCACAATTCTTCATGAGAAACGCTAAGCAAATGTTCACCATAATTAGTAACTTCAGAACCAACAAATATTTTATAGGCATTAACTACCTCGTCAATACTTAATTTTCCGTCCTTTAAAAAACAAAAAATTAAAAAAATTCCAAAAATCCCCCCAAAAACCTTATTTTCATCCGCCGACTCAATTAAATGATCTGCTTCTTGTTTAGCCGTTTGTTTCAAATCTGGAACAAGCCAAGCACGCATTTCTTCTCCATCTAAAACTCCATCCTTATTTTTGTCATATTCATCTTGAAAGCGTGATTGTTCACTCAAAAACCTTAAAAAATAATTTTTAAAAATTTATTTTTAACAGAAAAAACCATTCAGATTTTGGTTGTTCATTTGTCAAATCTCCCAAAAATTCTGCCAAATCAATTTTTCCATTTTTATTTGCATCTTTCTCATTTAAAGTATTCTAAATTTTTTTCAATTAAAAAATATTTTTAAAAAAATTAAAAAAAACCTGAATAAGAATATCATGCATATGCTCGGCATGCTCTGGATTTTGAAAAGCCGTAAATTCTTCAAAATTCAATTTCAAGTCTCCATTTAAATCTGCCGCCGCAAAATAACGACGATCCTCTTCAAGCAACTTAAAATAAATTCTTTTTTTAAGGTCAAAATACTAGAATTGCTGGCGGGAGGGTAATTTTTGTCTGTGGCGGGTCAAATGAAGATAATAAAAGTAATTGAGCCTCCACAGGCGAAAAATAAACGATCACCAACAAAGCTAATCAATACCTTCAAATCATCAGAATCTGAAAGAACCTTTTTGGCCTCATCTTCTGCACTGATTCCAAAAGCTTCTTGGGTATATTCAGGCCAAGTAATAAAATCGTCCCTATCTATAATTTTTAAAAATTTATAAAAATTCTCTAAAATCCTTGCCTGCATCAATATCCATAAACCGTTCCTTTGTCTCTTCCAAGTCCACATTAACTAGAGAATTGTGTACCCATTCATTAAGTTCTTCCGGAGAGATAAAGCCATCCTAAATTTTAAAAATTAAATATTTAAAAATAATTTTCAAAAAAACCTTGTCTACGTCCATTTTGAGAGCAAGAACGCGAAGACGTTTTTTCGACTCTTCAGGCGGCAAATCGTTATACTCATCAGTATCTGGCCCTAAATAAATATTTTTGTACCCAAAATTAGTAAATACAAGTCCAAACCTAAAACAGCTTTGTGGTCCATTTCAACATCATGTTTCCCTTCTCCCATGTGTTTTGCATCAAAAGAAGTTCTTGTACGTTTAACTGTGTTTAATGGAACTTCTTCTTTGTCAGACAATGCAGGAAATGAATAAATTGATAAAAATAAAAAAGGAATAAACAAAAGGCGAATATATGCCATTTTAATTTTTAAAAAATAAATTAATTGAGAGAAATCTTTAATCTTTTATGGCAATTAATAATTACGTGTAAATGAGCGCGGCACAAAATTATTGCCTTAAGAAATTGCGTAGATTAGCACTTTACCGTCATGTAATAAGTCTGTTGAGTGCCAATTCAAAATGCTGTCCGCAAATTTTTTCCCAACTGTCCGCAAATGTTTAGTCGTAATTTTTCAATGTTCTTAACAGCTGACAGATTTTAAGTGGACATTGTGAACTGTCTTGTTTTTCTTCTTTTTCTCTAGCTTGCTCTCTCATTTAGATCGTTACTCTCCTCTTTTCACCAAAAACGAGGTTTGAAAGAAAAACGCCCAAAACGGCGCGCGGCCATAACGGCGCAGAGCCATAACTTGCTGGAAAATCTCTGACCCTTACTAATTTTGGTACCAATCTCTTTAGCTCAGTGAGAGGAATCGTTTAATACTAAATTTGTTAAGATTCGGAGATCTTGAAGCAAGTTATGGCTTTGCGCCGTTATGGCCGTGCGCCTACTTGGGCTGTACCCGTTTTAAAACCCAGTTTTTCACGCATTTTTTCGATTTTAGTAATTTTTTGATTATATTTTTAATTTTTCTAGCTTTTAAGCTTCAACTTTGGTTTTAAAATGCTTTTAATTTGTAAACTATTTGCTATTATATTTCTAATTATTTTACCCTCTTGTTATGCATTGCACAAATTCGATCCCTATGAGACTTTAGAAATTGAAAAAATGTCAACACAAGAGGAGATACGACAAGCTTATAGACGATTAGTTAAAATATGGTATTTTTAATTTTAAAAATTTTTTAATTAAAAATTTTAGGCATCCTGACAAAAATAAAGAATTAAATGATGGTAAACGTTTTTTGGATATAAACAAGGCTTACAAGGTTTTTTTGGAAATTTTGAAGTTTAAATAATTTTTTTAAAAGCTTCTATCAAACACTGAAAAACGTCAAATTTATGATAAAACTGGATTAACTGAAGATCAATTTGGCGATGCTCAGGGTTACGAACATTTTTTTCGAGACCAACAACATTTTCAATTTCAATATGTTCGTTGGACTCCTCCTCGTAGACAACAAAACGATCTTATAAATTTTGTAAAAATTTTCGAAAATTTTTTAAAGAATTTTATTTTTCAGATTTTTCCATTTGTTAGTGTTTTCGGCACTCTTCTTTTTATTTTCTTGATTGGCTTTTTACTAAATAAATTTAAAATAGATTCGACTCATGAACAACATAATCGTAGACGACAAAATAATGTTAATGAGGATTTTCATACAAAATCTAGTCAAAAGGAGTCAAATGTAATTTTAGAATTAATTTTTTCCAATTTCATTATTTTTAAGGAATGGCATCCAGAAGACCCTAAAACGCCATTAACAGAAGAAGAGAAGATTCAACGGACCCAAGCACGAATTTGGCGTACAATGAATCCATTACTGCACGAATTAAGGGCGGAAACTCAATTTGGATTAATTCGTTTACTAAAGCCTGGATGTAGATCTATAATTATTTTGGTAGATGCAGAGAGCAAGGAAACACTTTTGCAACAATTTGCTCGTCATGTTTATTGCCTGAGAAAGTATAAGTTTCAAAATTTAATTTAGAAAAATATAGTCATGTCTCCCTTACTCCTATTCGGACAAACAGTAAAGCACGGCGAGCTGACATGTGTCTAATGACACCAAAAGTAAGCTCGGTCTCGATTTTTTGCCGTTATGGGCTTATATTGGTCCCTCTGTGGTTTTGCGATTTTCAAGGGTAGTATCCCAGTCCATAGTTGAGAGCTGAGCTCTTGGTGTCGTTAGATTCGACTGGTTGAACTTATTCGAATAACATGATGTTTATCTAAATTAGAGGCCGGGGCCGAGGCACATACTGAATTCACCTTTAATTTTTTACTTTTTTTAGCAACAAAACTTTTTCTTTTGGCTTTTTATTAATTCCGAAAAATTTAAATTGGTTTCGCTCATTGTTAGAATTGACATTACCTGAAGATGATAAAGAACAACAAAAAGGTGATTCTGAAAGTGTAGCAACAATTACAACAGACACAAATTCAAATGAAAATTGTTTATTAGAAAATAATTTGAATGAAAAAATAAAATTTGAGAAAAATGGGAAGGAAAGCAAAGAATTGACAATTAAGAATCGACTTAAGGTTTGTAATTTTTTAAAAATATTATTGGTTTGAGAGCTGATTTATGACAGGCATACCAGGGATGATGAAGACGTCCAAGACTATTGGTCTTGCCTCAACTTTTCTTAGGGGTTTTTTCGATTTTGGGTCTTGTGTTTTAGTCTTGGAAATTTTTCAGACTTTGACATCTCTAGAGCCTAAATTTAAGTTTTTCTTATTTTTTAATCATTTATTTAACAGAATATCAACACAAAACACACAATTGGAACAGTTTTGGTTATTTGTGGTTGGCGTTTATATTTCTCAATTTATCATCCAATGCATAAAATTCCAAATCGAAAACAAACAAATAATATTCATTTGGAAACATTGGGAGATGAGGATTTGTTAGATGATAATGATGAAAAGGGAATTAACAAGAGAAATTCTTTGAGAATTAAAAATAAAATTGTTGCTTCTTTTGAGGTTTTTTGAAATTTTTTAAATTTTTTAAAAAATTCCCTTCCTCTCCTTTTTTAGGAAAATAAACAAAGTTCAACAAATGTTGAGAATGTACTAAATGGTTTTCCTATGTTTTTGGAACGTCTTTTGGAAGGAACTGCTCGTCGCTATTATATCCCTGAATGGCCAGAAAATCTTACTTAAAAAGGATAAAAAATTTAGGTTTTAAAAATAAAAATACTCCTTTAGTCAAAATAATCTCTAAAATTACTTCAAGTATTTTAAAAATCTCTTTTTAATTTTGTAGCTAATTTTAAAAATTTTTGTAATAAATTTACAATTTTAAACACCCAAGTTTTACTTTAAATAAATTTAACAGAAAAAATTAACACAAAAGGCAATGATACAACAAATTTTTGATTTAGTTTTGTGTGTACTTTTGATATAAAAAACATTCCAAAAAAGCGGCATGATGCGGAAAAGCAATCGCCGAAATACCAAACCCACAAAACACGCCGAAATACCAAAATGTGGGTTGTTAACAAACCTCCACGTCTTTTGGGGTTTGGTATTTCGGCACTCTCTTCATAAACAAAACCCACAAAACTAATAAAAATATATTTACATCGTTTTTGGTAATTTATGCATATCTCAGATTTTTTAAACGTAAACTTTCTATTCAAAAAACGCAATTAAATACATCATGAAAAGTCCAAGAAGGAATGCCACAAGTTCTTTTATGCTTTGACACATTGTAGAATTTTCCAAAAGTTCTGGGATCATTGAAACCTTTTTTTAAATTAAATTTTTAATAAAAAGGGGGTTCGACAAAAAATTTTTTTACCGTTCCAATATAAATAAAACCGCCAGCCGTAAATGGTAATGCCCAACTTTGTTCAACAGCTTCTGCAATATTAGCAGCATCCACATCCCAAATTGCAATAGCACAACCAGCTATTGCACCAAAAGCAGTGTATAACTGTATTAACATTGCCTTTTTCTTTGAAAATCCTGCTTGGACTAAAATTGCAAAATCACCAATTTCGTGTGGAATTTCGTGAACCAAAACAGTTACCATTGTTACTTTAAAAATAAATTATTAGAAATTAAATCAAATTAAAAAACCAATTCCAATTGTAGTCCCTGCAATAAAAGAAGCACCAATTGCTAAACCATCAGTAAAATTATGCATAAAATCGGCAACTAAATTCAAATATGCTGCTACACGAATATTTGGTGTTTTCGAAGATGTAGATTTGGATACCTGTTAAATAAAGATATAAAATTGGTTGGCAATAAGAGTCCAGTTATTTAGAATGAACAAAACATTTTTGACTTTTGCGAATGTTAAGAACTTTGGTTATGGCCAATGCTGGTATTGGGCATATGGTGGCACCAGTGTTTTTCAAGCCCTAGCTCTGTGAGCTAGTTCCCAGAGCCATACCCAGAACTGGTTACACCCATCAATTAATTTAAAAAACCTTTTCATCCTCTTCATGTTCTTCTTCATCATCAGAATTCTTTGCATTTTCCGATAATTTTATTCCATGTGAATGCCCATGTGACGACGATTCCTCTCCACGCAAAAGTCTAACAATTTTTTCAACAATAAAAAATGTCATAAAACCTTTAAACAAAAAATTCCCTTTAAAATTATTTAAAAAACAAACCAACAAGTACCCAAGTTCCAACAGACAAATCATGTGGCTCATGTTCCTCGTCATGCCCTCCTTTGTGTGAATGAGAATGTGAATGACTATGTCCACCTGAAGGCATTGCATGCGGAATTAAATGAAGAAAAGCATCGCCAAGTAAACCTCCAGCACCAAAAGCTAATAATGTACGTAAAAGTGGCGATTCTTCATTTGCATTTGACTAAAAATTAAAAAAAAATTTTTTTGACATTTAAAAAAAACAAACATTAATTGGAATAAATGCAAGAATAAAACATGGAAAAGCACTTATAAGTAAAGTTGAACCAATTGAATATGTCCATAAACGAATTTGTGGATTGTTTAGAAAAGCAAACCAGCTAAAAATTAAAAAAAAATATTTTTAAAAATAAAAAATGTTTGTGCGGTCACCCCCAGAAGATCAACCCTCTTTTAAATAAACTCTCATAGGGGGTTGTTCTAAAGGATATTTATCTTTCGAGTCAACTCCTTTTATTTGTAGGGTTAATCGGAAGATCAAATCTCCTTTAAATACACCTCCCAGGGAGTATTGTCTTAAAGAAGGTGATTCTCTGACATGAGTCAAGTCCTATTTCTAATTTAATTTAACCTGTTTTCGTGGTAAGGTCGTTCTTCTTCTTTTTTAGTCATTTTTGGAATTTTAGGTAAAGTACTAGCCATTCGTTTATGTTGATTTTGTTTGGCATGTGGACAGCCTTCATGTCCATCATGCGAATGTCCGTGATGATGTTCTTCTTCCAAAGATTCGCGAATTGTCTTTAAAAAATATTTTTAAAATTTTAAAGTTACAAAAAACCTCTTCATTCAATTCTCTTGTATATTTCAAATGTGGGGGTTCATTGTCATGGTCGTGGTGGTGATGATGGGAATGTGAATGATGGTGATCATGAGCAATAACAAAATAAATTGAAAGTAAAAATAAAAGAATAAATAAAAATTTCATTGGAAAATCACTAAAAAAATTTTCTAAAAATTTTTAACAAAAAATTAAGAAAATCATGTTTATTCCATAAAGTCAAATAATAAAATAAACATGAAAAATTGCAATTCGAATAATAATTTTAATATTTGTTTAAGAGTAAAAATAAATAGAGCTGGTTAATATTTGCATTTTCGGAGCCGAATTTAATCAATACTTTTATTTTGTGGTTGTTTATTAAAATACTTTAAAAAATAGTAAAAATATATGTAAATATTTGGAGAATATGAAAATGAAGTGGAAAATAAAAGTGTTGGAAAAATAAATTGCCAGCGGTCGCTGATAGTGACTAAAATTAGTGTTAATCTACGCAATGTAGTAATAATCAATAATCAGTATTTTCACCCCCAAATATGAACGAAATAAAATAAAATTAATTAATTAAGCAGTTTAAACGAACAAAAAAATTTTTAGAAAAAAATGCAAACAACTCTTTGGTCAAAATGTATACAAATTGAAAAGTTTGGAGAACCAAATGAAGTAAAATTATAATTAAAGTGGGTCCACCCAGAAGATCAACTCCCCAAGAGGGAGCATTCTTGATCTTGAGGTGTTGGCCTTTGAAAAGTTGACCTTCTGGGTTGGACCCAAAAGTTAATTAAAATAAATTAAGGTATCAATTCTTTGTACAATCCCTATAGATCCAAAAAAATGGAATGAAAATGCAGCTTTAATAAGATGGATAGCTTCACCAATAAATTTATTAGATTTAAATATAATTAAAGGAAAATATAAAAAAATAAACACAAATTTAAATAAATTTCCGTGTATTGGAGGAACTGAAGGTGTTGGATTAGTCGAAAGGGTTGCCTTTTTTATTTTAAAGAAAAAATTTAAAAAATTTTTTTTGAAGGTGGGATCAAATGTCCAACATTTAAGTGTTGGTGATTTAGTTATCAATATTAATTATTGGTTGAATAATAATCAAAATGAGATTGAATTAAATCAAATTTGGACAGAATGGGACATAATTCCTTCAAATTCACTTTTTTCTATTGACAAGAAAATTAATTTTGTTTCGGCTGCAACTTTAGGAATTTCTCCACCAATTGCTTGGACATTAATTAATGATTTTGTTAAACTTGAAAAAGGGGATTGGATAATACAAAATGCAGCAAATTCTGATATTGGAATAACTATAATTCAATTGGCAAAAGGTTAAAATTTATTGATTTTCAGGCGGTTATAGGGTGTTGATTTTTATTTTGGTGATCTTTTGGGATGGCAACTGGGGAAGTTTTTGAAAGGTGATCTTTTGGGCAGATTTAAAGGGTGATCTTGTGGGTTGACATTAGGGCAGAAAAATTTTAAAAAAGACAACAAAATTTATTTTTTAAGATTTTGGTTATTTCACACTTAATTTGATTGAAGACAAACAAGATTCGACTTCTTTGAGAAACGAATTATATTCATTGGGAGCTACAAAAATATTTAATGAAAAAGAATTTTGTAATGAAATTACGTAAATATAAAAATCTAAAAAAATTTTAAAAATATTTTTAAAGAACAAATAAACAATTTAAAGAACAATTTAAAATTCGTTTGGCATTAAATAATGGAGATAAAAATATTCTTAATTTAATTTCAAAGGGATTAGGAGATGATGGAGTTTTGGTAATTTATGGTAAGAAAACTTTAAAATTTACAAGGGACATTGTCTACTATGTGTACAAAATTTTTGGTGTTGTTTTTGGTGCCATTCGATTAGAGGACACCCGACTTCCTATTGCGAAGTGATGTCCGTTTTTTTTTTGCAAAATGACTTGGTCTGAATTATGGCCATTTAAAAATTGACCCGAATGGTACCAAACACCTTTTTGTATACAGAATATAAACCATATTCCCTTTGTTAGAAAAAAATTCTAATTTTTTAAAGGTGAATTAACACAATTAACAACAAATAATCCCCTCCCAAATAAAATTACTTGTTATAATTTTTCACTTTTTAATAATTCATCAAAAAATCAACAAAAAGTTGAACAAATGTTTAATCAAATTCAAACATTTATTTTACAAGACAAATTAAAACCTCCAAAAAATAAAATTATTTCACTATCAAAATATAAAGAAGGAATTGAAAATACTTTGGGTAAAATTTATTTTATTTTTTAACTAAAAATTTTTTTTTCAAAGAATTTGGCACAAAACAAATTTTACTAATTTCTGAAAATGTTTTAAATCAGAAAGGGGAAATTAGTAAAATATAACAAATCAAATTGTAAAAAATAGTTTTAATTTATTAAATAAAATTCCAAACCTCCTAAAATTTTTTTAATACCAAAAAGTTTTTGGACGTTCCAAATTCTTTTCGTCTTTTGTTCCTCTCTTAGCCAAACCCATTTCTTGCTCAATTTCTTCTTCAAAAGTACTCAATTTTGGTTCATATGTTGATAATAAAGCAACATCTGCTGGTGTATCTTTCCCCACAACTTCTTAAAAAATAAAAAAAATTTGACGTAAAAATGATAATATAAGACCCCAATAAATATTTATAAAATTAACCGATATAATTATCTGGTGATGAATATTCATAAGTACGTCTTGCTGCTTGAGGGAGCGGAATTTGATAACCTGTTCGTGTACTCACTCGGACATATTCTGTTTTATCTTCATTTAACATCCATTTTGCAAAACAAGATTCATTGTCATTTGGGTCAATTAATTTAACTTCCCCTTTATGAACAAAAAGAGGTTGTTCAAAAAACATTGCTGTTTGAGGTAATTCATAAGTTTTCATAACTTCCTCAGGAACAGTTTCAACCAATTTTTTATGAAGACCTTCAACAAAAACGGCATTTTCTTCTTTAATTACATGAGAAACGACTCCTTTCTTTCCTCTATCTGGTCCAATCATCACTTCTACCTTTAAAATTTTGGTATGATGTCGCAATACCGAACGTCGAAATACCAAACCCCCAAAAGACGCTGAAATACCAAAATATTGATTGTTAACCTTTCACGTTGAAAATATTTTAAAATCTTTCCGCAGTTTGGCATTTCGGCGTTTGGTATTACGGCGCTCCCTAAATAAAATATTTAAATTTTACTTGATCGCCAGGAAAAATTGTCCAATGTTCAGCAGACATTTGTGGTACTAATCTTCGTCTTTTTCGAAAGAATTTAACGGATAATAACGCAGATTTATGATCCCTTTCACGTTCAAGTCTTTCATGAAACGCTTCCATTTCCCAAATTCTTTTTGCTTGCAAAATTCTAGATCCATCATTAAAATCTTTTAATAAAGGTTTGTAATCATCTGGGGGAACACTAAAAAAGAAGTTGCAAGAAAATTTAAAAATGAAAAACTAACGCCCAACGATGAACAGGCGGAGCACCAAATCTGTTATCATAAACTTTTGTAGGCACGTGTCTTTTCATCCGATCAACATAATCCTGAACATAAAATTTTGAATAATTTAGAAAAAAAGAAAACCTTAGGCATATGTCTAGCATAATCAAGATTAACATAATTTCGTTTTGGAGCAGATAAAATGATTGTTTTAAACATTTTCTCTTTTAACAAATAAATCAAAAATGAACCAACAAAAGGTATAAAATATAAAATTAATATTTTTACAAAGTATTTTTTCTAGTTATTTAACCATAGAATTTTATAAAAAAATATTAATTAAAGGAGAAAATATTAAAATAATTATGCATTAACTTAATCCAACGTCTAAACACATCATGACTAGAAAACCAATAATCGCGGATGCTGAAGCCATTTTCCCATTTCCATGTGAGCAAGCTTCTGGGATAATTGAGTCAAAAACCTTTAAAAAGATAATAATTCTAAATAAAATAATCTTTTAAAAATTACCACATAAATCATTGCTCCAGCAGCAAAACTTAAAGCATAAGGAAGAATGGCTTCCATGAGAAGAACAGCAGAAGATCCTAATAATGCAGCTAAAGGTTCTACCATACCGCTTAATTGTCCATAAAGAAAGGCACGAAAAGGTGAATATCCAAAACTGGCAAGTGGTAAAGAAACAGCTAAACCTACAAGGAAAATTCAAAATTAAATTTTTTAAATTTAATTTAAACAACCTTCAGGAAAATTTTGTAAACCAATCCCAAGTGCAAGATTAAAAGCTTTTTCAAATGTAGCCGCGGGTGTTTTTCCAATAGAGCCAAATCCAATACCAACAGCTAGACCTTCTGGGAAATTATGCACAGTTACTGCCATTATTAACATTAAAATACGACGCCAAGAAATTAATAAATCAGAATTATTTAATGATTGTTGCGTTGAAGGGCGGTCATTTGTTGTTTCATTTACAGCAATTTTATTGTTGTTGTCTTCATTAGTGTTATTATCATCACGAAGCGCTTTTCTGGAAGTTATTGCAAGTGTTGTTCTTTCTCGCAAACCTTCATCCATTCCTCTTTTGCTAAAACTCGGGTGAAGTACAGAGAAATGTATGAGACAATATTAAATTGTTATTTTCCTATAGATCGGAAATTAAAAAAACCCTTGAATCTTGATTTTCATTGAGGACCTTGACCAGATTCTTGTTCGACATCCCGTCTGGTCCAGGTCTCTAAATTGATATACTTTTTTCTTTCATTTAAATAACATTTTTAAAAGTCTAATTGATTGCCAAAATGTAAAAATCACACCCGAGTTTTAGATCATTAAAATGGAAAGAGAAAGAAAAAAAAATATAAAATAATAACCGTGGATCGAAAAAAGATTCTCCGCCTTCATTAGATGTAATACCTTGACCAGAATTTAAAAGAACTTCTGTTTGATTATTTGAGTTTGCACCGGGAGGAATAACTTCTTTATTTGATGAAAGGACTTCAATTATTGAGAGTTCAGCACCAACACAACTAAAAATTAAAAAAATTTTTTATTAATTAAAAATAAAAACCTTGGAATCATTTTGTCAGAGAAAAAGACAAAAATTGCACCAAATGCAAAACCAACCGACACCGGTATGAAAGCTAAAGCACCAAGTTGAGCTTCAGAGATCTCTATAGCAGGGGCTAATAATGACCAAAAAGAAGCGGCCGTCATAACTCCCCCAGCAAAACCAAGGCTAACGTCCAAAATAGTTGTGCCACGTCTTCTGTCCGATGGAAGTACAAAAACTGAAATTAAAGAAATTTTATTAAAAATTCAAAAAGAATTAAGGGAATAATTGTTTAAAAATACCCAATATTAAATTTTATAAAATTGGGAAGAAACCGATAAATACCCAATGCTGCGCCCAAAGCTGTCACTCCCCATGTGAACAAAGATGCAAACAAGGATTGTATTATTGGATCATAACTCTGGATCATTATACTAAATATTAGAAATATTAAATCTGTTAAATAAAAAATTAGATTATTTTTTTAAAAAATGGGTAAATAAAATAAATAATAAGTTTTTTACACGATTTCGATTAAATTTGACTAAAATCGATTCGCTCTCGATTAAAAAAATCAAGAAAAACCCCACGTAAAAATTTAAAAAAATTAAGCCCACTTCGTCACGGACCACTTAGTCGCGGGCCACTTAGTCGCAAGCCCACTAAGTCGCATGTCACTTAGTCGCGAGGGTTTTTTCAGGTGCTAGGATAGGAAACTAAGTCACTATAAGATGGTTGAGCATCTGTGATCGGTGACCAATCGAACAAACTCCCTATTCTGGTATGATGTTCTACTTTGCGACTAAGTGACCTGCGACAAACGGGCTTGCGACTAAGTGGCCCGCGATTAAGTGTCCGTTTACGAAGTCAAAAAACGAAAAACGACACAAAAATTCACCAAATTTTTAGAAAGAAGTAATCAACGACTTAAAAATGGGGTAAGTTTCTTTAGATCCTTCTCAAATTTTGTAATTTTTCAGAAAAACTACAGCAAATACCCGAACAAGATTAAGAGATAAAAATGCAACAAAAATCCCAATGAATGCCTACAGCCGTTATTTTAAAGCTAGCGTAAGTAATAGTAGAAGGGAAGGTAAAAATACAAGAGAAGTTAGCAGCAAAATAGCCAAACAATGGTCAACAATGACTGCTGAAGAAAAAAAGGTTTTCTAATTAAAAATATTTTTTTAAATTTATTTTAGCCTTATTTTGATGAATATAATCGAGAAAAAGAAATTTATTATGAACGAATGAAGGAATATAAAGAAACTGAACAATACAAAGAATTTCAAAGTTTAAATATTTAATTTTAAATATTTTAAATTTTCTTTTTCAGAAATAAAATTGGAGAAAAAGAAACGAGCAAGAAGAAAGAGTCGTTTAAGTGTAATTTTTTAAAATTTATTTTTCTAATTAAAAAAATAATTTTAAGGTAGATCAAGAAGAATGTTCATCAACTTCTAATTTATCTGTTCATCCTCCAAATGAAATTAAAATTTTTTCTCAAGAATTTCTTGATTATAATAAAAGTAGGTATAAACAGGGATGTCACGAGTTGAGAAGGGAAGGGATTGGAGTCTAAAAAAAGTCCTGGTCAGTTAGTGGATTAGTAAGGAGAAAAGTCGGGTTTTAGAGAATTCTCTCGGATCGAGTTTAGGTTAGAAAAGAAGATAACGAGTTCTGGGCAACCCATCCTTTGTAGGTAAAATGCAAAGTAATCTTTACAGAAATTTCTTTTAATTTAGAACAAGAAAATACACTCAAAACTCTGAGGAATAAAAAGAATAATATTACAAATGAATGTAACAATATTTACGAACATTTTGTTTTTACAAATGAACAATTAAAATATTTAAATTCAAGTATTAAAGAAAAAGAAGAATATTTTAAAGAATTGGAGTTATTTGAAAGGTTTTTTAAAAGGTAATTCAAAATAAAAATAATTTTTTAAAGAAAAACTTTGAATGATATTTTGGATGCTTTAGACAAGGCAAATTTATTAGAATTATTAAAAATTAAAAAACAGTCAATTACTCTTGAAGAAATTTTGAAAATTTTCACTGACTCACAAACAAATAAGGAAATTTTTAATAAAATACGTCAAAGTTTTAAAGGCCTTCATTTTGATTTTTCACAAATATTATTTGAAGAGACAAAATAAAAAAAGAATTTTTTAAATTTATTTTTCTTTCAATTAAATACATAATTTGTTGTCATATAAAATAAACCTTTTTAATGACAAAGAATCTTAATTTTGACGAAGCGCTGCCAAGCGTTTTGATAATTCGTCGTTGTCTGCTACAGAAGCTTTTGCACTTCCAGGTGCTTCCACTTGGGCTGCTGGCATTTCCATTCCAAGCTCTAATCTAAATTTATTTCCGTTTTAATCAAAATATTCTAAGAAATGTGATAAGACTCTTTGAGACGCCTATACCAACCCATCGGGAAATTTCATGTCCTCCTCCACTAGGTATCCAAAGTCCCCATATGAATCAAACTAATTTCGCTTACCCTGCTTTGTCGGCCGCTTCCTGAATGAGTGAATCAACTTCATGCTGAGGAGCGTTAAGAGTTGTCGTCGCGCTCATCGACCCTTCCATAGTTGCAGACTGGACATCAAGGTCCTCAAAATCTTTCTCAAATCGGTCCATAAGATTCTGAACTTTTTCTAAATTCATCGATTTCATTGCAGATTCCATTGCCTTTACAACTAAAGAAAGGTGTCTGATTGAATTTTTAAAATTTTTAAAAACCTCCTTGCATACTTGTAGTAACCCGTTTTTGCGTTGCAGCAGTTTGAACTCTAAAAATGGAGAAATTGTAAAAAAAATTAGAAACCCCCTACCGAGCAGCAACAGCGTCAATCCTCGCGGACATGCGCAAATAATTCAGCGACTCATTCTTCTTGCGAATAGCGTTTTCCGCATGTACTTGTGCCACTTCCCTATTCCCTTTCTTTAAAAATACTAAAATGAAAAGTTTTCTAAAATTTAAACCTTTAATGCATTTGTCAATTTCAACTTTTCCTCCTTTTCCATTTTTTCGCACTTCTTGGCATTCCTGGAAAGCTCTTTAGCAGCAAAACGAAGGTTAAAAAGATGATCTGAAAGAAATAAACTAAATTTGTGAATTAAAAAAAGAAAACTCACTGTCTAGCGCAGCCATTTCAATCAAAAATCTTTCAAAATTTAAATAATCAAATGAACTGATTTTAAATAAACACCTGTATAATTAAAAAACAATTATCTTAAAGTAGAATTATACAGATGACTCATAAAAATAAATCATTTATTATTTCTTTTACTCTTTAGCCTGCACTCTCAATTTCTATAAACTCTCTCCCCAAAATAACTAATTTGTAAAGAAATCAATTAAAAGCCTAATGTAAATTTTAAAAGAGTAAATGTTAAAAATTCTACGCCTAAGAAAATTTTTAAAATCAAAAAAACAAAAGAAAATAATAAAAAATATTCAGTACTGTCTTGACAAAAAATTTAAAAAAATATTAAAAAAATATTGAAAATTTATCAATTAAAAGATCAAAAATTAAAAATAATTTAAACATTAAAAAATCATTTCTTTATATTTCCGGTCCCGTTCCACCAGGCACAAGCATAGTAATGTGATTACCGTTCAAAAGGATTGTGTCCAATTTAGTAACACGTTTACCTTCTGGTGTAGTTTCGTATTCCACAACGTCCTCAAGCACCATATTTACGTAATCATCAAAACCAATTAATGTCCCGACAATTTCTTTTTCACCTAAAAATTAAACAATTTTTTAAAAACTTTATCAAAAAATATACCCACTTTTCATAATTACCCATATTCTACTTCCAACACATTTGTCAATTAATTCAAGTGGCAACAAAGTAGAAGGATTTGTAGCTGTTGACATTTTTATTGTTTCAAAATAAATTCTTCTAAAATTTCTAAAACGAAATATTCTTTTATTAACAGTTTCAATAGGAAAGTCGGTTCGAAACCGGACACAAGTTTTCTACATAATAAATTAACAGAATATTATTTAAGTCAATAAAATTAAAAAAAGAAAAAAATATATAATTAATTGCTTCTTTTTATAATTTTAGAAAAAATTTTTAGGAAGCAATAAGAAAAAGCAATACAAAAACAAACAACAAGAGAGGAGCTTAAAAATGATTATAATAATTAAAAGAATCTCATATTTATAAGGGGTTAGGTCAAATATGCGCAGTTTTTTAGAAGCACATCAAGAAGAGTTATATATTTTGCATTTTTTTATTTAAATAATCTAGCGTTAACGTCCACAAACAAGCTTTTTTTAGGCTAAAAATTAATTTTAATCATTCATTTTTTTAAAATTTAAAAAACCTTTAAACAATCCATTTTACGGGACATTATGCAATCCATTATGATTATCTTCTCCACCAGATAAACCACCATTTGCCTCTCCAGCTTCCAACTCCTCAGGAGGAGCAAAACCTTCTTCCGTCTCATAGAGTATCTGAAAATAAATGTTTAATAAATTTTTAAAAATTATAAACCATTAAAACATCATTTGTCGGCAAGGTTCCAGTCTCCTCTGTATCTTAATTTAATTTATAAAAATCAAATGGGAAGATATTATGTAAATACCTTGACAAAGAACTTCAATCTTTCGCAATTTTGCAAAATAGAAATCACGTTCCTTCAAGATAATTAAAATTTTAAAATCGATTTAATTTAAAAATTAAACCTTCTCCAATCCACAAATAACTTCGTCAGTCTCGGCCAACTGTCCTCGTAATTCTTCCAATTGTTGATCTTTAATTTTCAACTCCTCCATCAACTAAATAAAATTAGATTTAAATAAAATTGTCAAAGAAAAATACCTGAAGATCAACAACCGGAGGAGGAGCCTTGTTCTGAGTGACTTGTCCCGTTGGTGCTGGACGTGGAGCTGGCGTACTGACTGCTGGCGCTACCCGTCTCCCAGTAGTACTAGCCATTGCAGGTTTTTTGGTGCTGGTAGAAAGCGATGTTGGTGAAGACTTTTTTGAAGAAGCGCCACAACCAGAATTACTATTCATAGAAACATTCGATCCAACTCTCTGTGGTGGAGGAACACGTGATGGACCGCCAGTCTTTGCAGGTTGAGGTTGACGCAACAGAGCAGTAGCTTTAAGTTTATTCTCCTTTGGCAATTCCTATTTAAAAAATTGAAAATTAGTTTAAAGAAACAACAACCTCATTAAATCGCATTTCCACTGGATCGAATTCATGTCCATCATAATTGGCGTCAAAAAACTTTTTGAACCATTGCAAGAATTCAAAATTGTCCTAAAAAATTATTTAAATTAAAAATAACGGTAGAAAATGCTTTAAATTTACAATAAACCTGGAATTTCCCTTTAATCAACTTCTCGACTGCAACCACTTTTTCAACTCCCAATTGTTTCCAAGCAGTTTGCACAATCTTCCAGTTGCTAAGCCAGTCTAATTCCATTCGGCTATTAAATTTGACCTTCTTCATATTTATAGTTCCAGGAAAGAGTATCTCCGTAAACAAGCAATATCCAGCACCAGTATGAAGTTGCTGGAATTTTAAGAAACAATTAAAACACCCTCAAAATATCCCCCTTAAGAAAAAGATACCCTAAAATATCCCCATCCAATTCTTAAATTAACAAACCTCAATCTTTGAGAATTCCGCCTGCAAGCATTCATTAACCCATCTCAAATAATCATTTCTGGACATGTTGTCAACTGTAGCAGAAGTTATAGGAATGTTTGTGATTAATGCCATTTTTATATAAATGGGAATAGGAATACTTATAATAATAATTTAAACTCGATCTGAACAAAAAATATATTTTATCGATAAATTCTTATTAACGATAATTTGTATCACATCAATAATTAATAAATTTTTATACTTTTAAAATCAAAAAAGACTAACAGGAAGAAAAAATACAATTGAGAATTTTACACGTAATTAGACCAAGATTTCAAGAAATTAGCGCCAAACTTCTTGGCGCACATAACGAGTGTAAAGTTAAAATGTATGTTACATCTCACCCATCAATAATGTGCCCTCTTTTTGGCCTTGACTATTAAGCAAAAGGCTCAAAAGGCCAACTAAATTTTCAGTAATAAAGTTTTATTACCCATTTTCACTAAACACAATTAAAAATACTAATTAAAATTTATAAAAATCGGGTTGCGAGAAATCTAGGAAAACATGATTCAGTTTTCTTCTGGCTATATTTAGTTTAAAAGATATTAAAATATTTTGGATCAATAAAATAAGTTCAAATCCGAGACAAAAAATGAAAACTAGGGGGTATCAATTAGTAAACAAGAAAAATTGATATGATAAAAGATAAAAGTAATACAATATACTAATAGCAATCAAACTACCTTAAAATAGTGACTGATTTTTTATAGAACATAATGATAAAAAGGGGAGAAATCAGGCATGGAAAGGATAATAATTTTCAGGTTCAGAGCATTAATATAAGTAAAACAATAACAGAAAAAACTATCAATACGCAAAGTGCAATAAATAGTACTTGCCGAAGTCGTGCAATATTAACTCGTTGCTGCCGTCTCCTAGCTTCTGCAAAATTTTGTTCATCATCTCTTTCATTTTCATTGATTATTGCTTCATTTTCCCCACCTTCTCTTCGATTTTGACCATTGTCTTTATTAGTAATTACAATTTTTCGATGTTTATCCCAATCAGCATTTTCATTGTTACATTGATTAACGACATTGTTACTACAACCCACACCCTCATTATCGTCGTAAAATTGAATTTTTACATTTTTCTTCTTTTCCTTTTCTTCATTTGACATAATTGCGGAATTTATAAATGGTTCACGCTCTTCATTCCCATTCTTTTTGAATTGTTGGTCACTTGCCACCCTCCATTGAATGTTCGGCGAATCTAATTTAGTGTTCGATAAAGGAGAGATCTCATTTTGTTTAAGCGATAAATCCGCGACGGGCAAATCTAATATTAAAACAAAGAGGCGTTGAAAATATTGAGTTAATAAATGATAATAATAAACAAAAACAATATTTTTTTGCTAAAAAATAATTTAAAAAATACCTGAATTTATAGGGAAGATGCTTTGTATTGTACATTGTCCAATTCCTTCACAATTCTGCTCAATATGTCCATTTAAATCTAAATCATCTTTTAATTCGCTTGTTTCTTCATAATAATCTGAATTAGAATAAAGTTGTTCCAAATAAGGGAAAACTCCAAGGGGACGATGAGCCGGCACATCCTTTACTGCTGGGACATGAACAATCCGCGTATCATCCTCAAAATGTTAAAATAAATCATTAAATTGATAAAACAAACAATTTTGTGACTATGCAAAAACCATTTACTGGCTCTTATCCGCAAAGAATTCCAACGCATTTCTGGCTCTTTTCGTAACATTCCATGAAGCAATTGTTCCAAATCAGCCGATAATTGTACATTTGAAGGCATATGCAATGGATGGTTGATAATGTTTTCAAACAATTTCATAATAACATCACCTTCAAATGGATATTCTCCACTGACCATATTATAAAGCGTCACTCCACAAGCCCAAATATCCACTAAAGACCCTCTAAATAAATAAAAATAGTTAAAAATTAAAAATTAAAAAATTTAAAACAATATTTTTTTAAAAACCTGAATTTTCCTTGTGCACCAGAAACAATTTCTGGCGGTTGAAACTTTGGAGTTCCTTGAATCAATGTACACCAATCATCAGCGCTTCCAACGGAGCTAGGTGGTAACAATTCAGCAACACCTAGATCACAAATTTTCAGTACACCATCTAAACTTAGCAACAAATTTCCTGGCTTTATATCTTTGTGAATAATTCGCTTCCCATGTAGAAAGTCTAACCCGTCAAGAAGTTGAGTAAAGTATAAATGTGCCTATAAATAGTATTTACAAAAAAATTTTATTTAATAAAAACTTGAAATTCTGGGAGCATTTTTTCAGCGCAATTATCCAATAATTGTTGTAAACTACAGACACAATACTCCATAACTGAAAAATAATTTTTGTTGTCATAAAAGTTAATAAAAAATAAATACCAATATAAAGTTTTTGTTTTTCTTCTATTCGAAATATATCAACAACTTTAACTACATTCGAGTGATTAAGCCGTCGAAGAACATCAATCTCCCTTTGAACGTTTTGTTCACCTCCAGGAATTTTTCTAAGCCTTTTATCCTTAAGATAAGAATTTAAAAATTAATTTTAAAAAATAAATACTTTAATTATTTTAATAGCTCTCCTAATCAACGAATTAACATGCAGAACTTCTTTAACCTGTTTTAAAATATTTTAAAAAATAATTTAAACTTAAAAATAATTACTTTGCTATAAGAGCCTTCTCCAATTACATTGCCAAAAAGATAATCTTTAAGGATTTTAGGCGGTTTTTCTGTGAAGATTTCATCAATAATCTAAAAAATATTTTGACAATGAAAGAAAAAAAACAAAAAATTATACATTTGCTTCATTCGATTCTGTTGCCGCTGATTGTAAAAATTTGGTATCATTTGCAAAAATATCTCTCACAAAGTTGTCAACATTTATAAATTCAGTTTGACGCTGTAGATCATTTTGATCGGTAAGTAAAGATGTAGAGGGTGCAATAACTTCACAATCTTCTACAAAAATTGTTGAATCCGGCATTCCTTCATCACCCATGTTAATCGCAAAACTTTGCATCCTAATTGTTAAATAAAAAATAATCCCTCATAAAACGAACCTGGACCGCATATCCTGCGTTTCTTCAGAAGAGCTCGACTCCGAATCGCCAACAACAAGGCTCTTAAACAAAATGAAATTAGAAAATAATAAAATAAAACTAACGAGATTATTTGCACGAAATGGTTTCTCATCATTTTGAACTGAAGAATCTTCTTTTGACATTATAATTCTTGACAAAAAATTATAAAAAATAAAAAAACACAATTAGAAAGTAAAAGAAACATACTAATACTTTAAAAAATATTACAATTTATTAGGAATTAATTATATTTCAATATGTATAAAAATTATTAAAAATGAAATTTTAGAAAATTAATTTAAAAAAATTGACCTAATTAAAATTAAAAAATCACAAAGGGTAAATAGAGTTAGTTGATCAATCCAATCCAAAATCATCGGTTTGTCCATCAGGAAGTTTGGTGAAAGTAGTCATTTCATCATCAATTATAACCTCAGTCTCTATCCAATCCATTGGCTGATGTGAATGTTTTGAAACAATATCGGTATTTTCGGGGTGGAAGATTTCTGAAGATAAATTTTTTTATTAAAAACATTTAGAAAATACCTTGTTCAAATTGTGACGGTGAATATGGGCGAAAACGAACTGGTTTCGAATTATGACTAATTTTTTCGCATTCACGTGAATTTGTTGAAATAATCTCTTCCTCATCCAACAATTTTTCCACTAAATGTTAGAAAAATAACTTAAACAATAATCCAAAATTACCGTTAATTGTTAAATGTTGAAACACATTCTCTTCTTCATCCTTCCTAAGTTCTCTTATTGCATTGCTGTAAATAAATCTATGCACTACTTTTGGAGTTTTCAGTTGGATCCCATAAATATTTTTACGAAAATTATGACATCTGGACATTCTTTTATTGCCAATAAATAAATTTCTGCTATCTCCAGTACCTTTAAAACACCAAAATTAGTTAAACAAAAAATTTAAAATACCACATTCATCATTGATTAAATACAAAGAAAGATTATCCAAATTTAAATTAAAAGGAGTTCCATCATTTGAAGAAATAAAAACTGCTTGATGTCTAAGAATATGTTCACGAAAGTACCTCGACGATTTTGATGTAAAATCACAATTTCTAAAAGGACATCCAAATGTTGCAGAAAGTCCCCAATGCCTTACACTTAAAATAAGCACATAAAAAATCAAAATAATAGAAACAAACGTGATATGTTGTTGATAACTAGCAGGCTCCATGTAAAATTCACCACAATATGGGCATTGGTATCCCCAATTTGAGCGTGGAACATGATTACCTTTTTATCGAAAAATATTATTTTTTAATTTTAGAATTATTACGAAGTTTATGTCGACGAAGAGTCATTTTACTTGCTTAAAATATATATTTGTAATGAAAAATTTTTTAATTAAAAAAACCTGCAGCATATTTACATTCATCACATCCAAAGGGTCGAGATTTACTATGAATATTCATATGTTCATCGAAGGACCTCTTGCTGGACAAAGTTTTCATACACAAACGACAAATCCATTGTTGTTTACCAAAATAATTATAACTCGACATTTCCAAGAAATTTCAGACAAAGGGAATTTCCTAAAAAAATTTATAATTAAAGTCCAAAATGTCAAAATTAATAGCTCTTACCCAATTACAGCAGTGTCCATTTGTCTTCTCACAAAATTGGCAATTTGTCAATTATCGCTTATGTATATATTTTATTATGTTTTATAACATATAACTAATTCTCTAAGGTCAATCCTTTGACACGCACACGATGACACAGGAAGAAAAAATTTTTTATTTTGGTAAGGTTCATAGAAATTTTTAACAAGATTTCCAATTAAATTTCAAGGCATAATTTGAATATTATTGGGGAATGAACCCATTTTTTAATAAACAAAACATTACATCAAAATGTTAGCACACGATTTTCTTAAGAAGAATGATCGGGATTTTGTGCCAGCTTCTTCACGGCAAGTTTTTTTATTAAATTAATATTTTTCATTTTTTTTTTCAGCTCCGCGTGGTACTTTCTTATTCTTATCATGGCCAAAATATGCAGGTGTACAGGTATTTTCTTCACCGATATCCTTGCCAAACAAGTACACGTTATTGGTTTACTTTGGTTTGCAAAGGCAATGTTAGTTTGATTTTTTATAATTAATTTTGAAAGATTACTCTTTCAGAGCATCTGCCGTTCTTTTGCCCACGCAAAAGCCCTTTTCCTCTGGCCGTTCAATTAGGAAGTCTCTGGTAAGATTCTAAATTAATTTAAAAACATTTAAACTTCCCAATTATATAGCAAGTAAGAATAGCACAATTGGCTCTTTTTAACACACTGGTCGAAATAATTTGGTTTTATGGCATTACATTCTGCGGTCCATTCCGCTCCATTCTCGTCTTTGAGCAAAGCCCTACAGTTTTATTAGTTGCTCTAATGTTTTTAGTAAATGGAGGTGGGAATGCAGCAAAAATGCGTGGTGTTTTTTATTTGTGTGTTGGATGGATTGTTCTATTTTTCATGGATTCTGATGCCTCAAACGCTCCCAATCACTGTGAGATATCAATTTATTTTTAATTATTTTCTTTTCTTAGCTGAAGCATATAAACATCAAAGTGGTCTCAATCATATTTTTTACCATATTCTTGGATGGTTTGGAATTTCTGATCATTGTGGTGGCGTTCTTTTGTTGATGTTAGCCGTCATTTTTCGTATGGTTTATGACTCCAATTTCAGAGTTTTTATAATTTTTTGAATAATTTTTATTATTTATTCTCTAGCATTTAGCTGTGGAGATTGGCGGCCCAAAAAGGCTATATGCGATGATTTGTGTTCTTTCATCGATGCTACTTACGCCATTTGCAGTATTGTCGCTTGTTCTTAGCTCGGTTAGAAATTGTTTTAAAATATATCTTTTGATTTTTTCTATAGTCATCAATCGGTTCCTATTTCGAATTTCCACTTCTTCTATTCATGTCTACTGCGTTCGTAATGATTGTGGATTTTTACGCGGAGCATATATGCTTTCAGGTTTATTCCTTCTAATTTATATATTTAAACAAATTTTTAGCACGTAGCTGATCCGGTCATGGCGATTGCTCGTTGGTCTCCTATAACAATGTTTTTGGCGTCCCTTTTGATCACTTGGCTATGGGTAGATGGATCGGCAACTGGCAGTCATACAATCAGTGCAGGATCATTAATAGCTGTTGCTTGCTTTTGCCTAGGTTTATAATTATTTTTAATTAGAATTATTTCTTCTCTTTTAAGCCTCGTATGTGTTCACTTCTCAGGATTCCCCTCGTTCTATGGGAGGTCATTTCATTGGTATATCTGAAGAAGGAATGCCTCTTTACACACATGGTGAAGCATTCCTTCATAAAACATCTCGGTTTTTTTTTATATTTTTTTTAAATAAAAAAATAAATTCTCCTAGTTCACTCCTACACTTTTTTCATGAAACAATCACCGAAATTCTGGCAAACAGTGATTCTCGACGAATTTTTTGGTTTTTATGTGCTAACTTGGCTTTCTGTGGTGTTGAGTTTCTTTATGGTTTTTTGACTAATTCTCTTGGGCTTATTTCTGATGGTTTTCATATGCTCTTTGATTGTTCAGCACTTGTCATGGGCTTGGTTAGTTTGAAAAATTCTTTATTAATTATCATTTTATATAAAAGGTTGCTTCTGTGATGGCACGCTGGACTGCTAGTCGGCATTTCTCTTATGGTTATGGCCGAGTTGAAGTTTTGTCAGGTTTTTTCATTCAGTTTTCTATAATAACCTTTTGCCATTTAGGTTTTATAAACGCCCTATTTTTGATTGTTATTGCTATGTTTATTTTCTTGGAAGCACTTGAACGCCTGTACGACCCTCCCGATGTCCACACTGATAAATTATTGGTAATCTAATTAAAATTTTAAAAGATAAATGATATTATTAAGTTTGTTGCCGTTGCTGGTCTTCTTGTTAATCTTTTTGGCATGTATGCGTTTCATGGTGGACATGGACATTCACATGGTGGAGGGCATGGACACTCACATGGTGGAGGGCATGGGCATTCACATTCAAGTAGTGATGGCGGAGATCACGGTCATTCACATGGTGGAAATGCAAATATGCAAGGTAACTTTTTAATTAAGATTTCCTTAAAGTAATTTATTTTTAGGCGTTTTTCTTCATGTTCTGGCTGATACCCTCGGATCAGTTTTTGTTATCGCTAGTACACTACTTATTCAAAATTTTGGCTGGCAATGGGTTGATCCATTATGTTCTTTGATCCTTTCACTGCTGATTCTGGGCTCTGTGATTCCTCTTCTTAAATCTTCATCTTCAGGTTTTTAATGTTTTCTAATTGGTAGTTTTTTCATCATTACGTAATTTAGTGTTGTTACAAAGTATTCCTGATGGTTTGGACGAGAGCAGTTACGAAAAGATTTCGAATGAGGTAAAGATTTTTTTGTTAATTTTAGTATTATTAAAATTTTTGTAGATTCGAGCCATAGACGGTGTACTTGACTTTTCCGACTTTCATTGCTGGCAATTAAAAGCAGGAACAAATTATTGCAGCATACATATCCAAGCGCATCCACAATCAAATGAACAACTTTTGCGTCATCAAGTTCAACAGCTGCTGCTCAAACGTCATCAACTCAAACAAATCACTGTACAAGTAGAAAAGGAGAGTGCATTATTGCTCAAAAGCTCAGATAAATTCCAACAACAAAACCCAAACGAAAATTCTACTTCTTTTCATTTAAAAATTGAGAATTGATAAAAATTGTGGGAACGAAGCTGTGGTGTTAATATTTGAATAATTAGTCAATTTTAGTATTTATATTTTTTTATTTCGGAATTTTTGTGTTTCTATTTTTTGTTACTTTTGCTTTGTTGTAATGCTTGGTGAATAAAAATTAAAAATTCACATTTTTAACAATTTTTGAAGATAAATAATCTAGTTTAATGGAACTGATCAGTCTTTTGATTATTTTGAAGTTTAAATGATAGCGTAAGTTTGGCATAACGCAAAAATATCTGGGTCGGAATTCAAAAATTTGCGCTATTTGGCATAATGAAAAATATTAAGAATAAATGACACTTCATCCTAAAATCAATAATCGATTTTTTGATGTTTCATGTAGTGTTCTCTGTTTCATTTGGAGTCCTCTGTTGTCCATCTTTACCAAAGATGTTCTGAACAGAATGCGTTGCTTTTCCTTTTTTGGGGATTAATCTTTTTAGGGGTAGAATTGAGTTGCGGACAAGACTTGCTTTTTTCCAATTTTTGAAAAATTTATCCAATTTTTTTAGTTCTTCAGCAGCAGCAACAACAACAAAAGTCCTAGGCAGCCAAAGTCCCATTCGCTTCGGCGATTCTGGGCAGCAAAAGTCCCATTCGCTTCGGCGATTCTGGGCAGTCAAAGTCCCATTCGCTTCGGCGATTCTGGGCAGCCAAAGTCCCATTCGCTTCGGCGATTCTGGGCAGCCAAAGTCCCATTCGCTTCGGCGATTCTGGGCAGCCAAAGTCCCATTCGCTTCGGCGATTCTGGGCAGCCAAAGTCCCATTCGCTTCGGCGATTCTGGGCAGCCAAAGTCCCATTCGCTTCGGCGATTCTGGGCAGCCAAAGTCCCATTCGCTTCGGCGATTCTGGGCAGCCAAAGTCCCATTCGCTTCGGCGATTCTGGGCAGTCAAAGTCCCATTCGCTTCGGCGATTCTGGGCAGCCAAAGTCCCATTCGCTTCGGCGATTCTGGGCAGCCAAAGTCCCATTCGCTTCGGCGATTCTGGGCAGCCAAAGTCCCATTCGCTTCGGCGATTCTGGGCAGCCAAAGTCCCATTCGCTTCGGCGATTCTGGGCAGCTTCAACTATACAATTCCAATGCTCTCGTCTACATGGTTAGCTTTTTTACTTTATTAAATATCCGCAAGTTTTGTCCGCAAAGTTTCTCCCCTTAAATAAGTTTATCCTTTCCCGATGTTAGAGCCAATCAAATGTTGGCCAGAACGAGAAGACGCACAGCAAATGTTCGATGGTTAGATGTACTGATTTGTTTGTTTTGAATTGTTGATCTTTTGATAGGTTGTTTTTATGTTTAAAAGCTTTTTAATTACTTGATTTTTAGCTCTGATAGAGTGTCCAGAAGCTATAAAAATGTTTAAAGAGGTTATTATTAATTACTATGGCCTTAAGATTATTTTTTAGGGCGCTGTATTGGTGGAAGACAATCTATTTGATAAGAATGCTCTAGAAGAACAAGAATCAGCAGAAAAATGACTGAAGAACTGCAATCCCTCGTTAGAATTCAGCAAATCAGGTTTGAAAGTTAAAATGTCTCCGTTATCGATGGTAAATCTCCATCCGGTTGCTTCCCTTGGGTAGTAACTTCTAGAGGTTCTCTTGGCACCCTCGATTTCGACAAATTACCGTCATTCGAAAAGCTCGACGAGACGATGTGAGTCGTCATTGAGGTTTTGCTGCTGCGGAGGAAGCCAGGCATGCCGACCGCAGCAAAAATAGGCCTAGGTTCATGGCCGTAGCCAGAGGGTAGAGAGGGGGGGGGGGTTCCTTACCTTTTTTAATTTAAAATTTTTGGAATAAAATTTTAATTTTTAGTAACGATTTTGTTCACAGCGATGTTGACGAACAAATGCTTTTCTCTGTTCCTTTTACTGGTTTTTTATTTAAACTTACTAAAAGAATAATTTTTCTAAATTTTAGCCAATGTTAAAGGGAATTAAATTTTCTGGGCCGTTGAGTGGTTCATTTCCGTCAACTGTTCGACTTTTTAAAGAACTGTTCGACTAATGGAACAAACAATTGATTTGGAAGCAAATCCGACATTAGAAGATGGAACGCCGATATGATTTGGATTTGGCTACGATGGAAGATAAACCTTGGAGAGGGTCTGGAGCTGATTTAATTAAGGTTTTTTTCAAAATTTTGGGTGGATTTTAACCTTAAGGGCCCCTTTTCCTTCCTACTTGGGGAGGGGGTTTAGGTAAATTGCCCCTTAAACCGAAAGGCAATTTCGGATAGGAGTCTTAAAAAGGGGAAAACGGGTTAATTATTTATTTCTTTTTTGTTTGATTTTTTTAAAGATAAACTTTTTTTTATTCTTGTCTTATTTATTTGTGTTTTAAATAAATGATAATTTAAAAGATGATGGTTAATTTTTAAATTAGCTGATAGCGAAACATGTAAAATTATGTTTTGTCTATTTTTTTTCAGATTTTTCTACCTCCCTATAAAATTGAGAAAGAAGCTCTTTTTTGATATCTTGCAGGTTTGCTAGTACTTCGTTTTTTTTATTTTCTACTCGCAATCAGTATCAATGGAAATTTTGCAGAAGTTTTTTAGAATTTTTGTCCCAATCAAAGTAGGTCACTTGGTTCTACTATATCGACCTAAGTTAGGGTGAGAATTTTTTAGATATTGGGACTCTAGTATTCCCTTTATAGTTTTTTCATTAAATCAAGTAAAGTGGGATGTATCAAGTAGAGAAGTAAATGTTGAAGACAGTGTGTGAGTTGAGATGTAAATTTTAAATAAATGACACTTTGTCCCTTAGTTTAGAGAAGAATAAAAAGAAAATAAGTGGTTAGAGAACACATAAAATATGAGCGTCTAGGTTGGTTGAGTGCCAATTTCTGAGAGGGAAAAGCTACTGTATTTGAATAATAACGACTTAATTTGTTCGATTTTTACGCAATTTTTTCCATTTTCACTCAATTAAAATGGACTTGTTCTGATATTGTTGCGATAAAGTCCCATGTTGTTAAAAATCCAAAGCTGTAGATAATTGATTATAAAATTTGAAAAATTTAGAAAATGAATTGTAAAAAAATTGAAGATCAAAAAATTGACGATCATTTAATAAATTTAAGGCCGGCCTGCAACAACTTCATTTAAACATGTCCAATTAAGTTAATCAAGGAAAGAGAATTTATAGATTTTACAGTTACTATAGTCGAGAAAATTATACAGTAACTATTGCGCTCTGAATATTCAGCACTCAACCGCCATTACAAAATACCTGTAGTAAAAAGACCGGGATATTAATAGACCGGAACAACCAAAAGAAGTTAAAAGACCGATTTATTAAAAGACCGGTGCAATAAAAGACCGGAACGGCCAAAAGATGTTAAAAGACCGATTTATTAAAAGACCGGTGCAATAAAAGACCGGAACACCAAAAGAAGTTAAAAGAAAGATTAATTAAAAGACCGGCGCAATAAAAGACCGGAACGGCCAAAATTAGTAAAAGACCGATTTATTAAAAGACCGGGTAATAAAAGACCGTTACGGCTTAAGTAAAACTTTAAATTCCAGAAGATCAACACCGTAATATCAAATTTTAAATTGTAAAAGATCAATAACGTTACAAACTATTAAATGTATGCTCTTATACTAAAATTTTATTCGAAATGAATACGTATTGAAGTCCTAATTGTGGGAGATTTAAAAAGAGAAATTAAAAAATCCCCCAACTTGTCTGTGATAATCTGCACACCAACCCTTTACAAACGAAAGTCTTAAAAAGCACATTTTTTGTAATTCATAAACGTGTTGAAATCCATCACTTTTTGCCTTTTCTAGCATCTGATATTTAAAATTAAAATACCGTACATGCTCTAATATAAGCCTGGGTTTATATTTTTCAAATCTCTTTGACTGGGTTTATATTGGATATGATCTCCTAGCTTAGAGAGAGGCCTTCTATTTCTCACCTTGAGCGGGCTTATATTAGAAATGGGTGTTTCTACTAATTAAACGAAAAATTTATTTTAAAATTAAAAATGTGATTGTGAAAAAATATAATCGAAATTTAAATATAGATACATAAATTGAAAAAGGCATATATTGAATGGTTATGAAAGGATGAAAATGGATATTAATGGGTAAAAATGAGGTTAGAAAGATCAAGTCTTAAAAAAATTAAAAGAGGATGGAACAAAAATTTGGAATTGAAAATGGCAAGTGATATTTAAAACAGATATTTCTGTTTATTAGAGATGCATAATCTATTTAAAAAACTTTATAGTCAACTCTTATAATGAAATCGAAACCAAATAGAAAAAAATTTTGGAAGGAAATACTCATAGTTAATATAAAATTATTTAGAAACAAAAAAAATTAACCAAAATTGCTATAATTTGCTTCTAGTGTACATTTTTCAAAAATATATTTAATGCTGAATTAGATATTCTCCATTTCTTTAATTGTAGAAAAAGAACAGTTGCAAACATGGACTAGGAATATATATAGCACAAACATATTAACGAACAAATGATGTTTCAGTTCCAGCTGATTCATTTGAAGGCCAGCGAGCCTAAATTATTTAAGTTTTATAGAAATTAACATTTAAAATATACCGGTGGCCCTTCGTTTTGATCAGCTGTCATTTGTGATGTTCTATTATTTGTATTTGGAATGCGAGCCGAATCAAGCGATTCCAACGAAAGCGTTGATTGAGTATCACCTAAATTAAAATACATTTAAATTTTTTTCAAATTTAGCAAAAAAAACCTTCAACATTATACATTCTTAATTCATCATAAGGTCCAATATTTGGATCCGTCTCTAGATCATTTACATGTGCATTTAATCCATCATCTAATTATTCAAAAAAATTTTATTTTTAAATTAAATTTAAAAAACCAATAGGTGAGCGTCCTCCATTAGGATATATTTTAGCTCCATTATTTGTTCCTCCACCACCAATCCCTCCATTGCTATCTAATGGCATAACTGGTTTTCGAAGATTTGAAAGATTATGTCTGGTATTGTCAGCTTCTCCACCACCTTCAACATCATACGGCCGTAAACTGTCTGGTTTCATTTCTTCAGGTCTTACAGATTCAAAAATTGGTCTTTGTCTTCTTGTATAAACAACCATTAAAAGAAGAATTACTACAAAAATTTAAAAATTATAGGAACTTTACATATTAAAACATACAAATAAGTGTAGCTAAAGAACAAAGAATTAAAAGCATTGCAGGATTACTTATTCCGAGACTTGCCACAGCTTCATGTTGATTACAACGAGATAAACGACCATTTGCATCCAAAGTAGCATGATTGCCTTCAGAACAAACACAGAATGCTCCTTTCCAGGTATCCATACAAACTTGACCAATAGGACAGAATCGAGGACCCAATTTGTCACATGTTGCTAACTAAATAAAGAATGATAGTAAATCTTTTTAAATTGATTAAAAAATACCTGAGAACATCCTTGAACAACTCCCTTCTTTAAAACAAGAAAAATATAAAATTTTAAAGATAATTTTTTAAAATACCATAGCTTCTAAACGAACAATTCCTTGATCATTATTTTGATATCTTTTGTGTCTAATGGGTAAATGTAATCGATTACGACGAAACCGAGAATCTTCCATTGCTGTTGTATCCCCATTATTGTTTTGAACCATTTCATTATTTGAAAATATATTATTTTGTTCAATTCTTTGTTCATTATTGTTATTTAATCGAAGATTCATTCCAATAGAATTATAATAAAATTTTCCTAAACATCCAAGAAATCCATTAGATCCTGGTTGATTGCCAGCATATAAATGTTTGGGAACAAATAGAAGACCATCACGGTCGGGATCCAATTCTTTTTGAATACTATATTGACCATCAATTGAAAGATGAGCACTAAAAAATTCCTTTACTTTAACAATTAAAAATGAAAAAAACCTTGAAGGAGTTCTTCTAAAATCTATAAAATATGGCACTGAATGATTAAGTTTTGGTTCAGGCAATTCTAATTCTACAGGCATTGATTGACCATTAATTGGTTGTGGAGTTAAATCAAAAGTAGCTTTTGTTGTAAATCTTCAAAAATAAAAATAAATTTTAAAAAATCAATTAACCTAATCATATCTAAACGCATTGATGCTGTTGGTCCAGATTGACTAAGTGCAGAAGCTAATTGTCCGTTAGCTGAAGAACCAGGTAAAAAAAGTAAACGAAGACGAGAATCCTTATAAGGCGGTTCTACTTGTAAAAGAAATTTAAGAAGAGCATCACGCGTTGTAAATTCAACCCAATCAATTGGACGTTCACAACGTTCACCTTCCCATCCAGGTTCGCATTCACATTTGGCAACCTTTTTTTGTTTAATTTAAAAAAATAAAAAAAAATTACTTGTTGATCCATAGATTCAACAATACATTCACCATGTCCATAACAAAAATTTCCACCACTAGTAATTGAAACTCCTCCTCCACTCGATTCCAAAGAATTGGAAAGAGGAATATTAACATTTTGTGAAGAATCGACATTTCCACCTTCAGAAGTTGAACAGGCAGAACCCCAAAAAAGTGAACATCCAGGAACACTTTGTTCAACATAAACAGGCCGGTAAAGATCATAATGCTTAAAAAAGACTAATTTTCTTCATAAAAATAAAAACAAACATCAAAATTAACTACAAGTTCACGAGTACATCCAACAAAATTAGCCAACGCGTGTGCACGTACTGCTCTAGGATATTCTTCTAAAGCACCACCAAGTGAAGCAAGTCCTCCTAATTGTAAAGGTGTAGCTATATTTAATCTTTCATCATCATCTGGTGCATCTTTTGCCATCATACAATTATTATTAGAAACTTTTTGATTTAATTTTGATGATGAAGAACTATCAATAGAAGTACAATCATCCAACACTAATCTAAGTTTTTTATGTTGTTGAGTAAGAGTAAAACGATGAAAACGTCCATCAGCTACCATTTGTTCAATAAAAAGATCAACCTTAAAAAATGTTAAATATTTTAAAAATTATTTAAATTTTCCCAAACCGGTTCTTTTCCATTAAATTGTAAAACAGCATGTAACATTCCTTGTTCAATGTAAATAAGTAAATAATCATTGTAATTAAGTATATCTTGTTTTGGATCACCCATTGGGCCATTATAAAGAATAACACCGTCTTGCCTTGAAATTAAATTATTAGGTACCTCATTGTTACTTTTATAGCTTACTTTGTCATAAATCTTAAAGAAATATTTAATGAAGTACAAGCTGGCATTGGTTTGAACCATGCAAACCCACGTCCATCAAAACCTTTAAAAATTAAATTTCTTAATCGATTATTAATTTAACATACTTCGGGTATTTCCCTGACATCTAAATCCAGTAAGTGCTGCATTTCTACATTCACAAAAAGTTCCAGGCCGAGTATCATGACAAACACCTCCATTAAAACAAACATTTCTATCACATTCATTTTTAGGTATAAATGCTGGACAATCACAAACATCTGTTGCTGAGGCATTCAATCCAACAATAACTGTTCTATTAGCATGAATAACAACTCCTCCCTTTAAATTTTTAAATTTATTTTTTCTTAAATTTTATTTTAAATTCACATTATCAACTCTATTTTCTGTTCTACATCCATTATCACAAGTTGTCCATTTACACATATCTACACCAATTGCAAGAATTCTAGCACGAAGAACAGAGGATAATCTTTCCTTGTTTCTTTGAATTAATCCATGTAAGTAAATTGGATCCAAATATTCCTTAAAAATTTTTTTTTTAATTTTGGCATTTATATAACAAGGATCTTCCAGACAAAAACCCCAATGACTTTTTGAATCACTCTTATCCTAATTTTAGTCCAAAAATCATCATGAATTCATGATTTTGTAAATAGCGTCGATTCCCAAAAACTAATTTAAAAATAAATTTTTACATCATTTAAACGTGCTGTAAAACGCAAATCAACAACTTTTGTAGAGAGACGTTGTAAAATTTGATCATCAGGTTTTAAAGAAATTATTTCAACAATTGATTGACTTAAAGTTTCCATTTCACGTCGAAACAATTCAATTCTCGAAGGTTCTCCATGTTCTTCTCTAATTAATGAAGAAGCCAACTCCATTGCTTCTTGTGATGTTATTGTTGGTAAATGAGATGGATCTACTTCAATTCGAATTGTTGCCTTTAAAAATTTAAATTTTTTTAAACACATAATTTAAAAAATACATGTTTTTCAAAAGCAATTTCCGGTACTGGACGGACAACAACTTTAATAAACGATGTTGCCTTTTCTGAACGTACTCTATCTTCTACTTTCACCTCCAATTCATATGTTCCCTCTAACAAATCAGCATCAATTACCAACTGAAAAATAATAAAAACATTTCTAATTAATTTACAAAAATTTTACCTGTTTATCCTGTAAATGGAAATATTGATTCTCAGATTTTATCAACTGAAAACTTTTGTCTCCAATATCCCAATCATCTTTATCTTCAACAAAAGGAACACCAATTACTGTCTTCTTTAATTGTCCTTTATATGAATAAATAAATATATCCATATGTCCATCACTCATTGAATTATCATTCTATTTTAATTAAAAATAATTTTTAAAATTTATTTTTAAAGAAACCAAATCTCCAATCACAATGTAAACATTTTGTTGTCGCTGCTTTCCTTTTGCATCAGAAACAATAATTGGAATTGTAAAACGTTTTTCAGGTAAATCTGGATCTTCTCGGTCATATTCTCTAAGTGGGCGAACATGCATAACCTTACAGAAAAAAAATAGAAAAATACATAAAAAGAAGAAAACCCCTTTTCCTCCATCACCGCTTCGATCAAATTGTACATCAAGATAATCACGAAATTGAAAATCGGGAGCTAGACTCATGTTAAATGGCGGACCATTCTCTCTAGAACAAAAATTATCTTTTTACAAAAATTTCAAAATTTACTCCAGATCATCATCCGTTGCTCTAATTTCACATGCAGATTGCTGTTCAGGTGGTGTATTTTCCATAAAAATACAAGGATTTGGGAAAGTTTCCAATCTGGGTGCATTATCATTATCATCTTGCAAGTATATATCAACATATTGCGCGCCAATATTGCCAGCTATCAATTAAATAAATTAAAAAATTTTTAAATATTTAATACCCTGATCAAAAGCCTCAATACGCAATGCATAGTAAGGAATGTCTTCGCGATCAAGTAATTGAGCCACTCGAAGTGCACCGTTCTGGTCAATGGAAAATTGACGTTTTGGATCTGTTTCACGGCTAATTCGATATCTTAAAGAAAATTATTTTATTAAATATTAAAAAATTTTTATAAAAATAGTAAAACATTCCACGACTTTATCTTACGTTAAATTATATGTGGGAGAGCTTTTGTCTTCTGCGCGAAAGTTGAGTAGAATTTCTCCTACAGAAGTTGCCTCACTAATATTTTTAACTACGGAAAGCATAATTTCTCGTGTATTTTTTTGTTGTAATGGCCATTGATGATGATTATGATTTAAACTTCCACCTGGCCAATATGTTTGGCTACCACCCCAAGGCGATTGGGGGAAAAATGAATGACTGCCACTTTGTTGATTCATTGCAGGAGTAGAAAATGTTTCAGTAAACATAAGAAAGAAAACAAAAATGGTGAAGGAAGTAGGTGAAACAAATCTTGCTTTAGCAGTCAAAGTCCGACAAAGATTTTTAAGCCAAACATGAAGAGAAATTGAATTTATTGAAGAAAATAAAATGGCAGTAACCAAGTAAGAGAATAATTGAATAAATAAATAATAATACCGGGTAAAGGAAATATTATTTTTTGGATTTTTGGCAATGCGCGCGCGATAAATTTTGCCGCTAATTTTTGTTGATTTTTCAAAAAATTCTTCCTTTTCAGAAGATTTTGAATTGTATCTAAGGGAATTCTGCTTACTCAAATTTTCTGTTGTGGTTGTCTGCCTCTGTTGTAGCGCTAAATCTGGTGAGCAAAGATCCGATCGCGACTGACTCGAGAAACCTGAGTTGGTGATTGATGATTGGAATGTTATTGTTTCGGCTGAGAAACTGAAAAAAAATAATAATTTTCTTCTTAAATTAAATAAAAGAAAAAAACCTTTGTGCTTTCATAGAGGTCGTCGAAGACTCGTACATGTAAGAGGAAGCCATTTTCACGTTGAGGAGAAAACTCAAAATCGAGAGGCTAAAAGTTTTGTTGTTTAATAATTTTTTTTTGTAGTTTTTTAAAAATATTTAATTCGCGCGCGCGATTGCCTTATTTTGAATAATCATTTAAATAAATTAAAAGTAGAAGAAAATATTTTTTTTATTTTCGATCGTCAGTCAGGCACTTTATGGAATTTATTTTGAAAGACTAAAGAAAAGGAGAGAAAGAGAATGAATTTAATTATAAATATGGAAACCAGTTGTATCTTTCTGAAAAATAAAAATAATAATATTAATTAAAAATAAGAAAAAATGTGGAAAATACATAAATTCTTTAAATTAAAAAAAAAGTTGGTAATTAATTCAAAAAAAGTTGTTAACAAAAATCAGTATTTCTGAGTTAAAAAATATAAAATAACAACTAAAAAAGAGGTGTTTGACTAAAATAAATAGTTTGGAGGAACTATGTTTGTGTATGTGTCGGCTAAATGTTGAGTTATGGCAATCAAAAAAAAAGTGGAAGAGTGACCTTGTTCATCTTGTTTATACCTCCTCTACTTTTTTTATGGTTGTCTTTACGGAGAGGCATTGACTACAACAAAGATGACGAATATTTCAAAGCAATCGTTTAAATGTTTAAAGATTGGGAAATTTGTGGAAAATTCAAATAAAAATTACTTTAAAGAAAAATAAGGAAAAATACAAAAATATATGAGAGAAAAATGAAGAAATTAGTAATGGTTAACAGAAAGGAAGGATGAATCAGCAAAAGCAATGGGTACTATGGAAGGAATCGATGAATAAAAATTAGCAAATTTAAAAAGCAGATAAAGTATAAATAATTCTAATTTATTAAGTAGTGACAAAAAAATCAAAACAATGTGCTAAAATATATAAAGGATTTAAGCAAAAATATTTAAGAAAAAATATTTTATGTATAAGGAGAGAAATAAGATGAGAAAAGAAAATATAAATGAGGGATTGGGCGAGCTGTAAAGTAGAAAAGCGGCTATTTTGTCCTTCACAAAAATCAGAGATCGATTCATTTATAATGATGAAAATCACCGATTTGGGTGTAAAAACGGAGAGGAAAAATTTAAATTTGTTGAAAAGAAATGAAGGAAAGAATGTGTTTTTATAAAAGAATAAAGAACAGAAAAATTTAGATGAAAATCTTTTAGCAATTTTTGAATTAATCTACTCAGATGAAATGAAAAAAAATTTGAATTTGTTCAACAATTTTTAGAGAAAAACAATTTTCTTCAAGTTATCGTAGTCTTGCGTTCCTAATTATAAAATTAGTATACTCCTAATACGCTCTAAAAAATTGGGGGCATTTCGCAAAAATTATTTAAGTTGTATTAAAATTAAAAAAAAAACAAAATTATTTTTAAAAAGATTTCAGCATAATAATTTTAGAGTAGAATGCACGCAACTTTTGTTAATTAGAAAATGTTGACTGCAAAAAAATAAAAATTGAGAATAACCAACTATTTTATATATGGATTGAAGGGATGCGCGACCTCAACAGTCAGAAATGGATGATGAATCATTTTTCGGGTCAATGGCAAATTTATAATGTGCGTGCCTAATAGTAGATATTGTACCTAATTTTATAGGAAAAAAGGTATGAGAGAAATGAATAAAAAAAGTAGTAATTATTTGGAGAGAAAATTAAGCTTCTGAACTTAAAATAATTTTTTATAAAAATTATGAGAAAAAATAATTTTTGCATAAAAAAAGAAAGGCAGAAAAGGATATTGGATATAAAAAATATATTTTTATGTATGCAGTTTTGGTCGAAAGGTTGAAAAATAGCATTGGAATGGAAGAAAAGAAACAAACAATGTCCGCCATCATCTCTAAGAGGAAAAAAATAAAAATAGTTGGACTTAGCTTAATTGCCAAAGGACGGGGAAGGGATTTTATTAGATAAATATTTTAAATTCAAGAGTTTGAACAATAAAAATAAATAAGTTTTCGGGTGGCGCAGCTGTAAGCTAAAATTGAGCAAAAGAAAAAAAGGACATAAGTACGAAAAAGCTGTCGAAAAAAGAAAGGAAAGAAAATTGGATTCAAATTCCCTTTCCTATTTTTTTCAACAAAATTGGATTCAATTTTCGAACCTCACTTGTTGTTCCTGATTTTATTTTGCTTTTGCGCTACTTTTTTAACGAACTTTTTAACATAAAAAACAATAAAAAAATATTTTAGATCAAATACAATGTACATAGGATATTAAAAAAACGGAAAAAAAATAAGAGAGAAATACTAGAACAAAGAGTAAACTTATAAAAAGAAATTCCTTTAAAAACAAGAACAATTCCCCATAGGCCTAACCAAACAATTAATTCTATAAAAAACTGCAGCATTTTTCTGCCTTTTCATCCACTTAAAAAACGTGAAAAATAGGAAAAAGTGTATAGAGGCAATTGCAGCAAAAATAAAATATTTTTACAAAATATAATGCAGATAAAAGATAAAAAATAAAAACAGATAAAAATTTTGCATAAGACATAAAAAGTGGCGAAATCTTAAAAGTGCGACAATGCGCGGATTCTTTGCATAAATAACCAGTCGATGTGTGAGCATTACGAATACCTACATAGTGTAAAATGAAAAGACGTAAAATGCTAAGGAAAGCATTTTGGTGAATAAGGACGACACGATAAGACGAATGACCCTTCTTCCATCCAATTGTTCAGCAGGAAGAAACTGTTTGCTAATGCCGCTCTCCACAACTACTTTCTTGTAATAAAATTAGAGAAGAAAAGTGAAGAGAAATAGTTTGTGAAAAAATATAAAATACAAAAGCAAATTCTGTACAAAAATAGTAGAGCGCAAATATTATTTATGAGTGGTCAAAAATTATTGATCAATGCGATATGTTCCCATCAAATCTTATGGAAAAATGAGTAACAAAAAAACAAAATTAATAAATTTTTAGAAAAAACCTTGCTCGAGGAAAAAAAGAAGAATGAGTTAATTTCTATGACTCGCGCAAAGTAATTTTATTGTTTACGGAAGTTTCTGACAAATTCTTTGGCCTGCTTAATGTTTAATAAACAAAATCATTCCTTGGCAAAACAAAAATATTCTCCTCTTAAGTTTCTTATGTATAGGGGGAATATTCAAAATAAAGGCACTTAAATTTATTAAATTTACTTTAGCCTTCATTAATGAATGTTTGTGACTACACCAGAATTAATCAAAATAAAAATTTTAAAGGAAAGGGAAGAAGTAGGCGCGCGTCATTTCCTTTTTCTTCCGATTTTTTTTATTTCTTCTTCCGATTACTTTATTGGATTTAAAAGTGGAGCAAAGTGCACAAGAAAGACGGCAAAGAATTAAGTGTTGTGGAAGTAGGCTAATTGCGACAAGGCCGACTTTTGTGCTTTCCCCCATTGCACTTTTCATCATTCCATAAATAGCAATAAACCTCAATTTGTTCCAGAAAGTGGTGGAAAGGTAGAAGAGAATCCTAACCCAATAATTTATGTTCTTTCAGAATTTAAAAAATATCCGGAAAATTTTAAGAAATTTTAGGGAAAATATGAGTAAAGTATTTAGCTAAAATAGTGATTAGAAGATTTTTAAGTTCTTGAGAATTTTGTTTAAAAAATAAAGTAGTTTGTTTAAGTAAAAATAACAATAAACAATTGAAAAATTAGAATAAAGGAAAGATGATTTTATGAAAAATGACAATACAATTGCAAACCGGATCTTAATATTAGTTAAACTGTAAGGATTTGGATGAAGAAAAGAAATGTTTAGCTTAAAAAAGTAAGAAATGGGAAGATATTTGACTAAAGAGAAGTAAAGGTTTCAAGTAATTTTTGTTTTTTTAAATGCATGGTTAATGGCTAGGAATGGTCAGAAGCCAAAGAATTTTGGTTATAAAAACTTAAATGAATTGAAAATTTTTTTATAAATTCAAAGGAAAAAATTGGCAACTTTACCAAAAACAAATTTAAAAAATAATTATTTAGCCAAAAAACCTCAAGAAGCACAAAAATACACATAAACTACCTTTTAGTTTATTTTTACCAGTCTTTGACCACTCTGTGCCTTTGGAATTTGGAGCTAAAATGCTTTAAAAACCTTTACTTATGTCACGCGAATAGATTTTGTCTAGAGGAGATGTGTTATAAAAAGAGAGACTAGAAATTTAAAGTAAAGAGAATGACCACCACAAAATGTTGGGAAATTCCCTGATGGACTATTATTTATTTATAGAGGTAGATGGAAGAAAAAGAAAAAGTTTTTAAGAGCCCAAGAAACATTGTTGAAGAATAAAACTTTTTTGAGAAGGACGCGAAAAGTGACAATTTAAAGAAAAAAGTTTCGAAAAGAATTAAAGTTAAATAAAAAACCTTCAAAATAAATGCGTTTAATCCCAACAATTAAAAGATTTCAGGTTAATTTTGTGTATTTCGCGATTTTTATATTGGATAAAAATTTAGCCAATGCAAAATTTAAGCAATTTTAAATTTAAAAAATTAAGAAAAAATAATTACTAACCTTTAACGCCTTTGAGACTGGATTTGTTGTTAAAGCAATTGTTAGAAAAATAATAAATATAAGCAAAACCAGCATCGATTGTCTTTAATTACAAAAAATTTAAAGATGAAGAAAGAATTAATAAATACATTTTTATAATAAATTATTAATTGAATACTACATAAACATCTAAAAAATTTATTTAGAAAAATTGTAGAAACTTATTTTTGGGGATTACATGCAATCAAAAACTACAAGGCATCGAACTTGAGCACTCCCTATAGTTTAAAGTCGAGTCCGTTAACCACTACACAAAAGCATCAAGATTTAAAAAAATAAATTTTACGGAACGGACACTAGAGTGCAAAAAGAGAGGACATTAGAGTGCGACCAATAAGGTGCCACTAGAGATATGATTTAAAGTTATTTAAGTTGTTTTAAGAAAGACTAAGAAATAAGGGCTAATATCTCGCCCCAAAAACGTAATACAGTGATCATAAAAAACAAGATTCCAGATCCGGAATAATCTGGACGAACCTCGAAAACTTAAAAATATAGAGGCACTCTAATGGCCTCTAATGTCTCTTTAGTAGAAGCGCTTTAGTGCCCCTAACCGTAAATTTAATGAATACGAATTTTAAAAGTCTTTACATAAATCTACATATCTAAAAATTAATTGAAAATAAAATTGAAAGGGTTATTTACTAAAAAAAGAATGGTCAAAAAATATTGGAAAGAAAATGGCGCAAAGCTTATTTTAGGACAAAACTAAATTTGGGAAAAAAGACAACCGGAAAGCTATATAAAGCTTTGCTTTGACAACAAATTAAGTTAACACATTTTGCTTTATATTCATATATATTATTTATATATCCAGATATAATGCCGAAATACTTTCTGGGATGAAAAAATAAAATTATATTTTTTTTAGATATTAAATTCCGAATTAAAAAAGTATCGTTTTTTAGCCTAAAAATTTTAATTGTCAAAAAAGTGACAGCAGAAATGTTGCTTTAAATTCCCTACAGAAAGGCTCACTCTTTGATGTTTTTAATTATTTTTTAACGGAGTATTAAAAAAATAAACTTAGAAAACAGGAAAAAAGGAAAAACTTTGAAAGAGGAAACAGCATATAATTTATTGTTTTAGTATAAGCAATGCATCATTATTTTTTTAATCTAAACAGAAGTTTCCGGTTCATTAAAATTTTTATTTAATGATTTAAAAATTCCGAAAAATTTTGGAGAATAAAGAGAAAAAAAAATAAAATCGAATCAAAAATTAAATGGCATTATTAATGAGATGGAAAAAATTTGGGGTAGGTAGGGGAAATGAGAAATACAAAAAAAATAACAAAAGAAAAACAATAATAATGGAGAAGGTGAAAGCGAATGGAAAAAAACAAAAGCATTTACTGCTCTGGATGTTGTGTTTGGTTTGAATTGGAGCGACTTCTATAATAATAGATTTGTTTAAAAAATCGTTATTTTAGCCTTGAACCTTTTAATTTTTTAGCTTGGGTATAAAATAAATTCAGAAAAATTATAAAAAATCTTCTCAAAATAAACAAATTAAGAAAATGATTAAAAAAGATAAATGAAACAGAGGGGAAAACCAGAAGTGAAGTGAGAAAATATTTAATAATTTCCGTTGCGTTCATAGTCGATTATTTTACTTCTGGCCTATTAACTATTCATTGGGGCAAATTATTATTTAAAATAATAAAATTGAGAAAATGAAATAACTCTAAAAATGCAAAAATATTGGACTTAATAAACTGTGCTGAAGTTAAGAGTAAAATGCGCGACTAATTATGACAATGGCATTTTTGTAGTAAACACCCGATATTTTCTACCCTTATTTCTTTTTGTTGTCAATGATGCCGGTCAGTTTATTTGGCCACTCATCCTTTCTCCCTCAAACATTTCATGCAAAACGGTCATAAGCCATATAATATAGAAACGAAAAAGGAGGTAAAAAAGAAGTGAATAAAGGCTTTAGGGTTCATGCCAACGCGAGCACCACTAATTACTTCAAACACACACCCATATGTCGGACAAATTTGCCAAGAAGGTCGATTGGTTAAAATTAAATAATAGAAAAATTTAATAAAGAAAAATATTATTCTTCAAAAAATTCAAAAATTTCACAAATATGGCTAGTAAGAAAGGAAATTATGCCAACAAACTTGTGCTTTTTGCACCCTCATCTTATTAAAAAATGAAAACGAGAAAATTCAAATAAAAGAGAAAAAAAAAATGAGGAAGCGAAATTGACCACTACCACCACAACTACCGCCATATATATTCTCATTTAAACTAGCAGACTTGAGGCGGATTAAAACTTCATTGCTCAACATAGTGGAAAAATAGAGGAGAAAGGGATAGAAAATTATTTAAATAGCAAAAAAACTCATTAAAGCTTTTGTCCTTTTTAATTAAGATTGGAGAGGTTCCGGGTGAAGATTTACCTAAAAAATGAAGATTTACAAAAATAAATAAAAGATTGTTTGATAAAGAAAAAGTTTTGAGGAAAATAAATATTATAAAATTAATTAAATAAAGGAATTTCCTCTTTCCCTTTTCCTCTAAACAAAAATAACCTAATAAGTTGCCAACCAAAACCCCAACAAAAATGTGCAGTCTTAAAATAAAATTAGGTTTTCCCCAAGGTCATTGTTTGGCAGTCTGCAAAAACACAAATTTAACATCTCGTTGGAAAAATTCCTTTTTCAATTTTATGACCCTAATTGTATTTTTAGTAATGGGCCAAAGACCAAAACTTTAAGTTCTTTGAACAAAAAAATATTTTATCTGATATAAAATTAAAATAAATGCCTAAATTAAATTTAAAAATATATAAAAAATTAAAAAGTTTTGTTTATACCCTCTCGAAAACAAGATTTAACCTTAAAATATTTAAATATTTTATTTAATATATAAATTTATTTACTTCATTAAGTACAGCCCAACACGGTAAATAACTGGCATCTAATTGAATTTTTGGTGCATCTGGAGCCAAATTACAAAAAGCCAAACATTTGTCTCCTGCAGCCGTAGAATGAACATTTTTAGATTTACAACAAGAACTGTGGTCAGAATCTTGTGCTAAAAATTATATAATCTTGATTATTTAAAAAAATAAATTCAGATAAAAATAATTTTAAACCTGCACATGTAAATAAATCTAATCCAAATTCTGTTGGACATTTATCACTTCCAAGAAACATACTTGCTTTAAAAAATTGAAAATAATTATTAAAAAAATTTCTTTAAATAAAATTTACTCAATATTTTTTTATTTAAAACATCAAAATTACAACGACTTTCACATGATTTGGCGACTCTTTTTCTTTTACAACAATCAAGAAAAACTTTATTAGCATCCTTAAAATAATTCAAAAAATTAAAAAAAAAATATTTTAAAAATACTTTTTTATGTGAAAAAGATTGTGTTGTCAATTTTTTGGGAAGTTTAGTTGGTGGTGGTATTGTTGAAGTTGGAAGTAATTTTTTAGTATAAACCAATGTTGGGAATGAAGTAACTGGAGTAATTAATTCTTTCCCTTCCTCTTGTATTGCCTTCAAATTTTTATTTATTTTTTAAATGTAAATAACTTACAATATTTTTTAATAATTTATTTTGTCGAATTAATTCAGAAATTCTAACTTTTTCACTTTCAGGTAAAAATCTAGATGGAGGTGGTGGAGGTAGATCAAATTCCACATTTGTTTGAATTAATTCTTTTTTGTTTGTTTCTCCAACTTTCATTGGCCTTTGTTGTTTATTTCTTTGTTTTGTAATTAATGCTGGTATTGTTGTTTTTCTTGTTGTTGTAATTAATTGTTGTGGTTGTCCACCTTTAATTTAATATTTTAATAAAAAAATTTCCTTATTAACCTTGTAATTCGTTTGGTAACATTTTAAGAAATTCCTTTTGACCAATCTGAACAGGCTGAATATGCACAACACGAGCACGCTGTTGTTGAGGTATCTGGAAGCGCTGCTGTGATTGTTGTAATGCCCATTGTGGAGGAGCTAAGGGTGGAGGAAGTAATTGATGTTGTTGAACCGGCTGTTGCTGCTCCCTATGTAAATGCTTTTGCTCGCTTGAAGCGCTTCCCATCATATTTGGAGGTTTAATCAATTCAGGCAATTGTTCCTAAATTTAAATTAAATAATAAAAATGCTTAATTATTAACCTGAAATTCATTAGGCGAAGAAGTGTGCATTAATAGATGATGTTGTTGTTGAAAATGAGTGCCTTGAGGAAAAGATTGTTGAGGTACAAATTGTTGATTTAATTGAGCATTATTTAATTTCTGTTGATTATTATTGTAGAAAACTGTGCTAGTTTCTTGTCGAAGCTGAGGTTGTAAAAACGTTTGTCCGTTAGATGGTTGTTGTTGATGATGATTGAAGGATTCTTGTTGTGGAGACTAAAATTAATTTACAAATTATTATCCTAATTTTAGTTTTAAATAATTTTTACTTGTTGAAATCCTTGTTGTTGAAATTGGGAAGGTAATGTTGTTTGTTGAAATGAAGGAATGTCATTATTAACTTGTTGTTGGAAAGGTTGTAGTCTAAATTGTTGAAATTCTGGGGAATAGGCAAACTGAAATTGTTGTGGCTGTTGCTGGGGTTGTTGCATGCCAGGAATTAAATAAAACCATTGTTGTTGATAGGATAAATCGACTAAAAATTATTTAATTTTTTAAATAATCTGAATTTTTACTCACCTGACAACAAAAATATAATTGATGTATAACAAAAAATAATAATGCATTGGTCTAAAAAATTTCTAGGCCTTCCTATTTTCAGTAATTTTTTCATTCAAATTCAAACAAACTTCGTGTGCAAAAAAGGTCACAGGTGTAAAAATGAGGATAAATGTTTAGGTAAAAACTTTGTAATAATTAGAATGAAGAAAGCCTGTTTCACAAAAGAAGTACTAAATTAGCATTAATTTGTTCTGAAATATCTTTTTCACTTGTAGTGAAAATTTATAAAATGGGTAAAAATTTGTACTAAAAGGAGGAAAAGAAAATTAAAAAGTAAAAATATAGCTAATGTACGGCCCTGGATCAGCATAGCTGAGACGACGCTTTTTTTTATTTTCTTTTAATTACCTAGTATGTAAAATCGCGCACGCTAAATCTAAGCCAATCAAGCAAAAAAGGCGAAAAGCATATATTATTAGAAAACTAAAAAAAGTAAAAATAATAAGTTCAATGTCACGATGAGTTTTTCTGGTCGTTGATTTGATAATTTAATTTTGAATTGATTAATGAAATAGTATTTCCGAAAAAAAAGAAAAGTTTCTAAAGCATGACCATAAAAATATTTTTGGATTTATGAGAAACTATTTGTTAGAAAAAATTATTTCTTTTTTAGGTTTTTGCTAGAATTGTGTAAAAATATGTTTATTTTTACTGTCAATCATATCTTTTGTTTGTATACACATATATTTAATTTAGCCCCTCACAAAAATCTTTTTTTCTTTTTATATCCAACAAGCTTGTTGCGCATTTGGCGAGAAATTGGTTTTCTCGCATTTGCACATCCTTCCGAAACTTTTCTCATAATCATTTGATAAAAATGTGCCAGAAACCTGTTCCTATATCTAAACATTTTAATATTTATTTTAATCCAACTTTATCAAAAGATCGTGAAAGCTCTTTTACTCATTTACACAAAAAACAAAAACAATGAAAATTACCTCTGGCAGCAGTCAAAAATTTTTTAAGTGAAATGCTTATAAAGATTCAAAATTTTTTTGGGTATTTTGTACGATTTATTGTCAATTAAGATTCACTAATATCACCCAAATTAGATTTCTTCAAACTCCCAGTTCGTTTTATGTGTGGCCAACCTGCGCCCAATGCAATATTTGAAATACTTCTTCGAAGCGAATTCCTACGGCGAATTGTACCAGTCCGGCTAAGCTCAGATGCAATTCTTCTAATAAAAATTAAATATAAATGTTAAATTTTATAAAATGTATTACAATGCTTTAACAATAGATTCTACTTCTTCTGGCCTATTCTCACTTTGACTGTGAATACGTCCAATATTTACTTCCTCAACAGCAATATCTCGAGTAGAACTTGAAACTATCTTTAAAAAATAGTTTTAAAATATAAAAAGAAAACTTCAAACCAATTGTACAAGATTTTCAAAAAAGTCAACACCCATATCCATAGTGAAGCCATTGGTGGGCTGGAAAAAACAAAGCTCATCTGCCTTTTGGTCTCTAATTTTCACAATAAAAACCTCTGAAATTAAAAATAAACTTTTAGCCAAAAAATTCAAATACCATGTTCTCTTTCAAATTCAACAGATCGAAAATTTGCAAATCGATAATGGTCAATATGTTTGTAACGCCTTCTCTCCTTTTTCCAACTAGCTCCACGGCGCAAAAAACTCAAAGACTTTTGACGCGGTAAAGTTCCGCTACTGCCGCTATTAAACGAAGTATTTAACCCACTTGAAGTCCCAAGTGTTGAATCAAGTTCAGAGGTGCAAAATCGTGATTTTGCAATCTGAAAAATATTTCAATTTGTATTATAATTTAAAAATAAAACTTATTACTTCAATTAAATCATTAAACAGAAAAAGGCCAATTTTCTTCCCTTTGTACTTTTGCAAAATCCCACCGGCTCCAATCACCACCATATCAATAGATTGAATAAATTGACGGTGACTTGATATTATATGGTCCTATAAACTAAAATATTAATGAATGAATTTTAGACAAACGGGAAGATCCTCAATATCCTGGCAAATTTCCATGAATTGTTGTAAGTCATCAGTCTTCTTACGCGATTCATTAGTTTTCCTTAAAAATTGTTAAAAACAATAATATTTATTTACATACTCTAAAACTGCTTTAAGTTGTTCAATTGCCAATTTTAACCAATGATGATCAGGATTATTCTTTTCTGTACGCTTGAATAATTCTAAAAAAAATTATGTATGCTACATATGAAAATTTGTAAAAGTATTTACCTTGTAAAAGAAGGAGAACACTAGGAATTCGTTGCACCGGACGAATGAAAAGATCTCTAATCGAATTTTTCTGACATTCAGGACTTGCTTCTGCTTGCTATAAAGTGAAAGAGAAAAAAGTAAATAAAATCCTTATCAGTAAATTACCTTGAGAAATTCGTGAAATTTAGGTTTGTTGAATTCGCAATAGTCAAGAGTCCGTAAAATGTCGTCATATGAGTTGATATAAGGAGGATAAACCTAAATACATAAGGAAAATAAAGAAAAAATATAAACCCTTTCAAGATCGAGTGCAAAATCTGCCCAAATCTTTCCAATTAAATTATTATTATTCCAGTTGCTGATGCTTCTTTGAAGAGCTTCCTGAATATACGCATGTGCATTAATAATTGGAGTTATCTTCATGAAAAGTGTGTTCAATTCCTTAAGACTTAACAAATCCCTCTCAACATCTTTGCTATTTCTCTCGGAATGTTTTATCCGCATTTCAAGCGGCTTTTTAAATACCTAAATTTTAACATTCCTTAAACATTAACTATCCCGAAATAAACCTCGATTAGAACTTTTAAGATACGAAGGTAATTTTCCTCTGTATCCAATATTTCATGGCAAACCATAAATCGTCGTTCATTCTTCTTTGGTGTTCCATTCTCATTCATGGCCTCATTTGACAAAATACTAAAATAAATGAAATTGGGAATTTTGATTAAAAACCTCGTATTGATGGCAGTACTTGTGTCATCAGGCGCAGACCTAATTATGAAAGAAAGATAAATTTTAAAACTGATTGGTGTAACTTTAAACATACTTTGAATTATTTTTCTTCTTTGAAAGTTTTTCATCACTCATGGGAGATTGATTTTCTTTCTCTTTTCTTTTATACATATGTAAGTATTTGGATAGTCGAAATAACTGATTATCTAAATGTAATTTTATTGTTGCAAAAAAGAATAAATGATATCGAAAACAAGTAAAAAATAAATAAACTTATTGTAGAAAATGGGAAGAAATTTCGGAACAATTGCATTTTGCAAGCCAAAATATTAACTTGCAAATTCAAAAATACAATTAGTGCAAAAAATAAAAATGACATATCGTCCCTCCGGTTGGGGTCAGTTGAGCGTGGCCGTTTGAGCGTGGCCGGTTGAGCGTGGCCGATTGAGCGTGAGGACAGTTGAGCGTGGGCCAGTTGAGCGTGGGCCGTTTGAGCGTGGCCAGTTGAGCGTACCTTGATAACTGGCCAGTTGAGCGTCAATACCTAAAATAACTCGGAGCAGTTCAACTGAGTCCGCACGATTGAGTCCCCACGATTGAGTCCGCACGATTGAGTCCCCACGATTGAGTCCCGGCACAATTGAGTCCCGGCACGATTGAGTCCCCCTTGTATATACCTCAATTGAGTCCCCGTGGATTTAATTATATTAAAAAGGATTAAGAGGGATATCGGGGGATTTTTAGAGATTAAAGTGAACATCAGGGGACTTGTATTCGACATCGAGGGATCAAGTTGTATATCGGTGGATATGGAGGGATTAAATGCAAATTTAAACTTTTAAAGGTGATATCGGTGTATTAAGGTAGATATCAAGAATTTGGATAAATTTGTTGATTTTTTTCTTCCTCTCCCAGCACTTTATTATCCTCGTTACTGATGGTCTCCCTTGCAATTTAATGAAGTTCACGGCGCGAATCGACGCCCCCAATGGTTCGTCTTCGGCTAGCTCATATTTCTCGACGATGATGTCCCGCTGCGAGTCATCAATGCTATCCGGCAGATGTTCCGCGCTGAAGCTTTGCTCTTCCACATTGATGGCCGTTGTACCCGTAGTGCCCATTTGGACCTGTTGAGAAGCGTATAGATTTGTAAAGAAAATTGAAGAACTAAAATTTAGAAAAAATGAAAAAAAAGATAAAAATATCCTAGGATTTGGAGGGATTAAAGCTAATAACAAGGGTGCACACCAACTGTAGGATCTCAGAACCAATTTGCTGACATTTATTTATAAAAAATTAGAAATTTCAAAAAATTTTTAAAAATTCAAAAAATTAAAAAAACTTGTTTAATCTCAATGCTGATGTAAGGAAACATGTATTGCAAGCTGATACTGTCAACTAACTACGCCCCACAAATTTTTGAAACAATCCCGCATGCCGGATATGGAAATTTTAACTTATTAAATCCACGGGGACTCAATTGAGGTATATACAAGGGGGACTCAATCGTGCGGACTCAATCGTGGGGACTCAATTGTGCCGGGACTCAATCGTGGGGACTCAATCGTGCGGACTCAATCGTGGGGACTCAATCGTGCGGACTCAATTGAGGTGTACCGAAAATAACTACAACAAATGCCTATGTGGCCGAAAGATTTATTCGGAAATCTAAAACTAGAACATAAAAACTTAGTAGCCAAATAACTTTTTGTCTTACGCAGAATTAATTCGATCAGAGACAAAATCGTGCCTGTTTTAATCCGGTAAAGTCCGGCAGAAATCCGGATTCCGGACCGGACTCCGGTTTTTTTCCGGATTTTTCAAAAAAATTTTCATTAATTTTTGTGTTAAAATGTTGTAAGTCACAAATCCGCTGTAAAAAATTTGCCGGACCCGGATTCCGGATTTGCAATTAGAGCCGGACCGGATCCGGCCTGATTTTTCCGGATTAATCCGGTCCGGAAAAAACCCCGGATTTGGGATCCGGTCCGGAAAAAATCCGGAAATCGGAAAAAACCCCGGATTTGGGACCCGGACTCTGGAAATATCCGGTCGGATCCGGTCCGGAGCCGGGCACTAGTAATAATATATTGACGCTCAACCGGCCAATATACAAGGTACGCTCAACTGGCTACGCTCAGCTGGCCACGCTCAAACGGCCCACGCTCAACTGGCCCACGCTCAACTGTCTTCACGCTCAATCGGCCACGCTCAACTGGCTACGCTCAAACGGCCACGCTCAACAGGCCCGTTCCGTCGTCCCTCAACGCTAGAGATACACAAAAAAGTGCGACACCTGCTAATTTTATTTTTAGAGGGCAGAGAGCGACTCAAAAAAATGAAATTTCTCGCCTCAAATTTTCTACATAAATATAAATTTTTTTATTCATGTAGTTAAAAATGTTTTTCACAAAGGCTTGTCAACTCCAAATACAACTAGTTAGAAAATGCAGTGGTTCGTTTAATATAATTTTAAAATTTGTTAAAATCTAATAACTTTGTCGACTCACACTTTTATCGTTAAAGGCCTATCGTCATCAGTCAGAATTAACGACTTGCTAAATGAGTCAGAGCAAAAGCAGGACGTTATAATACAAGTTAGTTTTTAAATATTTTTAAAATGGTGAAAAATAACCAATATTTTATTTTTTAGGGATGGGTTCGGCACGCTCAACGGTATGGTAAAATTCTTTTTCTAAAACTCAACGATGGTAATTCTCCGCATCAACTCCAAGCAGTTGTGCCCCGAACAATTTGTCATACTATCCATGTTGGTAGTGCTCTTCGTTTGCGTGGGCAATGGGTTCCAAGTATAGGAACACAACAGCAAATGGAATTTTTGGCTGAACAATGCATATTTATAAATGAGCCGAGTGAATTTGTATGTAAATTAATTTTTAATTAAAAAATTTTTTTAAATTATATTAGGTGGTAGATTCGAAAGATAAGGATGCTCTTCGCTTAATTCCTCATCTAAGACCTAAAAAATTAGAATTTGCATCGATTTTAAGAATGCGATCTCATCTCAACTTTTTAATACATAAATTTTTTAATGTAAGCCGTTTTTAATCCTTAAAAAATTTCCTATTTGGTTGAAAAGGGCAGGCATTTTATTCATATTGATACGCCATTATTTTCACAAAATGACTGTGAAGGTGCTGGTGAGGCTTTTTCGGCTACTTGTTCAGAGGAAAATTTTTTTGGCGATACTAAGCCCTTTCTACCTGTTTCTGCACAGTTACACTTAGAAGCAATGAGCAGGTTTACTTTTAAACTATCTTTATAATATATTTTTCTAATAAAGTTCTCTTGGAAATGTCTATACATTGTCGCCTGTATTCCGTGCCAATCCAAGTGAAACTCGTCAACATTTGGCAGAGTTCAAAATGTTGGAAGTTGAATGTGCTTTTGCAGATTCTCTCGAACAGATTTGTAATATTGTGGAGGAATTTATACGTTTTTTAGTCTCAAAAACTGAGACAATCCTTCAACTTGAAGATTTTGAAAAGTCTTCGCCCTTTTGTCATCAAAGTTCAAATGATGAAGAAAAATCAGCTTCGTCACAGGTATTTTCAAATTAATATTTAAATAATAAATATTAATTTTAGACCCTTGCTGAATGTTTGGATAAAAATAATACATTATTTCCGAGAATATCATTCACTGAAGCAACTAAACTTCTCAGACGTCAACCAAATGAAAGTAAAAGGCAGTTGAGTAAAAGGGACGAATTTGATCTTGTTGATATATTTGATGGTCCTTTATTTGTAACTCATTTTCCTTCAGAACAAAAACCATTTTATATGCGACGCACAGATGATGGGAAGTTTGTTAGTTAATTTCTTATTTTAAATATTATTTTCTATTTAATTTTTAGACAGAATCTTTCGATTTGATTGCCCCTTTTGTTGGTGAATTAGCTGGTGGTAGTGTACGTGAATGGGATGAAGAACTATTGACTGCAAGACTCCCAAAAGAAAATAAAGAAAAACTTGAATGGTATACAGAATTACGTCGCTATGGTTATCCACGAAGTGGAGGCTTTGGAATTGGTGTTGATAGATTAATGCAATCACTTTTTGGTATTAAGAATATAAAAGACACTATACCGTTCCCTCGTTGGTCAAAGCAAACAATTAAATGTTGATTTATTTATTATTTTGATAAAATTTTCTAGATTTTTTAAAAATTATTTTTAATATCTGTTGAGCTGTCATTTTCACGATATCTATTATTATATTGTTTGCAATTAATATTTAATTACAAGATGGTGAAATTAAAAAAACGTTATCTTTTAATTGAATTACAGTTTGTGGATGATAGAAAGGATGCATTCATAACAGGATCAGATATTTATCATTCAATCTTTGACCAAGTTGGACACCTTCATGGAGATTATGGAGTTGGTGCTATTAAAGGGTCATTACAGGTTTAAAAATAATTTCAAGAAAATATTTAATCAGTCAATTTGGAGGTTAAAGTTCGTGATCCATCCACAAACACCGCAGTTATCCGAATCGGCTCGAATGAACGTTCTTTCGTAAGCACTGCAATACCTTTTATTTTAACAATTGGAAAGTGCCGGTGTACTTTACAGCTTTTATTTGAAGGTTATATGAGTGTTTGAAAAAATTTAGATTTATTTTAGGTTCTTCGATTAGAACTGTTGAGAGGTTTTTACTTCGTTCAAATTTGAACATGTTATATACTAAACTAAGGGTCGCAGAAAATGAAGGTATTTTTCCTAATTTTTCTAATAAAAAGTATTTTTAGAAGAAAAATCATCTCTTAGAGCTGCAATTAGATCAATTACTGGGCCAAAAGTAGCTCATATTCGATTTTGAAATTTTGTTAAGAGCTCTTTATTTTCTTAATATTATAAGTAGAAATTTTTAAAATCTCAAAAATAAAACAATTCGAAGTAGAAAGAATTAAGTGAAAATTAAGGGGGAAAATTCAAAATTATGGATGAAAATGTTAGCAGGATTGTAAAAGTGAATCTGTTAGTTGTTTCAAGGCATGGAACTCTTTTTGCTGTAGCAACAGAATGTTGATTAACTAGATTTTCCGTTGAAAAAACCTCTGGAATGGTTTAAATATGAGTTTCATTTTCTCTGTTCTAATCCCATGGAGACTAGCTGTTCACCAAAATCAGTTGCATCAATTAAGAGTTTTCCAGTACATACAGGAATCATTCTTTCCGCATGCAATTTCCATTCATTAGTCAATACCAATTCAACCTATGAAACAAAATATTCAACTTCAAAACTGAAAATAATTACCTGTTTGTTATTTAATCTTTTGGGATGCAATGCCTCGTTAACAAAATGCTGAGTTTCAGGTAGCCACTGAACGCGATGCCAGTCACCATTTTCGTCACGGTCAGTCGTTCGTTTACCAACGTTAGCTTCAATTTCTTTTTGATTTTGACCTCGAACACAAATTCCATCCAACTAATTTAACAAAACTTTGAATACTAATTAAAAGTAACAACCTTGCATTGAGCCAGGAAAGTTTTCTTAAATGCAGTCACCGCTTCGGTCAAAGGCCTTAGCGCCATCCGATGAACTGCATAGTAGAAACCAGCATCTATAACATAAACTACCTTAAAATGAAAATGGATTTAAAAATCTTTATAATTAAAAAACCCAATACTGTGGATTTGCAGTTGATTTATTAATAATTTTCACTCGACACCAATCACCATCTATTTGTGCTCCGAACACCTGTCCAGGTAGAAAACTATCGTCAGAAGTGAATTGAGGTAAACGTGATAAAGCAGCAGAAACGTATTCACAATAAACATTCTAAATAATGTTTTCGAAATTATCTTTAAATATTCGTTTACCCATTTTTTAAATCTAAAGAAAATATTGTCGGGATCCAGTGCAGAAATAATAACAATCTCTAGAGGTCCACCAGTCGGCAAATTATCTAAAGGCACTGATTCAAATTGATCAGCCATGAAGTTGGAAATTGGTGCCAAAATTTTATTTTCATCTCTAATTTCGAATTTGTCACTTTCAATTTTTTCCGTCTCTGAAATTATGGAAGGGGGACTATCAGCTTTAGTCATATCAGGTTCGCAATATATTTTTCGTTGCATGGCTGTATTTCCATTGGACAAAAACTGGTAAATAACAAAATTATTTGAAAGAAAAATAAAACTTAATATACCAAAAGTGTATAAGTTGAGACATCTTGAACATGAAATTCTTCCGCAACTCGCAACAGAGCAAGCCAATTCTTTGGCAAGCTTTTAGCAATTGAAGTTTTGACATATCTACATATTCATTTAACTATTTAGTGTTAAAATAATTAAAAAAACCTTTCATTATAAAGCTTTTCAAGAAATGTTGAATCTACACCAGAAGGAAATTCCTAAAATTAAAATAATAATTTTAGATTTGATAAATACCTTAATAATTTTATAAAGTAATTCTCTAGTTTCTTCAATTCTATCATTTGTAGAATCTTCTTGAAACATCATATTAATATTAAATACTCTAAAAAATAAAATTACGTGCAGGACCAACGTATAAATAAAGTTAAAAGTGGGTGTATGAAAAGGCCTTTTGATCGCAATCAGACTATAAAAATTAAATCGTTTTAAATTTGCTGTGGTGACAGTTTTTAAAAAAACAATCAAATTATAGGTATTGAAATGATTCAGAGTTAATTTAATTTTTAATAAAATTATTGTCAGTAGATTTTATTCAATGTAGAAGTGTACAATCAAGATTTTCGAATATGTTTTTTAGAAAAGTCTATCAGTCTATTTCATGTCTATTTCTTTCTTAAGCTTGTCAAACAACTCACGTTTCTCCTCAAGTATCTTACGATTTTCTTTCTCCTCATTATCCATCTTCAATAAATTATAAAATAATATGAAAATTAATTTTTAAAGACTTACAGCCAAAGCCCTCTCCATAAGTCTACGCTCTCGAACAGCGACACCTTCACTGAAAAGAGCTTGTCTCTTTCGTCGTGTATCTTCGGATTCAAGTTGTCGAGCAGAAATTTCCTTCTCCAATTGCGTGAAAGGATCGTCGTCAAAACTGCTTTGAGGTAGATTACGCATTCGATAATTCTCATAATGTAAACATTTAGTTACCTAAAAATGGATGGTCAATAAAAAATTAAAAAACAAAAAACCTCGATAAGATCAATCAAATTATTTCGAATAATCATATCACGAAGAGCAACAAAGTCATTATGTCCCAAATTGTCCACTTCTACTATACCCCAAGGGTATTCACGAACTCGAACTCTTTGCTTAGTAGCTCGATGTTCACCACCAACCAAAACTTCTTTGACGTGTGTAGATCCGATAATTGCAAATGGAAATCGTTTAGATGATTCAATTTTGGTAGTATTTTGATGTGATTGAGATTTACCATTTGTTGGTAAAACACTGCAACCATTAACAATCGATTGCTGTTGCTCACAATCAAAGTCTGGTAACTTGTAAAGTGAAATATTGTTCTTATTCATGTCTTCCATTATCTTCAAAAAATAAATACGTTTAAAAAGTTGTATAGAAATATATAGAAATACATGTTGTTTAAAACGTCCAAGTTCAGTAGGAGTAAGTGTGTCTGCTTTGGCAATAACTGGAATTATATTAACACGATCTTGAAGAGCTTGCATAAAAGCTATATCTAATTGCTTGAGGCTTAAAAGTATTTTTAGATACTTTGAAAAATAAAAATTTACCCATGTCCAGTAGGTGGAATAAAGTAAATACACAGATGAACTCGTTTATCTTCAATCTTGGAAGATCGGTCAATTTTAGTCTCTTCTGCCAAATAATCAGCAAAACGGTCATCAATGTATTTAACTATAGGCTCCCAACTAAAATTCTTATAAAATATATTAAAATTAAAAAAAACCATTTAGAATTGTCGACAAAGTCTCCAAATCCAGGTGTGTCCACAACAGTAATCTTGAAAATCGGAAAATAAATTCCGGCATCTTAAATAAAAATACCTTCAATCGAACATCATTCTCGGCAAGTCTGAAAGTTTTGCTCTCAATACTCACTGTTGATTTGATCTCTAAAGATTTGTCGTTTTTCAGATCGTGAAGTTCAGCCATGAAAAGTGTATTCAAAAAAGTTGATTTACCCAACCCAGACTGACCTTAAATAATGAATACACTTGTAAAAAAATTCAATTACTAACCAACAACCATCAGAGAGAACTCAAATCCATTTTTTATGCATCTTCTAAACACCTGGTTAGGAAAATTGGCAAAACCAACATAGTCAATATTACGAGATGATATTTCAGTTTTAGCTCGAGATGCTGTTGTAATTGTTGACATTGAATTGTGATGTCTAAAAATTAAAATTAGGACTTTAAATAAAAAGATATTGTTTGTTGCAAATTTGCACCGACTTTTCCTGATAAGAAAAAACAATGAACACAAAACCTACGCGAGAAAAATCAAAAAATGAAAGCATTAAAGTGGAAGGTCGATAAATAACTTTTTCATTTAAACACTCGACAGTTCCTTTTTTGAATTACAAAAATTCGCCGGAATGAAAATTTGAGTCTAGGTTCTGGGTTAGGCAAAAAAAATTTTTCTAAAATTTCCAAAATTTATTTTTAAGCTAAATTTTATGTCGACGATTACGGAAGCCTCTAGTGTTGGTTTTGCCAATTTCCCTAACCAGTTGCTTAGAAGATGCGTAAAGGATGGATTTGAGTTCACAATGATGGTTGTTGGTTAGTTATTGAGTTTTTAAATAATTTTTTAAATTCAAGGTCAGTCTGGTTTGGGTAAATCGACTTTTTTGAATACACTTTTCATGGCTGAACTTCACGATCTGAAAAACGACAAATCTTTAGAGATCAAATCAACAGTGAGTATTGAGAGCAAAACTTTTAGACTTGCCGAGAATGATGTTCGATTGAAGGTATTTTATTTAAGATGCAAGAATTAATTTTCCAATTTTTAAGATTACTGTTGTGGACACACCTGGATTTGGAGACTTTGTCGACAATTCTAAATGGTTTTTTTTAATTTTAATATATTTTATAAGAATTTTAGTTGGGAGCCTATAGTTAAATACATTGATGACCGTTTTGCTGATTATTTGGCAGAAGAGACTAAAATTGACCGATCTTCCAAGATTGAAGATAAACGAGTTCATCTGTGTATTTACTTTATTCCACCTACTGGACATGGGTAAATTTTTATTTTTCAAAGTATCTAAAAATACTTTTAAGCCTCAAGCAATTAGATATAGCTTTTATGCAAGCTCTTCAAGATCGTGTTAACATAATTCCAGTTATTGCCAAAGCAGACACACTTACTCCTACTGAACTTGGACGTTTTAAACAACATGTATTTCTATATATTTCTATACAACTTTTTAAACGTATTTATTTTTTGAAGATAATGGAAGACATGAATAAGAACAATATTTCACTTTACAAGTTACCAGACTTTGATTGTGAGCAACAGCAATCGATTGTTAATGGTTGCAGTGTTTTACTAACAAATGGTAAATCTCAATCACATCAAAATACTACCAAAATTGAATCATCTAAACGATTTCCATTTGCAATTATCGGATCTACACACGTCAAAGAAGTTTTGGTTGGTGATGAACATCGAGCTACTAAGCAAAGAGTTCGAGTTCGTGAATACCCTTGGGGTATAGTAGAAGTGGACAATTTGGGACATAATGACTTTGTTGCTCTTCGTGATATGATTATTCGAAATAATTTGATTGATCTTATCGAGGTTTTTTGTTTTTTAATTTTTTATTGACCATCCATTTTTAGGTAACTAAATGTTTACATTATGAGAATTATCGAATGCGCAATTTACCTCAAAGCAGTTTTGACGACGATCCTTTTACTCAATTGGAGCGAACAATTGCAAAACGTGCCGAAATGGAAGACATGCGCCAGAAGAGAGATGCTCAGTTTAGTAAAAGTGTTGCTGTTCGAGAGCAAAGGCTTATGGAGAGGACTTTATCTGTATATTTTTTAATAATTCATTGTCCTAGCGGAAATTTTTTGAGGAGATAAGCAATCATTTTTGAAAATTGTGAACTTTATTTTTTACCACCACATCTATATAATTCCATTTATCTATAATTTTGTCAATCAAAAAAATTTCAGATTGACAAGGAGGAAAAGGAAAATCAGAAAGTATTAGAGGAAAAGAGGGAACTTTTTGATAGAATTAGACTTGAATTAAAAGATAAAACTTCTCCTAAAAATATTGCTTCAAATTTATTGTCGGCTTTATATACTTTTAGAAATAAAGGCAAATAATAATTTTAAAATTTTTTTTAATTGTTTTAACAAAATATATTTTAAAATACTTATCTTTTATGGACCGCGTTATTTTACTGGCAATGAAAAGGGGTTTCCCTAAAGATGATATTAGAGTTTCTTCATTTAATTTTTTGTATTGCCCAATTATTCAATATTTAATTTAGTTTTTTTGTTTTTGACTATTAATTTTTTTTAATTTTCTAAAAAATTTTAATCGTTTCAGGTTAAATTTAAGATAATTCGTCGGCAATGGTATTTTTTAATTTTCACTATTAATTATTTTATTTCTTTCAACCTTCAGCCACAGAACGAACATATTGAATTGCATCGTAAAAGGCATGGACGTCGATTGGATCATGAGGAACGAACGTAAATTTATCTTCTAAGTTTTACTCTAATAAATTTAGCCGGAAGAGGTTGGCACGAGCTGCACATGAACGGTCGGCAGTTGCCAAGAAAATGCGTAAAGGCAAAGCAAAGCTTTATAACAAGAAGCGCTACTCTGAAAAGGTTTTGTATTTCACGATTAATATTATTTTATTTAAAGGTTCAAATGCGCAAATTGATCAAACAACATGAAGAGAAAGAACAGAAGAGTACCGTTGATGAGCCTACTGAAGGAGCTATTCCTACATATTTGTTGGACAGACAGAAGCAAGCTGTTGGCAAAGCGATTTCTTCGGCTATTAAACAAAAGCGCAAGGAGAAAGCTGTGAGTCTTAATATTCAACCTTATTTTATCATTTTTTAAAAATTTATTTTTAACTTTAAAGGCGAAATATCAAGTGCCATTACCAAAAGTTAAAGCGGTTAGTGATGCAGAAGCTTTCAAAGTAGTCAGCACAGGAAAAAGTCGAAGAAAGGGTTGGAAAAGAATGGTCACTAAAGTAACCTATGTTGGCGAGACGTTTACAAGGAAACCGGCGAAATTTGAACGTTTTATTCGACCAATGGGATTACGATTTAGAAAGGTTTTTTTTAAATTTTTATGGATATTACGAGAAAAAATAGTGAAATTTTCAAAGTTTTATTTTATTTTAAGGCGCATGTAACTCATCCCGAATTGCGTACAACTTTTTGCTTGTCAATAACTGGTGTTAAAAAGAATCCGTCTTCACAACTTTATACTTCGCTTGGTGTAATAACTAAAGGTATTTTTACAATTTAAGTTTGTTGCTGAATGTCGGAATTTCCTTCCCTGTCTGTAATTGTTAAAATTTTATTTCGAAATTTTTTAAAAATTAAATCTCGTTTTCTAAATTTTAGGAACAATTATTGAAGTAAATGTCAGTGAACTTGGAATGGTAACTCAAGGTGGAAAAGTTGTTTGGGCTAAATATGCACAAGTAACAAATCATCCAGAAAATGATGGATGTATTAATGCACTTTTGTTGATTTAATATTTACCTATATATCCATTTATTGTTTTTAAATTATTAAATAAAATGTTTTGTATTTTTTAAATTATAGCATTTATATAATTTTTACTTGTTTTTATATTTTAAAAAGGTTCTCTTAATTTTATAACTAATTTAAGGTTTAAATAGTGCTCAATTTGTGATAAAGTGTGGATTAAATCTCTTATCAACCATGATTTATTGTTGGATGTACGAGTCGTGAAATAAGGTAACTATTTAAAAATAAAAGCGGGGCTTTGTGCCTTTGACTATTAGAATTTTTTAAACTAACAAGTTGTTTTTGCACTTGTCGGTAGACTCCTTTATTTTGATGACATTTTACAAAAAAATTACAAAGGCACAAATAATCGACAGGAAATATTTTTTGGACATCTGCTCCAAGAGAAAAATAAAAGATATATAGAGTGGGTGACCTTCATTCATTCGCAAACATTTTCTGCCACTTGAGACACCATATAACAGATGTTAAAATTTAAAGTTAGTATTTTATACCAGAATTAAGTGTTTTAGAAATTTAATTTCCTGTTTTACACTTAAATTATTCTTAAATTCCTTACTTTAAACTAGAGACCGGATTTAGACGAGATCTAGACAAAAATCTCGGTTATCGAGATTTAACGATCTCGAGATTTTTTCGAGATCTCGATTCTCGTACGACCCCCAGTCTTATCTCTGCTTTAAACTACATACTACATTTTACGAAAATTCTATACATTTTTATTAATTTTACTGTTTTCTCATTCACTAATTTCACTAACTTATTTTCCTGTAAGAAATATTATATAATACATATGTCAGAAAATTCACAGCGTGAATTTTATGGGAATGAATCTGCGGGATGCTCATTTTATACTTCATTTTTGTATGTTCTGAGAAATACCTAGACATAATAATTAAGATTTTTTTATATATTCTTTTCAATTATATTTCCCATTCCAAATTTCTTTTATTGTCCTAATTGTTTAGAGAGCCTCGTGAGTGACTGACCCACGGGGAGGAGTTTGTTCAATGATTTTTTGCTGTTTTTGGTGTAGGGGTGGGTATAGGCACGCCGTTAGGCCAAATGTTGACTGACTTTACTGATATGCGTAAGAAAGAGAAGAGGGGTAAATTGAATACGAACAAGTCACATTCAATTTACTTTAATATTCCTGAAAATATTAAAAATCGCCGTCATTATCAATGTGACGGACGCCGCAATTTGTTTTAATAAAATGATAAAAATTGAGTGAAAATTTTAGTTAATCCTCTTCTCTTTTTTGACTAATTTTCATAGCTTGTAGTGTTAAAAATTTATAGTTAATCTACTTAACTATTCGTTTATGCGTTGATCTACATTAAATATTTAATTTTAAGCTCTACTTTCTCAAGAAATAATCATTTTTATATTTTTTTCACATCTTCAATTTTCTTTTTATTTCTTTAGAATATAAAAAATTTTTCTTTAGTCTCTTAATTTCGAAAAATATATATGAGTTAAAAAATAAGTTTTAATCTTTAAATTTTTTAAAATTATCTGATCATTTTTTGTCTTTTATTGATCTAAATATTATTTTGAGACGATAAAAGAAAATTTTCTTTAATTTAATTTGATAAGAAAGGCAATCTTGACAGAAGCCGGAAGTTGTTTTTATGGTCGCGTGTTTACCTTTATTATTTTCGTTGAAAAATGATAAAAATTGATAAAAGAAAATTTTTTAAACATTTTTTTAATTAAAAATATTTTTGTTTATTTTAGAAAAATTTCCTTTATATCAACCGACTGGTACTTACTAACTTAAAAATCACAAATGGTTCGTTGGAGTACACGTTTTGCTGATTCAGACCTCTCTTTGTGTGGTTGTGGTTTTCTGTGTATTTATCATGCTGGTGTTTGTGCTGCCTTAAAAGTATAATTTTTTGTTTCCTTTTCTAAAATTAATTTAAAATAGGAATATGCCCCTCAGCTAACTCAAAATCGAATTTATGGTGCTTCAGCTGGTTCAATTGCAGTAAGTAATTACACAAGGAATTTTATCCACTCCATTTTGTTCCACCTATTTTTTGTCAAATGTATAGCGGATTTATGAAATTCTATTATTTTTTCTTTCGCTTCCTCTTCTTTTGATATTTTAAGTGCTTGAACAATGTTGTCGAACTCATATCTTCTATTGATGAGATTATATCCTAACCGTGTAGATAGAATCAAACAGCCTTCTAAGAAATCTTGGTTTTAAAAAAAAGTAAATTTTTTACCCAAAAACTTTGCATTTTTTTCCGATAAATTTTGCATTAATATGCCGTACTCCGCATTTTGTAGATTGTTGAGGGTTCTTTTCCACTTATGTTCAGACAAACGTCTTTTAATATTTGTTGTTATGCCTACGTATTTCCAATCCTTTATCGATATTTCATCTCTAACGAGGTAAACCTAAATTATGTTTTATGGATTTTAACAAAAAGTGTAGAAATTTACCGAATGTTGACCAGGATCAGCAGAAAAATCAAATTGTTGCACATTAGAATATTCGTTGATTTCGTTGAAATACTTTGACCAATTGTTGGAACAATAAAAACTTGAAATTTTACAATTTGAAGTATTGTAGTGGGAAGAACGGACGGTCCAAGAGAAGGAAAATCCACAAAAAAAACAAGTTTTTAAAAAGGTGGAAGCTAAAAATGGAAGGGTAATTGGATATTAATTATTAATGAAAACCTGTATTGGTATTTTCTGTAATTACTGGTTGAAGGATTTGATGTGGAGCTGATGTTGAAGGGGTTGATGTTGACGGATTTGAATATTTTTGTAGTTGCTGATTTGATGCCTCGATTCTTTCTTCTAAGGAAGTGTTGTTGTCTGACAGAAAACACGGACAGACAAAACACGGACGAAGACGGACGGACTCGGACAGAAAACACGGCCGAACACGGACGGACTCGGACAGACAAAACAAGGACCGTCCGTGTTTTGTCAGGACGGCTAAAACACGGACAGAAAGCTAAAACACAGACAGAAAAAACGTAAATGCTCACAAATTGAAGGAAAAATAATCCTTTTGCGTTTATAGTCTTAAGGCAAAAATCAAAAATAGAGAGAAAAATATAAAAAAATTAACCATTTTTAAGAATAAGGAAAAAATTTGATTGCCGCATTATTTTCAGATAGGGCCCCGAATTTTTTAAAATGTTTTTTGACTAAAATATTAAGGCGGCTGGTTTGATTTGCAATGTTTCCATTTCCGATGCTACTTGTGCAATTATGAGAGTTGTTGCAGAAGTATTTTCTGATTTCAAATTAAAATATTTTTGTTTGCAGGCACGCTCACGTGTATTGCAATCATTTGATCCAGCATTTGATCTACTTGGAATTGTTAGGGAAGTCTTAAACAAACTTCTTCCGGCAAATTCTCATGTATTGTGTACTGACCGTCTTTTTATATGTATTATTTTTTTTATTTAAATTTTTGTAAAAGAAAAGAGCTTTCAATTTAAAAAATTTCTTAATTTTAAGCTCTAACGCGTTGTATTGATGGAAGAAATGTTCTTGTTTCAAAATTTGAATCTAAAGCTGATTTAATTCAAGCAATTATTTGCAGCTGTTATATTCCAATATTTTGTGGACTTGTAGAGCCCGAATTTCACGGAGTTAAATATAGAGATGGAGGTTTTTCAGATAATCAACCGGTCCATGATAGAAATACAATTACTATTTCTCCTTTTTCTGGCGGTTAATAATTCTAAATTAAATTTAAAAATATTTTATTTTAGAGGCTGATATTTGCCCACTTGATCATGCAAGTGCCAGTATTCTTGGTTTTGTTTATTATGGATCGTAAGTATTTCTTTAACGGAATAATTAAAATAAAATTATAGTTCAATTCGTTTTACGAATGAGAATTTTTATCGCTTTTGTTCGTGTTTTTTTCCACCTTCTCAAGAAATTTGTTCAAAGATTTGCCGTCAAGGATTTACAGATGCATTGCGTTTTATAACTAAAAATTGTATTTTGATTTTTTATTTAAATTTATTTTTTAATTTAATAGCAATAACTCCATGTTATCGTTGTCTTGGACATGGATTGCATGATTTTAAGCAGAAGTACTAGTTAAAATTTAAAGTTTAAATAAATATTTTTTTAGATTTCCGAGAATAATTTGTCGTAGGGCATCTTCAACTGCTAATAATCCAAATGCATTAATGAGACGAAGAAAAAAATTAGATTCTGAATGTGAAATTTGTTATGCTTGGTTAGATCGACGTTTAAGTATAGAATTAACATCTGCTTTAATTCCAGAAGTTTTACATAAATGTATGAAAATTTTTGAAAGTTAAAAGTTAAATTATTTTTTCAAGCATTGCAAGGGGAAAGAGCTGTTGTTCCTAATAATTCTTCTTCTAGTTTATTTGATTTTGTTGGTTCTTTTCGTTTAATTCGATTTTGGCTTGATATTTTGGGTCGATTTGTTTATTATGCTGATCTTGCAATTAATATATTTTTTATGTTTGATTTTCTAATAAAATTTAAAAAATTAATTTTATTTTTAAAAGGTTAAAACAATGGTTTTTAAATGCACCAAAATTTGGTCTATTTATTTTACAACAACTTTGCCGTTTTGCTGATGCTTTACTTTTAGGAGTTGAGGAAAGTAATCTTGCAAATTCATCAAGACAATCAGTAAACTGGACATTTACAAAAAATCAAAATATTTCTAGAAAAATTAAACGAGAGGTAAAAAAGTTAAATTAATTAGGAAAAATTTTTTTAAAGCCAAACTATTATTCTACCATTGATTTTGATTCCTTTGAATGTTTGCTAGGGCAGTTAGTCTTGAATGAACTGATTATAATTGAATATTATACTTCAACGGTAAAATTATTTTTTGATTTATTGTAAATAGTTTTTAAATTTTAGTTTTGCAATGAGGAAGAATATGAATTACTTGGTGGTGATTATGTTTTACTTGATGATTATGTTGATGAACCTAGTACTAGTAAATTTGTGGAGCAGGATAATAAAAACGTACACAACCGAGCTAAATGTTAAATTTTTTAAATTATATAATTAATTTGTTAAAATTTTTTGTCAATTAGGCGATAATCAGCGGCAATTAGAGTCACAAACTAATGACTCGGGAATTTCTTTAGGCTTTAATTCGAATGGTTCTCCTACAACAAATTCCAGATTCTCTGTAAAAGAGGGAGAATCTAAATCAAAAACAACATAATACACATTGATTGTTACTATACTTGAATGAAGATTATCAAATGAGGTTGAATCTCTAATGTACGAACTATTGTCATTGTATTTTTACTTTTTTAATGGGTTAGGGTTAACTTAAATTGATTAAAATGAATTAGCTAACCTTTGTTAACCTTTGCCACTACATAATGTACCTTACATATTTTCACTTTTTAAATTTTCAATATTGTATTTTCATATAGCCTTACACTAGCCAGATCCCACAAATTTTGTATACATTGTTAAATTACTCGTAATTTCCTTTTCTACCCCACTTAATAAAAGCATTTAATATTGTTAATCAATAAAACATTTTCTCGATTCCAATATTTTGGATATTCGGGTGGTTCATTTTTTAATCATTGGCCTTTACATTTTGTATAATTTCAATTTTTCATAAATAAAGCAATTGTTTTGGATTTATATTATTTTTATTTTAAGTAAACTAAAAGGTACTTTTAATTAAATTATTAGAATAGAATACTAATTTTGAGATCAAAAATACAATAGAAATACATTAAAATAAAAAAATTCACAAGTCTTTGGACACGCTTAAGAAAATATTTCTAGCTATTGACTCATTCATTTGATTTGGAATCCAAAATTGTGGAATAATTAAATTTAGCCACCACCTTCGCCCAAAAACAAGCGCCAATCTTTCAGCACAGTTTTCACCTGTAAGGACAAAAAACTAGTTGCAAATTTTTCTAAAGCCTTACCGTCACTTTCAATTCTTTTTGGACCAGATCGGTGATAATCGTACATTGTGCAGCCATTCAAAGTATAAATCATCTTTCAATTTTTAAACTATTAATGATTTGTTTTAAAGAACTACTTGAAAGATGAAAAATCCAAAGGCTCCGAGTGTTGAAGCAAAAGAGAATGAAAAAAGAACTGCCATACCCATATTGAATGCCGTCTCCCAGCCGAGCACCCAACGAATCATTGAAACCTTTTTTATAATCAAAAGTCAGCGTAAAAAGAAAAAATTAGAAGGCTTACCGGTCCTAAAAAGCAAAGCCAACCATAAGGAAACCAATACATCATATGTTTATTCAAAAACACAAAGTTAAAATAAGAACCATAAATCGCCCCAAGCGATGCCCAAAAGAGAAAAACTATGAAATATCGCTACAAAATAGTAGAATAAATATAAATTGAGTAAAAAATTTCAAAATACCTGATTTGCAAGTCCTGCACAACCACCTAACATGAGACAGTGGTGGTCCTTTCGAAGAACACAAATTCCACATAGAGGGCAATGATGACAACGACGGGGAACAACCTATTAACATTAAAAATAAAAATTATTTAATAAGTAAACCTGTTTGCATTGATAGCAATATTTACAAGGAGAATTATTATTATTAATTTTATCTGAAAAAGCGCCGTGAAGCTCTTCTCTAAGAGAATCTAAGCCAACATAAGTACCATCCTCGCAAATCTTAAAAAAAATAAATTTATCAAAAACTTTAATTAAATATTTAAATTATCCCAACCGCGTATTTGGTAAAACTTTTAGGTGTTTCTTCAGAACGCGAAGATACAGGTAATGTTCCATTTTGAATTGACAAGGAGACATTCCCTTTTTTAGCAACAAATTGTCCATTTAACGCATAGTCAGCCCTTTGTTCAAAGCCACGTCCATCAAGAAGTGAACTGCTTTTGGCTGTCCAATATTGAACCTATTTGTTAAATTAAATGATCTACCCATATATTAATTTAAATAAACCTGATTTCTTTTATTGTAATAATGAAAAAGAATTAAATTGGCAAAAAGTTCAATAAGAATTATCACAGCAAATATACTTGGCCAGAAACAATCACCATCTTCATTAATATCTGGGCATGTCCAATAAAGATTAATAAAAGCAATGCCAGTAATAGCCTTGATTGGTAAAAAATACAATTTAAATTTAAAAATACAAACCACTGCAGTATACAGCGCTCCAGAAATATTTAAAAGCACAAGCTTGAACCTAGTCAATTTGGCCATAACAAAAAATTAAACACAACTGATAAAAAATGATTATCTTTGTCTGATTTAGAAATTGCGGCAGTTATAAATTCTGAAACGGCCAATACTGCAGGTTCTGAAACGTCCCTTACCTTATAATTTGTCACATTGTTAAATGGTAATTTTTTAAAACATCAAATGCTAAAATAGGTAAATTATAGAAGATAAGGTATTAAAATGTCAGACCCATTTTTTGGATGTTTTAGATTTTGCTATTTTTATCTTAAATTTTTATTATGAACCTAAATTCTGAGAAAACAAGATGAGATGTTCTCCAAGAGGATCTCCAGCGCTTCTTCAGCACTTCCCACACAATTTGAAGGGACACCGTATGTTTTTATCTTTTACTATCATTTTTTAAAATTTTTATTATAATTTTTTAGGGGTGTATATGCAAAACGAGAGAGTCCGCCACAGATTCCACCAACTATTGGTATATATTAAATAAATATTTTTAAATATATTTTTCATTCAGTCGAGCGTTCTACAAATTTGAAGGATTCACGGTCATTAAGTTCCAGTCATGTCTCCCTTATGCGTTCACGATTGGATTCTTCATCAGCTTCTATAGCACCTTTATTTCCTACTATTACACCCACACCTGTTAATTTGGAAAAGGTTAGTACTATTAATAAAATGCTATTTTTAATTTTTATTCTTTGAAGGCTATTGATAACAAAAATATAAGCAGTGGTTTTAGTGGTAGAGGCAACAGTAGTGATGGCAGTGGAAGTTCGGTAATTCGAAGGCTTTCCCATACTCCACAACAAACCCAAAGAAAAGCAGTACCACGACACGAACTTTCCTCCCACTCTTTTAATGTTCCAACCTCTTCCTCTCACCATCCAGCAGCTGCATTTCGAAATAAAACTCCAACATCTAATTTTAATAATACAAATGCTCAACAAAGACGTTTTGGTAAACCAGCTTCATTAGAAAATGCTACTCGTGATAGTCATGATTCCTCTGCCGAAGCAATTGGTGTTCAGTCTTCCACAACAGGCCATTATGTTAAAGGTCGATTGGGACCTTCTGTTAGTTTTGGAAAGTAATTTTTAAAAAATATTTTTTGGATAAAATTTTTATTTTTTAAGTGTTGTTGAATCACTTATTCCACCTCCAATAGCTTTCCAAAAAGTTTATGCTACGGCAGTTTCTGATCAAAATCAGCAACAAGAATATTGGGGAGGACAACAAATAATTAATAAAAATATTCTGGGCTCTCATACAAGTTTATTGGCTTCAAATGAAAAAAATGGAAAATTAGATCTGGATCGTTTTCCGCCGGGATGGGAAGTTGCTTTAACTTCAGATGGTGTTCGCTACTATATTGATCGTATTTTTCGAAATATAAAACATTGAATTGATTTTTATTAAGATAATAATGGCCGTACACATTGGATTCATCCCCTGGCACCAGAAAATTTGGCAACGGGATGGACAAAAATTTTTGATAAAATACATGGAGTTGTCTATTACAAGTTGGTTTAGTTATTTTTTAAAGTTAAATTAAAAATCCCTTTTGAAAGTCATATCGAACGTCGTTCACAATTTGAACATCCTGGGTTTGCTGCTTCTACAACTCTTTCTGTTTCTTTGCTTCCAACTATACATGGATCGTCTTCCGTTCAATTTACAGAAGATCAACAAAATAAAGAAAAAATAAAAAATCAACTAAAAAATGAAAAACAAAAAAATTATAAAAATATTGGTTTGGAAGAAAAAGAAGACAATGAAACATTAAAAGATGATATAATTAATAATGAAGATGTGCCTGATTGGTTAAAACTTTATTCATTAGCTCCTTCAAATGCTGATCATTTACTTAATTTTAATTTGTTTAAACTTAGCCATCTTGAAATTTTTGATAGTAAGGAATTCATTTTAAATTAATTCTACAAAAATAATTTTCAAAGGAAAAATAATGAAACTTTATAAATCTGAAGTTTTAAATATTGTAAGAAAATATGATAAAGCAATGTCTGAAGTTGATGGAGAATTAATGAATCGACGTAGAAAACAACAATTTACTCCTATATAAATTTTTAAATACTTAAAAAATGCATTTTTCTCGTGCTTTGCCATCCCACAGATATTGAAATGATTTATTTGTAATTAAATATGCCTTATATATAAAATTAAATTTCTTTTTTTTTAATTTTTGAAGGTAAAATAATTCTCTCTTTTATTTAAAAATATTATAGACCTTTTTTACCTTCTAGAATAATAAACTAATACGTTAAATTATATTTGTTTAGAATGCTTCCGTCAATTACAAAGTTTTTTTCAATTTTAAAAATTGCCAACTCTCACAAGCAAGCAGATCAAAATGAAGAAAACAAAAATAAATCAAAAGAAAAGGTTTAATTTAAAAAATGTTTTTTAATCATTTTAAAAAGGTGATTTTTATTACAAAAAAAGAATTCTTTGAGCCAATTACTGATGAATATGTCAATTCAATATCGAAAATGTCTCCCGAAGAAATTTATGATAACTATAATCCAGGTTACTTTTCTCTCATTTTTTGGATTTAAAGTTTTAAGGTCCGACAAACCCAGACGGTTCTGTTAATTTTGAATGTCATTGTGTTTCACATATTGTTGCTAGCCCTTGTGGATATGATTTTAGAAAAGCAATGACATGCCAAAAATCTGCAAGTGAAAAAGAATTGGAGGAGGGGGCATGTGGAGAAGAATTTATGAAATTTTTGGAATGTGTCATGTCGACTGGTTGTTTTAGAAGTAAAATATTCTAATTCAGACATGATTAAAAATATACCTAATTATTTTTATAAATGAATTTCAGGGACTCCAGAAGAAGAGTTAAACTCAAAGAAGGATATTGACTGACATGCAGGGTTATTTTATAATTTATTGTTAGAAATATTTAAAACCCGATTTTAGATAAGCTTTGTTATCTATTGGTTAAATCTGTTTTAATAATAAACTCGATCAAATACATTTTTCGAAAAAGAACGGGGAAAAACTGAAATATCATTTTGATTATCTTCCACTACCAAGTCTCATTCGAATTGGCGCTCTTTGAGAGCCACCTTTGTTGAGTATAGATTGTTGTTCATTCTTTTTGAGGATTTCCTTTTCACGATCAAGCTCAATTCTCTTTTCTTCGAACAGTCTTTTTGATTCTAACATTTGAAGACGTTCATCACTCTATACAGTTTAAATAATTCAAAATAAACAAAATTATACCAATTGTTTTTCTGATTCGTCAAGTTGCTTTATTTTCTCAATTAGCGCTCTTTCCATGTTAAGACATCGCTCTTTAGACTCGTTCTAAAATTGAATTCTAAAAAATAATGTAAAATTAAAAACCTCTCGTCTTTGAATGGCTTCCATTTCCTCTTTAAGTTCTGATTCAATTTGTAGTCTTAGTCTTTGTTCCATATCAATCTAAAAATAGTTGCATTAACTTCTGTATTATTCAAAAATATCCAACCTTTGCAGCACTAACTCTCTCACGAATAATTTCCTCAATGTCGCCAAGTCTGCTTGACACCTAAAAATAAATAATATTAATTTCTCAAAGTTTAATTTGAGCCCCAAAAATTGAGCTTTCTTCAATCAAGAAGTAGGTAGACAGTTACCACTTTAATTGCTTTCGAGCATTTTTGTTTTTCGAGCACTCCTCCCACGTGTACAAGTTCGCCCTCTTTTCAATGATTTAAAAAGTATAAATTAATGCACAATAGGTTTGAACGCCGCGAAAATGGCGTCGGAGCACTCACTTGATCATTTATCTTTTCATGCAGCCAGTCAACAGTTTTCTTATCGAGTTGTGCCATATTTATATTTCCTCCATCTAGCTCACATGCTACATCCGCAGGGGCATAGATTCGCTCATTTGGTGTTGAACTTTTTGACCTAAATTTTACTAAAAAATATGTAGAATAATGCAAACCTGTTTTTTTCTCGTTTTCTATCACGGCGTTTTTCAGAACGTTTGCGTTTACGATCAGAGCTTTCATCACGGTCTCTAGATTTAGAACGTTTTCGCGATGATCGATGTCTGTCACGGTCGCGACTTTCAGAGCGGCGCGAGTATGAAGGCATTCTAAATAAAAATTTAAAATTCTAATATTAAAAATAAATGCTATTTTAAAAATTTGATAAAGTTAAACTGATCGGAGGGACACGCCCAAAACTACGTCAACTGGCCGCGCTCTTCAACGTGAAATGGCGCTATGACAATCAGGGGTGGGCGCATTGCGTTTTGCGTTTTGCGTTTTTTGCGTTTTGCGTTGATTTTTGGCCTTGCGTTGCGTTTTGCGTAAATTTGGCCAAAATTAACGCAAAAAACCGCAAGAAATATACACAATCTGAGGGCAAAATCTGAAGGAAATCAGGCTTATGACTTTCCAAAATTCTCAAAATTTTCGCCTGCGGCGCTTAAAAAAGGAAGAAATTTGGTTTCTTGGTCCCAAATTTTTCAAAATTTTCGCCTGCGGCGCTAAAAGTAGATCATGGAACTGCTCAGAAAAATATCAGTTCGATATCTTGAGCTCCGATCTCCCTTTATCCCTCCAAATCCCCTGATATCCGCGGTAAGTAGTTAACCCAACGTTTTGCGCACAAAGGGATGCCGCCATCCTTTTGGATGGGTGGTTAACCGCAATTAATTATGATTTATGTTCGCGCACTAGCCTAAACCTATTGACAGCTTTGGTGGGGGAGGGGTCCGCGCGAGCTATCCTTATCCTATTGAGTGAGTGGGTGGTAGGAGGGGGTAGGATTTTCAAATTAGTGGTGGGGGAGGGGGTAAGAGGAAGGGGATTTTTTAAGTAGTAATTTGTTGACCCTTCCCATTTAACCGCAATCTTTTGACAGTTTTGGTGGGTGGTGGGGAGGGGATTCCTTAAGTAGCAACTCCCCTCCTTTTTTCCCATTTAACCGCAATATTTTGACAGTTTTGGTGGGTGGTGGGGAGGGGATTTTTAAGGAGTAATTTGTTGACCCTTCCCATTTAACCGCAATCTTTTGAAAGTTTTGGTGTGTGGTGGGGAGGGGATTTTTTAAGTTGTTGACCCTTACCCTAACCGCAATCTTTTAACAGTTTTGGTGTGTAGTGGGGTCCGTGCGAGCAATTAACAACCTATTGAGCTGGTAGGGATAGGTAAGGGAGGATTTTTCAGATTAGCAATTAGTTCTCGGGGGAGGGGTAGGAGAAAGGGGGGGGGGGGGGTTTAAGGAGTATTTAATAAGTTTTTGCCCTCCCCTCCTTTTTTCGATGATTGATACAAATTTATTCAAGATTGATAGTTTTAAAATAGGGGAGACTCAAACTGATACCCTTGTACAAATTAAAAATTTCTCGATGTTTTCTCCTCCCAACTACTATATTGAGTTGTTTTTTCTTTTTATTCCCAAAAATATTTTTATTTTTCAAGGTCATTGACAATACTAATAGTAAAGGAAAACCCCACTCCTCACCCCACTCCCCACACTGTCCACTCATCACCCTGTCTGACCGCTTGTGTTTCTTAACCTTGTCTCTCTCTCTCTTTTAATTTTGCAACAAAACCAGACACACTGTTGCATTGATTGTTTTTTACACTCCACACAACCCAACCCAAACCCTTCTTTATTTTAACCAAATCTAAGCAACTATATATTTCTTATTAAAAATTTTTTTTCCAATTTCTGATGTTGTGTGGAAATTTTGGGTATGGAAAATTTTTTTGGGGTATGGAAATCTTAAAGATTAATAAATTAAAATTTTTTAATTTTAATTTATTATGTGGATGCCTACACAGAATTAGAAGACCCTACAGAAGACCTGCTTTCTGTGAATTCAAATGCTCGTTACTGTGAAACGGTTGCACCAAATGTTCGAATAAGGTAGTATTTTATTGGGTCTGATTAAAAAATTTTTTTTTGAATTTTTTAGCTTGCACCAAGTTCTTGTTCTTGTACTTCATTCTCGCTCTATCTGCTACAGCCCCAACATTTTTTGGCAAAAATGTGTGCTTATCTAGGTACAACTGATTTGACTTTTGGCTTTTTTTATCTTTCTATTATTTTTAAGCGAATCGTTCTCTAATTAATGTTATTTTGGGAGGAGTTGGAACAATATCACAAATCGGCTCCTTTTCAACAAATTACTGGAACTTTTCAATTTACTAATGGGTAATAAACCTTTTAAAATATTTTAAATATTTTTATTATTTAGTCAGCAGAAATTGCCGTGTTATGGATTTTGTGTTCGATGGGTGACATATAAAGATAAGTTTAAAATATCAGGGGGATCCAAAATGGGGACCAAACTGGAAACCTGGGAGTGATTCTATCGGATACTGGGGACCAGATCGGATACTCGGGACCGTTCTATCGGATACTGGGGACCATACTGGATACCATGGACCAAACTGGATACCAGGGACCGATCTATCGGATACCGGGGACCAGATTGGATACTTGGGACCAATTCTTCGGATACTGAGGACCATACTGGATACCAGGGAAAAAACTGAATACCAGGGACCAGATCGGATACTCGGGACCGATCTATCGGATACTGGGGACCATACTGGATACCATGGACCAAACTGGATACCAGGGACCGATCTATCGGATACCGGGGACCAGATTGGATACTTGGGACCAATTCTTCGGATACTGGGGACCAAACTGGATACTCGGGACTGATCTATCGGATACTGGGGACCATACTGGATACCATGGACCAAACTGGATACCAGGGACCGATCTATCGGATACCGGGGACCAGATTGGATACTTGGGACCAATTCTTCGGATACTGGGGACCAAACTGGATACTCGGGACTGATCTATCGGATACCGGGGACCAGGTTAGATACTCGGGACCGGTATATCGGATACCGTGGACCAAGTTGGATACTCGGGACCGATCTATCGGATACGGGGGACCAGTCTGGATACCTGGATGAATCTATAATGGGGATTGATTTAATATAAAAATGTTCCTTAATACAATAAATTGTAGTTCGATCGGACAAATCATGAATGTGCAAATGTGTTCTTCAACTGTTTTGGGGATGAGTGATGGCTTATGGCATTGAAGGACGATATGAATAAAAAAATTTTAAATTTAATAAAAATTTGTTTAAATTTATTTATAAAATTCAAGACTGTATTATTTAAAAAATTTTTTAATAAAATGTTTTTTCTTTTAATTTTTATCAATTAAGTAATTAATAACAAGGCATATGATTAACAGTGTTAACAGAAAATTATTAAAATACTTAAATCATTTTTTTTTTAAATTAACAAATCAAAAATTTCTTTTTTTCCATTCTTTTGAAATTTTGAGGATAATCTTCTAGTCCTCTTTTTCAACCTTTACCTTCTTTGGATCGTACACCAAAGGTTTAATATTAGCATGTACGATTTGAATTTCCTCTTAAATTATTTAATTGAAGATAATTGGGGAAATTTTTGCTTTGTCTCCCTATTGTTTTTTTTTAATTTCTGGTGTATGTATCTCATTCTTAGTTGAGACCGCGAGCTCTTTTTCGACTGTTCGTCGAGCTCTGTCGAATGATATATCTAGACTAATCGAAAGGGCCTCAAAACAGGTTTTACCCATAAAGGACTTAAACTGAAACAACAAGTGCCACTAAATATTTTTTCTTATGGATCTTACACCCCTCATAAAAATTTAAAAATATTTTCTTAAAATACAATATATAAAAGAACATACCGTCTTTGATACAATTCTTCTCAGCTTCTTTCTTCTTTACGATCTTATTATTATGATTGGCCTTCTTCAACAAAATATTTTTCTTAATCAAAAGCGCTTTGTATAAGCGCTCTCTACGTTGAAGTAGGATTATTTGTCGTTGAATGAAAATATTTTGATTTTTATAAAAAATCAAATCACTTTTAATATTTTTCATATTCATTTATAGGGTGGAAGGAATATATTTATTTTGAATTTTATAATGAATAAGAGCGAGAAATGTTTCTTGAAGTATGCCATTATAATATAAAAACATAAATTATACAACAGATGGCAGTTCTTCCAAATTTTTAAATATTTATAAATCAAAGATAAATCAAGATTTTTTACTCACACTAAAAAACACGAGTGCCAAAAGAACAACGATAATTAATTATCCTATTCGAGAGGGAAAGGAAAGGATAAAGTAAAAAGGGCAAATACCTAGGGAGCATATAATTTAATAAAATTTAAGATTTTTTACTTTAAAATTTTATCTTTAAAAAATTTTTAACATATTTCAATTTTAAAAAATTTTTCAAAATTTAAATTTCCTCTTCTGACTTTAGTTCGTAACATCTTGGTGAATTTAATTGATCGCTTCCACAATGAATGCACCTTTCTGATCGTACATTTTCTGTTTAAAAATGATTTTTATTCTAGAGTTAAAATTTAAATTAGAACCATTCTCTTCTGATTGTCCATCTGCACGAGCTCTTATACTCTGCACGAGCCCAACTGCACGAGCTCTTATACGAGCTAACAATTCAGCCGCTTCTTCTCTCAACGGAAACAAGGGGTGTGGGAAGTTATGCTGAAAATAGACCTTAATAAGAAAATTTAAAAAAGCAAGACCTCCCGTTCTGCCCAATTTTCAATATCACCAACACGCAGAAGTGTGATTCCCAATCGTCGCATAACCATGTCGACGTCTACGTGAAAATTACGCAAAGAATATCGAATTGAGCGCAATTCGGCTTTAATTTCGTCAATATCGCTCATTTTTGCTAAATTAATACAAAAATATTAGAAAATAAAAATTATAGATAAAAAAATCCAGTTACAAAAATAAAATATAAAGAATAATTAGCAAAGTTTGCTTTACAAAAGAATTTGAAAAATAAAATCAGGTCAATACGGCTTGTTTTGAAATAAATTAATAACCACTTCTTTTATCCATTTCCTTTGACTGGTAGCAGTAGCGACTGTCGCTACCCATCGCTCATCAAGGTAATATTTTTGAACGCTCATAAATATAAAACAGTAAATTCAAATAATAAAAAGGGACTTTTTCACTAAATTAAATTTTCTAAAAGGGACTATATAATAATATTTTTAATAAATATTTCTATTTTA